CCAGCCCTCCAGACTCTCTGGTTGCCTCGTCTGTGTGCCTGTACCTGCCTGTCTCTGTCCGTCTGGGCTGGACTTTTGTGGCCCTTGTGGCTCCATCCTTTCCTTCCCTCTCCATTTCCCTCTCCACCGTAACGCATCATGGATGGAGCCCAGTTTTTGACTTTTCCACTCGTTTCTCACTACTGTCCACGCTTTCCCTCGACCCTCACCCACCATCCGCAAATAGCTCGTGTCTCCTCCTCCTCTTCTTCTTCTGACTCTCACTCGCCTGCTCTCACACACACTCTCTTCCCTCTCCTCTCTCCTCCTCTTGTCGTATCTCGGTTGTGTTTTGTTTCTTGTTCGCAAATTGCAACACGTAACCCTTATATACCTCTTGTCGTCGTACTGCGATTTGAAAGAAGCATATCTTTTGTGTGTGTTTTCTGCTCGTTGTAGTACCTCTTCCTTCGACTGCGCCTGCGAGCTTCCACTTGGTTTCTCGCCCCCCTTTCGACCACTTCACGATATCGACCGATTCCGACGCCGTCCCTCCTTGACGCATCTCGTTCTGTGACTCGCACGCATTCTTCGCCTCGTTCCTGTGCGAAATACCCTGGCAATTGACCTCGTCGCGAGCCAATTGCCCCTTGTATCATCACTGCTGCCGAGTTTGAACGGATTCGCCCGTGTGCCTTTTTGTCTTCCTTGAAAGGACCCGGTCTTACTACCCCGGAGCTCTCTGTACAATTCTTTGGGCCTCTGCCTGCTCTGCGATTTTTTGAAAAGTAAGTGCGTTTTCTTTTGGTACATGGAGGATATTTGTTGTTGCAGTTTCCTTTGTCCCCATGGAGCATGGAGGTGAGCGGGAGCTACGGAATCATGAGCCATGGATCCTGGACAGCTGCGATGTTTACCGACCGATCCTCCCCGATACTGTCGAATCTGTCCCTGGAGGACTCCCCGATTACGCGCCCATGGGAATCACAACACGTCTACTAGAATAAAGGCTGGTCTGGTCGTGGTGGGGGTTCGTGATGGCTTCAAGGCACTCGGGCTGCTCGCCTGGCTCGACTGTGTGCGTATGTAGATGGCGAGACTCGAGGGGAGGATGCCCAACCCTGTTCCGGCGACCTGCCGCGCCGTTTGCGACGCCATTGCCTTGCCATCGCGCGCGCCAGACTGAGTGTGTGGCCATCATGCGAGCATGATCGATCTTCAAAATCACACTTGAAATGGGTTTGGCTGGGGCCATGCGACAGAGGCGACGTGCCATCGTCCATCAACCTTGGTGCCATGGCGGAAGGGCTCAAAGGGACACTGGCAATATGAAGCGCGAAACCTTGTCTGCCCGCGGAAACGCTCCCACGTCAGCCACGCTGTGCCTTACGCCGTGAGGGCGAAGAGGCAGCTGGCTAGGCGCGCACTCGCGTATCTTGCCCGACTCGATGTGGCTGTTCATACGACAAATAGGCCTAGGGTGTTGGGGGGACGACGACTGCCGCGCGTACTCACGGCAACACGGGGTTTGGCCATCAACGCCCTCCCTGGCCGAGCCCGTTTGCTTCAGTATATTGGTGCCTGGAGGCTACTGGAGCAGTGTTGGATCGGCTTGGTCCCGGCAACTCCCGGCAAGTCCTGGCAACGAGGGGACTTGACGGCCACTCGAAGGACCGTCACTGTCTGTCCACCACGGTGTTTCAACCAGAGGTTTTCTCAAATACTCCGGCAATGAACTGTCCACTCGTCCAAAGCCTGTTGGAGAACAGAACAGCTCTTGCCTCACTGCAAAGTGCGGCTCTAGCTGCCGGTGGTTCTTGAACAGTAGCCCTCCGGAGTTGTCAATGGAAGTCTTGCGCTTCTAGTCCTTGTTGTTGTCTGGGCTTCGATACAACTGGAAGCATACCGAGGCTTTGGTCGTTGTGGTCCGTCAAGTTGGCCTGGGCCATCACTACATCCGGTATCATTGCCACAAGCTGTGTTTCTCAACCTCCGGCATCTCGGAGTGTATCTCGCCCTTCCCGACAAGCCGCGCCGAAGTTCCTTTGCCAGGGACTCTTGTCAAGGCTTCTACCCGCTGTCCAGTCCGAGTGATGCGGCTCATGGCCTCTGGCACGGATCGAATTTCGGACTCTCGCTCGGTTCATCACGATCGACACTTCTCAGACTTGTTTGCCAAACCCAAGCATCTATGGTTCTAGCTCACTGCTTCTTCCGCTCCATGGCTATATCTCTTTTGATTTTGCATATCAAGCTTCTCTTCTTGGCTGCCATAGCTGCTATGCAGTGCATCAGACTGACAGATGAGCTCTCAGATCGCCGTCTTTTCTGGATTGTGCCCTAGTTGCCTGTCCTTCCTATTTTCCGTTCGCACATTCTTGTTGAGCGGTATATCTCCTTCGGACTTCCAACCAGCCACCGCTTTCGATTCATACGATCGCTTCCTGGCCACCCGTGCAGCTTCCTGCCCGTGTTGATTTTTGCAGCATCTGCACTTTGATCTCTGAGGAGTTTCGTCGCAATTTTTGAGCCCTTGGTAAGTTGGCAAAGTTCAAACATCCCCCCCCCTTTTCTTGTTCATGCGATCCTTGCTATCCCCCAAACCCAACCTCTCATCTTGCCGGGGTTCTTCATGGGTTAGTGCCCGTTTTGTCTGAGGTTCCTGTGGCTCAGCAAGAAGATGCCTTTCGTATCCAAGCCCCTGTCCCACGACATCCTTCTCCATATATCGTCTCGCACGGCTACGCAACAGCACGTCTTTTCATATCAACAAGAATGCGCTTGGTGTGTCGGCTCCACCGCCTCCATCTCCCGTAGCATTTATTGCTTCGCGAATCGGGCTGGGCTCGACCCCGGAGATGAGTCGCCGACGTCAAGTGATGACGACTATCATTGGGACCATCACATGTCTTCCACTTCCCCTATCCTGTTTCGGTATCGTACTGCGTTCAGTGACTGCATATTCCTCCGTCTGCTGTTGTTCTTTCACTACATTTTCTCGTATCTGCCAAGCAATGTGTGGGCTTTGCAAAGGGTTGAAGTATAGCATTGACTGGACGGTACCCTCTGGATTCTCTATCGCGGCGTTGCCTGTCAGTCCCAAGGCACTCAGCACTCGTCGAGGCTGGACTGTAGATGCTATCGTCGGTTGTTTCTGGCTTTCCTCTTCAGCCCACCTGGGGTGGCCGGTTGTCTTGGAGAGACAGTCTCTCCACGGCGAGGCTCTAGTACATTAGTACATTGGTGTGGCCTCCGTCGGCTATCCTTGCTTTCCAGATGTTTCATCTACTGTTGTTGACAATTACTGAAGCCGTATCCGTCGGCCAAGTCCGGTCAAGATGTTCACTGGAGGGAGCCTTACCTTTGGTCCCTGCATAGCACTGCTTGGTTCTCCTTGAACATGAAGCTGGTCTCCCCCTTTCTTTCTCTCCACTGGGAAGTCTTGTCTCTTGCACTCTTGCACATAACACACCCTCCCAAGCCTTTTCTCTTGTCGACCTGTGCTTGAGCCGCGGCTGCTTAGTTGTTAGCTGTTGGCCGCCCTGTGCACCATCATCCCAGGCCGCACCCCTACTCAAGCAGTTCAGATGCTTCCGGAATTGTTGCTTGTGAACAGGATCCGGAAGCTTCTCTTGCCGCCCTGTGCTTGAAGCCTTTGCTGCTCAGCCGTTCACTGTTTGTCGCCCTGTGCTTCGGCGTCCTGAGGCCGACTCCCTATTCAGGCCCTATCCCTATTCAAGCTGCAGAGAAGCTTCCGGATCTGTTATCTGCGAAGACAGTATCCGGAAGGTTCTCTCGATGCACTAGCCCTGAACCTCCCACTATTTAAACCCCTCTTCCTTCCTCCCTCTGCCCTTCTTTTTTTTCTCTTCTCCACCATCACCAGTTTTTTGTTCGATTTCCAGATTCAAAAACTGACTTCTCCCATCGAAAGATCCCAACGATTATCTCCAACATCTGCTACCTTGAAGCATCTCGACCTACGACCGTACCTGTTCAATCTACGGGATTTTCCATCATCGAGTGAGTTTATTCTATCGGTCTCTGCCAGACCTCGTCCCTTCTGATCTTTCAAGACGCGTCCTGCGTTTGTTTACCTCTCCCGTGACCCCTCGGTCTTCGGTCCCTTGAATATTTTCCAGTCCTTCATCCCAACCATCCCCTTCTACCCCCTCTTCTCTCTCTTCCTCTTCCCCCAAGACCTTCCACAATCCACATCAATCACGCTACTTCCCACTCTGGCCAACGCGTCCAACGCTCCTAACTTTCCCCTGCCCTGCCCTTCCCCACGTCCTTTCCGCACTTCTCTCGCTTCTTAGAGAGTGCCGACGCCATCTTAGATCATCTCGTCACTCTTCTCTCCACGGCATTCAACCTTCTTTTGCCCTGTTTTGTCTGTTTTATCCCTTTCTTCTGGTCCCCTTGCCCTCTCGGCCCTCTCGAGCCCCAGTCTCTCGAGCAGTATCAAGGCATCCCGAGACGAACAAGAGTACGTAGCTCGTGGCCGTTGTCTCGGACAAGCCAGAGCGCCTTTGTTCTCCGTCCATACTACTTTGCTCTTGGTCTCCTCTTGTTTTCATCCCCGCACCACATCTCACACTCTCTCCATCATGCCCCAGCACCTCTTGAATATCAAGCATCATTTCCTCCGCACCTCCAACCATCGAAGCATTATTTCGCCGGGGCTGTCATCTTCATCCTCGGCAGAACCACGTCTCCTGCCCTTCACTTAGCTGAAAAGTGAGGTGGCTGTGACCAGTTCCGTTCCCCTGGCCCAAAACCTACGGTGCTCCTCGCGCCTTTCTTGTCACTACACATCTCTTCCTTTCTCGGCAATCTCTAGGAGATTTGTCGTGGGCTGTGGGCCCTCGTTCTTGCGTTGATCTGCCTCTCGTCATATCTCTTCCCTTGTTACGACCTTCCTTACCCTTTTCTTAGCTCTTCTCGGGCTTCTTCATCGTTCGTCGTTGCGAGCCGCCTTGCCACGCCTCGAGTCCCGGTTTGCTAACTCGCACTTAGCCATGTCGAACTTTCAGGAGCCTACGAACGGCGGAATTCCACCACAGAATGGAGGTGGCGCCATGAATGGCGCGATGGACACCTCATTCCCCCCGCCGCCTGCCATGGGTAACCAGGGCGGAGACTCTGCGAAGACTCTTTGGTAGGTTTCATTCTTGGACTTGCCAAATCCGATGTACTAATCTCTGCACAGGATGGGTGAGCTTGAACCCTGGATGGACGAGGGCTTCGTGAAAAACGTTTTCTCCACCGTCGCCGGGGAAGATGTGAACGTTAAGGTCATTCGTGATCGGAACTCCGGGTATGTTTTTTGCGCCCTAGCGCAAAGACTACTTTACGCACATAACTAACTGTCTTTTCCATAGTAACGCCGGATACTGCTTCGTGGAGTTCGCCACCCCCGAGGCCGCGAACAAGGCTCTGGCGTTGAACGGGAACGCGGTCCCCAACTCGTCTCGCGCGTTCAAATTGAACTGGGCGTCCGGAGGCGGTCTGATCGACCGTCGGTGAGTCATCATAGACAACGCCGTCCTCTGTTCGTAGCTAACCACAATACGTTCTAGTGATGATCGAGGACCGGAGTTCTCCATCTTCGTCGGGGACCTAGGTCCCGAGGTAAACGAGTTTGTTCTCGTCTCCCTATTCCAGGCGCGTTTCCCGTCGTGCAAATCGGCAAAGATCATGACGGACGCCGTTACTGGACAGTCTCGCGGGTACGGATTCGTTCGCTTCTCGGACGAAGGCGATCAGCAGCGGGCCCTGCTCGAAATGCAGGGTGTCTACTGTGGAAACCGGCCGATGCGGATTTCCACCGCAACCCCGAAGTCACGGTACGTCTAGTGGCCCTATTACTTATTTCTTGCTGTCACGTACTGACCGGATAGTAGAAACCACGGCTTCCAGCAGCAGGGGCAGCAACAAATGCTGCCGCCCCCTGTTCAGCCTGGTATGAACTACATGGGCATGGGCGGCCCGCAGTTCTACCAGCAGGGGTTCAATCCTATGGCGGCGCAACCCATGAATCAATTCACCGATCCCAATAACACAACTGTGTTTGTCGGTGGCTTGTCGGGCTACGTTACTGAAGACGAGCTTCGCTCGTTTTTCCAGGGCTTTGGGGAGATCACCTACGTGAAGATCCCCCCTGGAAAGGGTTGCGGGTTTGTACAATTCGTACACCGGCACGCGGCAGAGATGGCCATAAACCAAATGCAAGGTTACCCCATCGGTAACTCTCGTGTTCGGCTGTCTTGGGGCCGTAGCCAGAATAACTCTGGCGTCGGCACGCCTTACCGGCCCGCACCTCCCCCGCCGCACTACGGCATGGGACCGCAGGGTGGTCCGGGTGGTCCTTACGGCCCTCACCACTTCGGTGGTAACCCCGCGCAAGGCCCTCCTCCTGGCGGCATGCAGGTGAGTAACGACTTTCCCACAACGAAGCTGACACGATACTAATCAAGCCTCTGTTGAACAGTAAGGGCTCGTTTCACTGTCCAGTTACCACATGGCAACGGAGTTCTCAGGCTGGAGTATAGGCTGGTAAAAGTCTTCTGGCTTTTGGTTTCCTTTTTCGCTTTCGTCACGAACTTCTTGCACGTGGAACTGTCTTTATGAGCGGGACGGATGGATGTACGAGGCGTTTTCGGTTCCTACCCACCGCTCCCTACAGGTTCCTTTCCTTTGTCGTTAATTTACGTTCTTGTTATGCAGTCACGAACCCGATGCTTGCAAGTTTTGGTGCTCTAGTCAGATCTGTTTCTTTGATGAAACCTGCTTCTGCCTGCGTGATGCGTGCCATTATGTTCATATTTATGCTCCATGTGCCGGCCCTGATCTTGATCTATCACTGCTAATCTTTTCGCTGTGGCGCTGGTTTTCCACACTTGGATATGCACTGTTCCAGTTGTCCGCGACTTTCGTGATGCATCTGCCGCATGCTTGGTGATGGTTCTCTGCTGGGCCGCGGATCTCGTGATGTCTTGAACTTGGTCTAGTTGCCCCGAGCTACTATTTCAGGCTTCTCTAGGGTTCTTGCTCCTGAGATTATGTTTGTTGACAAAAAGTAGGGGGTTTTCGACCTGCATCGAGAGTGTGGGCGGTGATGGGCCCCGGGAATGGAAATGGCCGTGAGCAGGTGAGTATCTTTGGGGATGTCTTCGTCTGGTATCATGTATGTGGTAGTGGATGTAGGAAGCAGGGTAGGCATGTAGGTATAGGATAGATTTGGTTTGTCTGGGTGTTTATGCGCGTCTGGGGAAAGTTTACATGGGCGAACGGGTAAGTATCATGCGCGGTATGGGAGTATCACGAGAGTATCACGGTGTTTCGGTAAGTAGATCCGTGTCGGGATGTTGGGAGTGTGATATCTGGATGCTATGGCTGTGTATGATAGATGCTCTTCAAGACGCGAGGTATGAAAGAGCTGTGTTTGTGCTGTGCCATGATGTCCCTCGGCTTCATCCTGTGATTATTCTGTGACCGGGAGATGTGTCGCGGAAGTACCTAATGCTGAATGAAGTTGTCCTTGGTTCTTCTACTCTAGGTATAGGGATGGGGTAGGCTGGGGGGGAGCGGGAATCGAGTCTAGATCGCCGTGGGGAGCCCCGGGGGCTGGAGGGAATGGGAGAGAAGGAGCTTCGTGGAGGGCGAGGAGGGACGGTATTCGCCGGAGATCGCTGGCGTCGAGTCGAGTCCGATCGAGCGTGGGAGGGAGGGAGGGAGGAGAGTCGTGCCGGGTCGGGAATGCGCGTTCGGATTCGGATCGGGTTAGGACGTGGTTACTAGGGAATGGGGAGAGAGTAATACTCTCTGGTTAGAAAGCGGTATTTTCCAAACACGGTATCGCGAGATGGGATTTTATTCACAGACCTGGCGTCAAGAGGCAGAGGGGAGGGGGGGCCTCTGCCGGGGTTGGAAGGGGCGGACCTAGGAAGGAGAAGCGGTGGTGTAGGGAGCTCTGGGAAGCGGCGCTCTCGGTGTGTCTGAATCCCTTCTCTTCTCTTCCTTGCTCTCGAGGTGAGATCGTGGGACTTCGCTCCTCGGATCGGTTTGTCGCGTAGTTTGGGGGGGGGAAAGACATGTTCGCGGTGGCTTCGTGGTAGGCTCGGCTCGGTTTAGGGGGGGGGGGGGGGGGTGGTGGGGGGGGGGGGGGGGGGGGGGGGGGGGGGGGGGGGGAAAGTGAAGGGGCGGAGGCGACGGTGACCCGTGGGGTAGGGTAGGTTGATTGGTGAGGATAGGAGGCATCGTGGGCTTCATTCTCGGGTCTTTCCGTAACTGAATGGGGAGGGAAGCAGGCGTGGACGATGGCTCTGTAGCTGGCTCGGCTCGGGGCTTTGGGAGGAAAGTGCAGAAGGGGCGGGGGCGGAGGCAGCCCGTGGAATAGTGCAGGCACTGCCCATGATAGTAGGAGACATCGCGGGGCTTCATTCTCGGGTCTTGTCGTAGCTTGACCTTGAGGGAGGGAGACGTCGGCGGTGGCTTCATGGCAAGCTCGGCTTTTTTAACGGGTAAAGGCGTGGGGGCGTGGAGGTGCCGGTAGCCCCTGGGACAGTGTAGCAACCGTCGACGATGGTGGGCGGGTTCTCGGGCGCATGGGCTTCATTCTCGGACCATTTGGAGCTCGGCTCAGGGGGAGAGACGTGTACGGGGGGTCATGGCGCGCTCGATTGTAGGATCTGGGTGCAAACCATGGAGGAAGGAGGAGTCAAAATCCAGGGGCATCGTGGAGGAACAGTCGGCGATGCTAGGCGTGTTCGTGGGCTTCATCATCATCAGGAAACTTCATAGCTGGTTTGGTGGGAAGGTATACGGACATGGGGCTTACGATAGGCTTGGTTACAGGCTCTAGGTGTGAACGATACGGGGTTGGACAGACCGTGTAGACATGGCTCACGAAGGCGGGCGAGCTTGTAGCCTTCACCAGCTTGATCCGGAGGGAGAGAGACGTATGGACTAGGACTCGTGGTACAATCTTTTGGCACCTGGCACAAACAGTCAAGGGGCGGAGGTGCCGATGGCCAGAGGGCTCATCAAGTCACAGTTCATGACGGTGGGCAAAGGGGAGAACATAAAGCATAGCATTGCACTAAGCAGCTCTGGGGGGTGGATGGAAGAGGGATAGGCCCACGCAACTGTGCTGATATGGCGAGCTCGAGAGTTGCCTGTCAAGCTACGGCGGTGACCCTACGATATCGGTCTCTGCCTCATTCCGGAACCCTGAGATGGCATCGAGATGGGGATAGATTCACTGGTGACTGCCGAGAGAGTAGAAAGCATCGAGTGGTGGGATGCAAACATCGGACTCAAAGTGGTGGTGGAGGACTTGAAAACACCAGGCAAAGATTCCCAGATCATAGACAGCTTCTATCTAGGATGGAAAAGAGTCCTTCACTGAACGGGTATGGAATTGTGATTGCACCGATACAATTGGTAGGACCAAAGGTAACACCGGAGGCGGAGACGGGCCCAGGGGGTTGTCTTGGGTCATGGAGGATGCCTCGGTCTAGTGGAGGACGCTGGTCCGGGCAAATATTCTGGTGATCTCGAAAGCAGAGTCCTAAAGGGCTTGAGATGCAGGTCCTCACGATCTATTACCAAATCACAAACATACTGTTGAGAGATGGAGAGACATCACTTCAGGTCTAAGTGCTTGACTTCGATTTAGGTAAGTTGGGGGAGCAGCACCGAAGTCCATCATTGGGAATAGCGTCAAGTACCGGTACATGCGCTATATCAGCCTACTACAGGACTCGGCGCTGGAAACGGTTTATTGATGGGGATTGGTATGGTTGTTGGGAGGCTGAGCAAACGGCATTTGGGGCAGGAATGGCGGATCGACAGCATCATCTCCAGGCCTGTGCAATTCTAGAATACATTACTCGAGCGGAGTCATCGATTGGAGAGCATATCCGGACTGACATTGCCTTCCTTGACAGCTCCAGCAAGATGTGCTTTGTTGTGGCCGGCGAGGAACACCCCAAGCCAACACGATGGTGAAAGGGGCTCTTGGGGATATGGTATATCTTTAATGATGTTGTGGCTCTCCATGGGGAAGGGCAAGCTTAGCAGGTATGCCTGCCGCAGTGGTGTGTGGCTGTCGTAGGAATTGTGTTTGGCTCAAGGAGTGGACTTCTCGTAAAATACAAAGGCCATGATGAACTTGGGCGGAATTACTATTTTCAATGGGGGCAGGATGCTTTTGTCCTTCAAGAAAACATCCCCAAAGGGCGGATGTGTTGGGACATAAAGGGTCAGATCTATTTTCTGGAAATCCGGGCCTTGTCCATTATTTTCTACCTCATCAAATCACTGACCTTCTCCGCTGGATCCCCAAAAGCCAGTCGTCACTTTCCTCAAACTCCAGACCCTGGGCCTTCACTAACTGCATAAGATAGCCTCTCACTTTGGGCAGCATCGAGATGCGGACTTCTTCATCATCAAACTCCACTCTCTGAGGCCTTTCGAGACATCATGGCACACAGCCGGCAGTGGACTGGCTACTTCAGATCGAGATCCTATCCTCATCATCATGGACAGCCTGGGAAGAGCTCAGATCTTGGAAATCCAAGGAACGGAAGCCGGCCGGGTTAGAAAGCCGAATGGTCATCGGTAAGAGCTGTGCCACCGCGTTCATCGTTGAAACTGACAATTCTACGACTCATTAAGGCTTGCGTTACCCTCACAGAGATTCCATCACTTCCAAGATACGCAGTCACCGAATCACATGCGCTATTCAACGAGCTAGAGACGAAGAAGTACGATGGAGGCAGAGAAATGGCAAGATAAGAGGAATCTTGAGAGACGGGCGGTGCAGAGAGCGGTCATAACTTGCGTTTGGACAGCGGGAATTCAGGAAGACACCTCTGGCGGATGTGAGTGATTCCATGGAAAGCATTTTCAATTTTGGGCTGGTTTCTATGAGCTCTGTGGGTGCTGGTGCATATTTGACCTCGGAGAGAATGGTGGTCCTCGGCAGCCTTATCACAGAGAGCAGCCTCCCCGGGCTGAATCACGGATTACAAATACCTGCGATTTGCTTCATGGATACCACGTTTGGAACGGAGACGGATCGAGTTCTTCCGGAAACAAAAGCTCTGAGTGGCTGGGTGTCCAATTTCCCACGTACCGAGAGCGAGAGCATCTGGAATTAGCCGCCGCCTCCCAACTCGGAATTCATCCAAATGATCGCCCTTTGCACATACCCCAATCGTCTATACAGCCCCACGGAGCCAAGAAATCAGCTGCCGGCGTTGCATTGTTCGAGGAGTGGCTGCCCTGGCGGGATGGGAGAGTGGCACTTCGCGATGGACACGAGGACCGTGCCTGTATCGGCTTGATGAGAACTAATCAATACCGGGCTTAGGCGAGGAAGCTTGTCAATCTACTACCACCGGATGCCTCCAGTCCCGTTGGATAGATACAATGATGGCGCCGACAGACCCGAGGAAAGCATGAGGAGCTATCGTGCCCATATATATGCAAGGTGGTGCCTTGGCAGGGGACGCTTCGACTTGACAGCCTCACTCACCTCCATCGATAGAGCCCACTGCAGTGCGATACAAAGCAAGAAAGAAAGCAGGACGACCGATACGATACACTCCAAACTCCTCCGTCGATAAACGGCTGCATCAAGATGCTCTTCCCCTCGATCCTCGCGCTCGTCACCGTAGCGTCGGCTCACGGAGTCGTGCAGAAGCCGCACCCGCGCACCCCGGGTGCCGAGACATCCACCGCCTGCGGCAAGGTCCTCACAGACTTCTACAAGGCCGACAACACGTCCTACCCGGAGGCCCTGGTGCGCTCGCACCCGACCTTCAAGCCCGCGACGTCCAGCTGCAACCCTTACCTCTGCCGCGGCTACCAGTTCGCCGACAACACGGCCAACGTGTACTCGTACAAGGCCGGCGAGAAGGTCGACTTCAGCGTCTACATCCGCATCCCGCACGTCGGCAACGCCAACGTCAGCGTCGTCGACGCCAAGGCCAACAAGGTCATCGGCGAGCCGCTCAAGTCGTGGCCCAGCGGGTACGCCGACGGCAAGCAGTTCCCCAACCTGCCCAAGGACCAGACGCAGTTCAGCGTCACCATCCCCGATCTCTCGGGCAAGTGCGCGAGCCCTGGAGACTGTGTAAGTGACCTCTCGTACTGCTTACATGACGCTCTGTGCTATCTGAATATGATGGAAGCTAATGGTTGGATACGCTGTCTATACAGGTTATCCAGTGGTACTGGTTCGGACAGGGTCAGACCTACGAGGACTGCGTCGACTTTACTTTCGGTAGCGCCCCGGCTACTTCTATGAGGAGAGGCTCCAGGATTGCGGCTTGAGAGATTATGCAGAACGGAGTGATGGGTATCTTTGGATGTTGATACGCTAGGGGCCTCGGTTGTGTATCTTAGGACTGTCCGATACATTGCCAGCACGGCCAAATGATGACAATCCCGCGAATTACTACAGATCCCAAACTTACAGTCTCACCGGTCCACCAGAAGTTCAAGCAGAGAAACAGCGCAACTTGCCTACAACAGCAACTAGAGTCTGGAGGTGGAGAAGGAAGGCCCGATTCTTGCAGAGAGGAGAGCCGGTATATCACAGGCAAAGGCTTGACTTGAACCAATCACTGCATTCCAACATGGACACCCCTCACCATTGGGGTTCTCATCGTGTCAACCAAGAGGTCGGAGGTGGCGGAGTTCGGGGAGAACCACATTGGTAGCTTCCGATCGGTCCGTAACAAGAGTCTAGGCATCGTATATACCAGTTCACCGAACCTCATGGGCGGTGGATGACGCAAGGGTATAGAAACCGGCGGCCGGAGAAGCACCGAAGGCAAGAAACTTCACGCTACATTGTGTCTGCCGATCGATCATCCTTCAGCCCACACACGCGACTGCGGGGCCCCGCATAGCACCGGCACTCGATAAAGATCTTGAAACAGCCATCTCTGGGAAAACACCAAGACTGACGTTGAGAATGAGTGACAATAAGGGCAAAGAAAGTGCAAGATTTGTCGTCGGAGCGAGTCGATGATATGGGGACCCGTTACGGTGCTTTACTACGTTAGGAAGCTGGAGAAGGATTGCTTGTGCCTCATTTCTGCATCTCAGGGTCGCACTCCAACTAGAGCATCTCGGATGACGATCATTACTTCAGTGGCTGCGCTACTTGTACTAACCAGGTCCAGGGCGGAATCTGTACGCTGACCGGCCCATTACCCACTTTGGAGGTCTACATTAAAGACGAAGCATACTGCTGTGCTCAAGTCTCGCGCTCGTATACGGGCTCGATAGGTTTGTCCAGTTCTATTTAGGAATCCATTGGGCCGAGAGTTCTGCAGCGTGCCTCATAGTTGACACAATATGAGACACATCATGAATCTCAGATTCATATTGTGTTGCGCGTTGTCCCTGTCAGTTGGGCATTGCAACGCAAGAAAATGCACAACTAGACGTACCACTGGCTATCCCACGAGCACGAGCACGAGCGTCAGCAGCGCGGCGCCAACATGCAGCGCTGCACCGAGCACGCTGCACCTCAAGTCTTCGCCCTACGAGAACTACTTCATCTCCGACTGCCATTCGTCTGGCCAGGTGGTAGTCACATCGCCGGCCGAGGGGGACGACTTCACTGTCATCGCTCCGCGGCTCTTGTTCGCATGGCCGGCGGGCAACAGTGGCGCGGCTTTGCTCTTCGTGCCGGACAACGGCATCAACGGCAGCCTGACCATTGAGGCGGTCAACTCTAGCACTGGCACGCCTTTGGGGCCGATATACAATCCCGCGCCTGCTGGGGCCAAGAACCAGAACGCCAGCTACGGCATCAGCACGCATGTCAGCCTCAACTCCACCGCGCGCCTGAACGTCGCTATCCTTGGCAGCATCCGGACCATCCGCGACTACGTGGAGGGGCCGAGCATCCTGCGGCCGGAGATACAGTCAGCGCTCAAGTTTGAGGAGAACAAGGACGGAGGCGTGACCATTAGCCGGTTGTGGCTGGACAACACAACCACTACGACTGTCGTCTTCTCGCCCGCCTCGGACAACATCAAGGCCAAGGTGAACAATCAGTCGGTGACATTCGCAGCCGGGACCTGGGCTGTCAACGCCTCGTTCAACTACCCGCAGCCGACGCAACTTGGCGACAAGCAGGTTCTGCAGCCCGAGTCCTACAACCTCATTGAGCGGAACGCAACACTGGTGGAGTCCCTTGCGTTTCTTTCGTACACGGATAAGCTGCTGGCCGGCGCTTGGAGGTTTCTCACCTACTTTGGGCGCGACTCGATGATCGCAACGTTGTTAATGGAGCCGGTTCTCAGTCAAGGCAAAGGAGGTGCGATCGAGGCGGTCATAGCTGCGGTGCTGGATCGTGTGAACAGTTCTGATGGTTCTGTTTGCCATGAGGAGACCATAGGGTTGGTTCTTGAAGTCCTCTCTTCTTCAGTATCGGGCACTTACTCACGCGTCTCAGTGATTACTCGACATGGCAGAATCTCCGAGAGAGCATTCCAAGCACAGCACCTCAATGCGATTACAAAATGGTGAGCACTGATAGTTCTCGTGATATTCTCCGGGGATCTTTAACTGACATCCTCTCGCAGATCGATACGGACTTTTACTTGCCCATCCTAATGAATCAGTATTTTGTTCTCAACCCAAATGGATCAGCCCGGACATCAGAATTCATGAAGACAGGCGTCACGTTCTTTCCGAAAGACGCAAACCTCACATACGGAGACATGGCGCTCAAGACGGCAGAGAGGATCATGGAGAAGGCGGCCCCCTTTGCCAGTAATCAGTCGATTGCAAACCTCATCCACCTGAAGGACGGCCAGTCTGTCGGGCAGTGGAGGGACAGCGGCTCCGGGCTTGGCGGTGGCCGGATCCCGTTCGATGTGAACACTGCGCTTGTCCCCGCGGCACTTCGAGCTATAGGCTCGCTCTCGCGCCACGGCTTCTTCAATCACTCGGACTGGAAAGAGACAGCAGACGCATACGCCAAGGTGTGGGAGGACAAGACGCTAGACTTCTTCACGGTGACGGTGCCCGAGTCCGACGCCAAGGACCTGCTCAAGGCCTACGTCAACGCGTCTTCGTTTGCCGGGTCGGACCAGTCCGGCTCCATCGACGGGGACGTCGACTTCTACGCGCTCGCGCTGGACGGCAGCAACGACCAGGCCAAGGTCAAGGTCATGCACTCCGACACGTCCTTCCGGCTCTTCCTCGTCAACGGCACCGACGACGCGCAGCTGTCGGCCTTCCTCAACGACACGGCCAAGTCGATCGTCCGCACGTTCCCGGCCGGGCTGCTGACGGACGTGGGCATGCTGGTGGCGAACCCGGCCTTCACGGGAGTCGCGTCGGACGCCAAGACCTTCGCCACGAACGCATACCACGGCACGGTCGTGTGGGGGTGGCAGCTCGCCATGATGGCCCGAGGCCTCGAGCTCCAGATGTCGCGGTGCGGCGGCAACAGCGGCTCGGCATCCGCTGCGCCGCCTGCGTTTTGCGGCGACAAGGCTGTCTACAACAATGTGGTCGCCGCGTACAACAAGCTCTGGGACGTGATCGAGGCGAACAGCGAGCACTTGAGCAACGAGGTGTGGTCGTGGACCTACGGGGACAACAAGTTCAAGTACATCGAGCTCGGTGCTCTGCCGCCTCCGCCGGGATCCAACCCTGTCGAGTCGGATATTGTGCAGCTTTGGAGCCTGACCTTTTTGGCTGTGAAGCGCAATGGCAAGTTTCGGGATTCTTGACCAGGAGCGAACGTGATATTATGGGATGAGACGCTGCTCGGGAAGGGAGTATTATGAGTATCCGCCGAGATGATGAAAAGGAACTATAGGCCTGACGAGTAATTAACGCCAATATTTCATTGCAATACACCCTCACTAAACCAGTTCTCTCTCAAAAACACCACGCTAGCACTACTATCTTTCCAGAGTTTTCGGAAAGTCCAAACAAGCTCATGATATGATCTCCAATGTATCAAGATACATTTCCCAATTCTGGCCACAGCATGTCGAGATCAGCCCAAAAGTCCACGCCCAAAGTCGCATCCAACAGAGAGCCATCCGTCCCCAGAGTGTCCAGTCCACCAATACCCGACAAACCACTCGTCTGGAATGCATCATCCAATGGCATCTCGAGGCTCAATGTCGGCCACACGCTGTTCATCGCCACTGCAACCTCCTCGGAACCACCCGACGCGCTGCCAATATTCGACCTTTCGAACCACCACTTCGAGACGAGGTAGTCCACCTTGGCACAATGACTCCGCATGATGGTGGCTGCGCTGGCTGCTGTGGCAAAGCTCGCTCCAAAGGTGTCGAAGACGGCCAGGGCCTGATCAATGGCGGCACGGGCCTGTGCCGCGCGCGGGTCTCCCGGGTACAAGAGCGCGAAGCCGACGAGCGTCAGGGCGGCGCCCCAGGTCCACTGGAACGCCTCGTGCCAGCCGTTGAGGATATCCGTGCTCTCGAGCACTTGGTGCGTGATGTGGACGACTTCCATCGCGTGCGAGCAGCACTTCATCGCACCGGCTTCGGCGCAGCTCTCGGCCGGATGAGGCGTCTGGCCGAAGTAGAGGAAAGGGCGGAACAGGTTGGTGCAGAGGTGGTGATATGTGAGTTCGAGGAGAACGCGCTGGCGCTGGAGCCACAGAGGGGCGTACTGCTCGAGGATCAGGGTCGAGCCTCCTGTGGAAAAGGGCCTGCTGGCCGGCTGTCGAGGGATCGTCAGCGCACGAGGCACATTATCTGTCCACTCCTTGAAGAGAAGCTCTGCATAGTTGAAAAGGTTATCTGCCAGGTCTTCCATGATCTGGGGGTGATCCCAGATCGCCTGACCTCCCCCAAGACGCAAGTCTCTGTCGTAAAACGCGCTGTAGGCATCGCGCACGACCATGTAGAGCTTGGTATTCTGCAAGTTGAAACTCAACCAGGTGGCGTCGTGCCCGATCGGTGCAAACATGGAGCCGGACATTCGTGCTGCCGCCGCATCGTCTCTCGGAAGTTCGGGCATGATATGACTCTCGACTGGGACGGAGAATGGTCGGCCAAGCTTCATTCCGATCTTGCTGTCCAGAACGCAGACTGCCCACCAAAGCCGACGGCGTAGCTGTTGTTCTGCTTCCGGCATACTCAGAGGCGTGTTTTGATGTAATCCAAGCATGTACGCGGTACGGACGGCAGAGGCACATGCGCTGTCTACCATGTTGTGGAAAGAGCCTCCACATAGAAAGGTGGCGCGTAGCAGATGCGCCTGCAGGGTCGCGATAGTAGGGCTTTCGGATTCGGAAGCTAGCAAGAGTTGGCCGCGTCGATAATGCCATCTGCCAGCCACGGTAGGATCTTTATCTTCGACGATGCTACCTTGACGGTCACACGGGAGAGACGACAGGCCGTTCTGCATACACATTGCCACCACGATATCGACCAGTGCAGATGGGTCGCGAGAGGTCGTGCTCGATGCGAAAAGAGACTGATAGTGCTGCTTGAACTGTGCCTCGTCAAGAACTGCGAAGAGAGAAGTATGGTACGACTCCCAAAAGAGACTGAGGAAGTACTCCTCCTGCACCGGCTTGAGATACACGCCTTCGGAAGCATCGACGGAGCCAGTGGCCAGAGACAGAGCCGTGGAAGAGGGCTTTCGGACGGGGTTTTCGACAATATCCCCACTACTGACCGATACGGGAAGGATATCAGTGGCTAGCTGGTATTGCTGAAGAGCTGAGTTTAGGTAGGTATTGAGTCGAAAGATGTAATAGTAGAGCGAGGACGGGCCGAACCAAGAGCTGTGTGGAGAGCGCGGCGGGCGTATATGGACACCGTCCCAGAACCTTTTCTGACTGTAACCATGATTCGAATTCTCGTTTTGCGAAGAAGCCGGAGAGGATGCCGGTGATTCCAAGGTTGGTGTCGGTTGTTGCTGTTGCTCGACGGCGATCCTCCTGCTGCGCTCTTGTTGGAGCTCTTCCTCCAGGCTGCGCACCTTTTGCTTCAGGCGGGCTATCTCTTCCTCGCTCGACAAGCTGTCGGCCAGCCTGCTGCACTGTCTGTCATTGGTTCGGCAATTCAAGCACGGCGCATCGTCGTCGCATTTGATGCGGTATCTGCGACATTGCTCGCAGGCCCGCGCGACCTGCCGCCTCTTTTTCCTATACCGCAGTGGATCTCTAGGCTCGGAGAGCTCCAGATTACTGTTCAATGCAGACATCGCTGCAATGTCGGAAGGGCTAAGAGGTGAGATGTCGTCAATTTCTGCGCGTCAATCCGGAGTTCAGAGGAAGGATGGCGATCGAGAGTGGAGTTTGTCAGCATCCAGACACTTCATGGAGAAGCTCCTATTCGTCCATTCCTACCGTTGATGGCAGCTAAGCCGGATCCGGTGTCGATGCAAACCCCCCGCGCCAAGAAGGTGCAAGGGAATGCTTCACTCGGCCAGTCACAGCAACTCCTGGCAACTCCTCTTACTAATTGCCTCTTATATTCAAGATTTCAAGATATCGAATGCTGACATATGAAGTTTAGATATCCAGTTCCCTCTCATTCGTGTCACTAAAGCAGATAGCATTGAGCTTGCGTCTATTTAAGAAGTTCAGCATGCCCTCGAGATGGCCAGAAATATCTACAATCCTCATCGCAATGAAAAGCACCAGTCAGGCAAGACGACATTTACACAGGATCCGATAATTGATCAGGCCAACTCTTCATCTTTTCACAGACAGCATTGGCGTTACCTTATATCACGAAGGTATCACTATGTCCCCTCCCCGCCGTGCCCTCATCGCTGTCACCTCGGCCCACGCCACCCTCAACGTCTTCGACAGCAAGGAGACCACGGGCCTTTTCATCTCCGAGGCCCTGCACCCCTACCGCGTCCTCACCGCCGCCGGCTTCGAGGTCGACTTCGCCTCCGAGCTGGGGACCTACACCCCGGACTGGCTCTCGCAGCAGCCCGACTTCCTGCACGGCGAGGACCTCGCCATCTGGCAGGACACGGGCAGCGAGTTCCGCAGGAAGCTGGACGGCATGCCCAAGGCCGCCGACGTCGCCGACGGGGCCAAGTACGGGCTGTTCTACGCGTCGGCGGGCCACGCCGCGCTCATCGACTACCCGACGGCCACCAACCTGCAGCGCATCGCGGCGCAGGTTTGGGCCGCCGGCGGCGTCGTGGCGTCCGTCTGCCACGGGCCGGCGCTCTTTGCCAACGTGGTCGACCCAGCCACGGGTGAGCCGCTCATCAAGGGGAAGCGGATCACGGGCTTCACGACCGAAGCCGAGATCACGATGAAGGTGATGGACGACCTGCGCGGGCTCCACCTCGAGATGGTGGACGAGGTCGCTGCCCGGCTTGGGGCGAAGTGTGAGTTGACAGCCTTTTTCCTTGTCACTAACTCGGTTGCGTCTTTCGGAATGAACTTGCTGACATGAGACTTTTCTATCCAGATGAGCGAGCACAGGGGATCTGGGACGACTTCCATATCGTTGACGGGCGGCTGGTCTCGGGCCAGAACCCGCAGTCGGCGACTTCGACTGCAAAGGCTGCTGTGGAAGTCTTTGAAAAGCTCTAGGTATACTCTACTACAGGGTCCTCTGAAGCTGAGGTATGATATGTCGGTCAGGTACATAGTTAATGGGATCAACACAACTTCAACATTTCGAATGCCGTCGATCACACAAATCTCCTGGTGTCACCACGACGTTGTGCAAGTCTAGTACGATGCCACTCCAATCCCAATGACCTTTCCACCACCAGAATGGAAGAATAGCGCCAGCTGCTTTGCAAGAAGATTCGCAGCCCTGTACGTCACAAGATTGCGACGGTCTGCGTCAGCCATGTCCATGCGTTGAGGTGGCTGCCTACATTACTGTGGACTGTTCTCAAATGCAAGAAAAAGACCAGAGCTATGACTCTTCCTGCACATCCCACGCTGTAAGCGACGCGTCCGGCGGACGGATTACGTCTAGCAGCGGCGGCTAATGATGAAAAAGGCAGGTCGAGTGTCAGCGTTGACGCAACAGCAGCGGGATTGCTCCGACACAACCCCACAAATATCCCTAGTGGACTCCGAAGCCGAACTCCTTCAATGTTATCATCATACGCAACGCTTGAGAGTTAAGACGACGGTTGACCCTGGCGACTGATCTTGCTACTTGCTCGACCACGTCTTGAGTTCAACAGCAATGACCGCAAGGCTTGGGACTCAGCAAAGAGCACCATGGTCGACACTCAACCTGATTGTGGCGATGGGCTCTTCGGACCGGTGGTGTTCTCCTCCTGCCGGGGAGGCTTCGACTTCACATGTGAGTCTCTCAAAAAGATGCATAGAACTCCAAGAGGTATTCTGACGCCGGTCCAGTATTGTTCGAGCAAAGTATATTGACGGTGACTCCCGCGGCATGCTTTATTGTACTCGCGATTCCGCGCCTCGCTGTGTTGGCGAGGAGACCTGACAAGGTCGACCGCACAGCTCTCCATGGTGCCAAGATTGTATGTAGCAGGCTCCAACACACTAAGGACACTCGCTGACCCCATGATATAGGCTGCCTCTTTGGCTTTCACGATATTGCAACTCGTTGTTCTCACCCTGGTTGCTCAAAGACAAGTTCTATCGCAGAAATTCGCCATAACGGCTGGCGTGCTTGACCTGATAGTCGGCATTACTATCGTGGCATTGAGCCATTTCGAGCATGTCAAATCCATCCGGCCTTCATTCTTGATATTTCTATACTTGTTATTATCCCTCCTCTTTGATGCCGCTTACCTTAGAACTCAGTGGCTGGTAGCTTCTGGCAAAGCGTTGGCCGGGGTCATGACCGCCTCCCTTGTGGTCAAGATTGTCCTCTTGGTTTTGGAGTCTATTGAGAAGAGAGACATGTTGAAGCAGAGTGAAAAGCGACAAGGCCTTTCCTCCGAGAGTACCAGCGGGCCCATCACGCGTGGCTTCTTTGCCTGGCTCAATGGTCTATTGAGACAGGGGTTTGCCACCTTTCTTACTCCCGAAAGACTTCCCTCTATATATGAGAAGCTGGCGGCCGACAGAGTCCATTCGCGCTTTGATGAGGTGTGGAACCAGGGTAAGGACTCTAAGAAGTCTCCTCAGTCAACGTACTACTATTAACCAGGCTTTCCAGCTTCACAACAGCACAAACACTCTCTGTTCTTTGCAGTACTGAGATGCTTGAAATGGGATATCGCGGCTGTGGTCCCGCCTGGACTGGGCGTCATCGCAGCATCCACCGTCCAGCCTTTCCTCATATCCAAAGCTGTGCTTTTTGTCGAAAGCCGTGGCGAAGCGGCCAATCCAAACAATGGCTACGGCCTAATCGGAGCTACTGCGCTGATATTTATCACCTATGCGGTACGAGTATCTCTGATCTAGTTGCCTCCATCCACCGCTGGCTTACTAAGAATGGGGTAGATTTGCAGGTCGTGGTTTGATCACGTCGGCTACAGAGCGACGACAATGCTTCGCAGCGGGATGATCTCCCTGATCTACCAGAAGATGATGGTCCTGCCTCTGGGCAACGTCAGCGAGTCTGGTGCCATGTCTATCATGGGAGCCGACGTCGAAACTCTGGCCGAGACATTTCACATGGTCATTTGCGACACTTGGTCGTCCACCTTGCAACTCGCCATAGCTATCTGGCTGCTCGCCAAGCAGATTGGCGCGGTCTGTATTGCTCCGCTGATAGTGTCTGTTGGTAAGTCTGATGCTCACCCGTCTCCATGGTGGGCACAGGAGGGCTAAACGGTGAAGTCTAGCGTGCACTGGTGTTACCATGTATATGGGGAAATACATGACGCTGCGCCAGAAGAAATGGCTCGAGGCAATCCAGAAGCGAGTCAACTTTACCACCGAGGTCTTGGGCTCCGTCAAGAGCGTCAAGATGCTCGGCCTTACCGATACGATGTCGAGGATCATTTCGACCCTGCGGACTGCCGAAGTCAAATGCACAAAGAGTTATCGGTATATGTACGGCATCAATATCTGCATTCGTAAGCAGCCAAACCAAGCCACTCTTGATCTCGTGCGAGTTGCTAATGTCCCATTACTGCTCATAGTGAACGGCCAGGTGATAGTCTGTCAGACCCTGACATTCACCGCGTATGCCATCGCAGCCAAGCTCCAAGGCACCAAGTCTCTTTCGGTGAACCAGGCGATCACTTCGCTGTCCATTCTCAACCTGGTCGTGTTTCCTCTGGCGGTGTTGATTGCCGCACTGCCCCGAGTGTTCAGTGCATTCGGGTGCCTGCACAGGATCCAAGACTTCTTGATGCAGGAATCGCTGCGGGAGCGGAGGACTGCTCTGGAGAATAGGCGCCAGAGCTCGAGTGATCTGTCTCTGTTCAACCAAGATTGTGGGACACAACTCCAGACGATTCCACGCGAAGATGAGACCTCGGCCAAGGAAGCTGTCGCGATCACTCTTAGGCATTGCAAGCTCGGCTGGACACCGACTTCTTCCACTGAAAGAGGTATCGATATCACGTTCCCTCGCACCGCCGGAGGCTGGCTGGCGATGGTTGTTGGTCCCGTAGGATGCGGGAAATCGACATTCCTGAAAGGCCTCCTCGGCGAGACAACGCAGCTCGATGGGGAAATGCGGATCTCGAACTTTGACGTGGCGTTCTGCGACCAGTCGGCATGGATCATCAATGGCACGATACGGGAGAACATCATCGCGCAGTCGGGATTGTTGGACGAAGAATGGTACTCGTCGGTAGTCTATGCTTGCGACCTGGACACCGACTTTCAACAGCTACCTCGAGGAGATGCAACACTGGTCGGCAGCAAGGGCGTCAAGTTGAGCGGGGGACAAAAGCAGCGCATTGTAAGGGAGTTACAGCGAGGCGGGGAAGTGAATTCACTACTGACATCCACACCAGGCCATTGCCAGGGCGGTCTACTCTCGGAAAAGGATTGCGATTTTCGACGATGTCTTTAGCGCACTCGACAAACTCACGGAGCAAAAGGTATTCGATCGCGTCTTCGGCCACAATGGCCTGCTTCGTCGAGTCAGATGCACGGTCATCTTGTCGACGCATAGTAGTAGGTCTTTATTCTCCTATCAGGCACCCCGAACGGTTACTCATCGGCACATAGTATCACGGCTGCCAGAGGCAGACGCAATTATTGCCCTAGGCCCTAATGGCAAGGTTGTAGAGCAAGGACATTACAATGAGCTGAAGAGCTACAGCGGCTACGTTGCAAATCTGGACGTCTCTACGGCCGGCACACAGAAGTCTGTCGATGAACCTGAGACTGGCGCCGGGGTCGACACCACACTCGACAAAGTCCTCACGCCAACTACTGAAGCAGAGGAGCAGACTCTCCAAAGGGGAGCCAACGCTTCCGTTTGGCGTTATTATGCAGCTTCCTTGGGCTGGGGCCGGATTTGCCTCTTCGGGGGTTTCCTAGTCCTGAACTCGGGCTCTGGTGCTATTCGATGTCGGTTCTTGTTGCCACACTCAAGTCGCCTTTTGGATAACTGACCCAGATCTTTGCAGACATCTGGCTTACATGGTGGGCGGAGGAGAGTCAGGCCAACCCTGAGACTAGTCTTGGGTATTGGCTTGGTATGTATGGGGCTCTTGGCGTCCTCGAGCTTCTTGGCCTTTCCTTGAGCTGCTTGTATGTGGTCTCTATCAGAACTGATATTGAGAAAGACTATTCACTGACCTGACGCAGTTACATCTATTGTTCCGTCATGCCTAGGTCGTCCATGAATCTACATTCCGTCATCCTGAACGCGGCCTTGGGGTGAGTTATCCCGAAGAGTTGAAGGATTGCTCCTGTGCCTAACCAATGCCAGTGCACCTATGTCTTTTCTATCCAAGACCGAGACGGGACTGCTTGTCAACCGGTAAGTAGAGTCTTAGCTATGCACGGTAGCCATACATGTTTGTTAACGATTTTGCAGATTCAGTCAGGATCTACAACTGGTAGACAATATCCTACCTCGAGCAGTCTTGGTTACTGCATTCCGTGAGTGCCAAAATACTTTCTCCCAGCATTAAGATGTCCCCCGAAGCTGACAGGACTTTCTCAGAGGCTGTTGACTCCATTGCTCAAGCTGGTCTGGCGATCGCAGCAGTACGATACATAGGAATCTGCTTCCCCTTGCTATTTGGAATACTTTACTTCATTCAGAGATTCTACCTCCGCACTTCGAAGCAGTTACGTATCCTGGAGTACGTAGGCCCTAGGTGCAAGGCTCTTGAGCGACAGCTAACCACCAGTCATCTCAGACTCGAGCTCAAAGCCCCGCTATATTCTCACTTTATCGAGTCTTTGAACGGCCTGGTCACCATTCGCGCCTTTGGATGGACCAGCAAATACTTTCGCCGGACTTTGGATCTCATCAACGCGGCTCAGCAGCCGTACTACCTCTTATTGTGCATACAGCGGTGGTTGGTTCTGGTACTGGATCTGATCGTAGCCAGTCTCGCTGTGCTCCTCACGACTCTTGCCGTCGTTCTGCGTTCCAGGGTGGATCCGGGCCTGCTGGGACTTTCTCTGGTTATGATGATGACCCTGGGTCACACGCTGGCATCCCTCGTGCAGTTCTGGACTGAGCTGGAGACCTCTCTCGGGGCTATCGCGAGGATCAAGACCTTTCAGGAGGACACGCCAAATGAGGCCCTCCCAGATGAGATTGCCAATCCCGGGCCGACATGGCCTGCAAGTGGTGCTTTGAGATTGGAAAATTTGTCTTTGAAATATAGGCAAGTCGGTTTAGCCCACAACGTGGGATAGCGGGAGCTAACGTTTAGGGTTTCAGCGAAACCGCGGCACCAGTAGTGGATAATATCTCCCTCACGATACAACCTGGACAGAAAGTTGGCCTGGTGGGACGGACTGGAAGGTAAGGTCTCACGACACCATGACGAGATGATCGAGATCTGTCGCTAACTAAAGGCGCTTGATGGCCCTCAACAGTGGCAAGAGCTCCCTCGTGCTGTCCCTCCTTAGCATGATCGACGTTTCTTCCGGCACCATCACCCTGGACGGCGCAGACCTGGGAACCATCCCAAGAGCACTGATACGGGAGCGCCTGAGCTGTCTGACGCAGGACCCGTTCATCTTCACCAGCAGCATCCGGCTCAACGCCGACCCCCTGGGCCAGTCCTCGGACTCGGACATAGTCGCGGCGCTGCACCGCGTCGGGCTCTGGAGGGTCATCGAGGGGAAGACGAGGGCGGACCGGGGCGAGGCGGTCGACCCGCTCGACGCGACACTGGACGAGAACTTTCTGTCGCACGGCCAGCGGCAGCTGTTCTGCCTCGCGCGCGCCCTGCTCAAGAGGAGCTCGCTGCTCATACTGGACGAGCCCACTAGCAGGTAATGCACAAAACACACACCGCCGGCGTCGGCTTTGCCGGAACGTTGGAATCTTTCTGCTGACGCACGATTGTCCTTTCTAGTGTCGATTCGCAGACCGACGCCCGAATTCAGCAGCTCCTTCGCTCCGAGCTCCAAGGGTGCACCGTCATCATGATCGCGCATCGACTCGACAGTCTGCTCGACTTTGATACCGTCGCCGTGCTGGAGAAGGGCCGGATTATCGAGGTCGGCTGTCCCCGAGATCTCCTGACATCAGCCGGGAGCGCATTTGCTCGCATGTACTACGCCAGTTCGGCACAAGTGGAAGAGAAGGACCTATCCTGAGGCGGTGTTAGACGGATATGTCGGTATATCCAAGATGGAGTGTACGATTCGCTATTCATGATGATGCTGCGCGGTAAGCTGCATGCAAGCTGCATGTGATCATCTGGACGGGACTGAGTGATCACAGCAAGCTCAATGGTGACTGGCCCGAAGCTACAAAGCAGTAATAGAGAAATGGGAGCGAGATGGCAGTGTCGAAAACATACTCAACTCCTACAGCGTGTTATGTAGAGCTCGTCAAGAGACGCATCGATGCTAATATCGGACATATTTCCGGAACTCGACAATGATAGCTATCCCACTACCGAAAACTGACGGACAGGGAAGTACTTCAGTTGCCAGCGTGTCAATCAATCTAAGTATGTCTCGCATGTCTAATCAGACTCGCATATTCCAAAGCACGCGCCCGCCAACTTACTTCCCGTGCTTATGCGGCCCCTGTTCCGATCGCGCCTCGCGCCGACGGATAACGTCGCTCATCGGTCGACGAAGGGCCGATGCGGCGACAGCGTTGCATTGTGCCACCTCCCCCCCGCCTCCCCTCGGTTCTCGAAGGTGGTCTGGTCGAGTCAAGATGTCATAGCACCACCATGCCCATGGCTGATTGATTTTTGCCGGTTGGGCACCTGCAGCAGTCATGCACCGCCAATCAAGACCGTTCCGCTGCCGACATGTGAAATGTTTCACATTATACACACGGGTGCGGGCGGCAAGACTTGATGCTGTGGAGGAGCAGCGGGATGTGGAGGGACACCGGGATGCGAAGTGGAGGAGCACCGGGACACAAAAGGTCCGCGAGCGACCGACCGAAATCCCCGTTAAGTCCACATGCAACCTGGGCGAGGCGATGTCATCGATGTCGAAATGATGATAAGTGGACGGCCTGGTCGCCGAAGTTTTCACTGAGTATGGCATTATTCAGCTCATCACAGAACCATGAGCTTGACCTGCTAACGACACAAGTTGATCATGGCTTTCCTCTCCGACCCGATTTCGCTCTTTGCTGGAGGTCTTTTCCTCCTAGTAGCATGCATCGCTGTATGATTGCCCTTCCCTGCTCCTCTCGATGACGCTTGCATTCTTCTAACAAGTCGGCCCTCCGTAGTCCTTCTACCGCGTGCAGAGACGGCCGATTTCAAAAATTCCCGGGCCATGGATATCCAAATGGACGGATGTGGTGACCAGATTTCACTGGCTCCGTGGTGTCAAACCGCTCTACGTGCATGAATTGCATCAGCGATACGGTATCTACGGATCCAGGGTCTGCATGTGAGGGTCAGAGATCAGATCTGTGGAAGCTAACATGTAGTTTACCTGACCAGGACCACTGGTACGCTTGGGGCCGAACGAGGTCTCGGTCGTTGATATAGCGGCCGTCAGGGAGATGTACTCTGTCAAAAATGAGTATCTCAAATCGGACTGGTATACCAAACTAGTACCGCCCGGCCTGGTCAATGTCTTCTCGACCACAGACGTGCACATACACAGGCGGCACCGGAAGCTCCTGTCCCACGCCATGTCCGAGTCCTCCCTCAAGCTCGTCGAGCCAACGGTCCGCGCCAAGGCCAAGCTCACCATTGACAGAATGCAGCAAGAGATGCGGAAGAGAGGCGTGGCAGATATCTACAAATGGTGCTTGTTCTATACGACCGATGTCATCGGAGAGCTGAGCTTTGGTGAATCATTCCGGATGCTCGAGATCGGCCAGGTGCGATACTGCTTCGAGGACACTCGCTCCATTGAGACATTCGCTAACATTAGTACCCAATCTCTAGAAGAATACCTATGTGGAAGACCTTGAGAACGTCTCTAGGCGAGGCGGAATCCGGGCAGGACTTCCGGAGTTGGCTTTCATCGCCAGATACATCCCGCTGCCCTTCATGAGCTCGGCTGTCGAATCAGGCAAGAGGTTCCACCAGTACTCGACAGAGTCGATCCAGCGATACAAGCGCCTCGTGGCCGCGGACCCCAACACGCCCGCGACCCTGTTCTCGAAGCTGTTCCGGGCCGGTGAGGAGGGCATGTCCGACGAGGAGATCATCTCCACGGGCCAGGGGTACATCGTCGCCGGGTCCGACACGACGTCCAACACGCTGACGTACCTGCTCTGGACCGTCTGCCGCAGTCCGCAGACCAAGGCGGCGCTGCTCGCGGAGCTGGCCACCCTGCCGGCGGACTTTGGCGCCGACGCCCTCAGGGAGCTGCCCTACCTCAACCAGGTCATCGAGGAGACGCTGCGCCTGTACTCGCAGGTGCCCGGCGGCCTGCCGCGCGTCGTGCCGCCCGGCGGCGCGTACATGGCGGGCCACTGGGTGCCGCCCGGCACGACGGTCAGCGCGCAGGCGTACACCGTGCACCGGAATCCGGGCGTGTTCCCGCGCCCGGAGGTGTTTGAGCCGTCGCGGTGGGCGGCGCCTACCAAGGCGATGACTGATTCGTTTGTCCCCTTTGGGGGTGGATCTCGCAGTGAGTTGCTCCTCTTCTCTTACTGCTGCTCTAGTTCCTGTGCTTTTGAGTTATTGCGCCATGTCTCTAACCCGACTTTCCTTTAGTTTGTATTGGCCTGCATCTCGCCCGTATGGAGCTGCGACTCGGCACGGCTCTCTTCTTTCTCCGCTTTCCCAACGCCAGAGTGTCGACCAAGGAGGGCATGTCGGACGGCGACATGGAGACCATTCTCTACTTCCTCATGGCACCCAAAGGAAACCGATGTCTGTTGGAGCTCGAATAAAGAATTGGATGGATCGGCCCCGCTGGGGTACGGAGGGAGCAGATGACGGACGACTGACAAACAACACTTTGTGGTTGGTTGAGTTGATTGGTGCCACACGGACCCTAGATCGACAGGATTGGTCGACGTGGCTGGTTTGCCCAGGACTTGCAGTCACCTACAGGCTTGATAATGCAGGTTGGGTCGCAATACCTCGGATAGGACCCGTGGTGTGCCTTTGTTGGTGTCCTGGAGATTACGGGATTTCCTATTGTGGAAGTGAAATATTGGCAGGCCAGCTGCTTCAAAGGTCGTGTCACACAGATAAACACACACACAAAGACACATATGACGCATTCAAGGTGTCCTGGTGGGAATGCTGTCCAATCATCCTAGTCGTGGCCTTATCCGGGCGAAGCAAACTTGGCCAACAAGCCGGAAAGAGAGGGACCGGTGAACACCCAACATCACGGGTGGTCGGAAAGGACCAGAGTGGCACATTCTGGGCAACAGTTTGAATATGAATACTCTTAATCTGCCAGTGGCGGTATTGCTTTCGAAAGAGCGGCTTCCATCACTGATATCACCTCTCTTGTGTGAAAACCACTCGACTATTGAATTACACAAAGACTCTCGACTCTAATAGTGGGAAATAAACAGACCAATGAACATGTCTGAACTGCACCCACTCCCCATCGCGATTACAATAACCTCCCTGATCTTCCTGGCGCTGTATGGGTGCTATCGAGTAGCACTTCCCAGACCACTGCCTGGCATACCGTACAACAAGAAGGCCGCATTCAGGGTATTTGGAGATGCCCCCGAGTTGGTCGGATACATCAGGAAGCATGGCGAGAGCTTCGTAGGTTTCTCCCTACCCGCATGGACAAATAACAGTTTGCTAACATATGGGCTTTCCCTTGCGTAAGTCCTGGCTGGGGGCCTTAGCAAAGAAGCACCAGAGTCCGATCGTTCAGGCCTTCGTAAGACCGATGTCTCTCCCCTGGGTGATAGTGGCAGATCCTCTCGAGAGCCAGGACATCCTTCTACGTCGCACAAAAGAGCTTGACAGAGCAAGGTTTATCATCGAAGTCACCGGCGACCTATTGCCGGACTTTCATGGGGGATTGCCGTCCACAGATCCTCGGTACAAGAGCAACAGGAGCATGATCAACCAGCTGATGGCGCCGACGTTCATAGACCAGATCAGCGGCCCCAACGTCTACAGATCTGTCAGCACACTCATGGAACTATGGCGCATCAAATGCACTCTTGCTGCGGGACACCCTTTTGAAGCGCATCGAGACGTTCGCTACGCCGCGCTGGATGGCATGATAGCCTCGTCAAGCAGTCTCCCAGATGAACAAAGTATCACAACACAGCAACTTGCAGCGATACGCAACTACTCTCCTGACCTACCTCAAGAGACGAATGCGCCGTTAGAGTTCCCGGCTCCGCGTATACCCGAGATCGCACAAGCTCTAATGGTTCTTGCCGATTTTCAGATGTACTCACTGCTCTCCCCAGTCCCACGCTTGACCTCACGCGTCATGCTCAAGTTTCCACATTTCAGAAGAGCAGTGGCAGAGAAGGACAAGTACATCAGGAGCGAGATCGATAAGGCAGTGCGCAAAATCGACGAGGGCGACTGCGAACCCAAGGACGCATTCCATTCGGTCACCTTGCGGGAGCGAGAACTGGCCTCAAAGCAAGGCCGGCCGCCTGCATATCATAAACGCGCCATCTACGACGAGTTCTACGGCTTCATCCAGGCTGGCCACGAGACCTCGGCCACCACGATCAGCTGGGGGCTGAAGCACCTGGCCGACAACCAGGCCGCGCAAGACAGGCTCCGCAGGGACCTGCAGGATGTCATGCCGCAGGCAGTGCGAGAGAAGAGACAGCCTACCTTTGAGGAGATTGCAAACGCCCGTATCCCGTATCTAGACGCAGTCGTGCACGAGGTCCTCCGTTTAGCCCACGTCATCGACTTCCTGATCCGCGAGGCCACGCAGGACACCGTCGTCATGGGCCACCGCATCCCGAAGGGCACAAACATCTTCCTCCTCAGTGGTGGGCCGGGGTTCGTCGAGCCGCGGCTGCCCTTCGTCGACGACGCCGCGCGCAGCCCCGGGGCGCGGCGCGGGAGCGGGAAGCAGCTGGCGGGCGACTGGGACGACGACACCATCCGGCAGTTCCGGCCCGAGCGGTGGATCGCGACCGAACCCGGCGGCGGCACTGGGCAGGAGGAGGAGGAGGAGGTCCACGACCCCACGGCGGGCCCGCTACTGGCGTTCGGCATGGGCCCGCGGGTGTGCTTCGGAAAAAGGCTGGCGCTGGCGACGCTGCGCACGACGTTTGCCCTGGCGGTCTGGAACTTCCGCCTGCTCGAGTGTCCGCCGGAGTTGAGCAGCTACCGGGGCGTGCAGAGGTTTGCGAGGGAGCCTGTGCAGTGTTTCGTCCGGCTGGAGCCCGTGGTGTTCGGCGAGGAATTGTAGGGGGCCGGGACCGGCGTGAACTGCCGGGCGGGGTGGTCAGTCTATGTGCACTGGCGACGCAGCAGCAATAAGTACAAGTATGCGTATCGTATTCCAGCTCAGCTCACACATGCATGTGAAGTCGTCTCCAGCCTCTTGGCCGCAACGTTGACGAATTGCTATACCGAACAGGGGAAGGATCCATGCGCTTCGGCCCCTGGATCCGCCTGTTCCGCATCCATTCGGCTAAGCTAGTTCTGTATCAAAGGAAGGTGCTGAGGCACGGTGGTGTGTGGGGGTTGCAGCATGAACGAGTAGCATTGAAAGGATGAATCACGGACTGTAAAGCCCCCCTCTCACCTGATTCTTCGTCCAAAGTTATTCAGCTCTGCTACTTAAGCATCCCGCGACTTCACAGATCTACACCTCTCTACCGTGCCGGAAGCCAGTATCGATCTTCGAAGAGTAAGGATCGGGTCCACATGTCGTCACCCCAGTCTCCAGAATCAGCAGCGGCGGGAGCATCGGGAGCGTCGGCGGCCGCAGCCCCTGCCCCTGCTTCTGCTCCTGCTGCCCCGCAGGACCATGGTGAGGCAATAGAACCTGCCGCTCCTGGAACCCTCGACGAGGAGGACTTCACGCCATCAGACTTTGATGTCAACTCGGTCACGGACTCGACGTCTGTCACCTCGAGCCTTTACCACTTCGCCTACGAAACCGGACGGAGGTACCATCAGTACAAAGATGCGAGATATCCCATCCCCAATGACGACACGGAGCAGGCGCGGGAGGATATGAAGCATGTGATGATGAAGGAACTGACAAAGTACGAGCCTACTGTTGAGAGGAGCACCCTCGGTAATCGATCCTGGCTGATACCTGACGCAGTGGCAAACTCTACTTTGCTCCCATCGGAAAGACCCCGAAGAAGATCATCGATCTCGGCACTGGAACCGGCATATGGGCTATCGAGAGTGAGTCCTCCCGGTGATTCTCGTCACATCATCCACAGTTCCTCCTGGCAGCAGCCACCTAACTGGCTGTAGTGGCGGACGAATTTCCCGGCGCGGAGGTCGTGGGCATCGACCAGACCCCCATCCAGCCGGACTGGGTGCCCCCGAACCTGCGCTTCCTTGTTGATAACATCGAGGACGAGTGGCTCTGCGGCTCGGACTACGACCTCGTCCATCTCCGGCAGATCTTCCCGGTCCTCAAGAACCCGGACAAGGTCCTGCGGAACGCCTACGAGAACCTCAAGCCCGGCGGCTGGATCGAGATCCAGGAGCTGGGCGGCCACGCCCTCTGCGACGACGGCTCGGCGCCCGAGGACTACCAGGTCGAGAAGTTCATGGACATGTGCACCGAGGCGCTCGCTAAGTTCGGCGCTGACTTCCGCCTCGGCAACAAGCTGCAGGAGCCGCTCGAGCGGGCGGGCTTCACCAACATCACCTGTAGGAAGTTGAAGGTGCCCATCGGACCCTGGGCTAAGGTAAGCACCTTCCTTCTTCATCCCTTTCCGAACACAAAGAGTTGCTGAATGCTAACCTTTTGCGTTGTAGGACAAGCGGCTTCGTCTTATTGGCATGTACTATCGGCTTGTCATGAAGGATTTCTTGGGCGCCATGGCGGCTCGTCCTTTCCAGGCCCTCGGCCTCACTCAAGCCGAGATTGAGGTATTCTTGGTGGGCGTTCGGAAACACCTGAACGACCTCAAATATCATACCTATCTGAACTATGTTTTCTGGACTGCTCAGAAGCCAGGGGCTTGAGCGAACTTGGGCGTCCCGAAACGCGTCTTGGACGGTAGGGTATGGATGAAGTTCATAGGTTTTTCTTGTTACATAGCGACACATCATTCTTATATGTCACGATACGAGATACGTCTCAGAATAAGCGCTTTTTGGTCGAATTGATATCGTTATACAGCCCCTTCCGATTGTGCGCTTCTCATGATCCAACCAGTGATACGATCCCGTGCATCTAGGCTGATACGACGTCGTAGTGGATGGGAAGTGTGGCCTGCAAACGCCACATATTTAACACTTCAGTCCTGCAAACTCCTCAACAAGTCCGAGTTCACTCGACCACCCCCGAGCAACAGCCCGACATCCTGCGCGCCGACGATCCACCGGGCGCCGAACTCGTTGATGACCTGCGCCAGGATGTCCGGGCGGTGGTACAAGCCGGCGATGCCCATCAGCTTCCCGTGCTTCCTGGCCGCGGCGCCGACCTTCGCCAGGGCGCCGATGAACTTGGGGTGGTCCCAGTCCGGCAGCGTGCCGATCTCGCTGGCGAGGTCGTTGGAGCCGACGAGCAGCACGTCGCAGCCCGGCAGCGCCGCGATGTCGTCGACGGCGGCGAGCGCGTCGGCCGTCTCGATCATGATGAAGACGGTCGAGCCGGCGGCGTTCATCTCGGCCTGGACCACCGAGGTCGGGAGCGGCGCGAACTCAAAGTGCGGGAAGCCGGCGCTGATGGAGCGGTGGCCGAGGGGTGGGTACTTGGAGACGTTGATGGCTCGGCGGGCGTCATCTGTCATGAGAGAAAAGGCGAGAAGGCGAGGTTAGCCGTCTGTGTTGAGAGCGGCTTATCACAGCCAGGAGGATATCGCTGTATTGTGTGCAAAACACCTACCGACACCGTGGATGTGGGGAATGATGATGCCCATGGCCCCGGCATCGAGCACCCTCTGCATGAAGCCGAGGCCGCACTCGTGCGGGACCCGGACGAAGGGGGTGATGCCGGCCGAGTTGGCGGCGATGCACAGCTGCCCGGCGTCTCGTATCGTCAGCGTGGTGTGCTCGAGGTCGATGAAGAGCGAGTCGTAGCCGGAGGCCTTTGCGATGTGGACAATCTCGCCGCCGGGGACGATCTTGATGCCGAACGCAGTACAGATCTTGCCCTGGGCGGACAGGGCGATGAGGTTGTTCTTGGCGATGTGGCTTGTAGACGGAACGACGCCGTTGGCGGTTCCGTTTTGCTGGGACACGGTCATTGTGCTGTTTAGGAGTATCTAGTCAAGATTGCTTTCACAAAGCAGAACTCTTGCCATTCTTGCATCGGTAAGGTTATATGTAGATTGCTATCTATATGGTTTCTATGGGTTATCCCCGTGTTATGTGTTATGGGATATGATAGGGGTCCATGTGTTTGCCCACATGCTCTGGCATGGTGTAGAGTGAGCCACGGAAGTTGAAGCCGTATCTGGGTTCCCCACACTGGAGGCACACGGAGGTGGCAGCCGATCTTTGAGAGACTACACGGACAACCAATGCGGGGGGCAGCCACCAATATCTCGGCATTGGTTCAGACTCTCGCGTGACCGAGGTGACCGGGGCAGTCAACACTCGGGAGAACGGGCGAGGGTCAAACATTTCATGATCACGGTCCGATAACTTCATGGTATTAGTGGCCAGGTCGTTTCCTTCCACCTGCAAACCGTTCGGTACACAAAGATGCTAGCTTTGCTATGCTCGTTGACAGACTATGTATCACAGCATGGGAGTCACATTTGAGATTATTCATTGCTGAACCAGAGAGCCTGTTACTAGAGAGGTTGTTGCTGTTCTGCAGGGTGCCTATTTACACTTGTCTATTTTCGGTGCCTCCCTGGCGCCTAATCCCATCTTAATGACTCCCGTCTTAACGTGTATACCTGAAGCCCGCGTCCTGCCGCTCCGTGAGATCCGAGTCGACAGACATGCCGGCCAGCTCGTCGCCAGACATCTGCGCCGCCGCCCTGTCGCGCTTCCGGTTGGACACCCTGGCCGTGAAGAAGTGCACGAGGAAGGCGGCGATGAGGCAGACGAAGCTGGCGACGCTGGCGATGCACCCCTTGGCGTAGCGGGGCGCGTCCTGCTTCTGCCACAGCTGCGGGCCGACGATGCAGCCCACGCAGTAGAAGACGAAGAAGACGGCGCTGACGACCGACTTCTTGGTGTTGCCCTTGACGTTGGAGGCCATGAGGCCGACGGCCTGGCCCAGGGGCGGCGCCGTGCAGCCGGCGAACCAGGTGCTCACGACGATGCCCCACGAGGCGCTCGCTGGGAGCAGCAGCAGCAGCAGGCTGCCGAGCATGGGCATGGAGGCCAGGAAGATGCCGAACATGCACCGCGCGTCCTTGAAGAAGCGCGAGCCCAGGGCGCCGATCCAGACCAGCGCGAAGGCGACGGCGCCGCTGGGGAGGCCGACCAGCATGGTCTGGAACTTGTCGTAGCCGAATCCGTTGATGACGAGGGACGAGAACTGTCCTTGGTGTCAGTAGGCAGTCTTTGGACAAATAGGTGAATGGGAGATGCATGCCTTCACAATTGGGGTAGGGATCGTGATGAACAGTGCCATGAGAGCATAGAGACCGGTACGGGGGTCGGTAAAGGCTTCCTTAACTTGGGCCCAGTCAAAATGGGCACGGTCACGGGTGGCACGGTCCAGAGCGAGACGGCGAGTGGCAATCTCTCGCTCGTGCTCATTGAGAAACCAAGCCGTGGTAGTGTTCCGAGGCATCAAGACGATGAAAGCGATGCCCGCAGCTACAGTCAGACCACCGCACGTCATGAACATGACCCGCCATGTCGCAATAGCGTGGACACCTGAGCCAATGCCGTACATCATGAGGGCACCGACGATCTGGGAGACCCCAAACATGGACACCCAGGTACTGTACCCATGGTCAGTGACGGGGAAACACGGTGTTGTGTGATATAAGGGGTATACACATACGCAATCCTCATCTGGTGCTCGCTCTTCTTGTACCAGTTGCTCGTGATTATCATAAATGACGGAGAAACGGCTCCTTCGGTGAAGCCCAGGAGGAAACGAGTGGCGCCCAGGCTGGCAAAGTCCTTGGAAGCGGCCAGACACATCTCGACACCGCCCCAGAGCAGACTGTTTCGGGACTTTTGTCAGCCATATGTCAATGTCTCCGTGTCATAGAGCAGATTCATCATGACTTGCATTGTAACACCGACGAAGACCGTGATGGGCAGCCTGCTCATCAGGTACGCGGCAGGGTACTCCGAGCATAATTGGCCGAAGTAGAAGAGAGAGATGGCCCAGGAAAACTCGGAGCCCGTCAATTTGAGATCTTCGGAGAGGCCAAAGACGGCGGCATAATTGATGCTCTGTTTGTCGAGATCTGCAACATTTGAACAAGTCAGCAAAGGGTTGACGCTGTGAGTCAAAGGGTTTTCAGGGGTTCTACATTGAAAGAAGTACACAAAGGCCATGATTGGCATGATATACCGATCCAGCTTTTTGACCAGTGCTCTTTCTTCAGCTGGATCTACTTGCAGCTCGGCCGGAAAGCCAAGTTGGGGCTTGGTGTCTGCAAGTTCGGCACACTCTGCCGCTCCATCAGGATTCATCTTGTTGACTCTGTCCATTGGTGAGATTGGGATAGTAAGAGTGATGAGCAAGAATATGGCAGAAAGTCCAAAAGTCCGACGGGCCATGGAGTTGAAGAGTCATAAAGTGGCTTCCCTGTGTGATGCGAACCTGGGCCGATTGGGTGTTTATATGGCTTCGACTTGCAAGTATGCCCAAGGGTCTGGATGGACCAGTTGACCTTGATGCGCTCTGGGCTGCACCCCATCAATTCCCCGCTTGTAACCCCGTGGTGGAAGAACCTGGAGAAACGGAAGTAGATGCATCCAGACACAAGAGACTGGAGACCCTCGCTTTTCCCCAAGTGGGGATGGCATTGAACAACCCACGGATGTTGAAGCCGCGCTCGAGCTAATTCACTAGACCGTCAAAATATAGCCACTCTTGGCCCAAATAGCGGCATAGACTGCCCCGACTCCCCGACTTTTGAGTTTACGCGATATTCTTTGACCTCCTTTGGCGGATGCAGATGCCGCTGTTGCTTGACTGAAGCAAGGGGTGACAAGGCGGATCGGAAGTGAAGGCCGGAGCTGTGCCTTGCCCTTAACCTTGAACTGAGTACCGATCTGTTTGAGAGTCGCTGTCTTCTTGAGCAGACTAACTATTCAGCATAAGATACATTCCTTCCCTTGCGCCATTGCGCGGGTCGTTATGCCGAGAGACGACCCAAAAACAGGTTGCTGTCCTATCAACAACATACTACCACACACAGAGCCTCTCCAAATCAATTCAACTGGGGCAGCCAGCACGCCCATCATGGCGCCATCTCGGACTGGCTCAGCCCAAGACACCGGTCAAGCCCCGAGGCCCAACATCTACCTTCTCGAAGTCTTCCCAGAAGCCGCAGTCAAGTACTGTCAGACCCTCTTTGACACCGTTCTCAACACCGACCCAGAGGTTGAGAATTGGCGCGACAATGCAGACGCAATCCTCGTCCGCGAGAAGATCATCACAGCCCAGGACATAGCCTCGGCCCGGAGGCTCCGCGCAATCGGGAAGCAAGGGACGGGCATCGACATCATCGACAAGGAGGCATGCGACGCGCGAGGCATCGCCATATGCAACACGCCCGGCGTGAACGCGCAGTCCGTGGCGGAGCTGGTCCTGGCCCTGACCATGGCCGCGGCCCGCCAGATCCGCACCGTCTCGGTGAAGCAGCTCGACGGGGCCGAGGTCAGGAAGGAGCACTGCATGGGCGTCATGCTGACGGACAAGCCCATCGGCATACTGGGCATGGGGGCTATCGGCACGGCGGTGGCGCGCATGTTCCGGGGCGCTTTCGGCTCGACGGTCTGGGCCTACGACCCCTTCGCGCCGGCGGATGCGTGGAGTGACATCCCGCACACGAGGGTCGACAACTTTGAGGATATGCTGCCCCACGTGGACATGCTGACCCTGCACGTCCCGTTGACGCCCGAGACCAGGGGGCTGATTGGGTTGAAGCATCTGCGTGCTATGAAGCCGACTGCTATACTGATCAACGTGGCCCGAGGCGGGATCGTCGACGAGGCCGCTCTCTTGCGGGTGCTGGAGGAGGGCCATCTCTTTGGCGTGGGGCTCGACTGCCATGACGAAGAGCCGCCGACCTTGCAACGTTACAAGTCATTATGGGAAACCGGGAGGGTCATTAGTACACCACACATTGGTGCAGCAACTCGCGAGACGGTGGTGCGAACTGCCACGGCGGCCATGGACAATGTATTTAGATATTTGAAGATGAATACATAGTGGCCTCCAAGAATGTATCAGGGAAAACACAAAGATCAACAACTGTGGAGTCACTACCTTGTCTGGGGAGAAGTGCGCCAGTTCCAATATCTGAAGACCAGCGACGAGTCTTTCAACTCTCGCTTTGGCCCTACCAGTTACGTGTGGGTGCAAATAAGACATGAAAATGGAGTCGTCGCGCGCTAGAGGGTGCGGAGAATATTGAATGAAAGCCATGTGGGGTGTCTTGGCTAATACAATTGATCCATCCATGCCCAGTATCCTGGCTTTCGCACGACTCTCCCTCCTCTCCTCTTCCCAATCCCCTACCCTCCTCGGCCTGGCCTGGGTCAAACGATGCCAGAGATAATCCACAGCAATATCATCTCGATGACAGAAGCGGTTTCCACAGCAGACGGCCGGCCTCCCAAAAGGGTTCGATCAACGACTCACCCTGTGGAGGCAGCTAGAACCACAAGAGCGTATGAACACAGGACCAAGTCCTCTCTCTTCTTATCGCCTTTCTTTGATCTGCCTTTAAGCTGATCTTTATTCCTCCTAGATGCAAGTTGTGTCGCGAAAGGAAGATCAAGTGCTCAGGTGTACAGCCTTGCAAATACTGCACAAAGAGGAATCTGACCTGCGTCTACCCCGATAATGCTAAGCGGAAGATGTACTCTGTCGAGTACGTGCAGAAGCTCGAGCATGAAGCAGCGAATCACCAGCGAATCAGATCTCTTTCCCAAGCAGATGGTTCGCCATGTCACAGCGATCTGGAATCAGAAGTGTTCCCCCATGCCAAGGCATCTACCTTGGGCGTCCGACACTGGGCCTCCGGCATGGGCACTCTGACTGGACTGCAAGACATGGCTGAGCCTACGGGAATGTTCGAAGTAAAGTCGACAGAACTGCCGTCAAGGGATGCGGCTGGAGAGAACGATGAGGAAGACTCGAGTTCGTCGCGCCCTATCAAGCAGTGAGGCAATCGTCCTTGAACGCTGACCAAGGTCTTTCTTCCTCCTAGCTATTGTCCCAGACTCAGTGACTACTTCGAGCCTCCACTTCAGCCATCAGGTCCAGTCGCTTCACAAACAATCTCCCGCTGGTACTCTCATATCCTCCCCTACATACACGGACAATGCGATGGCGCCCGACGACGTGTACGGTATGAGGAGCTTGAATGCAAGCTCGAGACGTAATATAGTGTGGCCATCCATCGATGAAGCACACCGGCTTCTAGACACGGTATTGGCCTCGATCGGCCGGTTGCAACATTTATTCGAGCCCAGGACCTTCTCAGATCAACTTTCTCTCAGATATCAAGGCCCTCCGGTCGATTTCGATGCGGGCGACCTCTGGCATCTCGAATTGGCGCTGGTGTTTGCTCTTGGATACCTGCTGCAAGGAGAATCAAAGGACCACACTAGCATCCCTGGAGCGCAGCTCTACGTCGAGGTAGAGAACCGTCTGCCTGGGGCAGCGGCTCTTCGGAGGCAGGGGATGGTCGCTATTGAGATTCTCGGTCTCATGGCGTTTTATCTCCAATGCGCAGATCGCAGGGACGATGCTTACATTTACGTACGTTGACGTTACCCCGTGCCAGGTGTAGTCCATCGGTTCTTTTCTTGTCTGACGATTCGTCTCTCCCCGTCCAGGCTGGGATGGCTCTGCGTCTGGCTGTCTCGCACGGCCTGTCTCGCGGGGGAGATATGCCTTCCATGACTAGGTCAGAACGTACGCATCGAGATCGTTTGTGGTGGACGATATACATGCAGGAAAGGCAGGTCCCTCTCCTCCGCAGGAACCCCGAGCTAGCTCTGACAGAGACAAAAGGAGACTTGCAGCCGCCACCGGCAACCCTCTCTCTTTCCACGACGATACCATCTCGACAGACCTTCCGCAAGAGTCCCCTGGGTTCACATCGGTCGGTGCTCTCATCGTGAACATACGGCTAGCACGGACAACAGGGGAGATCACGAATGGTACGCCTCTCCAGAAAATGCAGATCTGCCTTGACATGCAACTCATCTCCAGGCTAGCGATCTACAGCCAGCGGGATAGATCCCTTAGGTGCTACGTCTCTGCGGTGCAGCGTCTTCTCAAGGACCTGCTCGGCGTGGCCAACTCGATACCTCCGGAATACATGGTCGATTTCTCCAGGCCACTCATTCTTTCCAGGACGGCGGCGACGCTTTACCTTATGCTCTATCAGGTATTTCCTTTCACGGGTCCCCCGCTGAGAACCAACGTACTGAATTGACCACAGTGCATTATTCTCCTGACAAGGCCAACATTACTTCACCTCGCAAAACCAAAACCCAGCAATCAGACAATCGGCAGTCAAGAAACTAGATCGGTCCTCGAGAAGTTCTCTGACACCTGCATCGAAGCCGCCAGTCGGAGCCTCGAGGTCCTGGAGGCCATGGTTACACAAAAGCTCATAAGTATGATGGAACGCCCCAAATCCGTTTTTTATTTTAAAAAAAATGAAAGCTTTTCCTAACCAGAGAGAATAACATACAGGTGCCTTTGGCTTCTTCGACCTCGACGCCGTCTTCTCCACAGCCTTTGTGTTCGCCCTCGCAGAGAAGGTGTATCCCGGCAAAGACAAGTCCGGGAGCGCCGCCGGGTGGCGGATGGCCGGCGCGTGCCGGATCCTGCGGCACCTGATCGCCTGCGGGAACCGGGCGGCGGCGAAGCGGTACCTGGACCTGAAGCAGATGTGCGAGACCCTGGGGACCTCGTTCGACGACGGGAACGAACCGCCGCGCTGGCCGGCCACAGCAGCAGCAGCAGGAGCGGCCACCGAAGGGGTGGTTCCGCTCAGAGATTCAGAGCCGGGTCCTGGAGAGTGTGTCCCAGGTGCTGATGCGGGCCATGGCGGAGTTGGCAGCGGCCGGGGAGAACAGCAGTACTCTTCTGCTACTGCTGCCGATGCTGCAGCAGAGCCCGGCCTGCCGCGGTTCGACTGGGGCCAGGCTGCGAGTGTGTTCTTCGGGCACGAGCCGCCCGGGCTGCCGGACCGCGCGGAGGACGCGCCGTACGCCTTTGGGTTTGGCGGGGAGGAGTGCGGCGACACCATCGGCTTCGGGGACGACGACTTTGCGCTCACCGGAGTCATCGAGACGGACTGGGAGGAACTCAGCAGGCAGATTGCTATCTCGATGCCCCCTTCTCCCCGCTAGTTGTCGCCCCGCGTCGATAGCGAAAATCTAGGGGGAAAGAGAGAGAGAGGGATGGAGAGCAGAGTGGTCCAAGGGGGGGGTGTTGTTTTCACTCGGTTGTGGGAACTTCGCGGATCAAAAGAATCTTGCTTGGACTGCGCAACAACGGCCGGAGCCGGTTTCCTATCCGCTCTGGAAAGCCACGCAACCCTGCTGCTCATCAAGGGAGCTGCCGAGACCAGTGCGAGGTCAGCGCTGCCCTTCTTGGCGACCACCCAGCTGACATGCAGACTGCGGTGCCCATTGAGCAGTGAGGATGTAAGAAGGATGGCGGTGTAGTTGTTGCCGTGCTGGCATATTTATATACGAGGAAATGATGCTGGTACTTGCGCTATGCGGCCCGGAGGACAATCTCGAATGTCTCTATCCGATCAATTCATTGCAGCCCACAGCAGCGTACTCGGAGCGTATAAAGCGCTTCCCGAATAGAAAGATGGTCGAGCATGATGATGCGATGGCGGCGACCCGTCTTGGTCAAGGAGACCAGTGTCCGAACGTCAACTTGTCTCTTGATCGCCAAAATCATGCCAGTGTCCGTGTAGTCCTGCAACCTAGTAAGAGCCGACATTTCCATGCACGACGGGCTAGTCCCAGCCCATTTTTCGACGGCCAACCGATGCGTAACGCATGGGGAACCCTCGTTCCTTACCCTCACTCTTACCAGGAGGGGGAGGGAGTAAGGGGACGACGGGCCGAGAACAAGAATCATACAAGTGAGGCCTGGACTCGTCTCTAGAATAGATCGCAGCCATCTTCTTCTGCTTGTAAGACAAGTAGATCGAAATCGCGTGTCATGACGATGCTGGACGTAGTAACAACTCAACCGGATGGGTGCTTCGATAAACCTGGGATTACAGCTCTCTACCTAGGTAGTTCGCAGACATTCAGATCGGGGCACATCTCGATGATCACAGGTATTTTCTTTTTTTTTTTTTCACGTGTGTGGGATGGTAGAAGAAGTTCCGAGAGGAGACCATCTGGTTTCTTTTTTATTATTTTCTGTTACGCTCAATTCCCTAGGCACTGCGTATGGCAGGCCTTCTCATCAAAGCTCCAAAATTGGTTGTCGTGGCGGCAGCAATCACGCCTCCAGTCGGGGCGAACCGACCTAATGATGCGACAGAAATGTCAGCCATGCGGAGCTCGCAAGCAGGAAGGTGAATTCGGAATGGTAGGGCTCGAGGCGGGAAATCATACCTTGGCAGAGTTGCTTTGCGCCCAGACACGCATCCCCAAGACTTAGAAAAGTCGGGAGACAACCATGCCGAAGCGGGCAATCGGGCCGAAGCAGGCACCTACGAGAGCGCAGATGATGGCGGTACGAGTGACAGCCTTGACAGCCTCGATCGTCTGGCTCTTTAGGCCCTTGCCCGATACCATCTCCAAGACGGCGGTGTAGGCCTCCGTGTCAACCTCGCCGGAGCGGCCGACGTGGGCGCTCACACCAAATCTACCAGCAGGGTTGAAGCCGACGACAAGTTGGCCCGGCTGTGGAGAGTTGGGCGGGCCGTTCTACGGCTGACCCGGAACCTCCTTCGGGGCGGTGGTCGCGGTGGTCGCGTTGCCGCCGGCATTGCCATCCTCGTTGGGCTGGCCGTTGTCGTTGCCGTGGTTGGTACCTGTCGCGACGCGCAGATAGCAAAGGTCAGCATGAGAAAGATGAGAAGATAATGTGAAGTCTAGATGGTGAGGTGAGATAGGCAAATGGAAAGATTCATAACATACGCATATTGCGGACGAAGCGTAAAACGACGCGGAAGAAGGCCTCGAGACCCTCCTCCCAGATGACTTCCATGACGCCGTTGCGGTCCCTCAGTACGTTGCCTTGGGGGATGACCTCCTCTAGATTTGCGATCTCCGTGATGGCAAAGATGGTCTCGTTTCGGTTGGGTGCGTGGATGATGACAAGGACCTCGTCAGGGACTTCGGAGCCAACAAGAGAGGTAGCCATGGTGGAGGGGCAGGTTGAGGGTCCTTTTATATTTGCTTGAGTGAGAAAAGCGGGTCTCCAGAACAGAGCGGGTGATTAACCTCTGCGATATTTAACGCTGCGGCGTGCGTTCAGTTGGAGGTGTGATGGAGGAGAACGACCACCGTTTGGAAGTGTGCGGGAATAGATAGAGATAGAGGAGAGGACCGATGTGCGTTGCTCATATAGCAAGACCAGAGGGTCCGAGCGCTTCTTCAGGTTCTCAGTCGGCTCAACTTCGCAATTTCACTCGGCTGAACTTCGCTACTGATTCACCTTGAACATTAACTCAACTTGGCTCTTAATCATCGCACTTTGAACATGGCTCACTTTGAGCAAATCTCACTTTGAGTACATATCCCTTGCAGCAAGTTTCACCTTTAGCACAGCTCGCTTTTGGTTCAACCTCGACTTTACTTGTGCACTTGTGCTGTGGCCCCGATGCTCATCAAAATGGGGAAGACTCGAGCAAGGAGGGCAGACGAGGCAACAAAGGTGCCTTCTTTTGCAATTCCTCCAAACTAGAAAGACAAAAACAAGTCCACGTACCAGTCGATGCCTGTTGCCATCGCTAGGAGCCTGGAGAAGAGGAAGGAAACTCTGGTTCCGGCAGCGCTGTGTAGCGGATCTTGGCCTTGGATGTACACAGCTACGTAGTTGTAGACCACTCAAGCTTCTTCATGTCAACACAACTGAAATACCTTGTCATTGAACTCGCTACCTTTCCTGCTTCATAAGACACATTTCATGAGATTGAGGAGATCGATCGAGCTCGCACTCGAGGGGCAAAGAACTGTGTTGAAGGGCTGCCCAGAAGATGCTCCAGGTTTAATTCCTCGAACCGTAACCAGGGCCTGGAAAAGTATTTGAACCCAGTACAAGGCATCTCCTTTGCCCTCGAAGCAAACCGTCTTGTACAAAAGCAATGTTCTGCAGTGTTCTGCAGTGTCTAATTGAATGTTGCAGCCGGTTGGTTTCTTGGAGTTGGTTTCTTGGGAACTTGTAGTTGTGTTGATCAAATGTGCTTTGTCAGCGGAGCCTCGGCAGCCGAGTTGGAGGTGATGGGTCCGGGTCAAGTACAAGTACAGGGCTGGTGCTGGTGGTGGAGTCGATCAGCGCGTGCTGGAGCTGGAGCTGGAGCTAGGAGTTTGTGCATAGTTACTCTCCGCACCGAGTCTGACCCCGAAATCGCATCGAGGTGAAGTAACTACCATGTTTGCATATGTGTTTGTGTTTGACAATCAAGACTGACTTGAAATGAACCCTCGGCCGGGGTTTAACGCAGCGAGGAGCCTCTTAGTGATGCACACGCAATCTGCACTCCCTTCTAATTGAATGGGCTGGATCGAATGGGCCACCACCTTTGGAGCACCTGGCGATTGTAGGGTTCGGAATTGCCTAGCTAACTTCTGACGGACAATGTGGTCGGCGTCGTGGTTAGGCCGACGCACGACGAGCCGCCTAGAGAGGACGAGAGAAAAGTGGCCGACTCGCGCGCGCGGGTCTGCCGCTCGGTGGTGCTTAGAAACTCCAGTGGAGTCCTGCCGACGGGGGAGCGATGATGTAGCCGGCATCCTCTGACAAATCCACACACACTCTCTCTGTACTTGTACCAAGCCTTGAGCTTACGGGCGGCCCATCGGGTTTGGCCTCGTCATACCTCCGGTCGCCTCGATATCCTTTTGTCTGGCTGGCTGCGATAAAGCACCACGAATCCCCAGGCCTTTGGATCTCCATCATCTTCTCAACCTCCTCTGCAGTTCTCCCCCCTCCAAGACAACTGGGCAATCCCACACACATCTTTGACGTCGTCGAAGCTCGGAGAGTTGGTACCTTGGAAGGCGTACCCATTCAATTCGCACCACTCCTCCAGAAAGAAAGAAAGAAAAAAAAATGCGGCCCCGAAGAGACTCGACCGCCGCCATCGCCCGCCGCGTCTGGGACATCGACGTCGCCGGCCCGGCCGTCGAGAAGCAGCGGCCCAAGCGCTACCCGCCCATCTCGTCCATCCCGCGCACCTCGCCCGAGCGCCTCGCGCAGGCCACCACCACCACCACCACCACCACCACCACCCGCGACGATGGCGAGGGCATCGACAAGGAGGAGGAGGAGGAGGAGGGGCCCGTGCCCGTGCCCGCCAGCTCCGACGCCGCCATCAGCGGCAGCGAGGGCGGCACCGTGCTCTACCTCGCCTACGGGTCCAACCTCGCCGCCGAGACCTTCCTCGGCACCCGCAAGATCCGGCCCCTGTCGCAGGTCAACGTCTCGGCGCCCTCGCTGCGCCTGACCTTTGACCTGCCCGGCCTGCCCTACAAGGAGCCCTGCTTCGCCAACACGGCGCCCCGCAGGCTGCCCAAGAAGCCGCCCGTCGACCTCCCCCCTCCGCCTTCGCCTCCTCCGCCGCCCGTGCGGCCGCCGCCCGCGTCGCGGCAAGCAGCTGGACCCTCGGAAATACAAGGAGACGGAGGAGGAGTGGGGGACTGGGACAAGGGCCTCATCGGCGTCGTCTACGAGGTCACGACCTCGGACTACGCGCGCATCGTCGCCACCGAGGGCGGCGGCTCCTCCTACCAGGACATCCTGGTGCCGTGCTTCGTCCTCCCGCCCACCGTCGGCGTCCCGGAGAAGCCCCCGATCCCCGAGCTGCCGCCGCGGCCCTTCCTAGCGCACACGCTCTACGCGCCGCGCCTGCCCGACATCCCGGACCCCGACGCCGCCCCGGACTCGGACTCCAACTCGGACGACGGAGATGACGACACCCCGCCCGGCCGCAACCTCCCCCGCTGGCTCCGCAAGCTGCTCCTCCCCGTCCGCCGCCCGGACCCGTCCTACGCCCAGCCCTCGCCGCGGTACCTCGACCTGCTCCGCACGGGCGCGCGCGAGCACGACCTGCCGCCCGACTACCAGGCCTACCTGGCCTCGCTGCAGGCCTACACGCCGACGAGCCTGCGGCAGCGCCTCGGCGGCCTGCTCTTCGTGCTCGCCTGGCTGCCCCTGTTCGGGGTCGTGTTCGGCCTGTCGCGCTGGCTGGCCGACGACCGCGGGCGCGTGCCGCGCTGGCTCGGCGCGCTGCTGACCCTGTCGTTCAACCTCGGCTGGCTGCTGTACGACGTCCTGTTCAAGCCCGTCTTCGGGGACGGGGAGAGGACGGTCGACGGCGGCGGCGACCGAGACGGAGGGGCCAGGATACGGCTTGGTGATGACGATGATGGTGGGAAGGACGGCGGTGGCGCCGAGGGCAAGAAGAGGTCTCACACGTGGCGGGCGAGGAGGAGCAGGAGGAGGAGCAGCGGAGCTGGCAGCCTCGGGTACAGCGATGAGGCGGTGCTGACGGAGAGTGAGGACGAGAAGTGATAATTTGTGTTGTGCTCTACTGGGGATCCCCAAGAATGGAAAAAAAGGAAGAATCGGATCAAGTTTGCGATATAGGATTATCAGTATGCAATGAATGGATTTGTTATGTACAGGTGGAAAGTTGGCTCGATGGTTACGAATGGGCAAACATGCATGGTAGGCATCTTATAAATCAACAAGCACGTCATCCAGGGTCGCCATGCTGAGATACCACCCAAGTGACAGACACCACTCGCAATCAACTCATGGAACTTCTGTTCTGTCATTTGCCTACAGACATCCATACCCACACTCTCTTTAAGGTAGCTATCCCTAGACCAAATCCATGCTCCTGCCCACCCTCCGAACCAGCCGACCGTTGATGATGTTCTTGCCAGTATGCCGTGATTTGTAAAAGCGTAGAAGAATAAGCAATACATGTCCCGGGCGGAACCATGAGACTAATCCAGAAAAAAAGGGGACCCAATCATTTCTTGAAACCGTGAGCAGACCTAGCGACCAGGCTCGGAATATCATCGACGCCATGCTTGCCCTCGAGGATACCTGTTGATTGATTGATGTTAGCAACTGACTGACTATCAGTCTGGGGGGGACAAGACCAAGAAAGCTCACCAATGACAGCCGTAAACAGCGGGTATTCCTTCTCCAACCCCCTCGCCTTCAAAAAGTTGTTGACCTCCTTGGCCGTCGTTGTGCCCTGCACCTTCTGCCCGTTGAGCTCCGTCCTCTCGACCTCTTCCACGCTGACGCCCCTCTCGATGGACAGCTTCGCGCAGCGGAAGTTTCTGCCGCCCGAGCACGAGGTGATCAGATCGGCCACGCCGGCGCTCTCCTCGGTGAAGGTGGCCGTCTTGACCGTCTCCCCAAAGAACTCCTTGCCGAACTGGACCATCTCCATCAGGCCGACCCGCATGATGGCCGCCTTGGCGTTGTCTCCCCAGCCGCGGCCCTCGACGAAGCCGGCGGCGAGGGCGACAACGTTCTTCAGCGCACCGCTGAGGGACACGCCGGCCACGTCCGAGACCATGCTGACGTGGAAGTAGGGGCGGTGGAAGAGCTTGGCAAAGGTCTCGTGGTCCAGGGGCGGGTAGTCGGAGGGCATGGGGGTCAGCTTCGTCTTGCTCGCCTTGCCCTTGGCATCCTTATGCTGGACGTCGGCCGGGGTGATGGTCAGGTCCGGGGCGCCGCCGTCGCGCACGGGAGAGGTGCTCCTCGGGGAGGCAGCGCGGGAGTGATCCATGGGCGGCGGGTCGTACGCGATTGTCGTCTCGCTCCACTTCTCCTGCGCGATCTCACCAGCCAAGTTGGCGCCGGAGAGCGCACCGCAGTAGATGCCCAGGCCGTCGCCGATCCACTCCGAGAAGAGCGAGATTCCCTCATCTGAGACGTTGACTCCCTTGATGCACGAGATACCACGGGCAAACGGCAAGATGTGACCATTAATCTGCTTGCAGACGTTGCCGATGAACTGGTGCGGCAGGTTGAAAATGAGGATGGAGGCGTCCTTGACAGCGTCCTGGGCTGAGGGGTTCGCCCTGACATTGTCGGGCAGGCGGATGCCGGGCAGATACTTGACGTTTTCGTGGTACTTGTTGATGATCTCGGTGAGCTTCTGGGGCTTGTCGCCCATGGAGGAGTCGTAGTTTGGCGAGTCCTTCGGTATCGTCACCTCCTCCTCGTACACCCACATCTGCACCTCCTGCTCGAACAGGTCCGGGTGCTCCTTGGTGTTCTCGGCGACGATTTTGGCGATGGTGGAACCCCAGTTGCCGGAGCCGACAACGGTCACCTTGTGCTTCTTCTCGTACACCGAGAGGGAGTCTTGGCCCGGCATTGTGCTGTGGTGCGCCCGGCGGCTCGGGATTGTTGAGGGGAGGGAGTGTCGGACAAGGAGGAGGGCGGGCCTGCAAGCGCGGAAGCTTGGGGAGAAGCTTTGTGAGGTTGTGCGGGGTGTAGCTCGGAGTAGTAGCGCAGGAAAAGATCGGATCGCAAAGGACATGTAGGATTGGAGCAAAAGAGGCCCGAGAGCACGAGAGAAAGAGGGAGGAGATGAAAGACTGGGTGTCTTTATCTTTGGGAGGAGGAGAGGGACCTCAGAAGGAGTACCTAGGCAAGGCAAGACCTGTATGTCGACTGTCTCGTGCTCTCTTTCTCGTCGGGCAGGCGGGCAGGCGGGCAGGCGCGGAGGTGGGGTGGGCTCGCAGGTACTTACTTAGGTGGTGAGTGAGCTGCAACCAAGCAAAAAAATAGGTGGGAAAGGGAAGGCCCAGACCAGCCTTGTGACGCAAAGCAGGAGGCAGAATTGTTGACCGCCTGCCCTTTCCTGATGCTTGCCCCAACCATTTTTGCTCTCAGCTTGTGAACTTGGCATAAGACGCCTGTTCTCATTGGACCAGACAATGGGCCAAGGTCACGCCCACAGCCGAGGATGGGTCCCTTTTTTTGCTTCTTCTTTTCTCTCTGCCAATTGCCATTGTTCAACGGTACGAGCGAGGAACGAGGCATCTCGGGCGGCGGGGCGGGCACGGAGAAGGCCGGGGACCCCATTTTCTCCCTCCAGGGGGCCCGTGATTTGCATGTGAGAGCTGCAAATTCCCCCAGAAGCAGGATTGTTTTCAGCAGCTCGTAACGGATGCGCCGAGGAGCAGTCTTTTTATATCTTGGCCGATTTATTGCTCATTGGACTTTTGCCTGAATTCTGCAAGGATCGACGGCTGAGCCGCCATCCTAGACGTACAACGCGACACTAACGGCAGCACCAGATATTTTGTCTCCTGGTCCAGCCGGATGTGCAGTTGAAAACCAGAACAGTCGCCTCCGAAGATATCCGCCGCCCAACGTGCTTAAACCATCCATTCTATTAACTAGCTTTAACGGCATCTAGTTTCGATTGTAAATAATTGGTGAGATACGAAGACCGCAGCTCTGCATTTTTGCGACAAAGAACAGATTGAAACGAAATTTTATACAACAAGTCTTTCCGTCACGCAAAGGCATTGATGGCAATGATATACCTGGTGCTTGGCAGATTTATTTTCTTTACTTGACGCAAACTGCGCGCGCCGTTAGTCTAGTTGCTTCGCAGCCTTCTCATAAATGATGCGGCCATCGGCAGGGTAGAGCAACAACATGCGCGCTTCTGAACCAGTCACCTTAAAGCCATCCCAGTTACATTGGTGAAACCGTTCCCAGCTTCGGCACATTTTCTTCGACGCCCTGCGTGCATGAGCCGAAAGCTCTGTCGAAGAGTCTACACTTGTGGCGTAGGCCACTTCATTTTCACGCCGAAGACGATAGCTCAGGACGATTGCCCATGGCCGATCCAGTCTTGGCCGTGCGAGTCCCGACATGCCAGGACACTGCTATCTAAAGCAGGTCGGTTTCGGCGAGGATTCGTCAACGTGCCGGCGCCATGTTACTGTCAAGGTTGTTCTGTGCGAGCGATTGAGAAGGGGAACTAGGAGTCGCTCAGTCAAAACAGGAAGAGAACCTTGAACCTTGAGGCAAGATGCCGGACCGGAAACACAGAACGCGTCCTGAAGCATAGAGCAAAGAGACAGGGAGGATCCCCGTGCTCCAGGAGAAGTTCACTCTTTGCCCAAGTTGACGAGCTCAAAACTTCTCCTCTCGAGCCTCATGAAGGTTTGGGTGTCGAATGCCCTCTAGGAAGGCTCCAGTCCTGGGTAGGCTCTGTTTCATGGCAGATGCGTTCGGTTTGTTGTTCTCATCGCACTCTATTGCCCTGGTATGTTCCTGGAAGTAGTCTTGTAGAGTCTCCTACTACTCGTAGATAGTATTGGTTTGCGTAAAGGAGTTCTGAAGTTAGCCTCGACAGACGCTCTTTCCTCAGCTTTGCCGGGTAGTGGATAGCGGGATTCGATGTATCGATTCTGCGTGTTGTGGACTCGCAGCCTCTGCAAGCTATCTCTTCTGTCGATCATCGTCCAAGACGCTCTCTTATCTTGTTCCATGAGAGAGGCCGGAAGTTGAGAAAGTCTGGGATGGGACAGAGTTGTGAGCTGATTTGCGGTCTCTGTCTTGTCACTACTTTCCGAACGCGAAATACGAGTGGCTCCTCATTAACTCCGTGGAGATAAAACCTAGCAAACGATGCCACTGCATAGACGCGCCACGCGGTTCGTCGCAGCAATCGTGACCGAGATAATTACAAAACATGCTTCAAAGCCTCGGAAATCGCGCATTCCCTCGTTGAGTGCTCCGCGTGTCAGACTCAGGGTGTTGAATGACTATGAGCTGTGATTCAAATTCCCAAGTCTCCAGGCTGGGATCACATAGCCAAGAGTTCACTCGGTACAGTTCTTACCGGACATCTGTCTAGCTTCAAAAAGGACTGGCCAGGTTCTCGACTCTGGGTCCGCGCGAGGCGCAGTCACAGGCTGCCGAGGTTGATTTTGATACGCATTGTGCTCTGGTTGGTCAGGGGATTCTCTGTTTCTTCTGCTTCAAGTCGCGGTTGAGCATATACAAGCCTGAACGCTGTTGTGATATTGATGTCTTGGTCTGATCTTGAATCGGAAGCACCCTGCGTTTTGCAGGGAGACTCAGAGTGACTTGAGAAAGCCTGAGATGCTTCGAGCATCAGAGTAGAATGTAACCTCGGCCAGGGGTTTAGATTGGTCACTCGCCAAGAGTAGCTAGGAGTAGTTACTTCGAATTGAGAAAGGCCCAATAATCAGGCTTTGTACCTTCTTGAGTTTCAACCCCGCATTCCCCCAGCATCCGAACTGAGAGCGGAATACATTCCATTTCAGCTGCCCCATCTCCCTCGGGGGTTATCTCCACCTCCGCAGCGTTCGATCCGGGGAAAGGGACCAGCAGCTGCCGATGGTCACACTTATACGGCCACCGAAACAGGCAATGTTTACCGCAAATCCCCCCCCTGTCTTGTCCCTTTCGGGTTCACAATCATCGTCGCCACCCACATGGTCATGCTCTTGTGTTCCTTGAATCCGGGGTATCTGCCGCCGAGCGAGGTGCCACAAGGTGCAACTCGCGGCTCGGCAAGTCTTGGGCTTTCCCCTCTCGCCCAATGCCTCCTCGTCAATGTCAGCAAGATGAGCTGTTTTGCTCAATGACACTCTTCGACGAGCATCGTATTTGAGCTGCAGCTCAGCCTTCCCCACTGATATCGATGCATTCAACCCTCTGCCCTTCCAAGCAACCTTCCCCACAGACATAAAAACAAGCACAACCTAGCGACGGCAGTATGACCGAGACCACAACCAACCCGTCGGAGAAGCCTCGAGAGGCTCACCTCGACAATGTCGGCGCCGAGCTCGATGATACCGGTAAAGCCGGTGCGTATGAGAGCTACGGCCTTGTCAAGTCGCGGTACGATGAGTTGTCTATCCCCCGTACACTCTGGGTGTTTAGACGTGCTGTCCTCGTTTCGCTTGCTGTATACACGGGCTACGTCTGTGAGGGGTTCGAGGTGAGTCGGCATCCCACCTCAACTGGGCTGTGCGTCGGCAATTGACACAAGAGTAGCTCGGTGCAGGAGGCAGCATCATCGCAAATGCGGGTTTCATTAAGCAGTTCGGTGAGGGCGGCAAAGGAGTGCAAGCCCTCAACCCTACCTGGGGTAAGTGTGTCTTGCATGTCTTTATAGCCATTTGTCCCCATTCAAACACTAATGAACCATCAGTCTCTTCCTGGAGCGCTCTGCTTGTATGCTTTACCTCAACCATCCTGTTTGTAGGCAACACCGTACTAAATAGCTTAGAATGTCGGTCAAATCGTGACTTTTACTCACATTGCATGGTAAGTGTTGCCTATGTGTTATCAATCTTGATGCAAGGCTCCCATCTTCTAACCAGCTCAGGTTCGCCGACAAATTCGGCCGCAAGACCTCGTTCTACCTCGCATGGATCTGGCTCGTTGTTGTAGGTAAACCCCTCCTGAGAGGATGGCCATGTCGCAACCCCGAGAAAATTGGCTGATCTCTTCGCAAAGGGCTGTGTTTTCCTGAATACGGCCAAGTCTCCTTCTGTTTGGGTAAGTCGATCCTACCATTTGTGCCACCTGTACTGATACCATGAATTAATATGGTGTCTGTACTAACTCCCTTACAGGCTCTAGCGAAACTTTGCAACGGCGCAGGCATCGGCGTTCTCCAGTAAGCTTCATTCGCTACAAGTCATTGTGTTCGATGCTGATTACTTTGCAGAATCACTTGCCAGGTGTACATTATGGAGATTGTCCCAAACAGGATTCGCGGTGGAATGGTCACTTTTCAAGCTGTCTGGTCGGTTAACGTGGCTCTTCTGCAGTCTGATATTGTCTGGTACTAACTACCAGCAAACAGGAGTAACATCGGAGGCATCATCGTCGCCGTAATGATGCAACAGCTGAACCAAAAGCACCCCGACGACTACCTGCTGGCCATGAGGCTGCTCTGGATCCCCGTCGGACTGATGATCATCTTTTGGGTGTTTGTCCCGGAGTCCCCGTGGTTCCACGCTCGCCACGGAAACAAGGAAAAGGCGCTGAAGGCGATGAAGCAACTATATGGTAACGTCGAAGGGTACGATTTTGAGGAAGAGTACGGCATTATTGAGAGGACCATTGAGCACGAAAGAGAGGTACTCCAGGAGGCGCCATCATATGTCCATATCTTCAAGGGCGTCAACCTGGTGAGTACCATACGATTATCGGAAGAGATGCAGCGGACTAACCACTCACTAGAAACGTACTCTCACCGTGATGATCCTCGCAATCTCTCAGCAAATCGCTGGTCTGGCCATCATTAGCACCTATTCCACCTGTGAGTCGCCGCCTAGTGAGCTCGCTTCGTTGAATTTGAACAAGTCGCTCATGATTCAGATTTCTTCTCGCTTGCCGGTCTCAAGGATCCATTCCTGTGCACAGTCATCCTCTCGTAAGTCAACTGCATGTGTCTACCCAGCCTCTACTACGAATAAGTCACTAAACCTCACCTCAAAAGGTGCTGCAATCTTCTCGCCGTCTTGCTCTGGTCTCTCTCTACCGACAAGCTTGGTCGCCGGACCATCATCAACTCGTGCGAGACCTTTGTCTGCATGGTCCTCTTTACCGTCGGTGGGCTGTACTGGACCGGCGCCACCAAGGGAAATGAAGCGGGCGGCACTGCGCTTCTCGTCATCTGCTGCTTGTGGACGTTCTCGTTCCAGATCGTTGGCATGTCCTATTACCTCTTCTCGGCTGAGCTTCCCTCTGCCCTTCTCCGAAGTAAGTCCACGTGATACAGCATCCTCACACGTCAATCTCGGAAACATGCATCCTCTTGATGAGCCTTGCGAACAATGCTGACACCCAACAGTCAAAACCGGCCCATTTACTTTCCTTTCCAACTCCATTATGGGCATTGCTACCTGGTAAGCCATCACCAATAGAAGAAGGACATGCCTTCTTGACTTGACCAGGCTATTGGCTAACTTCCCTAGTTACGCCACTCCCCCTATGCTTCTAGCGCTGAGCGTCAAAGCCGCTTTCGTGTACGGTGCCTTTTCCGTGCCCGTCTGCGTCGTCATGTGGCTCTACATTCCAGAGACCAAAGGGTGAGTCTTCATCTCGATGGAACAGGAAAAGTTGAGGAGCTAGAAGGGGGCTGACTATTGTAAATAGACGTTCCGCCGCCGAGATTGACGAACTGTACGAGCGCAAGATCCCGGCCTGGAGGTGGAAGGACACCGTCACGAATGCCGAGGAGCAGATGCACGCTGTCGTACAGGTCAAGGGCCAGGTCAAGGAGCAAGTTCACGCTTGAGCCTTTGGCTGCTTATCTTCACAGGCTGCATGCGGTGTTTCGAAAAGACGCAATGAGGGAAGGCTATCTGCCGGACTGTTTTGGACATCCGCCTCGTTGCTCTGACAAAATCGGATAGGTTGTGTTTGCGTGGAATTGTATAAAAAAGTCCACTAGTATCTTACTGAGAAATTTTCAAATGCAATTCTACTCGAGAATGCCGGCAAAGTAAACCTCATTTTCTGCTGCCACTGGTACTGGCACGAATTGGACAGACATCGTATCTGATACTGTACACAAGCTGTCTGTCTAGGAGCAAGTCCTGGAGATGATGAGCCTGGCGTCACCTAGATTCCCAGTCAGCCGTAGTTCTGATCAGCCAATATCGCCTTTTGCAGGTTCGAGCATTTTTAGGGAACATGGTCAGAATGCCATCAGATTCCTAGTTGCTTGCATACACCTATCCGTACACGTCCCGCCAAGACATCACTCCTGGAGAAGGCCACGGAGGTCACATCAGGGAACGACACCCTGAAGGATGCAGCAGGTGCCGAACTTTAGCCGGAGAGGAATCGTTACCCCTGTTATGGTGCTTAGCAGAACCGTTTCTGGTCAGTCTGGATCGGCAGTGGTACTTTGGGCATCTCGAATAGGAGAGAACTGGGCGGGCGGGAGAGAAATGCCCCGAGCATCCAAGATCAGCCAAGACGCTTGGGCGCGTTCGGTCTGCCCTTGCCAGAGCTGAATCATGATGCTTCATGTTTGTCTCCTCAAGTCCTCAACACTTGTGACCCCGCATTCTGGCCGACAGGCTCGCATCATCTCGAAGCGATCCAGACTGTGTTTCCAAGCTGGGCAGTTGGGCAGCATTGGCCTTTGAGATGTGGTAGTGGGCGAATTGGCACGCGAGTATGTCTGTTCGGGTGGGATTCCAGTCAGACTTGTCGATCACATCCCCTCTGTAAATAGACCTCTCCACTCGCGGTGGTGCGAACCCCACATCATCGTCGACAGCCAAGTACCGTGGTATTAGGTATCTTGGAGAAGAGGGATTGTACCTCGACCTGAATCCTAATAGACCGAGACGACAGAGAGGTGTGCAATCTAAACATTCGGCACTATAATCTAGACGAGCTCGAATATCGTTGATTCGGACGACAACATCCCAGCGTGGCATCATAGCTTTGTCATCTGAGCCCAGGAGGCAAAAGGAACCCCTCACGACCGTGACGTGGCTTCGGGCTACCTTTATACCGACATATCACACACTAGAGCGGAGGGAGTATTCGAAAAAGGAACGGCTCGCCATCTGAGAAAGGGAAACCGATATTAAGGGCTCCTTTCACATCGGTGCATTCTTGCAGGAGACAATCAAGCCTCTGCAGACCAGAAACGACGACACCATGGCTGCCCCCAGATTAGCCATCGCTAGGCTCCGGTTCGAGCACCACCAGACCGGGCTCGGGGTGCCCGTGCCCGCCCCGCGACTCTCTTGGAACGTGGTGGCCAAGGGTGATGAGATCCCCGCCAACTGGAAGCAGGAGTCGTATGAGATCCAGATCAAGCGTGCCGGTGCCGCCGAGCCAAAGACCTTCACCGCGGCGACAGACTCGACTGTCCTGGTGCCCTGGCCGGATGCGCCGCTCCGCTCAGCGGAGGCGGCGCAAGTGCGGGTGCGCTCGCTGGGCAAGGCCGACGCCGGCGAGTCGAACAGCGAGTGGTCGGACTGGGCGGCCGTCGAGGCGGCGCTGCTCGACAAGAGCGACTGGGTCGCCAAGGCGATCACGGCGCCGGAGCGCACGGACGCGCCGCACCCGGACGAGAACGGCACGCGGCCGTGGCGGTTCCGCAAGACCTTTGAGGTGGCGCCGGGGAGGAAGAAGAAGGGGGCCCGCTCGCGCCTCTACATCACGGCCCTGGGCGTGTACGAGGCCTACCTCAACGGGGAGCGCGTCGGCGACGAGTGCCTCGCCCCCGGGTGGACCGCCTTCCAGCACCGCATCCAGTTCCAGGTGTTCGACGTCGGGCCCTTGCTCGTCGACGGCGCCAACACCCTGGCCATCGAGGTCGCGGAGGGGTTCTACGTCGGGCGGCTGCTCTGGGGGGACGGCGTCTCGGGCATCTACGGCAAGAGGCTCGGCGCCATGGCGCAGCTGTCCATTTTGGACGACGAGGCGGACGCCGAGCCGTCCGTCGTGGTGCAGACCGACGAGAGCTGGTCCTGTGCCATCTCTCCCATCGTGGCTAGTGGTATCTACGATGGCGAGACGTATGATATGGACCAGGAATACGACTTTACGAGTTCTGCGGCGTCGTCTTCGGGCGCTTGGAAGCCAGTGGAAGTTCTCGAGACGCCCAAGATCGAGTTCGTAGCCGCGTCGTGCCCGCCGGTGCGAGTCACCGAGACGGTGAAGCCGGTTTCCATTACCAAGGATCCGGACGGCAAGACACTGGTAGACTTTGGCCAGAACCTAGTAGGCCGACTGCGCATCCCTTCGCTCTCTCGGCCCGACGGACACCGGGTCGTGCTCCGCTTCGCCGAAGTCCTGGAGAACGAGCGGCTCGGCACCCGGCCGCTGCGTTGCGCCAAAGCCACTGACCGGATCATTTTCGGCGGCGGCAAGGAGTTGAAAGACTGGTACGGCCATTTCACCTACCACGGATTCAGATACATGGAGGTCACCGGCTGGGGCGCGGATGACGCCGACCAGCCCCTGACCACGGACTCGGTCGTGGCGGAGGTGATGCACACCGACATGCTCCGCACGGGGCACTTCTCGTGCTCCGACGCCAAGGTCAACCAGCTGCACCAGAACGTCGTGTGGTCGATGCGCGGCAACTTTGTCGGGATCCCCACCGACTGCCCGCAGAGGGACGAGCGGCTGGGCTGGACGGGCGACATCCAGGTCTTTGCGCCGACGGCCAGCTTCCTCTACGACTGCGGCGGCATGCTGGCCAACTGGATGCGCGACGTGGTCCTCGAGACGGCGGAGCAGGGCGGCGTGGTGCCCCTCGTGGTGCCCAACGCCCTCAAGGCCAGCAAGCACCCGGTCAAGCCGCAGGCCGTGTGGGACGACGTCGTCGTCCTCGCGCCCTGGACGCTGTACCGCCACTTCGGCGACGCAGAGGTCCTGCGGTCGGCCTGGGCCGCCATGAAGCTGTACCTGCGGGCCATCCCGCGCGGCGCCGACGCCCTCTGGACGCCGGACCTCTGGCAGCTCGGCGACTGGCTGGACCCCAACGCGCCGCCGGCGGAGCCGGGCAACGCGCGCACCGACGGCGCGCTCGTCGCGGACGAGTACCTCGTGCACGTGACGGGCGTCATGGCCGAGATCGCGGGCGTGCTGGGGCTGGCCGCGGAGCGGGAGGGCTTCCGCGCCGAGCACGAGGCGCTGAGGCGCGCGTTCCACGACAAGTACGTCGCCTCCTCGGGCCTGGTCGTGGGCGACTCGCAGACGTCGCTGGCGCTGGCGCTCGTGTTCGGCCTGCTGCGCGAGACGGGCGGGCAGCGGCGCCGGGCGGCCGAGCGGCTGGTGCGGCTGGTGCGGCTCGCCAGGTTCCGCGTGTCGACGGGCTTCGCGGGCACGCCGGCCGTGCTGCACGCGCTGTCGGGGGCCGGGTTCGACCAGGTGGCGTACCGGATGCTGCTCGAGGAAGGGTGCCCGAGCTGGCTGTACCCGGTCGGCCGCGGGGCGACGACGATCTGGGAGCGGTGGGACAGCATGCTGCCCGACGGGCGGATCAACCCGGGCGAGATGACGAGCTTCAACCACTACGCGCTCGGCAGCGTGGCCGAGTGGCTGCACCGGAACGTGGGCGGGCTGGCGCCGCTGGAGCCCGGGTGGAAGAGGTTCCGCGTGCGGCCGGTGCCGGGGGGCACGCTGACGGGTGCGAGGGCCAGCTTCGTCAGCCCCCAGGGCGAGATCAGGACGGAGTGGGAGCTGGCCGGGGACGGCGTGGTCAAGGTCGGGCTGACTGTGCCGCCCAACGCGACGGCCGTGGTCGAGAAGCCGGATGGAGCGGTGGAGGTCGGCTCCGGGGTGCACTCGTTTGAGTGGAAGGTTACGCACGAGCAGGCTTGGCCGCCAAAGGCCATTTCACAGGACATCTAGGACCGGGGTGGTTTGCATACATACATTACATAGTCTGAACAGTTTGAGCCCATAGGCTCAGGAACAACGCATAACTAACTAATAGTAGTGAATCAAAATCCATCACCGACATCCAACTGTGCTGCACTCTCCAGTCGAGATCTTGTCGAACCGAGACGCTTGGGATGTAACCACTCCCAGAGACTTAGCTCAGGGTTGTATTTCAGACAGCCACTAACGGGAATGTCAAAGCGGGAGATGCTCAGGAACGCCTGGAACGATGCTCCAGCTACCGGTCGGTTTGACACGAGGGACGGCACTTCAATGTTGCTCGACCAGAAATGACCCGGCCCATCGAACGGTGGCGTCGCATTCTGGGCGACGATTGTAGCGGTGTGGGTGAGATACAGTGGCCCGTGCAGCAAAGAGGATCGCTGGAGATGCCTAATGACGTAGTGGTCGACAGGGGCAGATGCAGTAGTTCCAACAGCAACAGGTGCCAAAGATCAAACAACTCGCTTTAGAGAACACTGACATGTCAGCCTTGGAACATCAAATCGGCTTCGTCCCAGAATGCCGCTTGTTCGGGAGCGGATGCTGACCAAGCGCTCGCTCTTTTCGATCCAATAGGGGTAAGCAGGACTCCCGGCGCAACACGGGACATTGGTGATCTACTTGGACCTCCTCATCGTGTACCTAGTCGTCTGTCCGTGTCGGTCCTTGGGCCAATTCCATTTCGTTTGAGCCGCAAGATCGACTTGACCAGGGGCGACGGGAGGCACCGAAAGGATGGAAGTGTTAGTTCACCAAGCCAGAGACGACGGCGCGGGCGGGCCTGTTGCTAGCGTTCGTGGACCTGGTTCTAGTGGGGGGTTTTAGCTTGCAAGACCTTGTCGCCCGCCTGTATCACATCGTCATCATCGTGTCGGTTTGCTGTGTGAATCCGTGCCTGTCTGTGCTAATGGCCTAAAATGCTAACAACAAGCTGACAGCTTAGCTCGGAGAGCGGGCCACAAGCCATCTTCGATCTCGTCCTGCCAGCCCTGGTGTTCTGCCAATCGCGATGCCGGCCCTGGCCCATAGCTTGCTCGAATATGGCGCATTGGTCGCTTCTTGTCTTGGTAACATGGCTGACAATGGAGCAACCCTACCGCTGCTTCAGGACCATTAGCTCCTGGACTGGTCGACATCCAATATCATGAAAATTTTAAATGATGCTGGGCGGAGAAGAAAAGGGGGAGAAGCATTGAGAGGAGCACCAGACGCAGATACAGACAGACACACAGGCAGGCGGGCACAGGCGGGCAGGTGCAAACGGATGCCCATCTTCATCTGATGGTGCACCTTCTGCGACAAGCAGCACACCTACCGCAGCTGAATAAGTAAAATAGATAGATGCCTTCTTGATCCGGCGAGGTCACCTCTTCTCTACCTATCTACAGTAGATATAACATACATGCAATCAGTCTCTCGACACCCTCCCTCACCCTGCTCACTCGCGACCATCTGATCCCAACCCTCCCCGGTGCATCGTCCCCGTGTCCTTATCATTCGACCGACCACTCTCCAAGCCTCTTGTGTCCAATCAACTCCAGAAGGGGCTTGCGGTTGATGCTGCGCGGCTGACAGGTCGACTCCCCGTCGCATTGCCATTCTCTTCTCGTTCCACCCACACCGACACACCATGGCCGCCAGTATCATTAAAAGCCTCCTCCTCCTTCGTTGACCGACCTAGATCGATCGCACCACCAACACCGGCCGATCCGCGACTCGCGCAAGCTACCTACCTTGCCTCGTGGATCCACCGGCCTCGCGGTTGCTTTCGTCATAAATCCAGAGCTTCGAATTTTCTACCCTTCACAAGCACTGCAACCTTCTTCAGGCGCTTTGCATTTCAGTGCACTGGAATCTTGGAGGAGAGAGAGAGCGTGCTTGTGTCGTGGTCTTGAAGCCCAGTCCAGATCCAGCAGGGCCAGGAGCTGTTCCCCACACAGCTGTCGATCTCCAAACACGTGAAAGTACGGTGCTTGGGAGGGGCAGGGCTAGGCGCATCGTCACCTATTTCTACGACCGTGGGGCAGCTCGTGAGCTCCCCCTCCGACCTCTTCCAACATGGTCCCGAGAACCATGTTTTCCAACGAGGTCTACCTGCTGCCCCTCAAGGACGACGGCTCCCCCGATGTCCAGGGCGAGTACATCTATCTTGCTCCTAAGACCCAAGATGCTGTAACAATTCGCTTTGCCATCGAGGGCACCTCGAGCATATGTCGTCATGGCAGTCTCTGGGTCAACATCCCCGAACAAGGCGTCGAGTTCCGGAGAGACAAGTTTCGCGAGTTCAAGTATGTCCATATGTCCTTTGAGCGAACTTGCTTGCCCTTTCTGTGCCTATCAATCAGTGCTCTAACCCGTCTACCCAGGCTTGTTCCCGACTTCAATCGCACAATTGAAATCTCAGTGCCCATCTATCACGCCGGCGCATTCGCCTACTACACGACCTACTCCCCCCTGCCCGACCTGTCAGAAGATCTCACCTCCGCAAAATCTTGCGAAAAGAAGCAGACGCCCCTCTACTACATCGATGTCGCTCCACGCCTCTCCTTGGACAACCGCCCGTTGCCCCTGCCCGCGCTCTCCATCTTCTCGGTCATAAGCAAGTTCATGGGTAAGTACCCGATAGACTGGGAGAAGCATCTGCGCGGCATCAGCAACCGCGGCTACAACATGATCCATTTCACACCCCTACAAGTGCGAGGAGAGTCCAACTCGCCCTACAGCCTGTACGACCAGCTCGGCTGGGATCCTGCCTGCTTCCCCGAGGGCGAGCCAGACGTGCAAAAGATGGTGGAGAGCTTGGAAAAGAACCACTCACTCCTCTGCATGACCGATATCGTGCTCAACCACACAGCCAACAACACGGACTGGCTGCAGGATCACCCCGAGGCGGGCTACAATCTCAAGACTGCCCCTCACCTCGAAGCCGCCTATCTCCTCGATACCAAGCTGCTCGATCTAAGCCAGAAGCTGGCCCAGATGGGCCTGCCGACCGAGATCAAGTCCCTCGATGATCTCATAAAGATCATGAACGCGATCAAGTCGGAGGTCATCAGTGGGATCCGCCTATGGGAGTACTACGCCCTCGATGTCGAGTCTGACGCAGATGCTGCTGTGGAATCCTGGGTGGTTGGCAAGGTCTCGCTCCCCGAGGGCACTGTTGACCTTGATGATTTCGAGCGTGTAAAGACCTCCAGCCTGAAGGATCAAGCCGCCTTTCTTATCAAGAATGGACTGCTCGGAAACGACAGGTTAGGGGAGCGCTTCCGGCGGAAAGTCGACCCCAAGGTTGCCGCCTCTCTGCTCTCGGCCATCTACGGCAAGTACGAGGGGCCATCAAGCGACGGTCCAGATAGGCCTGCCGTCCGTAGTAAGATGGTTGAGATCCTGGACGCCATGAACGTCCCTTTCTACGAAGAGTACGACAACGAAGTTGCCGAGATCCTCCAGCAGCTTTTCAACCGCATCAAATATGTGCGTCTTGACGACCACGGACCGAAACTAGGCCCAGTGACCGACAAGGACCCCCTCATCGAGACGTATTTCACAAGACTGCCCAGGAATGAAAGGACGTCCAAGTTCAGCAAGGAGGAGTTGGTCCTGGTCAATAATGGATGGGTGTGGGGAGGTAATGCTCTGGTCGACAACGCCGGACCCCAGTCGCGCGTCTACCTTCGAAGAGAGGTCATTGTCTGGGGCGACTGCGTCAAGCTCCGCTACGGCAGAGGTCCTTCAGACAGTCAATGGCTCTGGGACCACATGACCAAGTACGCGCGCACTCTGGCCAAGTACTTTGCCGGCTTCCGCATCGACAACTGCCACTCGACCCCGCTCCACGTCGCCGAGCACATCCTCGACGAGGCGCGCCGCGTCCGCCCGGAGCTCTACGTCTGCGCCGAACTCTTCAGCGGGTCGGAGACCACCGACTACATCTTTGTGAAACGGCTTGGGCTTAGTTCGCTGATCCGGGAAGCAATGCAAGCGTGGAGCACCGCCGAGATGAGCCGCCTCGTTCATCGCCACGGCGGACGCCCGATCGGCAGTTTCGAGGTGGACGAGATCGCCAAGGGAGAGGTCAGGTCGCCCATGTCACCAACGAGGGAGCACAGCAATGGTGACCTCTTCAAGCAAGACCAGGAGAGCAGCCGCGAGATCATCCGTCGCATCAAGCCTGTCCCCGTCCAAGCGCTCTTCATGGACTGCACCCACGACAACGAGGTCCCTGCCCAGAAGCGAGATGCCCGAGACACACTGCCCAATGCCGCGCTTGTCAACATGTGCTCGAGCGCCACTGGCAGCGTCATGGGGTACGATGAGATCTATCCTCGCCTCGTGGATCTCGTCAATGAGACTCGGCTCTACACTTCTGAGTCGTCCAACTCCAAATCGATCAAGGTTGGAGGCGGCAAGGGTGGCATTGGCACGGTCAAGAAGCTGCTGAACCAGATCCACACCATCATGGGCAAAGACGGTTTCGATGAGACGCACATCCACCACGAAAACGAATACATCACCGTCCATCGTGTCCACCCCGAGTCACGAAAGGGCTATTTCTTGATTGCCCACACCGCCTACCCCGGTTACGGAAATGGCAACGGCGCCTTCAACCCCGTCCACCTGACGGGAACCAAGGTCAACCACATCGGCTCCTGGATGCTCGAAGTTGACACGAGTGAAGAAGCGCTCAAAGACACCATGGACGACCGCCGGTCTCTCCGAGGTTTACCCAGCCGAGTGATCGACCTGCCGGGCGTCAGGATCGACACCAACGGCAACGACACGACCATCACTGTGCGCGAGAGGTTCCCGCCCGGAAGCATTGCTCTGTTCGAGACCTGGATCCCAGCCGCAGAGCACTCGGCTGGTCTCGACACCTTTGTGACCTCGGGTGCCAAAGCTGCGTTTGCCGATCTCGACCTCATCGACCTCAACTTCTTGCTGTACAAGTGCGAGTCGGAAGAGAGGGACTGGAGTGGAGGCAAGGATGGCACCTACGAAATCCCCGGGTACGGCAAGATAGTGTACGCCGGTCTCCAGGGCTGGTGGAGCATCCTGAAGGACATCATCCGCGACAACAACCTTGCCCACCCCTTGTGTCAAAATCTGCGCGATGGGCAGTGGTGCCTTGACTACACAGTTGGACGACTCGAACGCGCTTCCAAGACGGAGCAGTACGCTCGCCTCGGTAAGCCCGTGCAGTGGCTCAAGGAGCGCTTCGACGCGATCCGCCCCATTCCGAGCTTCCTCCTGCCTCGCTACTTCGGCCTGGTGTTGCGTACCGCCTACATGGCTGCGTGGGATCGTGGAGTTGACCTCATGAGCAAGGGTGTTCGTGAAGGTCAGTGGTTCATGCAGAGCCTGGCTATGATTAGTGTACAGCAGACAGGTCTTGTCAAGTCTGCTTCCCTGTACCCCAATCGGTTGGTACCTTCGCTTGCCGCCGGATTGCCTCACTTCTCTGTCGAGTGGGCGCGCTGCTGGGGCCGTGATGTCTTCATTTCCTTGCGAGGCCTGTTCTTGGGCACGGGGCGTTTCGACGAGGCCAAAGAGCACATCGTGGCATTCGCCAGCGTCATGAAGCACGGCATGATCCCCAACTTGCTGAGCTCTGGCGACGCCCCTCGGTACAACGCCCGGGATGCAGTCTGGTTCTTCCTCCAGTGTGTGCAGGATTACACTCGGCTGGCGCCGAACGGCATGGACTTGCTCAAAGAGAAGGTCAAGCGCCGCTTCCTTCCATATGACGATACCTGGTTCGATTCGAAGGACTCCCGGGCTTACTCAAAAGAGAGCACCGTCCAAGACATCATCCTGGAAGCTCTACAGAGACATGCCACAGGCCTGGACTTCCGCGAGGCCAACGCTGGCCCTGGCCTCGACATGCAGATGAAGGACGAAGGCTTCAACATCAAGGTCGAGGTCGACTGGGATACCGGCCTCATCTTTGGTGGCAGCCAGACCAACTGCGGTACGTGGATGGACAAGATGGGCGAGAGCGAGCGTGCAGGCTCCAAGGGCGTGCCCGGTACCCCTCGTGATGGCGCCGCCGTCGAGATTTCCGGTCTCCTCTACAGCACTCTCGCATGGGTCTCCAAGCTCAACGCAGAGGGCAAATTCCCCTACGCTGGTGTCAAAAAGGCCGACGGTACCGACATCACTTTCAAGGAATGGGCGGACAAGATCAAGCAAAACTTTGAGCGCTGCTATTTTGTGCCTGTCGACCCCGCCGAGGACGCCAAGTACGACGTCAACATCAAGGTCATCAACCGCCGCGGCATCTACAAAGACCTGTACCGGTCCGGCAAGGAGTACGAGGACTATCAGCTGCGCTGCAACTTCCCCATCGCCATGACGGTGGCGCCCGAGCTCTTCGACCCGGACCACGCCATGCGGGCGCTGTGCCTCGCCGACGCGGTGCTGCGCGGGCCCACGGGCATGGCGACGCTCGACCCGGCGGACCTCAACTACCGGCCGTACTACGTCAACTCGGAGGACAGCGACGACTTTGCCACATCCAAGGGCCGCAACTACCACCAGGGGCCCGAGTGGCTGTGGCCGACGGGCTTCTTCTGCCGCGCGCTGCTCAAGTTCGACCTCATGCGGCGCCGGCCTGACGACGCCGAGGGCCGGACCGAGGCGTTCCAGCAGGTCACGAGGCGCCTCAACGGGTGCAAGGACATGATGCGCGAGAGCGTGTGGGCGGGCCTGGCGGAGCTGACGCAGCGGAATGGGGAGCACTGCCCTGACTCGGTAAGTTTTTCTCTGTTCGTTTTCTATCTAGGTGAAGGGGGACAAGGGGGAGGGAGGTGAAGGAAAGTGATTGTGCTGACGTACTGTGTGTGAATTGTAGTCACCTACGCAGGCCTGGTCGGCGGGCTGTCTTATTGACCTGTACATGGACGCGGCGGAGGAGCAGGCGTGGCAGCAGGGGGTGAGGGACACGACGCTGGCGATCAGGACGTGAAAAGCGGTGTGTGAGACGAGGAGAGATGAGATGTCAAGGGGCGATGTAAAAGAAGAGGGAATGTGGTGTGTGTTGACGATGAAAAGACCAGCAGAGATCAGGCTTCAAGGCTAGCTAGGTTGGGGGGTGTGAGTCCTTTTGGGATACGGTGAGAACTCTTGGAATAAAGCGCACCGGATCAGGGGAAGAGGGGGGTGGGGGGGATACATGATGGTCCTCGATTGGGGGGGGGGTTTCCCTAACGCATACGAATAGAATTACAGGGTAATGACAGAGGTATAATTACAGGGCATTGATAGAATTTGGCTTGCTTGCTGCTCTGCGGTTTATGGTTGACTGTATGGTCTGTATTGTTTTTGTATGAATAAGGTAGCTCGGCTTGATTCCTCTTTAGTCTGTCTGGGGCACGATGTGTGTATGTGCTCGGCGCAATCAAGGCTTACAGGCACAGCTATGCCAGTCTGAACTTTGATATGACGGAGGTAGTTAGCATCCCCTGGCCTTGGGTGTATGGGGTCTGACGGGAAACGGTGGTGCACTGGGAATGGGAAATCGACCGCCGGCGTCCAGAATACAACTGCATTTATATTATACCATGGCGATAATGACTTCAGACCATACAATACATAACGAGGATTTCATGGCTTTGACATGCACCATGCAATATGCTCTCGGACTTGACCTAATTCATCTATCAAGTTTGCTGTTAATCACATGCCGATATGGCGCAGCTTCTCGACACAAAAAAGAAGAAGCAATAATATATAATCATGTGTTCCATCAAGCTTTAGGGCCACAAAGTCAACTGCGAACAAGAAGACGAGGCTGAGCCACTGAATCAGCTTTAACGGCTAGACTCAACATGTTCTCTTTCGAACAAGGTGATCATTTCCTTGCCATGATAGTTTTGCTCGGATTTTGCCCCCTGAAACTGGCGAGATGTCTTTTACGGCCTCCTCGTCCTGTGCTGATGCATTATTGGATCCCCTTCGATCAACAAAGTTGCAGCCGCCGATGAACTCTGGACAACTCCCAGTACTACACCGAACAGATCCCCGAGAGACGGCGGCCACAGAGTTGACCATCTTCAACAAGCTCCCCCCTTGGGAACTCCGAGGACATACGATGGACAATCGCAATGCGGTGGGAAGAGCCAGACGCGCACTGTTCTCTGGGTTTTTGAATGGCAGGGTGTACCGGGTGCTTTAACAAAGAGGTTAGATGTAGAAGATGCTATCGAAGGAAACGGACCGACTGTATATCAAAGTGCTATAGGCACACACCTAAGACCTTAGGTGACTGAAATCCAGACAAATCACATGCAGTCAAGAACAAGTACAAGTTCATACGGCCCAGCTTTTGTTATGCTATGTAGGAAAGATATGTATCTGTAGCTGTAAAAGCCAGCGGTGCATAGTCCTGATGAGAGCAAAACCCCCAATGGCTTCTTCGGATCCATAACCCACAATCACGGGTCCATTCCACCCCGATCCCGTTCGTTGACTGATAAAAAAAATGAAAAGGCGGCAGCGTAGAGGTAGGTTGGTAGATTACGTGCGGAAAATATATAGGGTAAAAAAAAAAATCCCAAGAAAAGCCGAAACCCACGAGTCCAGTGTCTGGGGCTGTGGCTCGTTCCGTGACGCCCTTGTGAAGCGGAAAGTGCAGAACATAAAACGCCAGCTTTGGTCCGGCCGTCGGGAGGGCCATGTACATCCTCCCCTGCTTCGTCATCCTCCTCTAATGGTCGTCGAGACACTTCCCTCAACAACCAACAACTCCTCCCCGCCTCGGTCACAAACAAGGCGTGAGACCAAAGGCCACCAGCGTTCCCTGCATAAACCGGTGCAGATATTCAACAGATTAAAAAAACAAGTATAACAGAAACCCTTTCCCAGAAATCGACAGAGACACCCACACACCCACACACCCACACACCCACACACACAAGAACCTCTTCCCCGGGGAGGAAGATAGAGTTCGCCACCACCAAAAGCAAAGACTTTGTTCACACTCGTTCGATAGACATGCCGCGGATCGTCAACTCGGGGAGTTCGTATCACGTCCTCTCCGAGACAACCCACTTCTTGCGGTCCTTCTTCTTCTCAGCGCTTTCGCCATAGACACCGGCACCGGATATCGACGCGGCGGAGAACATGCCGGCATGAGGCATGTGGACCGAAGGCTGCGACTGGCTGGACGGGAGGCCGCCGCGCTTGCCGAGGGCGTACTGCCGATCCTTCTTGCGCAGGTAGCGGCGGCGCCAGATGCAGGCGCCGATCCAGATGCCCGCGATACCGACAACCATGACGACGATGAAAATAACCCACTGCCAGTGGTGCGTGAGCCTGATCGGGCGCGTCTTAGCAGCGCACCAGAGGAGAGGACGGACGGACGGGTGCAAACAGAACTCACCAGTTACCACCGGGACCCGGGTGCTTGACCCCGACGTTGCTACCGCTGTTGGAGCCGCTCGTTGATGTCGAGGACGAGGATGTGGTGGTCTGCTGTTGCACGCCCTTGGCGTTGGCGGCACAGAAGCTCGTGAACCAGTTCCGGACGGAGGTCAGGTCGGCGCCGGCACAGGCGTCGTCGCAGACGCCGCTGACGCCGGCGGCGAAGGGGGAGACGCGCGGGTCGGCGCAGAAGCACGAGGCGTAGGTGCCCAGGTCGCCCCTGGGCTTGGCGGGAGGAACGCAGGCGCCGTTGGCATCGTAGAGGTGGCCGCACTTGACGCCACAGCTCGGGAGAGCGGCGAAGGGAACAATGGTGGTTTCTAAATTGAGCGAGGCAGAAGGTCAGTTATCTGTGTAGGCCATGTACTTTGAGCGGAGAAATGTCCAGGCGCGGCGGTCATCGAAATCGCTCGCTCCAAGGATCGTGCCCGACATCATTTGGCGCCTCGTCTATGCCACGACGTACCCATTATGAAGTTTGAAATCCAGAAAATCAAGCTCCGAGAGGTTTCGAAGGGAAATTCGATATCGTGTTCAATGGATCCTACAAGGAGAGGTCGCGGATGTCGCCGTTTGGTTGGCTAGCAATGATGTTGTCGATCACCTGAAGTCCAGTCCCACCCGAATAGCAGGACAACTGTATGATTTCTGGATCGCGCACGTCTGTCACTCGTTCGTTCGCAAAAGCGGCTTCGAAGAGGCGGATTGATTGAATCTGCGGTTGAACCTGCCCTTCGTCGTTACGGAGTCGAGGTCGAGGTCGAGGTCGAGGTCGAGGTCGAGGTCGAGGTCGAGAGGCAGGAGCAATCGCGTCAGCCGGAAGTCGCAACGGGAGGAGTAAGCGAGTGTGGAGAGGCCAGCGCTCGCTGCCTGTCTGTGGTTCTTGTCGTCGTCCAAATCCCTCCTGAAGGCGAGATAAATGAGCTTCCGATGAAGCTACGTGTCGGCGTGCTCAACCACCATGAACCGCGCAAGGGGTCTTGGTCGTCGAGGGGGGAGAAGGAGCGTAGTGTTTTTCCCTTGATTGTCGATGCAAATCCCTGGGTTGACAAAAGCAGGGAGGACGGGCCTAAGGGTTGAGGGGAGGGGAACGGGAAGAAAGAGAGAAGAATGAATGGATCGGATGGGATCCACTCGATGCTGCTGCGGTGCAGGCTGGGGAGATGAGCAACCACGCAACCCACGGCACCACACACCCGTGGACGCATGCATGCACGCCTGGACACGATAAAAACGGCGCAGCTCTGGCACGCGTGATGGGGGCCTTCGCAGAGTAATTCTGCGCCGGCTGCAGCAGACGGCCTGAAGGTGGACCCACCCCCCTAATTTGGACGGTGCCCAGAGCACTCGGGGGGTTTAGGCCATACTAGCACAGGGCTGGTGTCCCCAGAAATCAAGGAAAGGCACCCATGGATGACACTCTCATGGATCAATGCATTCGTACCAGACCAAACCCCCCAGAGACTATCCCCCGAAGGATTTCATTTCCAGGACAATGGGCTGCCCATTTTGAGCGAGCAGATGGATGTATGTCATCCGCACCCATGTCGCCCGTTGTCACCAGAGATCGTATCCCGCGAAATGACTGGGCAATCGCGTGCCGAACTGCCCTATACGAGGAGGGCCTCGCTATGGCTGCCTGCAGAATTGATGGACAATTGACAGAGCCATTTTCCGCTGCTGACTGAGACACTATTCCTCAGTATTTTGCTGGGCCCGGTTGATCTATTGGCTGAACTATGGCCGCCAAGGTCCCATTGCAATGAGACAACGAGCTTGGACTTCCTCTCAGTTCAACCTGCATGCCGCATGTACCGTGCGATGACCCATTAGGTAGAAAACGGCGTGCCAGACGGTCGCGGTGGGTGGCACTGTTCCTGTTCGCTTACTTCGTACTTGTACAATAGGAGGTGTCATCATGCTGGGTACCTACGCTCTGTGCACGACGCTCGTACACATGGACGCCAAGTCTCGCCCTTTGGTGGGTCAGTCCGAATCACGCCTGGAGGACAGGTCTGGGCGGACAGTGCCATCTTTGTTGGGCCTGTACGAATTCCGGGGAGCATCGATTTTCAAGTGATCGCCATGGGAAACTCGATCATTGACAGGCCAAATCCCCGCTTGACTTGTGCCGGTGCAATACAGCCTAGAAGCCCAGCCGTCGAGTGGACATGTGAGAGCTCATGATGTAGCCACCTAATGAATGTTCCATCTCTTCCTTCTGTCAATGCGAACATGGCCCGAGCCCTGGTGAACCTTGATCGGCTTGCATGGAATACTCTGTACTGCACTTGCATCTTCCGCAGACGCCATGAAGCTTTATGGGGGCCAGATCTGTTCTTGCTGTCGGTGGCACAAATCAAAATCGCGACACTTGAGATGTACATCGACTCGTGATAACTCAAAGACTGCGGGTGTTGACGCTTTTATGTTGCTGCCCCAAGATCTCGTCTTTTCTCCATGCCGTTGCGAGATGCGACTTCCACCCGCCAATAGGGCGTTCATCCTGCCCCTGGCGTGCACGACCCTGAATTTTATCCCCAGCAATTACCCGTCCGCTTTGGCTCGCAACTTTCAGGGGCCGACTATTGCTAGCTGCCGCTGATTGCCCCATTCTGCTACAGCCTCACCTGATTTTTATCATTTACGCCCGCGACCTGATAACACTCACCACGGGACCGGGGTTGTGCCACCTTCTTTGTCCTTGGTGCCCTCTGCGGCTCTTTGACACTACCATCTTGCCATCGCCAAAGACGTGCTAGTTAACACTGCTCGACTGCCTTGCTGGGCAATACGATTGAACGCCATGGCGCGCAGGCAACACCTCTCCCTCATGGTCCTCCTGGGCTTCATGGCATTCCTCACCCTGACCTACTTCACGGTCGGCGGCTCCTCGGCCGAGCGCTACCCGGTCAAGACGGACGTGCTCAGGAGCGCGGCGGAGGACAAGACGGACATCGCGAAGGAGGCTCAGAAGGGCGACTTTGGTCTGCCTTCGGACATCCTGAAAGGCGGCGCCATCGCGCCCAAGCTGGAGAACGCCACGATCAAGTATGCATCCCAATCTAGCCATCTATGACTCCCCAGACGCATCCCGTCTCGCTTTGCGTGCGCACGAGGCTGACTGACCCCCTTTCTACTCCCCCGTCGCAGAGCCGAGCTCGGCCGCTCCTCGTGGCGCCTCCTGCACACGATGATGGCCCGCTTCCCGGAGAAGCCGACGGCCGACGACAGCCTCGCCCTCAAGACCTACATCCAGCTCTTCGCGCGCCTCTACCCCTGCGGCGACTGCGCCGCCCACTTCCAGAAGCTGCTGGCCAAGTACCCGCCGCAGGTGTCGAGCCGCAACGCCGCCGCCGGCTGGGCCTGCTTCGTCCACAACGAGGTCAACGCGCGGCTCAAGAAGCCGCTCTTTGACTGCAACAACATCGGCGACTTTTACGACTGCGGCTGCGGCGACGACGACAAGAAGAAGAAGGACAAGGAAGGGTCCGGCAAGGGGGCCGGAGCAGGCGAGGGGGCGGCGCTCAAGACGCAGGAGAGGAAAGAGGATGGCGGCGGCGGCAGTAGTGTGAGTGTGGAGAAGGAAGGGTGAGTCTGCCTGTGGTTACGCCCGGGCGTAGATCTTCGCTGCGGAGTGTTGTGCTGACCCCTTGCCCACAGGCTGACTAGAGGAGGCTGAGAGTTGCCGTCCACCATGCATATTGGCGTTTTCTTGGGTTTTGAATGTCATTGAATTAGAAAAGATTCCAATTTGTGATTGTTTTGCTCAGTCAATTCTGCTGTGAGGGACTGGCGAGCGTAAAGTCTATCTGGGTAGATGATACAAAACATCATAGCAGGCCGCCCATTTCTCTGGATGGCGCGGCTCGTATATAAGAGAAACTTCCCGTCAAAGCACATCCTCACATAGACGTGCCTGGCAAGTCTGCCCTCCTCGAGCTCTTGATGATAGCTCCAGCTGTATTCCAGATATCACGTGGGGCCACTCGAACTTGACCTGACGGGAGTGGAGTCCCCTTCCGACTCCGTAGGTAATTCTGCCGGGCGGTGAATGAAGCCTGCCAACGCGTCGGAGCTGCCTGAGCTCATTGACCACAGGAGCTCCAACCTCAGCCCGCCGCCTCAGAACCGTTTCCAAGCAAACGACCCAACACCATCTCAACATTTCCATCTTCCCGCACGCACCGAAACGAACTTCTTGCGAACCAGACGCTGACATTACTCATCACTGTCACCGCACGAATAGCTCAGTATGGAGTTCGGCACTTCTGGCCATCTCAATGAAGGTGCGCAAGCTCCCGAAAGTCGATCGAAGCATTAGGCCACCTGGGGCAATGTTCAGAACAGGGTCGCTGACTATGCGCGCAGATGGCATCCACGTCGACATGGATAGGTTAAAGAAGGGAGAGGTCAAGTAAGAGATGCGCCAATGCCCCAGTAGCGAGGAGAATCAAATGCTGACGCTCGTCGAACAAAACAGCCTAGGTACTTCGATGTGAGCATCCTCCACGCCCTTCGCCTTCAGAACATGCGAGCATCGCTCCCAAAAAAAAAAAAAAACCTCTTGCTGACAACAACTCTCCTCTGCCTACAGTATGGCGGTCACATTCAAGGACGGTGTCATCCTGGGCGCCGACTCCCGGACGACGACAGGCGCTTACATCGCCAATCGAGTGACGGACAAGCTGACCAAGGTCCACGACACCATCTGGTGCTGCCGGTCTGGCTCTGCCGCCGACACCCAGGCCGTTGCCGACATCGTTCAGTACCAGCTCGGCATGTTTGCCATGACCAACGGCAAGCCCCCGACCACCCAGACCGCAGCCGCCATCTTCCAGGAGATCACCTACGCGAACAAGGACCGGTTGACGTAAGTGTTGGAAGGGCCTGCGTTGAGCTCGCCGGTTCTACTTTCTTTCTGAAAGTCAGGACAGTGCTCTGATGCTGATTCTTGGATATCTTTTAGTGCTGGTCTCATCGTTGCCGGCTGGGACGAGCGCCACGGCGGCCAGGTCTACTCGATCCCCCTGGGAGGATCCCTTCACAAGCAGTCGTACGCCATCGGCGGCTCTGGCTCAACATACATCTACGGCTACTGCGACGCCAACTGGAAGGAGGGCATGGAGGAGGCCGACGCCGTCAACTTTGTCAAGGGCGCGCTGAAGGAGGCCATCAAGTGGGACGGCAGCTCGGGCGGTGTCATCCGCATGGTCGTCCTGACCCGCAAGGGAGCGGACCGGCACCTCTACCTCCCGGACACCGACTACAAGGTTCGACACGAGTGAACGGAAGCGAGCAGCGGAGATGGGGGACTGAGGGCACGTGAGCAGGTCCGGCTGCTGCCCGAGTGAGCTTCGGCTTGTCAGGGGAGATGGTAAAAGCCCGGCCAGAACACAGGCCACGTATGTACATTATTTCTCTTTACTACCAGCCATCAGAGGTGCAAAGTCCAAGGCATCAAGACTCGGTAATAGACAGACATGTCGACTTCCCCAGTGGAGCCGAAACGAATGCTAAGTTTGCTGCGCAATTGGCCAATCTCTCTTGTACCTATGTGAACAAGTCGAAATGTCAGAGCCCACTTGGCTTCGTTAGCTGCAGGATCATGTGTTCCTGTTTGATACAGTTACCATGCACGCAAGTTGCGGCCAGTCAGAGCTCGAGTACCCGAATCGGGATCACCCACCTGGTAGAAGGCAAGCGAGAAGCAAGGTGACAGAACAATAAAACCCCCTGCGATCGATAACGCCGATGGCTTGGCAAAAGGAAGGTACTCCTAGGCGGTGAGTCCGCCTTGTTGTCAAGCTCGCCTGCAGAAACCCGAGCGGACCGGCTGCCGTTGGACGAATGGGAACGCGGCCGGCATTGGCGTGTGAAGGAGACAAAGGGGGGGGGGGGGGTAGATAACAAGCATGGAAGCAAAGGCCGTGTGGTTTCGAGAAGACAAACCCTTGTGCCGTTGATGCGTTCCGGGGCTGAACCCGACTAGTCGGGTTCACGTTCGGCTTTTGCTGCGTTCGAGTCGTTCGCCAGCTGAGGATTTCTCACCGCTGCTCGTGGAACCCAGCTGGCCAGGATGTGATGTGGTGTGAGGCAAGCAGGGACGACGGACGGGGGAGGCAGGGGAAGGGAGGGAGAGAGTGCCGGGCCGGGAAATGGGAAATGGGACCCGGTGTCTGGTCTGGGTGGACAAAGAGAAGGCTTGGGAGGGTACATCGTGATGTGTTTGCTTCCCTGGGCCATTTACATATTTGCTGTGTATGTACATGTATGCAGTTACCTATCATATACCTATGTAAGGTGTGTGCCCGTACAGCAGAGAAATCCGCATGTGTGTCCTTGTAGATGGGCTGTGAGTGGTTGTGGGCGCCCGTGAGCCCTCGTGCCGGTGTTCTGGGCGCAGATTGGCCGGGGGCGAGGGGATTGGCATCGAGGCGTCAGTGCCAAGTTCCCGGGGTGGGGATAACTCTGTGGTTGGCGTGTCTGTGTCCGGCGTGGGGTAAGCTTCCACGGCTTCTTCCAATATCAGCTCTTTGCGAGATAACTAGAGGTACCTACGGATCACGCATGCCTCGGCTTCGACGACTCTGGTTTCGTTTCTTTTTGCTTTTGCCCTTGAAAAATGAAACCAGTCGGTCTACGGTCATGGAATGGCATTGTTTAAGAATTATTAATATCATGGCGAGACAGCAAGGTCAACGTGTTCAGCCGGCGTCCTGCGACTTGCCGATGACGGCTGGGTGGTAGCACTGCTTCCCAAGCAAACATGGAACTGGTATGTCGGCAGGCTTCTGCTGCTCTTGTATGGCGTTGCACAGCATGCAGCTCATGGCAGCCGGAGCTGGGACAATCAACGGGAAGTGACAGGTGCATTTTCTAGATGCAGGCAGAAAAGGGAGCACGAAGCATCAACGGCACGACCGAATGCCCCCCCCTGATCTTCGTCGCCGCTTGCCCTGCCTACCGCATATGGCACATCATAACAAAGATCGCTGGTTGGCTGGATGCAAAAAAAAAAGAAGAGAAAAAAGCAGCGTGTCAGATTTTCCCAGCGGACGGCCCAGTCCGCTCATCGCGGCCCAGGATTTGATCTGCGCGCCAACCTTCTCGTCACGGTCAGGGTTGACTGGCCGAGAGGGGGCCGCCAGATACCTGATGGTCGAGAACCATGTAACTCCGTAACTGCTGGGATGTTTTAGAGGAAGGCCAGGCTTCTTAGAAACAGGGCCATTCCTAGGTGTCTCTGCTTGCCCCTACTAGTTAGTACTTGTACCTGAACATCGTCAGTCAAATGGTCAACAGGATCAGTTCACCGACCGACAGCCTCGACTTAACTACCTGTTATTCCTCTGACATATACTTCGAGCCCCAGGCCTCCGTTACTCATCATCCGGGAACACGCCGTCGGACACGCAAAGGTTTCCAGGACACCGCCACGAACCACCCCTATTCCAGCGGCGCGAGCACGTGGCAAAAAGGGGCCACGTCCTGCGTGCTTCTTGCGACATCATCGCTACCCATATCGTTTCCTCGATTAGACAACGGGGGCACTCGTGTATCGACGGCCTTATCATAGAGGTCCTACCTACCAGACACCACCGTGCTGCACTTCCTTCACCGATTGTTAGATTGTTCCCAGTCTGGCATCTGTAGCTGATAAATAACTCCCAGCCGATCCGCCCTTTTGTTTTCTCTATTTCTAGTCCCTCTCTTCTCTCCCCCCCTAGTCTGTTTCTGCTCTTGTTATTTCTTCTTTTCCCCTCTCCCCCTTGTTCTAGAAGGTTGCTTGTTTGCTCAGTGCATTACTCAGTTTGGACGCTGGAGTTTATGACATAAGTTTTGCATGCCCGCCACTGCATCTTGGTGTAGGTACTCCATCCTCATCCTCCTCCTCCTCCTCCTCCTCCACTCCCAACCAGGGAATCATAGATTTATATTTCGTGGGTCAAAAAAGTTCTCAGACCAGGGGCTCGTGCACACTGATCTGTGTTGACCTCACATGCAAATACACATCCATCACCGTGAGGGGGAGATTAGAAACACAAGAACAACAACTCACACCCAGTCAAAGCTTCGGCACCTACCTACCTAGGTATTGTCCACCATCTCAGCCATCCATCCGCCCACTGATCAAGCCTGGCCCAAGACGCAGCACTGCACTACGGTTAGCCTGCCCGCAGTGCGTCCCTGGCCTGGCGAGTGAAATCGGCGCTCAACCCACTACGCGCATCGACTAGGCTCCACCGCCGCCCACTTGGTTCCCCTCTGTCAACGCATCGAATAAATCGGGCCACCATCCCATCCCCCCTCAGCACCTCGAAATATCTCAAGTCCATTTCTCATCCTTGGGGATAGAAGGGAGGAATACATTTGGTGCTTTCTTTTCATCATTCGCCTTCTCTCTCCGTGCCACCGACATCGACTCTGGTCTCGCGCGCGCCACGAGTCAGCCTCTTGCAGAAGCTCGCTGCAACGGACGGCCTCCCCGGATCGGCACACACACGAGACATACGGCTGCATTCTTTCTTTTTTCCCCTTCTTCTTTTAATATCTTTGGCTTGTTGCAGAGTGCGAATCCCGTCCCGCCGTTTTTTCTTGCGTTTTGCGTTGCGACTCGGGCAATCGCGGAGAGGGGCACCAACCAAACTGTCTGATTCTTAATCGCTGCCCGCACCACCACAGACGCGCCACGAAAGCATCATCAACGGCACAACCCAAAGACCGGGAGGCTTTTGCTTTTCAAACCGTTCGACCTGGTAAGCGCTCTTGTTTTTTTCTTCTCTTTTTTTTCTTTTTTCTTTGTGAGTTGTCATCGCACGTCATCAGCCTGGTCTTGCCGCATCTCTCGCATTCCACGTCCCTGTATTGCCCTGCCCGTCTGCCAAAAAGTGACCCGTGAGTGACGTCGTTGGGCGCGAGGGGACACAACTCCCAAGTCTGGATCACCGCAAAGGAGAGGGGGGAAAAAGCAGCACAATTACTACACCCCTCGCCGCCGCCGCCCGATAAGAGGCCTCACAGTCTGCTTCGTGGGCAAGAGGCTTGTCTTTCCGTGTATGCTCAGCCCGGCCAAGTGTTTGGAGTACTGCATTGATTGATTCGCGGGGCTCGGTCAGGCAGCATCCTGCTCCCTTGGCCCTCTGCGGCCAATCCATAGCACAGCCAAGCCGGTCCAGCCCCGGGCGGGCGAGGGCCGAAAGCCTCTATCGCGGCCCCCAAATCGCCAAACCAAGGCCCAAAGGCGGTCCCAAGTTGGTCATCAACAACACGGCCACGTCTGTTGCTCCCTTAGTGCGCTTGACACGAGGCTGACTGTCCCCTGAATGGGACGCCGCGACGCTTGCTTTTGTATATCCATATTTCTTTTACAGTCTTGCTTGTTGTCAATTGCTTGTCCTCTCTTATCTCTCGCGCCCCTCACATCTTTTCATGCCTCGGGACCATCAGGCCCAATTTGAACTCTTGGTTGGGACTGGAGGCGGCAAAAAAAAGGACGCTAACCAACACTGCCAACCATAGTTGATCTGATACTAAGCGCACTTTCTCGACGACATTCCCCAACAAGCCTGTCCCGACTGAGAGAACGATGCTATGGCCACTCTAATCGGAGACTTCATCGGAGACCATTCACGCTTTCACCATACCATGCACCCCGCGTCGGGCATCTCCTACCAACAGCAGCATTCGCACGAGCCGGCCTATCAGCCCCCGAGTCGGCCCAGAGACGCGCCTTCCCGCCACCACTCCTCAACCTCCTCCTCTTCATCCAACCACAACCACCCAGAGTATCGCCCCTCGGCGGCGCTGTCAGCGCAAGCGCATTCCCACACCGGCAGGAGCGCCTCGCAAGAGCAGCCGTTTGGGTCTGCTGACCACGCGCCGGCTCCTCCTCCTGGTGTCGTCGGTCAACAGCCCGGCGCTGAGTCTGCGCTCTTCCCGACCCCTCCGGACTCTGCATCGCCGCATAGCCCAGCTCCCGCACACTCTCGGTCCCAGCATGCACCGAGCTCTGCTTACATGGCCTCCACCGATCCTGCGCTGAACTCCTCAGCCGCTTCCTCCACGTCGACCGTCACCGTCGTCCCTGCCAGCAGATCCACCCCTCAGGCCGCCATACCCTCCCCGGCCAGCGACCCGACATGGTCACCGAGCGTGCACAACAGCCAGCACGGCGCTGTTGTTGATACTGCTGCCGGCTCATCACAAGCACAGAGGACGATCCGGGTAAACGACCTCGCCCACATACAGACCCTCGCCGGTCTGGACCTAGTGCCCAGCGCCGAGGGCGGTCTCAGCGACTCGGCAGCCCAAGACATCAAGTTCGACATTAGCGGGATGCCCATAGGAGACGTCATCGAGATGGTTGCTGCTCTGTTGACCAAAATCACCACCACGAACGATCTCCAGCACGACGCCCTGAACCGCAACGTGAACCACCAGAGGCAAGCACAGGCGCAAAGCGAGGGCTCCGAGTCGCACTCGAGCCCCTTCTCGACTTCTGTGCTGGCCTTTCACGGGAAGAACGTCCCCGCCATCACCATCCTGAGCTACCTGTCCCGAATCCACAAGTATTGCCCGACAACGTACGAGGTGTTCTTGAGCCTGCTGGTCTACTTTGACCGCATGACGGAGCGCGTCAACGACATGGTGATGAAGGACGAGCAGGAGCGGAGGAAGTCGCTGGCGGAGAGGCGACCAACTGCCACGAGCTCGGCGGACGTCGATACCCCCATGGAGAATGCTGGCCACCACGAGAGCGACGAGTCGGACGAGGATCTGGCAGACGACAGCAGCGACGACGACGACGATGACGCTGGGAGCGGGAAAGGGAAAAGCATCGAGACCCACCCGGCGAGGACGGCCAGCGCCCACGACAGCATGCCGTTGCCGTCGGCGACGTATTTCGTGGTGGACAGCTTCAACATCCATCGGCTGATCATAGCCGGTGTCACTTGCGCGAGCAAATTCTTCTCGGATGTCTTTTACACCAATTCGAGATATGCCAAGGTATGTCGTTAGCATGCTGACTCTCCTACCTTTGTGTACCCTCCGTTCTCTTTTTCTTCCTGGGCAGGATGGCTGACTTTGGGGCACAAACAGGTTGGTGGACTTCCCCTGGCCGAGCTCAACCACTTGGAGCTCCAGTTCCTGCTGCTCAACGACTTCCGACTCGCCGTGCCCGTCGAGGACCTCGAGGCCTACGCAACGATGCTCGTCGAGTTTTATGCGCGAGAGGTGATTGCTCATCGGCCCCGGGCGGCGGCGGCGGCGGCAGGGACCTCCGAACATTGATGAGCAACACATACATGGACATGTTTTCATTTTCTTGGATGATGGGAAAGTCGGTGGGGGGAAGTCTGGCAACAGACTTGTTGTCGTAATGGGAAAGAAATAATACAGATGAGATACCCGTGGTCGTGAAAGACCACATTACATTATAGATCGCCCGGCTCGGACGCTCGGGGGTGAGGGGGTTGCCGGGCCTTGCCCCGGATCTGGAACACGGTTCGGGGAGACGGCCCTTCCCGGGGACGGCAGGGGTCTGAAGAAGGTGCTGGCTGGCCTGGGGAGGGTGGTGAATATGCTCGCGTGCTAGAGGAGGGAGGGGATGGATGAGGGATCCTGGAGCTGGGGTCATGAGAACTAGCTTGGGTCCTTTTTTTGCGCGGAAAGGTATTTGCTGGCTCTGAGGGAAGAGGGCAGAAGAGTTCGAGGAAGAACAGACCGCTCCAAAGATTGCTTCAATCAAAGATTACGATGTCACAACATACGACCGGCGAGAGAGAAGAGGGGGGGAGGGGAGGAATACAGGGGACATTTATTACCGCAACTCGGTTGTTGCTTACAGTTCCGTACAGAAGAAGGCCTCTCCTGACCTTTTGCACCGCCCAACATGAGAGAGAAAAGATACCCCGGATATAGAATATGACGGGATATACGTTTTTTTTAGACTGGCTTTGCTTTTGATGTTTTTTTTTTTTTTTTTTTTTTTTTTTTTTTTTTTTTTTTTTTTTTTTTTTTTTTTTGGTTTCTCCTCACAGAGCGGTACGAAGGAAGGGAGGAAGGGTGGAGGAAGAGATGGTTGAGAGAGCGATGATTTTAGATTTCATGCATCCGGAGAGAAGGTAATGGACGGGAGGTAGGTAGCTAGGGGTACCTAACTGGAGCTGGGAGTCACAGGTCCTTTTTTCCTTTGGGACAATGGCAAATATCATCTGTAACTTTTTTTCTTCTTCTTCTTCCTCCGAGGGGTGCTGGGTTCATCTGCTGTGACCCGTGATGCTGGTATGTAGGATCAACAAAAGATGATTGATGTGCTGTGCTCTCCAAGGACAAGTCGACGCAAGTACGTGCGTGGGAGGACTGTCTGCTTGGCAATCATTATCATTATCAAAACGAGATTTTGGGCTGGTAGGAGGGTGGGTTTCTATTTCGAGAGGAGAGGAGGGATCGCACGGTGTCATGTCATGACACATGCATGTCGAGAGTCACGTACAAGTAGTTAGTCGAGATTGTGATCTCTCTCGGTTCGGTTGACAGGCCGTGCAAGCCCCCCTCCCCCCATCTGCCGAGCCCGGATGTGCGTACCGGAACGAACGTGGATGCCTCTCGTACGCACGTCCCTTGGGGATCAACGACCAGTGTTGGTTGGCATTTTTTGTGATTGGGGATCCTTGGGGGACGGAAGCTCGGAAAGTATATGCTTGCTTCTTTCGTCACGGTCCCATTTTGCATGCACTGTGACTTTGGGGAGGAGGGAGGAGGGAGGAGGAGGACGAGGCCAGCTGGACGGCATACATAGTTACGCGTGTAGTACATTTTCGGGTTATCTATCCTTTCGAGGGAGGGACCCTTTTTGACAAAATTTCTTTTTTATGTATGGTGGGTGTCTTGTCTGTACACACCCGGTTCCTGCAGTGGGATGGCGCTTTCTAGGCCTCCGATTTGCTGGGGTGGGTGTGCTTGTAAGCTTACACACCTCCTTGCATGCGAATGTGTGTGTGAGTGTTGCATCTTGCATCGTGGTCGTACATTTTGTGTCTTAGATGGTCCGACAGAGATGGATGGATGGATGGCGGTCCTCAGATTTGAACCAATCCCCATGTTTCGTTTCCTTTTTTTGTCTAAGGAAATCAAAAGCCCTCGGTTACGGAGCCGGCCAACGTCGAAGAAGATCGGCATGCGGGACTTCCGTGTCTGGCAGCTCGAAGCTCGTACCCCCTTTTACAAGTACGTTGCTGACACGGAGACCCCTTGCCCCTGACCATGATCGTGGCGCTGCACTGTACAAGTACTTGACTAAATTTATTCTTCCGACTGACAGAAGCGAGAAGAAATCAGAGATCCCTTCCACATCTGAAATGCGAACAAAAGAGATCAGTTGAGGATATTGCCCCATGCAGCCTAGGACCAACGATCGGATTCGATGCAGCCCTGTGGCTACCGCCGGGGGCGCCCCAAGAAAAAAACAAGCTTAACAGCCTCTTACGTACATAAGCTCGCGGCAGACGGACGGGGGGGGGGGACTTGTCCACATCCCATCCCCGGTGGTGAAGAATCGTTGACCATTTTGATTGACAAAAACTCAATTGGGCATTTTGTGTTGACATTGCAACGATACGTTACATGTTTCTTCCCCGCACAGTGTTTTCCCCTTCGGATACGTTTCAAAGCTGGCAAGAGGCGCCGCCACTCCCCCTTCCAGGGTGGTAGCGCAAGTGGTGAACCGTGGCTCTGGAACAGAGATGGGAGAAGGGGGATCCTGGGAAGGGTGCAATGCCTTGTATGTAACTAGTTAAGTAGTATTGTGCTGCTGGCTAAGAGACCTGTTCGTTGCCCGTTCTATGACGATTAGGGCAGGTCACGTCGTTTGTGGGCGATTGCAACACCGGCCGGCCAGTGCCGTCACAATTGAGGCCTGGTCGAATCGAAACACCACTAACTACCTGTCAGGTATGAAGCGGCGATTGCAGTTGGTCGAAATCGACGTTGTGAAGAAGCTCGGGTCACACTGGGAAGCGTTGCGCGGTGGTGTGTGGATGGACATGTGATAATCTGCAGTCATAAGGTAGGTAGGCAATGAATGGGATGCAATTGCAATGCCGGTCGCTCTTCCCTTCTTTTGTTTCACACGGGGGCACGCACGCATGCCTAGTGCTTTTGTATCATTGATGTTCTCGCAGAAGGAAATCGCAGCCGGGGTCGATCATTGATTGGCCTGTCCCCGGGCTGATCTCTCTCTCGGCAAGAGCAACATTGAAGCAGGCAGGAGAGAAGAAGGCGTGATATGTGACTTCGAGTTGCAACACTGTTCGTTCCCTGATCCCGCTCGCGCAGAAAGCATTGGTCCACAAGCCGTTGCATCTCTGTGGCTTCAATCTCACAGTGCTTCGCCATATTTTATCGCACCACAACCAGGCCTGGCCCGATCACACTAGACGGGTGCGAAAAAAGACGATCTCACGGGAGGTGGGGAACAGCCGAGGGCCAAGCATGGCACGCACATGTCCCAGCCAACGGTCCAACTTTTCCTCAAAGGGGCGACCACTACGAATTCAGCCTATCCCCAGAGCAACAGACCGAGAGAAGAGAAGATTGGAAAGGGAAGAGGAAGGGAAGAGGAAGGGAAGAGAGCAAAGTCGATTCGGTCCTGTGCTTCCCCTCCCACCGCATCGAGATACTCCGTACAGTCCAGTACAGCACGCATTGTCACTCCACCACCACTGCATCATGTCTTGACCCTGTCCCTCCTCACCACCTTGGGGGACTGAAACCCCATCACCGTCTGCTTGGGGCTGGGTCCCGGTTTTTACGCTCAACGGTCCCGTTGGCTGGGTCTTGTTGAAGCCATTCACCCGCAAATCGAAAAAGAAAGAGAGCCATTCGGGCCTTTTCCCCCGCGATTAAGCGTCTTTTTCCCACGTCCTCTATACGTACCCTGACCTTCGAGATCTTGAAATCTCTAGCAGCAAGATTCACAACCACAAGCACGAGACATTGCGTGTCGTACGTCGTACAAAAGTACGCACCAAGTCTGCCTCGCCCCAGCAGGAAATTTGCAGCGGACAAGTCTCCTCCACCCTGAATCTCGTACTCCCCTCCATCGTTCGTCACCCCCCGTCAGACGCGACCTCGAATCGCAGCATGGGTTCTTTATCCGGCGTTGATACATTGCAGGGTCTAAGAATCAGTAGAAGCTGGGCAGAGACCGGGGTGGTTCGCTGCGACCACAGCCCAGACTCCAGCGACCTCCGTTAGGTATGCCAGATCTCCATGTTCTCTACAGGGGGTCGCAGAGGAGCATGATGAGATGGAGAACCATCTTTGATACCTACGGAGTAGTGGACTTGTCATCAGCCATTGGGGACCATTAGCTCAGTGCGGCTGGGCACCCGCACGTCGCTTACAAGCCCGCTATTGTCTCTTCAACCCCAGTCCAAATGTCTCATCGAACCGCATGGCTGCCTCTAGCGGCAAATCGGAACCGGGAAAGTGGGGGGACTGGTGATTGAGCAATGGAGCCCCCTGGGAGTGACATTGACAGCGCCACCAATGGCCTGGCCGCGGTGTCTCTCCTGCCATCACACCCTCCCAGCTGCTGCCACAGAACGCCAAGCACTCGAGCTCGACCCCTGGGACAGGGTGCAGGGGTCTGACGTACTCCGTACGTACAGCGGCCTCCTGTTGGGTAGGCTGCAGGGCTAAACCTGCCCTCTCATTTTTGTCTGCCATGGACTCTCAGAGGTTCTCATTCCGACAGAGGACGGAGTTGCGTACCTACCTACCAGGTCACCTCGATCTTCTTCTGCTCCCACTCTTCCCGCATGCTCGAGCTACCCACCGCACCAGCAGCACGCTATGGCCGTGCGCTTGACACTTGCGGGGATGCTAATCGATTCTGGAATGCTTTCCCACCCGTGTGGCGTCCCCGCTAAACCTGCTAAAGATTCGCTGCAGAGGATGGGAGTCCCTGTTAGTTCAGCAGCTAGACAACCCTGCAAGCCATGCTCTGGTACCGTCAAAGAAAAAGGAAGAATGCACGGCAAGCGGTAATTGCACGTTTGCAGACTGGGCCGTATGGGGGTGTATGGGGGTTGTTGCCAGTGACCTATCTGATCGGCCGTCTCGAGCAAATCTGGGGTGTGGTGATGGATGGTTACGAAAACGGCTGACCCGATAAGAATCTCTCGCCTTTGTTGGGGGCCGCGTTCGACGAGGGGAGACACAAACCTTGAGGTGATAATGCGAGAGGCGAGGCCAGACTCACCAAGCCCCCCTGCTCTGAATCCTCTTCGAACAAAGGAGGCCCTGTCCATGAGCCCCCCCTTCGTTCCTTTCCTGCCAGGGTCCCTTTGTATGGGCCAGTCTTGTGGTGGGTATCTCCCATGCCAGATGCGTCGTAGGCTTTGGTGGCCTGTCATTACCACACTCCTGCTCTTCGCCTTTGGATATGCGGGCTCTGCGCTCTGGATGGAGGATTTGATGGAAAGCAAATGAAAGCGTCCCCGCCCAGAACGTCCATGCGACAGTGTCGTCGTCAGATAATATCTTGTTCGTCCCGAACTTCCAACTCGTACCCAGTCTGTGTGTTTGCTTGCGGCTCAGTTGGTCCATATACGCTTCCGTCTGTCCTCTTTATCCCGGCTGCGTCTGTTCGCTCCCGCACCTGCATACTCGCCGAAAACGTCGTCGCATACACCCGACATACAGCCACGCTCACTCGCAACAGGCACCACACCACCACCAATTCCGGGAAGAAGGTTTACACAGCGATCTACGAGTTTTCCCGGTAACAGGTTTTCTTTGGAACGCATTGGGAGAATCCCCCCATACATAATTACGACCCGCGTTGCGTACAGGCGTCCTTGGACGCCCTCCCTCTCCCATCATGGACCCGCGGACGTGGGCACGAGCCTTTTCGTCCACCAAGAAGCAGGAGCAGGCGCTGCAATCGCAGCAGCAACAGAAGTCACAGATCATGTACACACAATCAAACGGCTACGGGAGCAAATCGTCGACGACAATGATGGCGGCGCCGCCGCTGCCACCGCCCGCCGTCATCCCGGCGACGCTGGAGGCGATCGCGAAGACGTCGCATGCCATGACCGACTTTGTCCACTCGCTCGGCGCCTTTGCCCATGTCGAGCTCGAGCCCCTCGCCCGCGAAATGGCCGACCTGCGCCTCGTGCTCGAGCTGCTGCGCGACGAGCCCGCTGTGCCGCGCGCGCTGCACGACCTCGTCGCGGGCGTCGCCGGCTGGTGCGCCGACGCCCTGGGCAGGGTCGACGCCGTCCTGGCCGAGTGCAGAGAAGGGCCGGCGCGCAGCGGCCGCTGGGCCGGCAAGGGCAAGAGCGAGGTCGCTGGCCTCAGGGCACGCCTCGAGGCGTACCGGAGGGCGTTGGCGCTGGCGCTCGAAGTGGCGACTCTGTAAGGGCTTCCCTCTTTTTTTTTCTCTCTTTCTCTTACGTTTTGGTTTTTTTGGGTGTGGAATCGGTCCCTTTTCTTTGCTCGTTTTCCTTCTTACCTATGCCCTTCACCGAGGTGTCTCCCGAGAAGGAGAAAGCTCTTCTTTTTTTTGCCCCTTCGGCTGCGGCTACTCTTCTAGCTCTGGTCTGGTTTCCGTTAGGCTCATCCCGATTTGCGTCTATTTTGTCCCGTTTCTAGCCCCTCCCCTTCCCTTCCCCAGCAAAGCACCAGGCACCTTTCTCCGCGTCGTCGGCAGTTCCTCGGCGCGTCATCCAGGTCTTTTTGGGGAAACGGAGCGCATGTGCACGCAAATCATGACAATAAAGCCGAATGGTGTTGGCTGACGAGGCCCTGCTCTGGTTCTTTTCTAATGCAAAATAGGCCCTTCCCGTCAAATAAGGATTCCTTCCCGATACAGGGTTCCGACGTGAGCCAAGAGGCCGATGCGATTCTCCAGAAGATCAACCGCTTGCAGGCGCAGATTCCGCAGGCCGAGTGGGGAAGCCGGCGGTCCAGGTTTACCCTGCAGAGCCATTTGAATGACATGGCTGGTTATGTCGAGGCCGTCGCGGGAAGAGAAATAGTCACCACCTACGAGATACCGTGAGTCTGGTTCCAGCAATCTCTTCTTTTATTAAACTCGACGCCTCCTTTTCTTCCCCCCATCCCTGCGTTGCGACGTGTGCATTGCGCACTGTCTCGTTGTGACGCTGCCTCGTGTGTGACGGGCATCTTTGACTAACGCACGGCTCAGCGAGTCCCCGTATCAGATTAATCCCGGCAGCAGGCCGGTTTCCAGGAAGAGCTCCTTGTCACTGAAGCGAATGAGGAACGCTCTCACCCGCGTGGCTACGTCAGAGAGCCACACGCGCTCCTCCTCTATTAGTTCCGAGTCAACGCCGTCGTTAGACCCGGCCGGCTCGTGGCAGCAGCAAGCACCTGAGGAAGAATTTGCAGTGGCGGCCAAGACGCCATCGCTTATTAGGATGCAGCACAGGACGGCCGTGCACCCCAGGGATCTAGACGACTTATCGGCAGTCAGGAGGGGCAGCCATTCGTCGTCGTCGACGGCAAACAGGGTCTCCAAGACGTCGTCCATGGCTTCGGAAGGCTTCCCGACGCCGGCGCCCACGCGACCCCTGCCCGCACTACCGCAGACCCGCCGCGTCTCGGACCATGCCTCGGTCGATAGCTCGATACCCGGATCGCCGCAGACGTCGCGGAACTCCAAGTCGTCGAGGACGGCGTCGACCATCGACAGGGCGTCGCGGACGTCCTCGACGCGGACACCCCTGTCGCCCGTGTTCAAGGACCCGACGGTCGAGAGCCCACCCCTGTCACCCAAGCATGTGACGCAGATGAAGATGTACCCTACCAACTCAAAGATACCCGGCGAGAGGGACCAGCCCGCGCTGCAGATGGACCTCTCGCCGAGCTCGACGATCCTCTCGTACCGCAGCGGCAACAACGTGCTCAAGATCTGGTCGCTCAGCGACGAGGGCGAGAGGCTCGAGGCGAGCATCAAGTTCTCCTTCCTGGTCAAGGCGCAGACGCGGTCGCGCGACTTCTTTGTGCGCAGCCACGCCATCCTCGCCGAGCCGACGAACCTGGTGGCCATCGCCACGGGGTTCGGGACGACGGTCGAGGTGCACAACTGGCAGCGGAAGAAGAAGGTGCAGAGCTTCAGCGACGCCGACCGCTGGGCCTCGGTCCGCTCCGACGTCTTCTCGGCGGGCTGGAGCCCGCTGGCCATCTACCGCGCCGAGAGCGACACCATCAGCATCTACCCGGCCGAGAAGGAGGGCAAGAAGCCCTTTGGCAAGCCCTACAAGATCGACCTCAAGAAGGCCGGGCTGCCCCTGCTGCCCAAGTACCCGGAGCTCGCCTACTCGACGACGGGGCCCGTCCTGCTGGCCGCCTCGGGCCCGCGCCCGCCGCGCCTCGGCGAGCCGCCCTCGGGCAACGTGACGATGCTCATGGCGTGGGAGATCAAGGACCCGGCCGCCGTGGCCGCGGGCCAGGTCGACCCGCACATCCCCTACAAGTGGCTCAAGCCGCGGCACCCGGAGCTCGAGACGGCGCTGCCGACGTGCCTGTCGACGTACGGCAGCGTGGCGGTCTCGATCTGGATCCCGGCCGGGTACAGGTCCGTGCCCGCGCGGGGGATGCCGGGCGGGTACCAGCTCGTGCCCGTCAGCGTGACGGAGCGACACGTGCTGGTCTGGGAGCTGCAGAGCAACAAGACGAGCACGTTTAGCATCCCCGACGCGCTGTCGTGCGTCTCTCCGGACTGCCGGCTGCTGGCGTACTGCGACCCCAAGGGCGTCCGCTCCGGCGGCAGGGGCAAGATCGCCGTGCTGGACGTCATGAGCGGCGAGGAGCTCTGGCGGTGGCCGAGCCCGGAGCTGGCGCCCGGCCTGGCCGGGTGGGAGGCCCTCGAGGACCTGGGCCAGGTGGCGGACCTGGCGTTCTCCGGGGACGCGGGCGTGTTGTTTGTCGGCGGGGCGGACGGGAGCGTTGCTATGTTCAAGGTGCAGGAGGGGGGCATGGCGGCGGCGGCGGCAGGCAGGGAGGGGTGGGGAGGGTGATTTCGTTGAATGATGCGTGCCGTGTGCAAACTGTATGTGTTTTTGTGATGTGATGGATTCCCTTGCATGTCCTGCTTTGGGTTTTTTGGGGGGATGGGGGCATACTGTGTGGAGTGGAGGTGGCCGATCGAATTTGGATAGTTCCTCTCACATGTTTTTCGATAGCAGGAAAAAGCTTAGTGGGTGTATGATGGGACGGACGTCTTGTTTATGATATCCTAGTTCGTTTGTTTTTTTCCTTTTGGATGTGGGAGGAGTTGTGTTTTTACCCCTTGGTCTGGGGCTGGGGGCCTTGGCGCGAGGCTGGGTTGGATTTTAGTCGTAATTATAGATTTAGGGGGTTTGGGTCTCCAGAACGGGACAACCTTTGAATGAGTACCTTGATAAACGTTCATGTGTCATGTTGACAGTGAGTGACTGCTTGCTCGGTGCGGTAGGTTGTGTTGATGTTCAGTGGGCTCATTCTTCTTTGCTCTGCTCTGTGGTGAGTTGGTTGATTGGCCGGAGTGATTATTAAGAACTCCTGTGATGCAAATGATCCCCGGGCCCTTCTTCCGACCGGATGCTGAAAGTAGCGGCTACGGCACGGCGCACGAGATCTCGAAACTGCCCCTGACAGGACCAAAGGTCTCGTCTATCGAGGGCTTCGGTCTCGGGACTTGGTCACTGGGAGTCTGAATGTATGGACTATCATCGCAGTTGTGATCCGGATTGCAGTCAACTTGAATACATCTCTATGGGCGATCGACCTTTGGCGAATGGGCCTGACGAAGAGGGTGATTGGGAGGCGGACTCGGACGCTGAGTTTTCTCGTGAGGTGCTGCGGTGAGGATTAACCGCCGCCAAGGAAGTGCGAGATAAGGCTGGGCGGCGGCGGCACGCCACCTGCCCACAGCCCTTATAGGTACGGCTAACGCAGTCAGCTGTCGGGGAGGAAAAGACGATTGGAAAATTTGGCAACATGGTCAGATTGTTTAATGGATAGGGAAATGCAAAGGGGGGGGGGGCAGGCCCGAGGAGGACACGAGTTCGATTCCCCGATGACGACGACAGCAAAAAAAACCCGACGACAACACAGACCACTACTCGACGACAGTGCGATCCTGTGCGGTAGTAAAATCCCAAGTGGGATTTTCGAAGCAGGCTCCCCTCCGGGCGGGCCTGTGAGCTTTTTGCACCTTTTTTTCTTTTTCAGTCTTTCTGTATGCTCGAGGTCGACCCCTGAGTATCGTCAAGATGGCTGAGCAGTGATGCAGGCAAAGATATTTCTCTTGATACTAGGGACTATCTCCGCAATTAGTACACTACTGTGATTTCCTTTCAAAGTTCAGGGCTCCTCTTCAACTATATTGATAGCTGTGCATCCCTGGCGTATGAGCTTGTGTGAGGATATCGCGAGTGTCATGACAGCCGGGCCAAACCTAGTGTCCAAACTGATGGAGTGGATGATGAATCAAGAGTCAAAGCACTTGCTACAGGAGAAGATACGCTGGCTTCAGAAACGTAGTGCTGGCCTTCCCATTCTGGCGGCTGTGCTAGACACGAGAGCCTCACTCTTCGTGCGGAGAAGGAAGCGAGAGGCCAGCGGTGAGAAACCGGTGAGGTGATTGCTACACCGAGGGAAATGGCATCCTTTGGTTCAAGGAACTGTAGAGAGGTCCTTCTGTAGCTTTCTGAGGCTCGAATGACGTTCGTGTAGACATTGGCGGTAAGTTTCCCTCTCAAAGACAAATCTTACAGCCTTGCACGCAACACGAGCCAGCCTCGCGATGCTACCGAGATGTGACACGGCATGTGCTTGATAAGTCGATGCGAAAAGCAAGTTCCATCATCGAGGTTTAGCAACGGCATTTCCGCTCCAACAACCTGAAACTACGTATAGCGGTCAGCACGGATTGGACCATCCGGCGCACATTAACCGGATCGAACGCCATAGGCAGGCCGCACTCGTTTACATGTGCCGCAAGCCCCTTCGGCAACTAGTCCCAAACGGTCGGGCGTTAATATCAGAAAGTATATCAAATATACTCCCAGCATGGGAATAAAGGCGATATACCCTCGCACGGGCAATCTACCTGCCAATTGACGCAATTGACGCATTGATTGGGCTACCATCATGCCTTGTGAGGGGTTGAACTGCATGTACGTGGCACTGCAAGGGCGAATAAGTCGTTCATGTTCCTACTGCAATGACGTGCGAGTCGCCCCTGGTGAGTTGTAGGATGGAGAGCTGCCTTTTGGATATCGCGACTCCGGGCTGGACTAATACGAATCAAGCAGCTGCACGCTTCCGATGCAACCCTTCCCCTACTTGCCAATGCAACACACACACACACACACACAGACGCACACGCAAGCTTCGTATCTGGCTAGCGGGATATCTCTGTTGTCGGATCTCTTCGGCACGCGATGCTACTCCAAGCACTGCCCACGCGCCCCGCCGTGCCCTTGATCCCGGCATGGCAAAAGCTTAGCAGGATCGCCCGGACGTTAGACAACCTGCCCAATCCGGCAAGGGAGGCGTTGCTAACGCCGACTTATTACAGGGGTCGCGGCAGTCGATCTTGATTCCACTCTGCGCCCACGGCTCGCGGCATGGAGCGACGGAATGATAGGGAAAGGGAAGGATAGCGAGGAGAGTGCATAAGCTGCCCGGACGAGGTTTCATTCTCGCAGTTCCAGGCACAGCTTAGGAAGGAGCTATGTCCAGGGTCCGAAGAGGCGGGGATCTGCAAGACGGCGCATATTCCGCGGGCTCCTGTGACTATATGAAGCTTTCGGTTCGCCCCCCCTCGACTACCGCAAAGTATATCCGGTTCCTGGACCACCCTTTCTGGTCTCATTTTTGTCCGAGTGCGTGTCGTCGAGGTGCATTTCCCGCCACATCCATCCTCATCACTTGCACAGCTGCTCCCCTCGCGTACGCCAGCTGCCACCCGGCTTCTCTCCTTCCCCACCGCGGGCAAGCATTGCACCACACTCACTCACCGCGATGCTCTTCCCGCTCGCCTTGCTGGCCACGGCCGCCACGGCCCGGGTCATCTCCAGGCTCCCGTCCGTGCCCCAGGGCTGGCGCGAGCTGCGGACGGCCGAGGACGCCGAGCCCATCGTCCTGCGCCTGGCCCTGCGGCAGCAGCACGCCGCCGTGCTCGAGCAGGCCGTGCTCGACGTCTCGACCCCGGGCCACCCAAAGTACGGCCGCCACCTGTCGCGCGACGAGGTGCGCGCGCTGGTGGCGCCCTCGGCCGAGGCCGTCGGCGGCGTCACGGCGTGGCTCGACGGCCACGGCGTGCGGGCCTTTGTCGACAACGACTGGGTCACCGTCGCCACGACGGTGGGCAAGGCCAACGCCCTGCTCGACACGCGCTTCGCGTGGTACGAGTACGAAGGAGGACAGGGACAGAACGGCGGCGGCGCGAGGTCGGCGCCCAAGCTGCGCACGCTGCGGTACAGCCTGCCCGACGAGCTGGCGGGCCACGTCGACATGGTGCAGCCGACGACGCGCTTTGGGCAGCCGGCGGGCCAGAAGTCGACCATCTTCGAGGTGCAGCCCGCGGCTGAGGAGGTGGACGCCAACGCCCCCGCCGCCCTGAGCGCCGCGCAGGTGCCCGCCCCGGACGCCGCGGACGCGCCCGTGCCGTCGTGCGCCAAGGAGGTGACGCCGCAGTGCCTGCACGACCTGTACGACATCCACTACACGGCCTCCGCCGAGGGCAACCTCGTCGCCTTCGCGTCGTACCTCGAGGAGTACGCGCGGTACGCCGACCTGCAGACCTTTGAGAGCAGGTACCTGCCCGCGGCCAAGGGGCAGAACTTTACGGTGGAGCTGGTCAATGGCGGGCTGGATGACCAGTCGAGCAAGAGCGACAGTGGTAAGTGAGGAAGCAGGGCTTTGCTCCCGATCCGGGGAGATGGTGCTAATGAGGGGTGTGTCACAGTCGAGGCGAATCTGGATGTGCAAGCAATCGTGGCAGTGAGCCATCCTATTCCGGTGCTCGAGTACAGCACTGCTGGTCGAGGGTAAGCGCCATGTTATTATCTCTTCATTTCAAGGTGCCATGCTGACAGGGAGTGCAGCCCCTTGGTCCCCACGCCGGATGAGCCCACCCAGCCCGGCAGCAACGAGCCGTACCTCGAGTTCCTGACGCACGTCCTCGCCCAACCGGACGGCTCTCTCCCGCAGACTCTCAGCACCTCGTACGGCGAGGAGGAGCAGTCCGTCCCCGAGGAGTACGCCCTCAAGGTCTGCAACCTCTTCATGCAGCTCGGCGCCCGCGGCGTCTCCGTCCTCTTCTCGTCCGGCGACTCGGGCCCGGGCAACTCGTGCATCCGCGTCTCGGACGGCGCGCCCTTCTTCAACCCGACCTTCCCGGCCGGCTGCCCCTACGTCACGGCCGTGGGCGGCACCACGGGCACGGGGCCCGAGAAGGCCGTCGACTTCTCCAGCGGCGGCTTCTCCATCTACCACGCGCGGCCCGCGTACCAGGACGCCGCCGTGTCGGCCTACCTCGCCACCGGCGCGGCCGACGTCTACGCGCCCTACTTCAACAAGACGGGGCGCGGGATCCCCGACGTGGCGGCCCAGGGCCGCGACTTTGTCGTCTACGACAAGGGGTCGCTGTACCACGTCGGCGGCACGAGCGCGTCGAGCCCGGCGTTCGCGGGCGTCGTGGCGCTGCTCAACGCCGCGCGCCGCAGCAAGGGCGCGGCCCCGCTGGGCTTCCTGAACCCGTGGCTGTACGGCAACGCGGCGGCGCTGACCGACATCACGGCCGGCTACGGCAGCGGGTGCGGCGGCAACAGGAAGGCGTTCCCCGGCGGGGCCAGGTGGAACGCCACCGAGGGGTGGGACCCGGTGACGGGGCTCGGCACGCCCAAGTTTGGGGCCCTGCTTGCGGCTGCTGCTCCCGGGGTGGAGAACAAGTAGTTAGATGGGTCTCTCACTTGACTCCCTTTAGAGAGAGAGTGAGAAATCCCTAGATGATAGATATGAATTAGGAAACAAGAGTAAATGATCGTTGATTAAATGGTATATATATGTATGTATGAAATCGAATATGAAGAAAAAGAAGTCATAAAAGACATGAAATTGAGAGCCGTCTTTCTTCCTCGTCTCTCATCTCATTGATCATACTCGCCGGCGAAGAGGACGTCGTCCAGGTCGCCATTGACCACGTTCCACAGCGCCCGGGGGTCGAGCGGAGTCGGCGGGACGCTGCGCTTCGTGGAGCCGCTCGACGAAGAGTTCAGCTGCTCGATGTAGATGTCCTTTGAGGCTTCCTCCTTGGCAAGGTCCACTGTAAATCGAAATGTCAGTTCCTTGTCTTCAACACAGAAAGAGATCCACCGAGCGAAATACTCACAGTGGCAGTTCACGGCCGCCCTCTTGCCAGTGTACATAGCGTGTGGCACATTAGTCGAGTTGTCCAGATTAGCGTCACCGATCGCGTACACGCCCTTGATGTTAGTCAGAAGGTTCGAGTCCGTGTACATGCGACCCTCTCCGTACAGCGCCACTCCCATGTCCCGGCCCACCCACGACGCCTGCTCGTTGGCAATGCTCAGGATGAAGGCTGCACGCTCTATCGACGGGCCCTCCTCGAAATCCACGCGGAACAGGTCGTACTCCTCCACCGAGGGAAGCGCTGCCGCCGTCGCGTTTGTGCCGTTGTTCGCGGTCGAGCCGTCGCGCAGCCGCACCACGGCCGAAATCGTCCGGTTCTCGATCGTAATGTTGCGGTACTGCAGCAGGCTCTGCCATCCGGGGCTCGCCGTGTCCAGGGCCTTGCGGTTGTCCTCGGTGTCGGTGCCGTTGACAAACACGATGATGTCCTTGTTGAGCGTCGACACTTCCCGGACGTTCGAGGGCACGCTGGACAGCGGCCCGATGACGCCGAACGGCTGATCGGCGTGCTCATGGCCATCGCACCACGGGCACCAATACAGCCCCTCTCCGAAGTTTTGCCGAATGCCGGGGGTATCGGAGAGGAGGTCCCGGAGGCCGGTGCCGAGGATGATACGCCGTGCCGAGATGTTCCGGGTCGCGTCGGAGCCGCCGTCGAAGGCGGTGGTGACGGTGAAGTAAGGGGTCGTGGTGTTGCTGTTGATGGTGGCGTCTGGGGCTGTGATGGACACGACGGTGCCGTTGGTCATTTGGATGGTGTCGTAGAATTCGATTTGCTTCCGGGCCGCCCAGCGGAAGTAGGCCGGCGTGACACCTTGAATGTTTGGTCAGCCATGCTTCACCTTGAGCTCAAGAGATGAGAGGAAGAGGTGAGGAAGAGATGAGAGTAAGAGATGGATGAAGAGGTGGATGAACAATGAGGAAGTGGATGAAGGATGAAGAGGTGGATGGATGAGATGGAGTAAGAGTTGGAGAAAGAGAGTGAGAAAATGTGGAAGAAGAGGTGGATGAAGAGGTGGATGGATGAGGTGGACGGAGTGGTGGAGAAAAGGTAGACGAAGAGGTAGATGACGATGAAGACAAAGGCAAAGAGGAAGATGAAGAGGTAGAGGTAGAGGAGAGAATAAGGTGGAAGAAGTGGTGGAGGAAGTGTTTGGAGTAAGAGGTGAGAAAGAGTTGAGAGTTGGAGGTAAAGAAAAGGTGAGAAACAGGTGAGAGAAAGAGATGATAGGAAGAAATGGGAGTAAGAGGCAAGAGTCAGAGATGGGAGTAAGAAATGAAGTAAAAGGCTCACCGTCAAAGCCCAGAACGTCGTGCATGTGCCGAGTCGGGGCGTTTCGGTAGACTCCAGAGTCGATCAGCAAGACCTTTCTCCTCACGCGAGCCAAGCCACTGAGCGCCGCCAGGCCCGAGGGACCGCCTCCGACGACGACGGCATCGTAGTGGTTGTCCTCAAAGGCTGCTACGCTGGTATCGCTGGTATCCGGGATGGCTGCGGCCCAGGCAGTAGAGATGAGGGCTGGGATGAGTGATGGCGAGAGTTTCATGTTTGTGTGTGGATGTGGAAGAAGGAAGCCAGGCGTTCAGAATTGGAAACAAAATAGAAGAGGACGCCGAAGGAGTGACGCGTAGGTTGGAAGAATCAAGAGGTCGAATAGTTTGAGGTCTGGGACTGTCATTCACTTACAATCAGTCAGCTCTTCGCTTCGCAATTCACTTCACGTAGGTAGGCTGCCACTTCACTTTAAGTACCCGAGATAGGTAATGCGTTCTCACTCCGAGGCCAACGACAACGGAATGCGATTGATCTGCCCCAACAACTACCGTTTTCGTACACCCGATAGGAGCACAGCACATTGCTCGGTGTTGCGGAGCGAGACAGCTCGCCTCGTCCCGTGTCCGGATCGACGAGGCGCCACAAATGGTGTGCACAGCAACGACCGGCATTGGCGAATCGGCCTCCTTCCACACTCCCTACGGGGAGCGGATGCGAGATTCGAGTGTCCGCAGCCATATCTTGGCACTGCTGCTGGGGCAATTTAGGCGCATTCGTGGGGCAGATTGAGTTTGGTGGATTGGGAGATATGTATGGAATGCTGGGCTGGAGAGGAGAGGCGCCAGGAACAGCATTCCAGTGCCGGGAGCATCGCGCACATGTCTACTAGGTATGGCTAGATTCTTTTGCTAGGTAGCCCTACGGCTGTCCACTCTGGGAGGATGACTTCCTATTTCGTTCGTGCCCAACACTGCGCGCACTTCATGCTGGCTACAAGACCGCGCAAGCTGTGCTGTATGAGCAGTGCGTTGACGAGATGGCGATTGCCGGGCGCGTGCATCTCGGGTCCCACCTGGTGACATTGCATATGCGGAGCCGAGAAAAAGTCGGTGTGATTCGCGTCCTCGATCCTCCTCGCCGGTGGCAAGATCGTCGTTTGTGGAGAGCTGAGTATGAGTGGCAGATATTAGCGAGCGGGGAGATAAGTCAAGCTGAATCTTGCGCCATACATGTGACTATGTCACGACTTGAGGACGGCTGAGAATATGAATGGTTTGCTGAACAGATTGAGCATGTATGTACAGCATGTGTTTGACCCCCGTGAACTAGATATGTACTCCTCGACGGCCTACAAGTTCTTGACTGGTGCGTCGCCCTCGGATTTGCCAGTGCCGTACTGTCTCTTCTCTTCCTTGCCCGCATCCCGGTCAGCCTCGAACGCAGCGACTTCGGCACTGTCCATGTGCTTGGCCACATTGTCGGCCTGCCACTTCTTGAAAGTAGCACCCAGGCCCTCGTTGGAATAATCCTTGTCGTTGGCCTGGTCCTTGTGATACTTGACCCGGATGAAGTCGCTGTCAATGCTCGCGGGGTCCAGTGAGAGGCTGACTAGAGCGTTGATGACGGCTGTCTTGGGGATGATCTTGAACGTCCATTCCTGGAAGAAGAAAGTAGTTAGTACGTGCAATGGGTATTGGGAAGGAGCACTCTCAGTATTCTTGAAGAGAGAGCGTTGTAAGCAACCCACTTCCTCGTGCCGGAACTGGATCAGGTCCCTGTCGTTGGTGACGACCTGGTACCCGCGGCTCTTGGCGCCCTTGAACAGCTTGGGCAGCGCGAACCACTGGCCCGCCATCTTGTACCGGTCGTTGGCGTAGACGAACTGGTCGTTGTAGACGCAGTCGGGCGTGTAGCGCCTGACGCGCTCGACCGTCGGCTTCATCTCGTACAGCGCGATGATGTCGTCGATGAGGGCCTGCCGCGCGGGCGAGACGGGCAGCGACTTGGACGGGTCCGGCGTGTAGTCGCCGGTCGGGTGCGTCTGCCGGATCTCGAAGTGCTCGCCGGGCAGAGAGGCGTCGGTGGGGAAGTTCACCTTGCCCGAGTCTTGGGCGGCGGTGGCGGTGGCGGCGGCGGTGGAAGAAGACATTCTGGTGAAGGAGATGCGGCGACGGCGAGTACTGACACTATTTACGGATCTGATGGACAGCTGTTGGGCACGTCTATAAGCTGATAAAGGATGGAGCAACCGAAGTGACTGTTTCATTCTTCACGTGAAATGTTTCAATTCATCATATCGAGGACTGGGGAAGAGCATTTTATCTATTTATATGCCTCGCAATGCTAATTCTAGATCAACAATCCTGGCGTGTCAGGGCTGCCCTGCCCGTGGGCTCGACTCAGGCCGTCATCAATTATTTGCCCAGCTGTTGTTCCGCGTGAAGTAAAGAATGTCGGCCGAGTGGGGGTGGTGATTCACCGAATTAAGTCCGGCCTTCCGGACTTGTCCTGTCGTGCGCTTCGACCCGAATGCGACTGTCGTAATAGAACCCACATGTATCAGAAGATTTCTAGCCGAAACACCAAAGCAGCGACAATTCCCAGCACTGATCTTGCAACGGACCAGGACGATGTCGCTCTTCTGGGTTTTCGCCGGAGCGTGCCATTGCGCTTGGGCGCCTGACCGACGGCGAAGAAAATCCTCAGCCCGGGCATTATCGGGTCGTGCCGGCGTAGACGAGGGCTCTCTTGGGCCGCGCCCCGTCGGAGACCCCTTCGAGTGCGTGGTAGTCGACCCTCAGGCTCCTGTTCGGCCAGCACGGATGGGATCGAGCTTGGCTCCGGCCAACAGGGGTGTTCATGTTGATCCCTAGTCGAGTGTCAAGACCAGCAATCTTGAAGACGATGGATTTCTTTTCGTCCGTCTTCTGGGTAGAAGCCTCAGGAGTTGCGGAGATGACTGGAGAGGTCCCAGGTCCAAGGTTATTGCCTTGATTAAAGGATGGCGGGTTGGTAGGCTTGGAGGGATGTGGTGGTTTATCTTGAACCAATGGAGCCCATCCGTGCTTGTTCGCTTCGAGGACACGAGATTGCTTGATGAACCATTGGGTAACGGTGTTCAGCTTGTCGAATTTAACCTGGACGAGGTTGCCCTGATCATCTTCATCGATCCGAGCCTGGTTGACTGTATCGTGCACGGTCACCGCCGACGATCTCCGTATGTCGGTCGAGGCCGGTTGCGCACCGCGACGACGGTCGGGTCTCCTCCGTTTGACGCTCGCAAACAGACCTCATCGATGTCTGCTTCAGTCAGTGGCGAGACATAGTTCCGGGCGACGGATGGCAGGCCGGGGAAGCCAGCGGCCTTCTGCCACGTTGCCACAGACTGCCAAATGACCCCGCAAGCAACTGCTGTATAAACCAGTCCGGGAGGACGTCGTCCAGGAGTTCTCGGACAATATGAACCGGGTTGGCGATGATAGCGGCCTGCAGGGGGGAAGGGGGAAGAAAAGACGATCCTGGGCTGCACCTACGGACACAGATGGCGTCTGGGGACACGCATCACACCGTCCTTGGCGGGGCAGGGCGCTCAGACGTTCACAGACGGACGGATACTCCCACTTCGGGAAAGACCACGCCCTTGAACCCGGCCCTAGGATATCTTTGAGGTCTTCTTTGTAGACCTTGTTGAACCGGGGCGAGTGGCCGTACGGAGCGCAGAGGGCAAATGTCACTGCCTGGGTCTCCGATGGAGAGAGCCCTCGAGGCTGATCTTGGAAGGGACATCTGTAGCCCCGGAGCCTCTTCCTCGGCGTGCGGGGCCGTGTTGGACTGGAGGCGGCGGTGGTTGGCAGTTCGTGGCCTCGCTCATACAACGGGCGAGTTGTGCTCGCCGATCTTCGTCGGCGGAACACGTGAAGCGGTTGTAGGGCACCCCCATCCACAAGTATTGTATCTTGTAGGCGAACATGAGCCTCAATGACAAGGTCTAGAGCTTCTTGAGCGCGCGGGGCTGCCGTCCGCTGGCGCGGAGGTTCGAAATTGATTCTGCCAGCTGTGCGAACGTCAGGCCGGCGGTGCGCTTGAGGAACAGCGCCTCTAGGTTGGGTGCCAGCAGGATGCAGCATTCTTCCAGCCAGCGGCGACGCAATGCATGTGAATACGTATCCGGACAGCAGCCGAGTTTTGACAGCGGCCCGTTGCGAATGTCGGCAAGTTTCCAAATGATTCCGAGCTCATCTCTCAGCCGCTCTGATTGCTCTTGCTCGATCTGGTCCAGTTGGTGGTTACCATGGACCTTGAGGCCTGGACACTGTAGCTGGAGAGTCTTAACATACTCTGCCAGGTGTGGAAGCTTGAGCAAGGTGTGTATGAAATGTTTGAAGCTGCCATGGCGCTTTTCGAAATAGAACAGTGCCTGCTGAGAAGTAGTGGTACAGGACCGGTCGTGTATAGAAATCTCAGGTCGGCATGAACCTCTAAGAAGCGGATGCATTTGAGCGCCATCTTTGCTGAAACACCTTGGTTCATCTCCGTTGAAGAGTCTGGGGTAACAAGGAGGGAGGTTGTTGGTGATTTGAATGAGCTGTTGTATATATAGGAATTCTGGAGAACAGTGTGCGCATACTTGCTGCTCGTGAGAGCCAGGGAATAAGTAGTTGTGGAATTGTGATGATCAAGCTGTACATTGGGCGAGGTAATAAGGTAGAGACCAAGCGGTTTGCCATCTGTGTGAGTGACTCAAAAAATGAAGTTGTTTTTGCTTTCAGATGACTCTCAGCTTCTATCAAACACCATCCCAGGGAATCACTCCTCCGACCTGGTCATGGTAGAGGCGATGTTTGTACAAGCACACTCTGAATATCGCTTGATCAAAAGCTAGGTGAGTTTGAGTTTCCTCAAACTCTGCGCCTTGTGTTCCTATGCAACCATTTGTATCCCATGCTGTACTCTCTGTCTGCCAAACAGCAAAAAGCTCTGAATGCAGATACGTTGTATCTGAGTTTGAGCATCTGACGCATATGGACGCCCGGACTCTCTGACTCACCGGCCAAATGGTACAAGCCTGCCAAACAATGGTCGAGAGGTAAAAGACCCCGGGACCGATTTCGGACTTCAGACCCACGTCCCAGAGGGCAGAAGCCAGTCATGAAGACCTTGCGTTCGGAGGAGTGGTTGATCGGTCTAAGATTACAACTGTGTCCTAATCAATGCGAACCGTTTCAGTGTCTTGGGGATACCAGTTCAATATGTGTATTTCATTGTGCCTAGATGATAGTGTAGCTCGGCTTGCACCCGACAGTGGTTGACTTGAGGTTTAAACTATTGTCCTCTATCTATTGCATGACCTACAAACGGTGGCTTCGCTGTAAAGCTGATGTAATATATTGAACGGAAGCCCCTTTTCCATTGACAAGCAGGGCAGGAGACCATCAATGTTCACTCCCACCATATTTATCTCGGTTTCTCGCACCATATCTCCAGCATCCAAATTTGGGGCTAGTGGCAGGCAACAGCGTAGTGGTTGAGCGAGCAGCATAGAATAAAGTCCGCGGTGCTGGGAAAGACAAAGCGGGTTAGACTGATATTATCAAGAAGTGCTTGTCGCGCGGAGCGGCGTACTTGGGGTACAGGCATTTGCCTTGGTACATTTCACAGGCGTCCGAAGCGCCGTTTGCATAGCGTTGCTTGCAGGCGTCCGACTGGCCTTGGTTGACGCCTGCTATGCCCGAGTTGGAGCAGCCGCAGATTGTAGCGAGGGCTCCGGAGAAGAAGACGGGCACGGCCAGGAGAGATGTGATACGCATCGTGGTGGTGGTGGTGAAATATGGAGACTGGAATTGAGTTGAGGAAGTCTAGAGTTTAGCCGTCAATCACAGGGGCGAGTGGAAAATCAGGCATGGATTGAGAAAAGAGCCGTTGGAGTGAGGAAGAACGATGTTTTTATAGCTTATTTGCCCTTTGGGTTTCTTTTTACTTTGCGTGATACTTTCTACACCGCTGTTCATTAGCAGAATGAGCTCCTTCGTGAGGTTGGTAATGTGTTGGTCTGATGATGCTGAATCCTACGGGAAACTTGTAGCCTGATACTGGAAATGAAGTGGCCGCATCGCGTCCAGGGCCAGGGAGCCCTGTCGCTTTCTGGGGTTGCCAGTCTCTGAGGGAAGAGGACATCAAATTTCCAAGTTGCCCAATTTCCCCAGAATAGTCGCTAGTGTTGGATCCTGTCCCCGCTCAACAGAGCTAATACCGATACTGTAAATAATCTGGATCAAGTTGTTACTCGGTGGAGTTGAAAAGGGGCTCGGTCGAGCGCGGCGTTCTCTCTTGCCTTTGGTCGTCGGCCGAGACATACAAGACCCTTGGCCGTGGCCTTGTTCTCCTCGTCAGCCTCTTACACAGCACAGGAGGCAAGTGAACTTTTCCTTGACAGCATTGCGAAATGTGTATTTGGGAGATCGGATGCTTTGGATCTTTGTAGAGTCTGCAGTTTGTCACCTCGCCGGCTCAAACGACTGGCTTGAGCCGCTATGTTCAATCGCAATGATGGACATAGGTATAAGCAAGAATGGCCGTACAGTTATGGTGATGGAAGATACCGTTACCAGTTGAGGTACTATCAACTTGGAGGACATATCTCCCGGCCAGCAGTGTTTCAATGCAAGGACTGGAAGCGCTCTTCATCATGTTACCCATGCTGAGCACCTGTGTGCCAAAGCATGTGATAGGGCTGAATGGACGGACGGATGAGGTTCGTGGAGATAGATCTGGTCTGGGCCTGGGCCCTGTCTTTACGGTTAAGTGGCTCCCGTCCAGAAGCTCGAGGCCGAACTCCACTCCGCTCTTTGGGTGCCGAAATGGAGACCTGATGCGGACCAGTCCCATCGTGCTGGGACTTGCCAGGCGTTGTGCATGTACGGATCAATCAATCACAGCCCATCTGATCGGCCTTGGCACTTCCACTCGAGGGCGGCATTCTCTCTCAGAACGAGACTGATAGACGGAAGCCCGGCAACTTCACCATCTCCATTTCCCTGATCACGGCGATGCCGAATAAATCTTGGCCATTCGGGTGCCAGAAGGTGGAAATCGTGTGTCAGAAGCCTGGATCGCCAAGGTGACGTCAGACCTATTTGGGTGGTGGGAGCTGGCCGACGACTCCACCTTCTGCTTGATTTCCCACCCCCATGACCTGCCCGGGCTGCCTCGCCAGAGTTCCATTCCGTCCAAATCACTGTCCGGACTGCGATATCTTGGGAGGATCGTGTTCGCCTCTGACCCTTTCCCTCTCTCAACCCTCGAAGAAAAAGCCTCTTGCGCCATAGTTTGAGCTGTGCAAACGTGTCTTGGCCTGTGTGGCAGCTCCGGATCAGCCCCCAGCAAGCCCAGCAAGTCAAGCTTGATCGACAGGCTTGGCATACGTGCTGCATCGCAACCTTGGCATCGGCGCGGAGCAGGGATTCCGCTGTGAATCGACACCACCTATCCTCCCCGCGACGCAGCTTGGAGAGATCGTTGACGTGTAAGGCGCTTTCCCTCCCCTTCTAGCACGCACTTCCAGCCCTGCCAGAGACCAAGCTCAGCCTCTCAAATGGACCAGCGCAACCGGACTAACTGCTCCGGTCTTGTTGTCAGGAACCAATGTCCGCTGCAGCAGCGGGCCAGCGCGACGGGCCGCCGGCCTCGAATCAGGACGGCGACAGCGGCAGCCCCCGGAACCAGACCAATGACAAGCCGAGCGAGCATGGCGGCGAGCACAACGACAAGAAGGCCAACCCCGACCCGTCTGAGGCGGCTGACAGCCACGCCCACTCCCAATCCGCCACGGCGGCCGAGGCCAGCACGGAGGAGAAGCAGCCGGACAAGGAGTTCAAGGAGGATGCGGACGGCAACTTGAGGAAGCGCACCAGCATTGGCGCCGCGATCCAAGGATCTCCGTCAGACCTCAAGAGCAAGCTGGTGGACCAGAAGGAAAAGATCAAGGACAAGAAGAACCCGCCGGGAGGGTACGACGACACCCCGCTCCCCGACTTCCCCGCCGGGTACACCGTCAAGTTCACCTTCCACAAGGCCTGGAACCTGCCGGCCGCCGACTTCCACAATGCCGCCGCCGACCCCTACGTCCACGCGACCCTCACCGCTGCCGTGCCCAGGCGCCACAAGGAGGACCCGCTCATGGTGTACCGCACCCGGACCATGAGGAGGACGCTCGAGCCCGAGTGGGAGCAGGAGTGGGTCGTCGCCAACATACCGGCCTCGGGCTTCCGGCTCAAGTGCCGGCTGTACGACGAGGACTACCCGGACCACGACGACCGCCTCGGCAACCTGACCTACGTCGCCGAGCACGTCGACGAGCAGTGGCAGGGCGTCAGGCGCGAGACCATTGGCCTGAAGAAGCGGATGGGCAGCAAGCGGGCTTATTTGGTCAAGGCGGCCACCTCCCTCCTCTCCAGGGACCACGACATGACCCCGCACATGGAGATCAGCATCGAGGTCCTGGGCCGGTCCGAGGGCCCCGGCGCACAGATGTACACCATGGGGCCCACGGCCTGGATCAAGCACTTCAGTCCCATGATCGGGCGCCTGACGGGCATCAAGGTGAACAAGGACGAGAAGCACGATGAGAACGGGGATACGGACGACGGCGAGGACAGCCGGTCCAAGAGATATGAGTAGGTGCACGCCGCTAATATTCTTACCTGGGACACCAAGAAGAAAGGCAACTAACTTTAGTACGTGCACCACCACAGCTTCCAAGCAAACGAGATCCAGCTCCAAGGCCCCGTCCCGCCCAAGCTCTACCACCGCTACGTCGAGTTCCGCCCCGTCATTGGGCTCATGTTCTCCTCCAACGGCCTCCGGGGCAAGATCCTCAACAAGGCCCTGCACAAGCAGCACAACCGCATCTACAACTACGACTCGACGACGCAGTACGGCACCTTTGAGCCCTGCTCCCAGGAGGCCTCGCTGCAGTTCCTCAAGATGGCCCACTTCGACGAGGGCGGGCGCACCTTCACCTACGTCCTCACCCTCGACGGCCTCATGCGCTTCACCGAGACGGGCAAGGAGTTCGGCATCGACCTGCTGTCGAAGCACACGATGCACTCGGACGTGGCGCTCTACATCGCCTGCTCGGGCGAGTTCTTCATCCGGCGCCTCGAGAAGCCCAACGCCAGCCCGGACCTGAAGCCGCAGCAGGCCACGCACCCGTCGCAGGACCTTCCCGGCGGCCCGCCCGAGAGCCCCCCTCCGCGCGACCCGTCGTACTACCAGCTCGTCATCGACAACGACTCGGGCACCTACCGGCCCGACAAGAAGGTGCTGCCCCAGCTCAAGGAGTTCCTCGAGCGGAACCTGCCGGGGCTCGGGATCGTGGCCATGCACTGGGAGGACGAGGAGCTGCAGCGGCTCAAAGAGAACCAGGCCAAGATCAAGAAGAAGGAGGGCCCGCCGATGCGCATGGTGCTGAACCGCAGCCCGAGCTCGAGCAGCTTCAGCTCGAGCGACGAGTCGCGGCTCGGGGACCTCGTGGGCCACGGCGAGGGCGAAGATGGGGACGGCAATGCTGGCGGCGGCGGCGGCGGTGCGAGGTTCAGGAGCAAGAAGGAGAGGGCGTGGGATATCGTCGAGGACCCTTCGCGGCTCAAGGGCGAGTGGGAGAGGGTCAAGGGGTCGTCGCAGAAGGAGCTGCCTGTGCGGGAGAAGGGTGGTGGTGCGGAGGGGGGTGCGGAGGGGACGAAGAATTGAGTGTTGTCGTTGTGACGGGTTTCGCCTTTGGATTGTTTCTGGAAGTTTGCGGGCTTAGGATACCTTCTCGATTTATTTAATGCTTGGATTGTCTGGTTTCGGCCTACTGCGTGCTTTGGGCTTACGAGGATACATGTCGATCATGGTCGGATACCCCGAAAGAAAGAAAGGATGGAAAAGAAGACGCCGGGGATGGGTTTTTGTTGTCTCGTGTCTATTAATGTCTATTTCTTTCATCATTATGAGAACTGCGACGCTCAAGTATTTGAGTCGGTCGTCTGTGCATGTCGCTCCCGTGATCTTTGTATCCAATTCATCGTCCTCATGGTGCATGTGCCTCCCTCCATCATGGGTACGAGTGGCCGGGCTTGCTCATCGTGCCTGTCTCCGTTTGAAGCGATGTTGGGGTCGGTCAATGGCGTTCCCTGCTCGCTGCTGAGCTGTGAGGCTGATGGTTGTATGTATGTGTGTATCGTTGGTGTAGTCGTGTTTCAATCGTGATCTCTCCGGGCCTGGCATCGGCGGCAGGGCGAAGTGATGTATCTCACCACTGGCCGGTGTCCATCATACTATTCTGGCACACGGTACCGCTTCGTACCAATCTATCCAATTTCCTTTTTTCTCTCCATCTCTTGCCCCCCCCTCGTTTTCACCTCTTGTGCTGCCTCTCAAAGCTAAAGTTCCACACCTCGGCCCGCCGCGGGCCCTCGGACGACTCCTTGAGCCCGACGTGCTGCATGACGCTCGGCTCCAGCGCCCACTTGCTCAGGCCCATGCGGCCCGCCCATCCCTCGAGGATCTGGTCGCCGGCAAAGTCGTAGGGCGGGTCCCGCAGCAGCCGCTGGAAGCCCTCGAGGTGGCGCTCCGGGAAGACGAGGCCCTGCGCGCAGCACCCGTACCGGGGCATCTCGCGCACGCCGCCACTGCCGCCGCGGCCGCCCCAGGGCGTCACCGTCGCCATCAGGCGGTTGACCGAGATGCGGCCGGCGAGGAAGTAGAGCGCGATGAGGGCGGGCACCCAGAGGCCGAAGACGAGGGCGGCGAGGAAGCCCGAGTGCAGGGAGCGCGCGGCGGCGAGGCTGCCGCCGCCCGGTGCGGGAGGGGCTCGAGCGGAGGAGGAGGAGCCGGGCGGCGGGCCCTTGAAGAGGCGCTTGCGCACCTCGAGGAAGACGAGCAGGACGACGGCGTAGACGAGGAAGATGGTCTCCATGTACGTCAGCCACTCCTCGCTGTTCCACCCCATGAAGATCTCCGAGTAGAAGAGGCGCAGGTAGACCCAGTCCCGGCCGCCGCCGTCGTCGTCCCGCCCGGATCTGGCCCGACGGTCGACCTCGGGCAGGCCCGCGCCGAGCCGCCGGAACCAGTCGCGTGAGGTCACGACGTCGTCCTCGACGAGCGCGAAGAAGGGCGCGCCCGAGCGCCGGCACGTCTCGACCAGGACCGAGTGGTCCATGCGCATGTTCTCGACGCGGCCCGTCCCGCGCCTGTTGTCCTCGCCGCCGCCGCGCACGTCCCAGGGCACGGCGCGGTACTTGCCGCCGCTGCCGCCGGGGAGGAGGAGCTCCGCTGTGGAATTGTCCTTGTCGTCGCCGGCGTAGACGAGGACCTCGTCGGCGAGCGCGGCGAGCCAGGGCTGCCCGTAGGCGAAGTGCGCCTGCGGCCGGCGGTCGGCGAGCAGGACGGCGATGCGCACGGCGGCGCGCTCGTGCGGGGACAGGTTGTCGGCGAGGGTGGCGAGGGTGTGCGCGAGGAAGGCCTCGGTCGTGCGGTTGATGCTGGGGATGCCGACGCAGAGCAGCGGCGCGCCGGGCCCGGGGCGCAGGGCGTCGAGCTCCGCGGGCGGCCTCCTGTCGGCGTCGAGGCCGTTGGGGTTGGGCTGCCTCTGGCCGTCGGGCAGGAGCAGGTTCCGGACGAACTCGTCGCCCTCGCGGGCGCGCACGGCGGAGAACCTCGGCGTGTAGGCCTTGTCCTGGTTGTAGAAGAGGGAGGATGGGTCGTCGTACGAGTTGAAGAAGCAGAAGGCGAAGAGGGCGAGCCAGAGCAGCCAGAAGGCCACGTTGAGGTGCGAGGCGCGCATGGTTGGTCTCGACGGGATGGCAAGGGGGCTACATCCTCTTTGCGGTCATAAGGTCGGGTTGCAAAGACACGAGCGCAGGCTGGTTGTGCGTGTTATTCGTGAGGAGAGGATGGCCAGGGGCATGGAGATTTGGATTGGTAAATTTACAGCCAAGATTACCTTGGTTACTTCTTGAGTAGCGGTTAAGATAAGGATGTCTCGGGTGCGGCACAGCCAGGTGGATCCCCTGTAGCGCCGCGTTCTGAGGTAAATTTATGGGGACCTGGGGGACCTTTTTAGGAGCGAGCTGGAGCTTGTGACGCTGTTAGGTTGTTTACCACATAGCCTACCATCTTTATCATGACATGATCTCCAGGTCTATTTTCCTCCATACATTCAGCAATTTGATCCAATTTGATAGTAGGGAACGCGCTTTGAAAAGTCTACAATAGTACATGGGCCTGCCTAGGAATTCGCTCCGATGAACACCACAAGGACCGCGGCATACCCTGCCGTCAGCGCCACAACATCCTTCTTGGCCACCTCCTCGAGCGTCGAAAGCACTCCTCCGACGATCAAGACACAGACCGAAGCGGTCACGAGCTGGGCCAGCAAGTCATTGTACAGCTTCATAAAAAGCATGGGACCGATCAGCGCGACGCCACTCAGCACTGCCGCGAAGAACCTGCCAAAGTAGGCCTCGAGGTTTTGTTCCTGCTCGTCGCTCTTGTAAGAGAATCCGCCGAAACCTGAGTACTCCGGTATGCTGATGTCGAAAAGCTCCCGCGGTGGTGCTGGAATCTTATCCAAGTAGGTGTCAAGTAAGACTGCACTGTCGTGTTTCCGCTCCAGGTAGAAGAAGTCCTTGAGGAAGTTTGCTGTCCGGGCATATTGGCTCGTTGGCTCAAGCATGAACTTGAGATCTCTAATCGCACCGACTTGATGCAAAAGACCCAAGTCAGAAATGAGACGTCTCATGATGTCTTTGGAGGGTCTTACTATACTCCTTCATGAGAACACCAATCTCGTCCAGCTGCCTCTCACTGACAGTGTCCTCGTCTCGGATAAGGGCGACATGGTGTGCAATCTTTCTCTTCATGTGCACAATGCTCATGTACTGCAAGATGCGAAGCCGCACGAGGGGTTTCCGCGGTCCCAGATTGAACAAAGGAGCAACTCTGAGATCCCTAGTGGCGGCGCTGACCAGCCGCTCTCCGAAAGGCGAGAGAGATCTCGTCCTGCTGCCGCGTCTCCTCCTCCTCACGCTGGGAGTCTCGCGGTCCGGGCTGCGAGCCGAGGGCCGCTTCCTCCCTTTGGACCGGCGCACGTTAGCTTCATGCACCGTACTCTGAAAAGCAACGACAGACTTCCCGGGTTGATCCTACCCTCCAAGTCTTCCGAGCCTCTCTGTCGGGAGGCGATGATACCCATCGAGAGGGGGCTTTCTATAGGAAGGCGAGGGGCCCGTGCTGCGGGACCAAGCACAGAGCAATACGAACAACCACCCAGGTCTGCCGGGCCCCTGGATGCGGAAAGGTACTGCGAACGAACACCAGGCTCTTTGGGCAGCCTGCAAGTGTTGGCACAACGGCGATTCTCTCGGTTGGGAAGACGGAACATACGTGGGGTTGCACAAGGCCAACAGCGCTTATTCGTCACGTTTCTTGCTCACTGCATACCGGACGCAGGAGGGCGGGCTTGAACCAATTGCATTCGAAAGACTAAGATGCACACTTAATTTCTTAGATTGATGTGGCCCAGACTGCATGCATCTCCCTTCTAGGTCGAACCATGTAGGAGTTGGATGGTAGGACACGGCAGGCCCGGGCTGAAGTATGCTCTCAACTTGTTCCGGTTTGCTGTCAGAGGAGGTCTATAGACGTTTGTGGTCTTTTCGTCTCTCACATGCTTGCTGTCTGCTTTGATCACACAGCCAAGACAGGGAGGGAGCTTGGCTAAGGAAAGCGGACAACAAGCAGTAAGGTATGGTATGGGGCTGAGTTACTCTGGCCGATCCTCGTCGGCGGCCGGCCTGATGAACAATGACAGCGTTACATGGCCTGAGCCACAAAAAGCAACGAATCTGCCTCCTCCGTCGCTTTCCTGCGGCTCACCCGAGATGTGCTGCAAGGCACAACACGCCTGTTCGAGCCATCTCCGCAGGCGGAAGCTGACCGCATTTTTCGCCTCCAGTACGACAATGATATGCAGCATTCTAGCGCCCTGTTCTAGAACCCAGCCCCCCGGAGTTGCAACGATCAGCTCTTTATCGCAGCGGGCCAGCTTCGCCAGGGACAAGACGAAAAGGCTTGGCTCCTGCCCTTCTCGGGGCGCGATGCAACGGCTAGTAGTGTGGCCAAGAGTCCGGGATTGAGGGGTCGGACAGCGATGGCGCTGCCATGCCGGCTCATCTCTACGAATTCGGCAGTCCGCATATCACTTGGCATCTCTTCTAAATGAAATGGCGCTTTGACAAACCTTGCAGGTAGCCTATCGCAGAAGAACGGCCGGCCGAGGTACGACAGATAACGTAAACGTACGAAGTCTATAAATGAGGCGATCTGCACATCAACCGCCCAGCATGACTCCACGGTGGGAGGTCCATTCCGCTGCGCGAGCGCGTCTTGTCTCCTCTAGTGAACCAGCCCTCAGTTCGACTGAATCCAGCATTGGACTTGCAAGATGAAGCTTCACGCAGCTCTTGCAGTGTCAATTGGCGCGGTGGCGTGCCTGGCCAACGACCCGCTCACGCCGGACAAGGTCGAGGCGGACATCAATACCCAAGAGTAAGTCCAATGTTGCTGCTGGCTAATTACAGCCCCAATAAGGGAAAAAAGGGCCCCGGAAGACTGACCTCGCCGCACAGGCTCCAGCGGAACCTGTGGAACTTCAACCACATCGCCAACAAGAACGGGGGCAACCGCGCCGCCGGCCTGCCGGGCTACAAGGCCTCGGTCGACTACGTGCTGGAGCGCGCCCAGAAGCGCTTCTACAAGCAGATGGACACCTGGGTCCAGCCCTTCAACCACACCTTTGAGCAGACGCGCGAGATCTGGGTCCGCGGCCCGGACGGCAACAAGGTCTACGCCATCACGCTGCTCTACAACACCGCCACGCCCGTGCCCGAGGGCATCACGGCGCCGCTGATCGACACGCCCGTCGACGACGCGCGCGGGTCCGGCTGCTTCGAGGACCAGTGGGCCGGCATCGACGCGACGGGCAAGCTCGCGCTCGTCAAGCGCGGCACCTGCGCCATCTCGGACAAGCTCAAGCTCGCGCGCGCGCACGGCGCCCTCGGCGTCATCCTCTACAACCAGTCGCCGGGCGAGAACATCGGCGGCGCGACCCTGGGCGCCGACAACGTCGGCAAGCTCGTGCCCGTCGCCGTCACGACGCTCGAGAACGGGCAGGCGTGGAAGGCGCGCCTGGCCGCCGGCGAGGTCCTGACCGTCACGCTCTACGTCGACGCCTTTGTCGAGCAGCGCGAGAGCTGGAACGTCATCTCCGAGACCAAGGAGGGCGACCCGGACAGCGTCGTCGTGCTGGGCGCGCACCTCGACGGCGTGCAGGCCGGCCCGGGCATCAACGACGACGGCAGCGGCTCGACGGCCCTCCTGGAGCTCATGGGCTCCTTCAAGAAGTACCGCGGCTTCAAGAACAAGGTGCGCTTCTGCTGGTGGGGCGCCGAGGAGAACGGGCTCATCGGCTCGCTCTACTACACCAGCCAGCTGAGCGAGACCGAGGCCGACCGCATCAAGTACTACTTCAACTACGACATGATCGGCTCGCCCTTCCCCATCTACTCGGTCTACAAGAACGAGAACAGCGGCGTCGGCGCCTCGGCCCTGTTCGACTACATCAACTCGCAGGGCAAGCCGGCCGAGTATGGGTAAGCTTTTATGATCAGAGCCGCTGTGTCCAGCCCAGCCAGCGAGCTAGTCAAGAAGAAAGTTGAGAGCGTGTGCTAACAATTCATCTACACAGCGAGTTTGGCTCCGACTCGGACTACGTCGGCTTCGTGGACTTGGGCATCCCTTCCTCGGGCATCTTCACCGGTGCTGGCGCGCCCACGGACCCGTGCTATCATCTCAAGTAAATAACCCGAGATCTATGTCCCGTAGTGTGTTCTGCGACAAAAATGCTAACGCTGACACAGGTGCGACAACCTCGACAACATCGACTACGACGCCCTGACCATCAACGCCAAGGCCGCTGGCCGCGTCGCCGCCCAGTTCGCGCTCTCCCTCGAGGGCGTGCCGACGCGCAGCAAGAAGGTCACGAGGGACTCGCGCGGCCGGACCAACAAGCCGCTCAAGGGCAACAATGTCGTCTAAGAAAGCACAGGCTGTATTGAGGCACGCTGTTGTAATTTAAGGTGCACGGTCTATGTGTCGATGCATAGTGTAGACTCTGGTCTAATGATGATGATATGCGCATGTGTCCAAAATATTCTTTTCCTCCACTGTCCCATGCGTGCTTGTGCTTATTTATCTACAGCTCTCCTCTCACCAGGATGCATCACATTTAATCTATCAGAGTCAATGATCCATCTAGTCGTACTCTCTAAGTCGGCGCCGGCCGGTGGCTCTTAAGAGCATCGCGGCTCCCATCCTTCAGGAGCCAGTTCAAACCCTTCGGGTGAGAAACCGGGCGCAACTAGAAGGACATTCGAATGTCAGCATTTCGCAAGATCTTTTCCCCTCACACAGATTCAAACTCACCAGTCGTCCCCACGAGCGTCCACTCCCCCAAGCTTCTCGCCCTCTGCCACTCGCCCGTCCGGATCACCACCTGCGGCCGCTGCTCCAGCTGCCCCTCGGCAAAGACGTCCGGCCCCAGCACCCTCCTGGTCGGGGCCGCGCCGTCGTCGAGCGACAGCGACAGCACGAGCGGCGCGCCGGCGTAGTAGTGCCACACCTCGGGCGCGTCGAGCACGCGGTGCCAGCGCGACTCGCCGTCGGCGCCCTCGAGCAGGTAGTAGATCGCCGTGCTGGCGGCCCTGGCGGGCGCGCTGGCGTTGGCGGCGGCGGCCGAGACCACCTTGGCGGCGTCGGCGAAGGACTCGATGTAGTAGCCCTTCTCGACGTTGGGGATCAGGCCCAGCTTGGCGATGACCTCTTGCGCGGTGTGGTGCTGCTGCTGAGTCTGTGTCTGACCTGCGCCGGCGGCGGACGGGGAGCCGACGGCGACGGCCGTGGAGGCGAGGGCTGCGACGAGGGCAGTCTTGTTGGAGATCATGTTTGGCGAGTCTGTGAAAAGCCGGTCTTCCTGCTGTCTATAGTTTTTGCCGCAGAAAAGTTCATCACCCACCCACAGCAGGATTCGATAGGAGAGGGACTGGCTCCGGGCAGATATACATATTGGCATCCAATGTACTTGTACGTCCGTATGATTAATCAAATTCCCGAAGGATCCGCCCCGTACGTGGCAGCGTCTGTGCAATACGCAAACGTCGGTGGGCAAATGCGACTAGAAGCTGACATCCCCATCTCCGAATCCTTCGCTAGGCGTGAACCTTGTCTCTTTCCCTCACTGGGCCAGTCAATGACGCTTGTGGACATTACTGCTAATCGGCTGGTCGCTTACTGAATGAGAACCTTGGTAACGGAGTGCAGCGCCAACGTGACGATCGACATATCTGTCCCAGATGAACCCTTGGACCCTTGCCTTGATATCTGTACATACGTCGAACCCAGCCTTGGTTGACGTGCCTGGTAGGGCGTAGTGAATATGGGGCCTTTGGGGGCGGAAAAATCACCAGACCCTGAATAAGTCTGTATGTGTGCTTCGTGCAAATGTAAAGTCGGCCTTGGCAGGCAAGCGATAGCCTGTCGATAACCAAGAATGATGTGCATTGTTACCAATAACTTATCTCTCAGCAACTCCTGCTAGTTATCCTGACCCTGGTTTCGGCAAGCAGCTTTCCATCCTACCTGGTGTGCTCGGGTTGATGAAGATGATGGCCAATCCAAGGCTGTCCGGAAGATCAGTATCTTAATTTCTTCACCGGGAGGACTTTGAGAAGCTTGTCGAGAGAGGGAGAAGACGAAAAGCCAATGCTGTGAGGGTTCACACCCTGGAGTGGATGTCACCTTAACAAGAAGCACAATATTGATCAATACACAAATTATTCCATTTAGACATTAATCTGACACATAGAGGTCCAGCAAACCAACCTTCTCGAACATAGGAAAACCTTGTTATCCCTCCCCGGTGCTGCTTTCTGCAACAGTCTGCTGACCTCCGATTCACTCAATCCGTCATGATCATTCCAGTAAGAAGGTCTGTCGCTCAGCATCCAGACGCATACACTCGCCTTCCATAATGCCGTGGACATATGCTTCACCAACGACGCGGTATAGCCCTTCTCTCTTCCCGGGGCTCAGTACCACCGGCACGCTGCACCCCAGCAAAATACACACTATATCATCAAGCCCAATGTCACTCGGCCCGATGCCAAACAGCGGACCCTTGACCACCGCGTTGTCGACATGCCCGTTGGCCAGGCCAGTGCTCTTCTTGACATCCAGCTCGGCCCGGAAGAGGCGCTGGTTCCACACCACGCTCTCCACGCGCTGCAGGTACAGCGTGCTGTGCTCCGAGATCTCGCGGTCCGGCGGCGTGACCGAGTGCAGGTTGCCCTCGTGGTCCGTCTTGCGCGGGTCGTTGAGCGCGTGCAGGCAGGCGCGCCGGTACCAGGGCGGCGGGTGGCCCCCGCGCGGCGTGCGGTCGGCCACCAGGATCCGCCACAGCAGCTCGGGCACGCGGTTCGGATCTTCGTCGCCGTCGCCATCGCCGTACCCACCCGCGCCGAGGTACTCCATCCACCGGCCCGGCACGATGCCGCCGCGCATCACGTCCGACATCTCGGCGACGCGGCCCACCACGAACCCGCGCACCGAGAGCACGCCGCTCAGGTGGTGGGCGCGCTCGACGTCCGGCGAGCGCTGCAGCGTGCCCTGGGGCTGCATCAACGAGCTCCGCCGCGGCCGGCCGTTGGCGGAGATCCTCCTGGCGGCCATGGTCGGCCGAGGGACGCCGCTGCCTGCGTCGGAGGGGAGCTCGATGCGGACTGTAGGACTGGGCGGGGGTTGACTGGGTGTCGGAGGAACAGGTGTTGAAGGAACCTCAGTGGTGTTGAGAATATGCACCGAAGTGCCGTTCGTAGCTGCTGGCAGCTCGCGCCGTGCAGCGTCCGCGGCGCTGAATGGGAAGACCGGCGATAGAGGCGAGGTAATGGGTCCCGGTGACTGTCCCTGGGCGATAAATCCGGGCACCGTTGGGAAAGCCGTCGTGATTGTAAGAGACCTCTTGACTGGGTGTCGGATCGCGAAACCGGGTGCCTGATCGTCCACCATGTCAATAACTGCCTCGGAAGAGCCTGCGGCATTGTAGCGCTTCCTGCGGTCCTCGGGAGCGTAAGCCACCAGGTTGTCGCTATTCTGACGTCCCTTGAAGGTCCCCGCGAGACCATACGGGGATCGGATGAGCGGCGAGACCCAAGAAGGCATGGCCACCTCCTTGCCGTACTTGTCCACGACTGGTGGCGCCCAGTGGCGGCAGATGAGGTCGAGGCAGCGGGAGTTGTAGATGCTTCTCGTCACAAAGGCGACGAATACGTCTCGTGTGCTGAGCTGGTATTTGAAAAACATGCTGGGATCGGCTTCTCTTGAGACTCTTGTAGACGCAGCGCCGCCATGGCGAGGTGTATTGAGCCGTGTCAACGCTGCGCCATGGAGCTTAGCTTCCCACGCTTCCCCGGGCTGGGGAGGATCTCGGGCGAGCGAGAGAACAGAGAAGATGGCGTCTCGTGGGTTTGTCGCTTGGAAGCCCAGGAGAGTAGACACCAAGGTCTCCAGGTCGCAGAGTTTTGCGAGGGCAGCGCCCCTGTCCGATTTGCGACAGACCGTGTCGAGCATGGCAATGAGGATGAACCCGCTCGTCGTCTCCACGTTCTCAAAAACCTCGTCTCGGAAGCTCTTCCTCAGTACGCTAATGCGATCGAGCAGCAGTGAGACAGTCTCGGAAAAGTCGTCCCAGTGGATATGCTCGTCACCGCAGTGGACCGTCGCCTCGCGCGCCAGAGCGATCTCCTGGATAATCCAGCGGCGGCTGAACCACGGGAGCTTGAGGAGCTTGATCAGCTCTGTCCACCGCTTCTCGCATGACACGGAGGCTATGAGTCTGTCGAAAGTCTGGAAATTGGTAATCTCGCGTGCAAGCTCGATCCCCTCCTTTGACCCGCGGAAGCTGGGGCCGACCCAGACGCACACGTTGGCGGCAGACTTGTATATATCGTCCATCATATTCAGCTGCTGCCGTTTCTCCTCCTCGCCGCTCTTGCTCTGGTCGATACAGATGGCGTCGACCCATATGTTGACTTCCTTGGCGCTCCCGCGTAGCTGCATCAGTGCGTCGTGGAGGTTCTTGTATATGGCGAACCGGTGGTACTTGATGCGCAAGACAGCCCCGACAAACATGTTGACATCAAATTTCTCGCCCTTTTGCCTGTCTGGGCTGGGCAGTCTGTGGTTGACATTCCGAAGATGGATCTCCTCCCTTGGCCGCGTGCTCTGGTCACCCCAAGTGTATGAGAGAGCCTCATAGCAGCCCTTGACGTCCTCGAGCCGTCTTGTGAAGACCCTTGCGTACAAGGGCGAGGAGGGCTTCCCAGTCTCGTGGGGAGCGAGACAGAGAAGCCTGATCTCACCCTGCTGAAGTTTGACGTAGCGAAACTCATCTTCGGGAATCAAGCGACGCCGCTTTTTGAGCTCGAGATTCTCTGGTACTCCCTTGTACCACATATCCCTCAGCGGTTTCTTGTTCATGTGGGGATTAGCCCGTCTCTCTCTGACTTCTGGTACGGGGAGCGCCCGTTCGAGATCCGTATCGTCGCCATTGTCGTCCGGTCTGAAAACCATGGTGATGCGGTGGATATGGCGGCAGAAGTGGTCTGCCACAACCTCAATTCGAAAGCCTTGATGTAGTGTACTTTGGATTTGTGCTTCGAAGACGTAACCCAATACGATGCAATGTGCTTAAAGGGTATCAATCGCTCTTCAAAACGAAGTTGCTCTTGTATGCCGCGATTGGCGTTTTGGAGCAGTCGGTCTGTCAGGATGGATCTGCCGAGACCAGGCAGGAACACAAACAGCCCTCTCCTGGCCCCCAAATAAGAAGTCGGGGTTAGGATCGTACCGCCGGCCATCAAGCCTTGTGTCATGGTTGTGCACACCATCATTCGTCATCCCCCATGCTTCTTGTTCAGCTTCTTTTATCGGGCTGAGGATTCTTTCGGAAAAGCTTGTCCACGCCATCGAAAGCTTGGTACGAGGAGCCAATTGCCGCTCTTCATCATGTTGCAGCACTATGATCATCCAGGACAGCTGAACCAAATGTGGAGCGTGGCGGCGGTAGAAACTGCAAGCGAACCCCCTTCGGGACGCCCCGCGCTGACGGGAACAGGGGTGGCTGGCGTCTACTCATGCTATTGGCGTGGCCTCGCAAGAGGTGCATGTTAAGGACGAATGTACCACTCCCAGTCAGGGTGTGACAAATAGGCAAGCTTCGCGAGAAGAACAAGGAAGAGTGATCGTGAGGGGCATACCAGCAGACCCATTCGGTCCGGGATTCTTTCCCGGAGATGTCGATAGTCAGTTGCACTCTGGACACCCAGAACAATTCATTCCTGGCGAGCACCACGAAGCAATAAGCCTTGACCAAGTCTCAGCAACCGCCAGATGGGTCGGTAATGCATTAGCCATGGACCAGGCTTCTCTTTTCCAAGCTATCGAACGGGAGTCGGAAGAGGAAGTCAGGAACCTTCTGAGCGGCGGTGCATCAGCCAATGCTGAGACATTGGATGGATACTCTGCCATTCATCAGGCTGCGAAAGCAGGCAATGTCTATGTGGGTCGAATTCTGATCGGATATGGAGCCAACATACATGCTACAACGACGCGCGGAGAGACACCGCTCTACATAGCGGCTAGACAAGGACATGCTGCCTTTGTACGATTGCTCAAGCAAAAGGGGGGAGAAATCGACACTCCCACTCGGGAAGGCTGGTCGCCACTACATGCCGCATGCTACTTTCATCAGGTCTCTGTCGTGGAAGAGTTGCTCCATGAGTGTGAGGGCCGCATCGATATCGAAAGACAACTCAAAGATGGCGGTTGGACTCCGTTGCACAAGGTTGTCAGTCGAGGGTTTCTGGATATTGTAACGATGCTTCTTGATCATGGAGCCGATCCGGGTGCACAAGCCGAGAATGGTTGGACTCCATTGTACATTGCAGCTCGGAAGGGCTTTGATGACTTGGTACGCCTCCTTGCACAACGTGGAGGTAAAGCGAGTGTAATGGACGGCCAGAATAAGCTTGGATGGAGTCCCCTGCACGCAGCAGTTTGCCATAGACAGAGGAGTGTGGTAGCAACACTGGTCGAAATTGACCCAGAGGTGCTCGCCACGAGAACGAAAGACGTGGGTTGGACAGCATTGCATATGGCTTCGAGCCTCGGGTATGCAGAGATTGTGTCTGAGCTGCTCGGCCGTGGTGCAGATATCGAAGCACGAACGCTGAACAATGAATCAACGCCGCTCTATCTGGCTGCGAGAGAAGGGCATGTCGACGTGCTGCGAGTTCTCGCTCAAGAGGGTGCCGACGTTGGGGTGAGGATCAAGAACAAATGGTCTCCACTTCATGCTGCCTCATACTTTGGACGAAAAGCGGCCTTGGAATTCCTGCTTCGCTCGGGTGCACCTCGAGAGGCCAAGCTTGCTGAAGGACGCACGGCCTTGCACAAGGCAGCTGAAGCAGGCTTTGCCGACATTGCCGACATCCTGCTGGACTATGGAGCCCATGTCAATGCTCGAGATGATTCGTACGAGACGCCACTTCATATTGCTGCAGCATACAATCAGAAGTATGTCGTTCGTTTGCTACTGACCAGGGATGCCGATACAGAAGTGGAAAGCAAGAAGCAGGTGAGGCCTTTGGGAACCGCAATTGCAAAAGGCCACAAAGACTGCATCGCTTTATTGCAGAATACTTTGTTGGATCCCACCCATACGTCTTTGGGAAGTGGTATCCAATTTCTGGCCTCAGGACGGTGAGTATCATCACCTCGTATTGAGATCTGAGAATCTCGCATGCCCCTGAATCTAACTATTGCCCAGAGAGAGCCCAGAGACATGGCTCAACATCATTGACATGATCAACAAGAATTTGGCCAGTCCGACAGAGGCAGATAATGGATATCAGCAACCTCAAGTACCACAATTGCCTGAACCTTCAGAAAAAGCCGAGCTCCAGCCGATTAAGATCGCCGTTCTCGACACTGGTTGCTGCACGGACGGATTATGGTTTAGTGCCTTTCCTGAGGAAGTCTCGCGCATGAATAATGCTGCCCATTGGTGCGACTTTGCGGGGAAGAAGCTGCTACCGGTGGATGACGATGGTCATGGTACTGCTGTGGTGACGTTGTTGCTTCGCATAGCACGGAATGCCGAGATCTTTGTAGGTCGTGTCGCTGAGAAAAGCACTGACCTTCCCAGCTGCACAGAGAATGTTGCCAAGGTCAGTACGCAAAGGGTGCCGCTGGACTTGCCAACTCGAATATTTGTCGTCAGCTAATGACCATGCTAGGCAATCAAACACGCTGTCAACGTGTGGAAAGCCGACATCATATCCATGTCATTTGGGTTCCGCACCGACCAGCCCTCTATCAAGCATGAGATCAGCACGGCCATACGTGAAAGAAAGGACAGGATTCTGTTCTTCGCCTCTGCTGGCAACAGAGGAGCGAACGAGGAAGAACTCTATCCAGCGTCCTCTCGTCATGTCATATCCGTCCGAGCCACTGACCATGTAGGCACCTTTGTCGGCGACTACAATCCTGCACCGTCGCCACACTCCTCCACCGAGGAGACACCGTTGTTCGGCACATTGGGCGTCAAAGTGCCCTACGATTATCCAGCCATGAAGGTCATGTCTGGCTGCTCCATCGCAACACCAATCATGGCTGGCATGACCGCCCTCCTCATGCAATATGCAGCGCGGCATGGTGCCAAGGAATCGAGCCAAGAATATCTTCGTCAAAGGGAGGGTCTCCTCTGGTTGCTTAAGCATCGAGGTGTGAGACAGAGTAATCGACGGACTTATATCCACTTAGAGGCACTTCTAAGAGAAGACCCTGTTTCTTGGGTCAATGAGTTGGATACCTTGATGAAGAAATTGGAAAATTGGTTGTAGTTAGAGCGAGTTCCAGTATCGGAAATCTCCTTCTGCCTGGCTTACTTGCGATCTGCACTATTGTCCTTGGAAGAGACTATAGAATACTCTTCTTGTTCGTTCTCAGGCTTGTCCTTCCTTTCGGTAACAGCCTGATTGGGGTCAAGACCAAAGTCATTGAGATCAGCAGTCTTGAAATAGCTGAACTCAATCTCAAGTGGCACATCTCCCCCATCGCCCCCGTCGTCGCTCAGAAAGACTCCTGTAGACTGATACTCTGTCCCATACACGAGTCTCTTCTCACCCCATCCCTTAGGCGCCATCTTCAATAGTTGATAAGCGAAAACAACCTCGTCCGAGCTGAAGTCATATGCCGTCGCCTTGTCGCTCCCGATCTTGCCCTCGCCACCAGCTGACCCGAAACTTCCCGTGGGCAGTGTTGCGCCTAGTTCTCCTCCAGAATTGGAAGCTCCTTCCGAGGACAAATGGAATCCCTTCGCGATTTTGATGCCGGTCACCATGTACACGGGCTTCGATAGGATGGTGTCGGGCTTCATCAGCGCCCTGACGATGGGGTCCTTCGCCCGCTCCATGACGAGCTCGGGCGTGACGCCATCGCGGAAATACGTCGTCTCGAGTGTTTCAATGGTGTACTCAGTCCTCAACTTTCTCGCCTGCTCTGCTCCGATCTTGAGCTGGACGGTCTCTAGAAAGTTCGCCCACAGACTCAGCGACAGGCTCCTCCCTCTCTCGTCGACCAGCTTCACATTCTTCTCGTAAGCTGTTGTGACTTCCGGCTTCGCTGCGGTCGGGTCAGGCCTCGTGAGCACAATATGAGGCTTGAGCGGATTCGCAATAATGTTGCCCAACGCTATTGGGCCATCAGGACGAAAGGTCCAGTTCGGCGCCAGGAGATATGTTGGGTTAGCGACAGGTAGACCCATGGCCGGTATGTGTGATCTTGCGAGATTGAAGGTGTTGTGAGTAGAGAAAGCCGGATGTGAAGGGTCAAGCCTGGATCTGAAGTTGGCGACGACGGCCTGCTCTGACGATTGTTTCGAGGGCATGCTCGGACTTGGCGGGTTACATATCTCCCGCTCGCTTCAGCTCCTGCAAGTCAAGAGACTGGCATCACTAACAGCTGACGCGACCGCTATCTGTGATAGGTTGGACATCGCCAGTCACACCTCCACCTAGTCAGCGAGATGCACGCCACATGCCCGACCTTCCCGTTTGGCCTGGTCATTTTCCGAATCGGCTTCTGCCATTGCGCTGCGCTATTTTCTCTCCTGCTGAGAGAGCCAGCGCAATATTTCAGCCACTTCCGACCAAGGCTGCGTTCTGGGAATGGGCGACACACAGAAACCAGTCAGTGCGCAACCGAACCAATCTGAGCTTAGTTGGACCTTCTTCTCACTCAGCTAGAGTTCGGTCCCTCGAACCAATGCAGCTGTAGTGATGTCTACATCCTTCTCTCGGCCTTCGCTGCACTCATGTTCTGTCAATGATCCATTGAAACGCGACGAACCCTTGGCGCAGCATGACGGAGTCCTTGTTAGATCAGGCCTTGGACCAGATTAAGCGAGGGCGGACCAATGAAGGGTTCAGAGCCTGGGAAGCACTTTTCCCCAAGCTCTGCGAGGAAGAAGGCTTGATATATGGTCTAGCTATGAAGATTGAGCTCGTCGAGGCACTGAGACGGACGGAACATAAACTCGCCAAAAGAACTTGCCAGGAGATCTTGAACCAGATTTATGAGAACGAGGATAAGAATCACTTGTCCAAGGATGCGAATTGGGACACGCTAAGCAATCTCGCATGGGAAATCTATGACATGTTGAGCGGAGACGAGGTGTTGGATCCGAGTGACGCATCTATCCAAGTTGTTCAAGACGAGGTTCAACCTGCAAGTCCACGGAAGCTCCAGCCTATGCTGGCATGGCCAAAGATGCCGCGGAACGTCATCAGCACCGAGGCCCTACGCGAATTTGGTTTGAATCACGAGGTTCGCAACGACAATGTCATCATATTCAGCATCCTGACCGAAGATGAAGTAACGGACCTGGTCCTGCGCAGCATCGAGATCCGTCGAGAGCGTTCTCTAGCGCAACGTACCCATGCCCCAGTCTCTGTCGGGAGCAGACCCGGCCCTTCGAAATATTTGGACTTCTCGCCTAGCCAGAGACCACAAGCAGGAAACAGTGAGGCGTTCAGGGATGAATCACCAGCCGTTTCTGAAGAAGTACTGAACCACCTGGGTCCAGGAACACCTTTGGGGATAAAACAGGCTTCACAGGGAACTGGATTATCGAGATCGGCCCTGGACATTAATGGGGTTCTCTTAACACTAAACTCGTCTGTACGTCAACTTCTCTATCCTCTGGGTCTATCGGAAAGTTGTTTTAACCAAGCAAAAGATTCAAAACAGTGACATTTGGTTGAACAACTTCTCTACCACTCAGCAGCGTTTGAAAAGTGATCTTGGGCCGCACCCTCAATGCGGCAGGAAAATCAAGATTGCGATTCTTGACACTGGATGCAACATAGATGATCCGTACTTTCTCAGCAACGGTATGGATCGGGTGGAAGGACTAAAAGACAGCTGGCACGACATGTTGGACGAATCTCCGACACCGGTTGACTTAGACGCCGGAAAGCACGGGACCGCTCTTGCTATTCTGCTCTTGCAGCTCGCTCCAGACGCCGAGGTGCACGTCATTCGCATTGCACGGGACTCAAGCCAGATAGACTCGGCAAAGGCAGCCGTTGAGGAGGTGGGCTTGTCTCCGCTCTGAGCATTGTTTGTCATTACCGAGCCGCTAATGCCCTGTTCTCAGGCAATCCGCCTTGCAGCAGATGAAAAAGACGTGGACATCATCTCTATGTCATTTGGATTCCAGAAGGACATCGGCGTGATCCAGAGCGCTCTCACAGCAGCGGAGATCAAGAAGGATCACAAAATACTCTTCTTCGCTGCGGCGAACAACGACGGGCTCAACGACCCGGAAAGGTATCCAGCTCGGTCCGAAGCTGTCATATCAGTCCGCGGAACAGACCACGCTGGCATCATGGTTGGGCAGTACAACCCTGGAAACTGGGAGCAAAATCCAGGAGATCAGTTGTGTACTCTAGCCAAGAATGTCCCCTGCGGCTTTCTTGCTCCCAAGTCGGGTTGCTCAGTTGCGACGCCTATTCTTGCGGCGATTGCGGCAAACATAATCGCATTTGTAGACTGCAGCAGCCATTTTTCGGAAGACGAGAGGGCAATCGTCCGACAACGAAGAGGGATCCTCCAGGTGTTCAGAGAGATGGCCCGATTTCAAAGGCCAGCAGCAGACAGGTTGTATGTAGCACCCTGGCATTTGTATGAGGGGAGTAGAAAGCCACACACAGTGATATCCTACGCACTGTCAAATCTTCCTCAACGAGAATAATTAATGTATGTTATCTAGTCGTATTAACTCCACCCGAGCTGCTAAGTTTCGGTCGGTGAGGTTGGCTGGCAACTTAAAAGAGCTCGAAAGAATCATGTTATTCACTGAAAAAGTGCTCGTTCTCAAAAGCTAAATGACTAGTCAGTAGAACCTTTTGAAATAGGGTTCGGAGTTCTGTATATCCTCCGCATCAGAAGCGGGCTGATCTCAGAACTACGGCCTTCTCGGCAGTTCCAAGGGACCATACGGGGACGCGTACTGTGGATCACATTCTTGACCATCACGACAATCTACTTTGCTGATTGGTTTGCCTAGTTATGCCAAGAGTCTCTTCGGCTCCCATCTACCAGAAAAGTGTGACTTCGTACAAGCACTGCCCTTGGGAAACACAAGAAAATAACTATTCACGGCCAGAAACACGTCACCCACACTCTACCGAATATATTTAGAGCATCGACGTTCAGATCCGGCAGACTACTCGCTTGGCCAAATGTTGAGAAGGAAAGATCCATAAGAGGCAAACCCAGCGACACAACAGCATGAATGAAATTACACTCGCACCATAGCTATCTTGGAATGCTTCTATACAAAGCGAACATTCAGTCGTGTTTCAATCAGACTCAATCCTTCAAGACAGCTGCCACACTGCCGACTTTCGATGACGCAAGACCAAGCCACGCCCATACAATTGATATAAAACAACGAAGCTATTTTTAAGACAATAAAGTCTACACAATGAATCAGCCAAGCCATTTCCACTTTGTCCTTTCTTTCTGTTCGTCTCTGTTTGTACTCCTTTGGATTGCATCTCGGTATCAGAGCCCTACGGTTCAGGACGGCCCTATATCCAACGGCGGAATACCTCGCGAGATTATGACGATCCTGGTACCTAGGAAACAACAACTGGATCTTCCCGACAGAAAGGTGCTCATACCGGCTTCAGTAAGCATGAGATACGAAAGTGCGCCATACTGGGCTTGGGCAAACGTAACTGGACAGGGACATTGTCAGGATCAAGCATAGTCCTCTTGTCGGGCAATCTTGATGGGATCTCATATAATAAGACCAACAGGTGGCCGGCAATGCAACTCCATACTTCCAAGGCGGAAATGATTCCGGTTTCAGTCTCGAGCAAACGTTGGTGGATTGCCTCCCGATCTTGGTGATGCGGATGCTTGGACCTTGCAAGGAGTGGACATGGCTTTCTTTGATAGTTTGACGCGTGGGACATCGTCTTTTTATGACACGGAGTTAGAGGGAACAGCATGTGAGCTTTGGAATTAGAATTTACTGCACTTCATTCTTGAAGGCTACCAGTTTCGTGGCTTCATCTTCCAGCCCTGTGAATGACAAGGACTGGACTTTATTGAATGTGGCTAGATGGCTAGGAGCGAGGAAAACTGCACTCCTGACCGCAACCGTCATTACTATTCAGACCCAAGATGGACACCCCCTCCAGCAGCTTCCACTACCGACACCACGTCAAAATCAGTCCCGAGATTTCATGGCGACGCTTTGGCCAAGTTGTCCATAAAGTTGGGGTCCTTGAACGGCACATTCGCAGCCCCAAAGTCGGTGTTGGTCAGCGCCGTCCTCGCCGCGTCCGTCATCGACTCCCAGGCGATGAGCGGCTGCTCGCCGCCCTGGGTCGACGTGAAGCCCAGCCGGTGGTCGAGGGGCCAGTCGCTGAAGTACCGGATCTTGGGCCGCGTGCCGTCGAGCTCGAAGCCGCCGGTGATGGTGTCGAACTTGCCGTGGCCCGAGGCCGACAGCGCCACGATGGTGGGATCCGCCTTGGCGCCGTCGTCGAGCCACACGATGGCGCACTCCCAGTCGTGCCGGTGGCCGAGCCCCGACGAGGGCGAGTCCTTGGGCATGTACCACGAGTACATGATCGCGTAGCGCCCGTTGTAGGCGCCGCCGCGGGCGTAGACCTGGCCTGTGCTCTTGGAGCAGCCGCCGTTGGAAGCACCAGTGGGTTTGAGGCCGCCTCTGTTGAAATGAAAGGGCGTTGGCCATTGTGTCAGTCCCGGGGGCTTCAGAGCTTGTCACGGGGGTTGAGCTGGTTGGGAGACCAACTTACCCAGTGTTGCCCGCCGCATCGACCGCTGGGAACGGGACGCAGCCGTTGACAACCTTGAGCCACGGCTTGAAACGGAGGTAGTTGTCGCCGTAGACGTTGCTGGGAACAGTCTGGGGGAATCCGACCACGGCGTCCGAGTTAATCACGGCGCGTGACTCGAGCGGCGCGGCGCTGATGCCGACCGCGGCGGCGATGATCGAAAGAAGAGCGGGCCTCATGATTACCGATCGCAAGTGACGGTCTGGTGCTGTTGTCTGAATAGACGAAGCTAGGTCAGAAGCTCTTCATGTTATAGTCTGTCGAGCAGTTCAGTGTGGGCATCGGGCCGGTCCGGATTGGGTGTGAAATTGGACGTTACGCCCCGATACCACGCTCTGAACATGTGGCTACGTAATGGCCGGGGTCGCTGCAAGATCTCTGTTCTACTTCGTACGGTTGTCCTATTGCGTGCAAGGGTTCAAGCTCGTGTGTATCGAACCATCCCTGCTCTGATATTGAAGCCCCGACGCTATCCTGAAAGCCTTGTAGTTATCAAGACCATTCGCATCATCTCCGCACAACGGTGTTTTGCACGTGCAAGTATTGAAGAGCCATCAGAAGAGGACCTCACATGCATTGCGCTCTTTAGTTCAGGTGGCCGCGGAACGGGGGCGCCGGCAGTCGCATTCGTATATAAGCGAGCCCCGGGGTGTTTACCGAATGTAGAGCAAGTCCCGGGCCCGTGTAATGCGCTAGAAGCAGGGATCAGCAGAAGATGGGGCGCGTGTATAGCACAGTTCGTCGTTTCATCTCTTGAGAACATACACATGGTCTGCCAAAGACAAGTGCACTTGTAGCTTTCTTCTCGAAAGACAAAAGCATGAGTCTGCTCATCTACCACGTGGGTTACATTTCGTCCTGCTTAACAGGACAGAGGAAGCGCTCTAATTGGGGATCGGATCATCGAGGGGCTATCTGATGTAGCATGGCCAGAAGCCGAGCCTATGGGATATTTCGATCGCCAAGAAGACCCCGCAGCTGAGGAACCAAGATGCTGTTTGCCAATGCGTGCGTGCGTTCACTACTCGATATGTCGGTTTCCACTTGTCAAGACAACTACTCCATACTATCACAAACAATGCCTTGCGGAGTCTGTCTTGATCTCAACTTTGAGTTGGCATCTAGTACACTAGAAGATACGCGAACCCTGAAAGCAAATACTTCGTCTCACAAGAACCTCACCACAAGGTTGCTCAAAGCCGCGAAATTGAAGAGTGCCGCACACCGCGGCTGCCTCAAATGTGATGCCATTTTCAAAGCTCTTACCCACTTTGGGGTTGACGTCAATGATCAGTCTCTCGTTCTTATGCGCTTGTCAACGCCGCGCGAATGTGTCTTGCTCATACCTTCAGAGTCGTTGACCATTCAGCTCTACACACCGGCTGGTAAGCAAGCATGACCTGCGATGTCTTCCAGATGGGGCTAATGGTCAGTTACGCAGGAGAGCCCCCTGCCTGGCAAGGTATTACACAATGCAATGCGCTGAGCGCTTCTGCCGGTTCGCCGGAGGCGTACGACTTTATCCGTTGCTGCATTGATAGATGTGACAACTATCATGCACCTTGCAAACGAGGCATGCCATATCTACCCACACGGGTTATTGATGTCGGCCAGCAACACGATGTCCAAGTGCGTCTAGTTGAGAACATGCCAGGTTCCACGGGTCCTTACATCGCCCTCAGTTACTGCTGGGGAAGGACGCCTGCCGTCACAATGGAGACAAGTAATTTGCACTCCATGAAGCAGGGCATCAAGTTGTCCGTCTTGCCTCGTACCATCCAGGATGCAATCACCGTCACTCGCATTCTGGGTATTCAGTACATCTGGATTGATGCCCTCTGTATTATACAAGACTCGGCAAGCGACTGGGAAATCGAGTCCTCCAGGATGGCTTCGGTTTATCAAAATGCGTACTTGACGTTGGCAGCAGCCACCGCGGCCGCGGGGTCTGAAGGCTTTCTCCACCATAATCATCTGTCGGCAGACTATCCGCCATCTTTCAAGATGAACTGGTGCAATGAACAAGGCGAGCTGTCTACCCTTGGCTTTCGGCAGATACCCGATGGAGAAATCCACGAGGAGATAGCCTTTGACCCGCTGAGCCTTCGCGCGTGGACCTTACAGGAAAGACTCCTGTCTAGAAGAGTATTAACGTACTCTGAGAACGAGTTGGAGTGGCACTGCCTTACGCAAAAGACGTGCGAGTGTCAATCCATGGACAAGTTCGGTTCTTCAGTCTACTTGGCGTCGGTAATGGCCATCAAGGAGCCGAAAGAGGCCTTCCTCAAATGGCACCAGCTTCTCGCTGACTACTGCACACGGGCCATCACGTTTACACAGGATAAACTTCCAGCTCTGTCCGGGATTGCCAAGGTTATTCAAGATAACACCGGCTCCGGATATATTGCCGGGCTGTGGCAAGACAATCTATTGGTGGACCTGACTTGGACCGTTCCCAGCGGCAAAGATGAAGTGTGTGCCCTTCCCGAGTACCGGGCACCGACTTTCTCCTGGGCTTCAGTCGAGTCGGCCATCTCTTTCAGGATCGACCCACACAAGCCATGGACTCCTGGAGTGACTATCGTAGGCGTTAAATCAGAAGCCCTGGGCAAAAATCCTCTAGGTCGAGTGCGTAGCGCAGAAATGGAGCTTCGTGGGTGTCTCTTCGAAGCATCCCTTGTCTACAGCCCAGGAATCACAAAGCGGTATTTCGCGCTGTGGAACAACGAAAGTATTCAGTTCTTGGCAGACACACAACTAGAAGAGTTTAACACGGTTCGAGACGACGGCCAGTCGATACTGTCAGTCCGCAGGTCACCGTTAGGTTCAATCGCCCAGCCTGCGCAGACAGGGGCTTCAATCTTTCTTCTTTACTATGGCAAGACACACCAGGAGACAGGCAGTGTCACGACATGGAATTTTCTCGTCCTGGGACGATCAACATCAAAGCTTGGTTGTTTTGAACGGCTGGGATGGGCGTTCTCTGATGGCTTTGCAGGACATGCGGAGACTGCAGCGCAGACAACAGTGACCATATTGTGACTGGAGACGCCAGACTGTTGAAATACTGCCTAGGAGCTATTGATGCAATACTAGGCTAATATCTCGACTGTAACCCATCTCGTATGATTCACTAGTAGAGGTTCTGCTGTTCGCATTAGCAGAGGAGCTGCAGTTTCCCCGGACATCGGTCCCGTTACCCCCGATCTGACCCCTGATGGGCGCGCTTCTGCCACGGAGGTCTCCGTGCGGGGGTGGTCGACATCACCAAGCCTTTCCTCCAACGAGGGTAGTATCCGCGCCCCAGACTACCGGCAGAATGCCCGCAGTGGAGAACCTATTGCAAGCCCATTGGCCTTGCCCCTGCCATGTCCGGCTTATGTTGCCAGTTCTCAGCTCGAGGGAGTCTGCATTTTCCGGCTTTGAGCACTATTACTCCGATTTGAACGCTTAGATGATCTTGAAGTACTAAAAGAACGAAACCCAGCGACTGCCAGACCTTCGAGCGTGAGGACTGCTTAAGCTATACTTGCAACTCCAGTGCTCCTCTCAATCGTAAATCAACGATGCAGACCCAAGCCATATATATGCTTCTAGCTGCTGTCGGTCTCCTCGACCCGGCATCAGCGACCCTTCTGCGGACGTCAATGCCATTGATGGGCTGGAACTCGTACAATTACTACAACTGCAACCCGAACGAGTCCATCATCAAGGCCAATGCGCAAGGCCTCGTCAGCTTGGGGTTCGATAAGCTGGGCTACAAGTGGGTGACGACAGACTGCGGATGGAACGCAAACTACCGCGACTCCTCCGGTCAGCTCGTCTGGGTTTCGAGTCGGTTTCCCTCGGGCGGCAAAGCGCTGGGAGACTTCCTTCACGGCCTCGGTCTCAAGTTCGGCGTCTATTCGGGCGGAGGGTATTATCAGTGCGGCTCGACCGATCTGCCCGCGTCTCTCAGTGCGTCCGAGTGATTTGTAGCTCTGCTTTCCAGGCTAACTTAAGTCCAGATCACGAAACAACCGATGCTAACTCCTTCAATAACTGGGGGGCTGACTCGCTCAAGTCAGTATACAACCTCTCACCGTCAGGGGCAAAGCCGCTAACATCATACTGTAGATATGACAACTGTTATTCAACTTCCAACACCACCATGGTTGACAATACATCCCCGGGTGCCGTTTCGCCAACCCGTTTTGAGACCATGTCCAAAGCTCTGGGTGCCGTTTCGCGGGGCATTGTGTTCCAAGTGTGTCAGTGGGGAGTCGGTGAGAACCTTGGCATTTGGTAAGCCTCCTTCTGTTGAGATCAAGAGAATGTCACGCTCACCTTGAACATTAGGGCACCTCCTATTGCCGAGTCGTGGAGAATCAGCAACGATATCCAGAACAATTGGAAGAGCATCTGGCGCATCGCGAACGAGGTAGTCCCGTACTACAAGTACACCAAGCCTGGCGCTTATCCAGACATGGATATGCTCACGTAAGTGAACGATCTATCCGCACGACGGCAACCTGTTGATGCTAACCGCTCATTCCAGCGTCGGTCTCGGAGCCCTCTCGCATGAGGAGGAGCGGTTCCATTTCGGGCTGTGGTCTATCATGAAGTCGCCTCTCATCATGGGCGCACCAGCACTCACTTCCGCGACCTCGTCTCAGTCTCTTGCAACTCTAGGCAATGCTGAAGTCATCGCCCTGAACCAAGACTCGCTCGGCGAGCAGGCCCGCCTCGTCCGCCGCTACACCGAGGAGGAGTGGGACGTCTTCGTGGGAACGCTGTCGGGCGATCGCCTCGTGATCGGTCTCGCCAACTGGAAGAATGGTAGCACAGCCGCGTCTGTGGACCTGGCCTCCGTGCTGGGGATCAGCTCCGCGACCGCGCGCGACGTCTGGGCTGCGCAGGACCTGGGCACCATCTCAGGCACGTACAGCAAGACCCTCGCTCCGCACCAGCTCCAGCTGCTCGTCTTATCCAATGTCGCAAAGACCAGCGCCACGCCAAAGTCGGCTGGATACTACACGGCGACCGACGCCACGCTGTCCGGTTCGGCGGCCAAAACGACGTGCTCAAGCACGCAGTGTCTGCCCGCGCATGCAAAGGTGGGATTCATTGGTCAGGGCCCTGCCGCTGCTGCTGTGACCTTTAATGGTGTCAAAGCCGCCACGTCCGGGACAAAATTATTGGGCGTCGACTTCATCAACTACGACATCGCGACCGACAGTGCTTGGGCTAATGGGAGCAACACGCGCAACATGACGATCTCGGTCAATGGAGCGACGCCGAAGCGGTGGGCCTTCCCAATCTCGGGAGGGAACTGGTTCGACACCGGGCGCTTGCAGATTGAAGTCGGTGGATTCAAGGCCGGCGACAACACAGTCGTATTCCGCGCGGCCACGGACGGACAGTACGCTCCTGATCTCGTTGGGTTTGAGGTGTTTGAATGAATCAGTCTACATATCTGACTTGAGTATGGCTTTCTGCAACTAGCTCCATACTTGATTCTGTTTTCACACAGTGAAGATAGAAAAAGAAGATGAAAAATGAAAGAAAGATATTGTGATCAATGATTGCGCCTATTAAAGTGCAGTGCCGGTTATCCCAAATAAGACCAACGCACACCCAGTCGTCAAAAGTTACGCCTGCGCCTCTTGTACCTTCCGCATGGGCCTGAGCGCAGTGGGAGCAAAAGTAGAAACAGGCTCATCATCCACCAGGTTCTGGTTGTCGGAAAGCTCTTTGTCCGGCAACAACGCGCAGAGGATGACGTCGACAGCGGCAATGGTGACTGCACCGGTGATGATCTGATGCATGTTCAGGCTCCACGCCTTGATGACACCCGCCCTGACAGGCGTGCCGATGGGGTACGCCGTAAGTGCGTTGCTGCCCTGCGCGTAGATCTTCTCTACGACGGTGGAGTTGACAAGGGGATCAAGAAACTCATGTAGCTCGCCGCGCAGCTGCTTCTGGATGGCGCCGACTACAGCGGCGCCAATGGCGCTGCCCAGCTGCAGCGTGAGGAGGTAGAAGCCCGTCACGATGGCCATCTCGGAGTGCGGCACGGCCGCCTGCGCCGCGACCAGGATGTTGGCCGTCATCAGCCCGCCGCCGAGGCCCTGGATGACCTGCGGCATGACGGCCTGGATGATCGAGCTGCCGGCGTCGCGGTAGCGCACCATGAGCCCGAGGCCGAGCAGGCGGACGCAGGCGCCCGCGAAGGTGACCCACTTGTAGCGCCGGGTCACGGTGGCGGCGACGCCGCCCGCGATGCCGAAGACGACGAGGCACAGCGACTGCGTGTAGTAGAAGTAGGTGGCGTCGGCGACGCCCCAGCCGAACATGATGCGGCACCACTGGAAGGCGGGCGTGTAGGTCATGGCGTAGCTGAACTGGTCGCAGAAGATGATGGCGGCGGGGACGAGCACGTTGGGGTTGCGCGCGATCTTGCGCATGTTGACGAGCGGCGTCTTGGCCACCTTGAGCTCCACGAGGGGCCAGAGGGCAAGGAGGGCGGCGCCCAGGACGAACATGGCGATGATGTAGCTGGTCTGGTAGCCGTGCGGAGCGGCGCCGGCGATGGTGAGCGGGAGGAGGATGAGCAGGAACCCACCAGCCATGGTGAAGAGGCCGATGAGATCCAAGTCGCTGGCCAAAGCCCTGAGCGCGGTCCAGAAGCCCATGCCGCGATACGGGTAAGGCGCCAGCTGGCCGGCCTCGTACGCCCGCCACTGCTGCAGGCCGAGGACGGTGATGATGGGCGCCGTGACGAAGGGATTGATGATGGTGAACATGCCGACGCCCCAGCGCCAGCGGTCGGGAATCAAGGCCGCTGTGATCTTGCTCGCGATGCCAAAGTTGATGACGAAGTGGATAGCGAAGACATTGCCGATGGTGGTGCGCCACCTGACGCCGACGAGGTCGGCAATGGTGACCGATTGGCTGAACGTGATGCCGGTGTTCCCGATGGAGAAGAAGACCATACCGGCGCCGAGGCCTTGAATGGAGCGGGATGACGAGATCACAATGGTGCCGACGGTGAAGAAGAGAATCGAGATAGCATAGGTGAAGGCCCGGCCAAACGTGTCGGCCAGTTTGGCGAAGACAGGTTTGCCAACGCCGAGGATCATGCTTTGAATTACGGCCAGAGTAGTGTACTGCACAATGCCGTTGAACTCAGAGGCAGCCTCCTGAAGGTAGACCGACATGGTAAAGTTGTCTAGGCCATTTGCATATGCGGTGAGAGCAATCCTGAGCAGCCAAATCAGCACTCGGCCTTTGGCTCAGTTCAGCGGCCGGCATTGCCTTACCCAGTCCACAGTATCACCTTCTGATATCTTGGCAGCTCCGGAAGTGTCGGCTGCTGAGCTAGCTGCGCATCTTTCGTCTTGGCGGACTCTCCCGCCTGCTTTCCGTGGCGCTGCGTCTCGGAGACTTCCAGAGGTAGCATCAACTCGCCTCTTGAAGCAGTGCCGATTTGAGCTGCTTCGACGGTAGTGTTTGATGCAGTATTCATGGCTATAGCAACTAGCTACAGACTCGTAAATGATCTTGATAAAGAATCCTCAACTGAGATCGGAAGCATCAGGAGAAGAAAGAAAACAAGAGAATTCTTCCAGGGGAGGGTGGTGAATTGGATGGATGGGTGGATCTAATCTAATCAGATCAAATGGATCAGATAATCTGAAAGCTTGTCCATTGACCGTTGAAAGCTTGGCCGACTGCGGAGCAGCTTCGCGACGACTAAGCTGTATTTGTCGAGCCAGGCATCTAGACCAATGGCGAGAACAAAGCATCCTCTTGCTAGCGGGACTCAGCTGAATAGGAATCTCGGCTGGACTTTCTCGTATTTAACATGTTGCTCCGAACTCCGGCCAGCCGGCTTGCGGGCGGGGTTTTGTCATAGCGTTCAAAATTGGATCAGGGATGCGAGTGAAGACATGGTTAGATAGAGAACGTAAGCCATATCGTCTTTACTTCAACAGAGAACGCAAAAGAGTGAAAAGCAGCAACGCCGGAGCCATGTCGTCATCTCAGGAAGAACTCCCCAAAACCGGTTCCCCTAACCCACTACAGGGTGTGGCGGAGCACATTCGAGCCCTTCTTGCTCGCCTGCATGCTGAATCGTCTGCGCAGGAGGGCAGCATGACAGAGGGTGACTTCAAAGATCGCCCCTTTGCAGAGGTGATGAAAGACAAGTTCATCGCTCTTGACGAGGACAAGTCTCAATACGTCTATCAGCTCCTTCGTGTTCTCGGTGCGACTACTGTCGTCGAAGCCGGCACTTCGTATGGAGTGAGCACCATCTATCTCGCTCTCGCCGTGGCTGCCAATGCTGCAGCCAGTGGCAAGGCAGGGCGAGTGATCGCTACCGAGCACGAGCCTGGAAAGTGCGTTCAAGCTCGCAAATACTGGGCTGAGTGCGGAGAGGAGGTCAGCCAGCAATGTGATCGACCTCCGCAAGGGCGACTTGAGGGAGACGCTCAAGACTGGCTTGGAAAATGTTGATGTACTTCTGCTGGATAGTATGATACCCTCCAATCTATGTCCTCCTTGTGTTGCTATGCCAGATCACATACATCTGTGTGACTTCTGCAGCTGCGTTGGAGAGTTCTTCGCTGACCATTGCATACGGCAATAGTCTGGGCCCCAATGGCCTTGCCGACCCTGAAGCTTGTCCAGCCAAAGATGCGCCACGGTGCTGTCGTTATCACCGACAACAGCATCGGAGCTGCCAAGGCTTACAAGGAACTCCTGGAATACTTGCGAGGGCCGGATAGTGGGTTCATCAATCTGACGTTGCCCTACAAGAGCGGTTTGGAGGTCAGTGTCTACCTTCCTCAAGGGTAGATATTTTGCGCGTGATTCGATGGTGGCAAGGCATGGTAAACCTGCCCAGTTGTGATTCTGCGGATTGTGTAAGCTTGATACCAGCCAATGTGCGGGTGCAATTGGGATGCGTTCGATCCCTAATGATACCATCGTTCCTCATTTTTTTGCCCTTTGAATGCTACCCTTTGAAAAGCCTTATAATAAAATACAACACTGCTCACAATAACAATAGCAGCTTGTGGCAATATGCCATAGCGGTTAGGGAGTCGGATTGTTGAAGCGGCGGCACCAAGCAATCTGCGGGTGCAATTGGGATGCGTTCGAACCCCGATGATACCATTGTTGCTATTGTTTTTGTCTTTTTCTCTTTTTTTGCTCTTTAATTATTTGGGTGAAGGTGGCAGGGGGTGACACAAAGGAGCGAGTCCCTGCGCCGTATGGATGTCTACTCAACACAACTCACATTGGACAAAGAATTGCCTTGCGCTTTTGGCTGGGGTTGTTCATAGTGCTAGCAGTCTTGATGATAGCTCATAGTCACATAGCTATCTTCAGATGGAATATGTACGAGGCTGGTTCGGTTGACGCGTGCTCCATTACGGAAGATGCGAGCTATCACCTCGAGATTGGGGCGATGTCTTTTGATCAACTAGGACTGAATAGTCCGGCTGAGCTCTCCATTGCTGGCATGTTGATTCGGTGTAGCCCCGGATTGGACTTGGCTTCGGCTCTGGCTCGGCTTGCGGATCGTTGCTGATAGAACGCAATTGTTTCGTGAGCACGGTTTTCAATATTGGCAGACATCCCGGGCTACTTTACCAACTGCTATTATCTCCAAACCCCGTTCCGCTGGCTTCCGAACTCTCCTAAAGTCAATGAGTGCGCCCATCCTCCGTCCCATTGGCTCTTATCTCTGCTTTACTTAACGATTAGCAAAAGCGCCTACAAACTTCCCCGCGCAAGTCGCGAGCTATGACTGACGGGTGCGAAAAGCAGACTAAACCTCATCAGGGAAATCTATCCGCGGGTCGGGTTCTCGAGCTTATCTCGCACCAATCGAGCTTGGCGAATGGGTCAGCTTATCACTCCGAACGGTCTTCCGCTACGTTTCCCCTCTCGAGAGTATGGGAGATTCTATCCTATCGCCAAGAGGAGAGAGCCATCTAGACTGTAAGTCAGGATAGTTTGTCATTGGGGATGGAGGTGTTGCATTCCCATTGGTTCGCCCCGCCGGATGGCTGCGGGAGTGCGTAGATATATAAAGAATGCCTCCTTCACAGCTACCATCTCTCAGGAGATCGTTCAAGCATAGCAAGATCTGTCCATCACTCATCACTCATCACGAGGACAAAGGTCGTCAAACTGAAGACATATCGTGATTGCTCTTATACATACATCATACCATGGGTTTCGGCGCAGTCCCTTATCCCCTGGACCCCCTGTCCAAGGGCGAGATCGAGGACACTGTCGCAGTTGTCCGGAAGGCCAAGGGCGATGTCTTCTTCAACGTCGTCTCTCTACACGAGCCGCGAAAGGCCGAGATGACTGCTTGGCTCAGCAGCCCTCAGTCCGCGCCTCGGCCTGCACGCATTGCTGATGTTGTCGTTGTTGCGCGGGATGGAAAGGTCTACGATGGCCTGGTGAGGCTATCTGACCTCTCGATCATCTCGTGGGAGCACATGGAAGGTGTTCAGCCCATTGTAAGCCAACAGCCAGCTTCTTTCTTCGCGGTTACACACTCGCTGACCTTGTTTGTGCCGCGAAGATCACACTGGAGGAGCTCATTGCAGTAGAGCATGCCTGCCGTGAGGACCCCAATGTCATTGAACAGTGCGTGCTCAGCGGTGTTGCACGCGACGAGATGCACAAGGTCTACTGCGATCCGTGGACCATCGGCTATGACGAGCGGTTCGGCAGCACCGTCAGACTCCAGCAGGCCCTCATGTATTACCGGCCGGATCCAGACGCATGCCAGTACCAGTATCCGCTGGACTTCTGCCCCATCTACGACGCCAACAAGGGCAAGATCATTCACATTGATATCCCCAAGATCCGGCGGCCGCTGAGGAAGGACCTTCCGCAGCTCAACTACCACCATCTTGCCATCGAGAAGCAGGGCGGCTATAGGAAAGATCTGAAGCCTATCAACATCACGCAGCCCGAGGGCGTCTCCTTCACCATGAAAGGCAGAGAGATCGAGTGGCAAAACTGGAAGATGCACATCGGCTTCAACTACAGAGAGGGCATCGTGCTGAACAACATCACATTCAATGACAAGGGCAACGTCAGGCCGATCTTCTACAGAATGTCTCTGGCAGAGATGGTTGTGCCTTAGTAAGTGTCAATGGCAAAGGTACTTGCCCGAGACTCTGGCTGACATGCGATGAACAGCGGCAACCCCGAACATCCTCACCAGCGCAAGCATGCCTTTGACCTGGGCGAGTACGGCGCTGGCTACATGACCAACAGCTTGTCTCTCGGCTGCGACTGCAAGGGCTCCATCCACTATCTCGACGCCGATTTCCCCGCACGAGACGGCACCATCAGGCACATCAAGAACGCTGTCTGCATCCACGAGGAAGATGACGGTATCCTCTTCAAGCACAGCGACTTCCGAGACGACTCGACGATCGTGACGCGGGCACGGAAGCTCATCATTCAGCAAATCTTCACGGCTGCCAACTACGAGTATGCCATCCAGGTAAGAAATCATGACATCCACCACCTTTGTAACGAAACATGCAAATGCTAACCTGGTACCGATAGTGGGTGTTTCACGTAAGCTCTCTCCCTTCCCTCTCCGCGATTCAAACCTCACCTTGCCGAGCAAGCACACATACTGACCAACGCCGCAGCAAGACGGGACCATCCAGCCCGACATCCGCCTGACGGGCATCCTCAACACCTACGTCATGAACCCGGGCGAGGACACGCACGGCTGGGGCACGCAGGTGCACACGGGCGTCAACGCCCACAACCACCAGCACCTCTTCTGCCTGCGCATCGACCCCAACATCGACGGCAGCGCGCGCAACACCGTCTTCGCCGTCGACGCCGTGCCGTCGGCCGCGCCCGTCGGCAGCCCCGAGAACTTCTACGGCAACGGCTTCTACGCGCGGCGCACGCGCCTCGAGACGGCGGCGCAGGCCATGACCGACTACGACGGCAGCACGTCGCGCTCGTGGGACATCTGCAACGAGAGCTCGCTGCACCCGCACAGCGGCAAGCCGGCCTCGTACAAGCTCGTCAGCCGCGAGGTGCCGGGCCTGATGGCCAAGGAGGGCTCGCTCGTGTGGAAGAGGGCCGGCTTCGCCCGGCACGCGGTGCATGTGACAAAGTGTAAGTCCATTCTTCTTCTTCTTCTTCTTCGTCTCAATCCCTTTCTTCAGTTTCTGCACCTCAAAACAGCCAACAAATCGCTAATCATGGATCTTTTCTCAAGACGCGGACGACCAGCTCTGGCCCGCCGGGCGCCACGTGCCGCAGACGTCGGGCGAGCCGTCCCGCGGCCTGCCCGAGTGGATCGGCGACGGCTCGGCCTCGGTCGCCGACGAGGACATCGTGCTGTGGCACACGTTTGGCGTGACGCACTTCCCGGCGCCCGAGGACTTCCCCGTCATGCCGGCCGAGCCCATCACCCTGCTGCTGCGCCCGCGCAACTTCTTCAGCTGCAACCCGGTCATGGACGTGCCGCCCTCGTACTCGGTCACGCCGAGCCAGGTCGCCGCCAGCAAGCAGGGCGCCATGGACCTGACGGACCGCGTGAGCAAGCTGGCGTTTGTCGACGGGCAGGACCAGGCGGCTGCGGCGGCACCGTCGTGCTGCTCGAAGCTGTGAATGGGGGGGTCATTGGAATGGGCCCGAGCTTTCCTGAGGATCTCTGCTAGGTACAGTTACAAGTACAAGTACTACGTGGGAAGAAGGTTTTCACAGAATGCTTGTCAGTTACGTTACAACACCGACCTGTGTTTCACATGTGAAGGGGACAGGGAGGACCAGAGCAGGGGCCAGAAAGGGGAGGTGATCTCCCGGGTCAGCGCGCCGAGTTCACGCGAGCGAGATGGAGACTGCTTCTGGAAGGAGTCTCGAGGGCTTTTTACAAGTAATGACGACGACGACAAGCAGAGATTATTGTAACATCGCTTCTGTAGCAATTGAGATTGATCCCACGCGGCCGAGTTAACCAGATTGGACTCTAGAGGAAACTCCTTTTCGTTTCCCCACTCGATGCCCTAGCATAACCCTAGCTATGACGTGACTCCGGGGTCTCTAACAGCTGATATAGCCCCTGGTATAGGTACGCAGAACCGGCTTTCCTCTCCTTCTGATCCCAGCGGCATGGTTCCCCGGACCTTTGGCTGTGGTCCCCTTTCCCGTAGCCCTCATCCTTCTTCGTCGCCACGGCACACCGGCTCACGCGGTTGGATTGCAACCGTGAGATCCCCCCGGAGTGCGGGCGTGCATAGCCGTTCCGTTAGTGCTTGATATCCAGTCCCAGCTTCCAAGTAGTCCGATCGTGAACCGTGGGATCATCCATGCATTTGCATCTGAAGCGAACCAGCAAAGCGCCTAGAAAAAGAAGCACTAAATTCCCTATTTTCATCCTCATTTTTTTGCAGCGCTAAAAGCAAGCGTCTGTGGGTATCTCCTCCGTGAACTCGGCATCCCAACGTTGGAATGCATCAAAAAAGAATTGAAATATACGTGATCATGACGCCCGCGGGCCCTTTTCTTTCCCTTCTCCTCTTTTGGTTCTTCGTCATCATTTTCAAAGTGCAGTGAGCAGAAGGCAAAAACCATAGCAAGTCGTGACGTTAGCGAGCGCTCAGCAAAAAAGTCTCTCACTTCACTCGGTGGACCGCGTCGACGACGTCGCCCGACTGCCGCCAGTTTCTTTGAGGATCTTGGCCTCCTCCAGCGCCTCCTTCTTGGCGAACTCATCGAGCAGCTTGTGGGCTGTCTCGAGGGGCAAATCGGCGATCATGGCGCTCAGCTCCTGTGTGGGTGAGACATTGGTCAGCTCTGGACCATTCGAGATGCCGCGTAGGTGGCAACAAAGCCTTTAGGGAGGGAGGGGAGACGGGAAAGGGAAACACATACTGGAGAGAAGACGTCCGAGGGGTTGTACTTGAACTCCTCCATCATGCGGTTCAGCCGCAGCACCTGCTTCCAGGGCACGATGATGTCGCCGATCAAGAAGGTCGGGAACCGGGCGAGGGCGAGCTCCTCGAGGATCCACCGCCGCTGGAAGTACTGCCGGCCCATGAAGTCGTTGCAGCCGACCCAGTGCGGCATCATGAAGGGGATCTCGCCGTCGGGGCCAGGCGACCAGATGTGCGTGATGGGCTCGGCCCACTTGTGCTGCGGCGAGTAGTTCTCCGGGTGCTTCTCCCTGTCGCCGGGGTCGCCCCAGGCCGCCGGCATGGCGTCCTCGATCTCGCCCAGCGTCTGCATGGCGACGTCGGTGTACTCGGACTTGGGGCCCAGCCAGCCGACGACGAGCTCGGCCGCCTTGTAGATGTAGTACATCTCGACCAGCTGCTTGGACTTCTCGGCCTCGTCCTTCTGGTTCACGCACAGGTAGTCGAGCCAGACCAGCAGAGGCCGGGGCTGGTTCAGCTCGTCCTTGGACTTGGACTTGAAGCCGAACAGCTGTCTCAGCCACCGCGACGCGCCGTGGGGCTTGCGCGCCGGCGTGCGCTGGTAGCGCTGCGAGACGGTCGGGTAGAAGACGGCACGGACATTTTGCAGTGCCTGGATGAGGTGCTTGGTCAGGTGGACGGGCTGCCCGCCCACGTAGATCTGGTCGACCTCGTTGGGGTCGCCGTAGAGCGACGACAGGGCGATGAAGTCGAGCTTCTCGGTCAGCCTGTACGTCACCACCCGGCACTCGACCGGGTCCTCGAGGTTGCGGGCAGACTGGACCTCGAGCAGCCGGATCTCGCGGCGCGCGGAATCCAGCCGCCTGTAGTTCATGCTCGCCATCGCTCCTCGGCTGGCCTTCTCTCTCTCTCTCTCTTTTTTTTTGCTCCCAATCCCAAAGAGGAATCAGAGACGAGAAGCAGACGAATTCGGTCCGGGAACGGCGGATGAACGAAAACAGAGAAAGCGCCCGGGCCTGGGGATTGCGTGTTTCTGGCTGGAGGAGGGCAGGGATCAGACTTCACGGGAACCAACACGCATCGCCAGTCCCAGAATCAATCCTACACCAATGCAGGCAAAGAGGATAAAGCGGAAGGTGGGATGCCTCGGTGTCAGAGGCGTTTATGATTAAAAAAAGACGTATGGTGCGGTGCGGGCCGGCATTGCGCTATCTTCTGCAAGACTAGGGCAGGGCGGCGCCTTGGAGGGCGCGCGCAGAAGACTGACCCCATGTGGGAATCAGGAGTCCTGGTTTGGGATCTCCCATTCCAATCTCCTCGCGGAGACGGAACCCACTGCGTGTCGCTGGGGGCGGACCCGGTCCTGGGCCACGATCCTGGCTTGATGAAGGCGAGGGTGAGGAGAGAGATCGCCAGCTTTTGCCTGCTTCCTTCCCTGGCCATGCCCACGGCGACGATCCATTTCCTCGAGAGACGAGACCAGGCGTTCACGATACGTATTCCGGTCCGAAAACCGGCGCCGCAAGGTGAGCTGTCGCATTCCGAGGTGAACAGGTTTAACCAAAGACAGAGAGCAATTACTGCTTTCTTCCCAGCGCATGTCCCTCCTGTGCCTCTTTGCCTCCCTCGCTCCTCTCTCGCCGCTCGGCATTCCACTAGACCGTTAGCTGCTCGTGAGCTGTCATCTTCCCGAACACACTGGGTGGGTGTTAGTGCTGCCAAAACCCTGTCACAACCCCGGGCGAGCCCACTTGGAGACAAGCCCGGTCCTGGCTGCAGTAATCTAAACCGTTTGGCTAGACGTGGCTAGCTGTGTATTACCTGTTTAGCCCTTGAGCCGACCCTCCCATCGTCTCCTGGCTTGGAGCTATTTGCCCACCTTGCGCACCCACTCATGGCCGTACAAGTACAACTGACTGAGAGGGGGGGCGAGACGGGAGTCCCTCTTCTATTTCTCACGGAAAGGATTTTAGTGCTGGGAACCTGGACTGTTAGAGAATCCCAGTGGTTCGAATACGTGGCATGGGTATGAGAGAAGACGCCCTGGCGGATCTCGAATCGGCGCCAAATAAATCCATAGTGTCGGAAGCTGCTTTTTTTACCATGTCGTCGTCTCGTCTGTCTCGTCTCGACAACCACTGGGCCAACCAACATTTGCCTCATCTCGGCTCGTCAGGTGATGCCCCGGCAGATGCATGCCTATCTGACCCGGTTGGCAGCCCACCCATACGGCACGGCTGTTGAGAAAGAGAGGGAGGGCCTACGTAGCAGTACGTAGCAGGTAGAGAGAGCCAAGAGAGCGTGGTGGTTGCGTGCTTCCCGCGGCAACCCGGATTCTTGCCAATTCATCGGCCCCATTCGCAGCACCGTACGGCCTTCTGTTTGGCCCCCCTGCCATCCCTTCTCAATGCTCAAAGGCCATTCGTTACCAATCCAATCCTGCCACCTGCAGTCTCTTGCATCTGTATCCCCCCCCTTCTCGTCCCACCTGCAGCGGCCCTACCCTTGAAGCAGGGATCGGTCCGCACCAACAGGACCACAAGAGAGTCCACAGTAACTACCCGGATACACCTCTGGAACCAACAGCACGACTAGCGTCGATAGCGGTGCCATGGCGAACTGAGGAAACGACCTAGAAACGACCGTTGATCGAGCCAGCACCGAGTGTCCGAAGTACCTGATATACCTGAGTTTCTGACACTATCACACACTATCCTCCACGTGTAGCGACTAACATGCTCGTACCACCCGCTAGAGTCTGATGCTACTCGTCCGGTGTTTTTGCCTCCTGCCCTCTAGCCAGAGCCACTCTGTAATGTCCGCTCAAATCTCCTTCCCATCCGCATCGCGCGGGGGATCCTCGATCAGGCAAAGAGTCCCATCGCCCAGCCGGATTACCCACAATATTCCCTCCCAGGCCGTTGCAAGTTCGAGCTCGAGGCTCGAGATCGAGGGCGATGGCGCGAGGGACCTTTCCGTTCCGGAGTAGACACCACACATCTCAAGAGCAAAAGGCATAAGAACGCCCATGGTCCCCCCCAGTCTGGCGCCAGTGCTTCGAGGCTGATCTCTCGTGGCCTCAAAGTTCCTTGTCCCCGTCCGTGCTCTCTCTTTCAGCCCTCCCAGTCCGTGTCCTTGCCTCGTGGGGTTTCTGTCTTTGGCACACACACTAAGGCCAAAAAAGCAAAAAGCCATGGAGCTTACTTCCCAACGGTGGTACAAGGGCCTCTTCGCGGCGACCGCCCTGCCGTGGCTACGCCTGGTCAGCTCCTTTGGGGGCCTTGGTGGCCTGCTGCCACGGCACCGCATCCAGGGCGACGACGATCTGTCCAAGGACCCTGTCAAGCTCGCGCGCATTTGCAGGCCCATCTGCGCTTCCATGCTCCGACACTTGCGGTACCCAGGCGCCCCTAAGCTCAAGGCCGAGTCTGTCGAGGCCCTCTTGGAGTACATGCACAAGAGGGCCGTCGAGTTCGGCGTGCCGCTGGACACGCCTATCTCTGCAAAGGGCTTCCGTCTGGGCTACGCTGAGGGATTGGTAAGGGCGCTACCCTTTGCTTTTTCCCCCCTTTACGTACACACACGCACACACACACACACACACACACACCACGCTACCTCTCTGCCTGTCGTTCCCCTGTGCTTGACAAAAGGCCTGATTTGCTGACTGCCATGTGCGGCCACCCCGCGCGAAATAGCTCGCCCACCCAAACCACCCTGTCGAGGTCCAGGGCTACGTGGGACTCTTCACATGGCTCGTCGTGCAGTACGACGACATCGTGGGCCAGAACGACCAGATGGTCGACGAGGCGCTGCGGTTCCACGAGCGCTTCTTCGCCGGCGAGCGGCAGCCGCACAACCTGCTCGAGGGGATCGCCATCCTGCTGCGCGAGGCCAACGACCACTTCGACCCCGTGATGGCCAACCTCATGCAGCTCTCGGTGCTCAAGTTCCTGACGAGTAACCTGCTCGAGCGCCACGCCGGCTTCCAGAATCTCGACGTCACGCGCGACGGCGTCAAGTTCCCGCACTTTTACCGCGACCTGTCGGGCATGAACGTCGCCTACGCCGTCTTCTGCTACCCCAAGGCCCAGTACCCGGACGTCTCGCAATTCCTCGAGGCCATGCCGGACATGGCCAGGTTCATCGACATCTCCAACGACGTGCTGTCGTAAGTTGTGACAATACTTTCCTCCCGCCCATCTAAATCAAACCCTGTACTAAATTCTTTCTTCACTCGCCCTTTCAGGTTCTACAAGGAGGAGCTCGGCGGCGACACGAGGAATTACATCCACAACGTCGCCAACACCACGGGCAAGCCCATCGCCGTCGTGCTCGAGGAGACCAACCAAGAGACCATCGAGTGCGCCAAGCGCGTCAACGCCATCCTCAAGGGCAGGGGCGTGTACGACCAGTCCTGGCAGGACAGCGTGCGCGGCTACATGGCCATGCACACCACGAACCCCCGGTACAAGCTCAAGGACCTCGGCCTGGGCGAGGAGCACCCGCTGGCTCCCTTTGAGCACCAGATCGGGGAGCTCTTTGAGCGTTTCCACAAGCAATAACTTTTCCTTTCGAGTACTTTTCCTTAGTCTTATCTTGCTACAGCATAGCGACGCGTTTTTCATTGGAGTTCTTCATCACACCAGATTGGTTTGGCAAATCTTGAGGTCATCAATATATTACACGGGATGCCATACTAACATGGCGCGGGAGAGTACTTGCTTCGGTCTTTGAGAGCAACGCATAGGGCCTTAACGAACGGGTTACGAATTTCATATACATCTAAAATGGTACATAAAGTACATACATACACTTTCGAATATACCAGTCACAACCTTTTCTTCTTGATCACAATTTCATGATTGATGAACAGTAAAGGAAAGTCAGTCATTTTGCTTTTTCGGTGTGGCAAGACGTAGCAAAATTGACCTGTCATTTTCCAAAGGTGAGGACCGAGGTGTGACTGACGTGGTGAAAGGAGGGGAGCACAACATGGACCCCGACAATGAAAGAGAAAAGGAAACCTCAGGAGGATCCGGCGACCTGGGACCAGGCAGACGGCTTACGAATCCATCCGATGCCCGCAACGTAGCACCCGGATTAGGGGTACTGGAGGGTTGCCGTCGCGTACCGAGGTCAGGAGCCGGCATCCCGTACGCAGCTTGCAGCCAACAACCGCATGGCACGCATCATCGTGCTGGGCATGTCGTGCACCCAAACGGGTTCGTCAAAAGTGCGCCATTCGGCGAGCAGATGAGCGGTGAGCAAAGAAAAGCAAGTCATGCCATGCTGTCAACATCGCCGAGCAAAGATTGGCAACTCGATGCAGGCGGCACGGTCTCATTGGGCGGCATACGCGGCACGTTCTGTGTGCGGCGCAGGCAATCAAGGGATCTTCGGGTCAGGAAACTCTGGGCAATGGCATCACTAATGGGGTGGGATGTGGCAGACGTGCAGAACACGCAGATGTCGGATCAAAAGTCCGGCCGGACGCGAGGTGTGGATGGATGCAAGGTGGAATATGCAAGGTGGACCACACACACACTACATACACACACTTGCCTAGATAGTACTGCCACGCATACGCATACATGCGTTTCCTCATGCAAGGCTAAAGCAGACGTAGGCATGTTAGTCACATTTTCTTTCGCCCTCTCTTCCTCTTATGTAAAGTACTGGATACGATACCAGCTACCTAGACTAGACTACCTGGTCAAGTCTTACCTGCAGAACCTCTCGGCCACACCTGTCAAAACTCTAACCAGCTGCTCGACCGACTGCAGGTCAACCCACTCCTCCTTCGCATGCAGGCCGCCGCCGACAGGGCCAAGCAGCAGGCCGGGGATCCCCGCCTCGGCGAGCAGCGCGCAGTCCGTCCAAAAGGGCACCGCCCGGAACGCGGCCGCCCTGCCCACCCGCTCCCGGAAAACGTCGCCCACGAGCGACGCGAAGGCGTGGTCGGCGGGGACCAAGAAGGGCGGCCGCGCAAAGGTGGTCCTGACCTCGGCCCTGAAGTCGGCGACCTCGCGGCCCACCTCGGCCAGCAGGCCCTCCACCTCCCGCCTGGCCTGCTCCGCCGTCTCGCCCGTGACCGTGCGGCGCTCGACCACGACGGTGCAGCGCGCCGGGTAGGACGAGGCCTCCTCCCCGCCGCTGACGAGCGACGCGTGGACGCTGCTCCGCCCGAGCTTGGGGTCGTGCGGCGCCCGCCCGAGCCGCTGGGCGAGCCTGTCCAGCGCGACGAGGAAGTACCCGGCCTTGCAGATGGCGTCGACGCCGACGCCCGCGTGCGACCCGTGGGCCGCGAGGCCGTGGACGGTGACCTCGAGCCAGACGAAGCCGCCGTGGGCGTTGACGACGGCGAGGTCGGTCGGCTCGTTGACGAGCGCCGCGTCCGCGGTCCAGCCGGCCCGCAGCACGTCCTCCGTGCCCTTGCTCGCGGCCTCCTCGTCCGCAACGCCGGCGAAGATCACGTCGCCGGCGAGGCCGCCCATGGCCTTGCACTCGGCGAGGGCGATCAGCGCCGCCGCGACGCCGCACTTCATGTCGGCCGCGCCGCGGCCGTAGAGCCTGCCGTCCTTCACTTCGCCACTCTGGGGGTCGCCATCGTAGCCGAGGACCGTGACCGTGTCGATGTGCCCGTTGAGCATGAGGCTCCTGCCGCCGCCGGTGCCCCGGACGACGCCGACCACGGACGGCCGGCCTTTTGTGGGCTCGATCCAGTGGGTCTCGATGTCCCGGTGCTCCAGCCAGGCGGTGATGTAGCGGGCGATGGACGTCTCGCCCGGGCCGGGCACGGAGCCAAGGGACGGGTTGGCAGAGTTGATCTGCACCAGAGCTCTGGTGAGGCCGGCGGCGTCACCTATAGAGACGTTCATGGGGGCGTCGTGCTCTCTCATCCCCTCGGTGCAAAGAAGCACAACGACCGAGTTCTCGTCCAGGCCCACGGCAGCTCTGTCATCCGGGCTAAGCCGACGCACGGCCGCCAGTGGAGACGCGCCGCATGGGCCGGCCGACACACCTTGTGCCTGCAGGTCCAGGGATGCTTGGTGAGCCTCAAAGTCCGAGATGGTGACGCTCGCGTCGAGGTGCGCTTGGAACAGCGGCCATGCTATGCTCGAGACCAGTCCGCAGTCGAGGCCTGCCATGGTGGTATGCGTCGTATCTATGAGTGTGTTGCTGCCCTTTTTAAGACTCTTCCATAGGCATGCCGCGGTGTCTGGCTCGACGGACATGACGGCGGCGTTGCTACCTTTGCGCTTGTAGTGAGAGACCACGGACTGAGCAAAGCAGCCACAGCCCACTGGGGTGACCACCAGGTCTGGCTGTTCGTCCCCGAGTTGCAAGTCAATCTCGCGCATCATGGCCGCGTAGCCGTCCACGATCCACTGTTATGACCCAGTTAACAATTGCTTTTGGTGTCCGAAGCAATTGATACGACTCACTCGTGGGATATCTTCGTAGCCATCAAACGCAAAGTCTTGCACAAGAATTCCTTGAGTCTTCTTGGCAGCCTCTTGGGCTTCTTGCACGGCGTCGTCATAGTTTCCGCTCGATCTCACGATTGCGGCTCCCTCGGAGCTGATTAGGGAGATAGTTGCTTCATGCATGCCGGCCGGGACATGAATCTCAGTCGGAACTCCCAGGATAGATCCCATGCGGGCCACGGCCCGTCCATGATTGCCCTCGGTCGTAGCATAGAGAGTGACAGGGTGGGAAGACAAGACTTTCTTGAGCGTCGCAACGTCGGTGTCCAGTGGAAGACCGACTCTCTGCGCGAGGGCACGGAAGGTGCCCCAGGACGCTCCGAGGATCTTGAAGGATGGCAGGCCGAAGCGGCTGCTCTCGTCCTTGACGTACACTGCCCCGACACTCAACTCCCGAGCGAGGGCCGACAGCTTGGCCAGCCTCGTTGGCCCGCTGTTTGGCAGCTGCTTGTGGAATCTGTCGACCTGTGCCGCGATCTCGTCGGCGCCGGGCGGGGCTAAGAGGCGACTCGCGCGGGGGTTGAAGAAGGGCTGCCGCCGGGTGACGGGGGTAGCCATTGCAAGGGTTCACTTGAAGTTGCTTTTGAGACCTGATGAGGAGGGAGTGAGCAGTTGTCACCAGCAGGGCTTGCTATATGGAGGATTGACTGTCCGTGTCACTTGAATGTTCTGGTAGATATAGTAGGATGCATGTAGAGCCGGAAGTGCTGAATAGTTGCCCAATGTGGTTCCCCCGTTCCCCCACCTTTGCGCCCTCTGAACACACTCAACTTCTGCACATCTAGTCAAGTTGAGAAGTTGGGGCACGTCTGGTGCCATTAACAAAGTAGCCGGCCAGCATTCTTGCAGTTTCTCACACTGGGACAGTGCCGAGCTCGCTCTCCTGAGGAGGCGCAAACGCCAATATCGGCGAGAACTGTGCTTCTGTAATTCCACCGATGGGAAACTGGGCTTGAGAGCCAAGGCACAGTCGGAAGTCAGTCCCCTATCGCACACCCACTTTTGAGGTGGAGGAGGTCGGTCTTGGCTGCGCTGTTTCAGCTAATGACATAATCGTTCATTTCCAGCGTCCCACTAGCATGAAAGGGTTTCCGTGACGCGACGATATAAAGCGCCTGAGCCCTGCCATGATTCTCGGCGCAGAGGGACACTAACTCCGGATTCTCTTGGTCGTTGAGACGGTATGGCGGCCCCCGACGCAGTCCAGTACGGGTCGTTCAGTGTCCCTGGTCAAACTCGCGGCTCTACGAATGCAACCAGAGATGAAGATGCGCGGCTGCTTGTAGGCCGGAAATCGGGGTACGGGCAACGATGGCGTGGCAAAATGGTCCAGGACGTCCGTCCGCAATGGACTGGGGCCATCCTTCTGCTATGCTACACCATCACCGGCTTCCTCGACAGTTCTTCCACACTTACCTGGGGCACTTTTGTTTCGATGCAGACAGGTAAGATGATGTGTGTGAAAGGCGAGAACTGCGCAGGGCTGAGCAGCTGATCCTACGGAATCCTACAGGGAACACCGTCTTCTTAGGGCTCGGGCCCGTGTCGTCCGACAATAGATGGAAGAAGTCGGGTTTGTCGATATTGGCCTTTTGCCTGGGGTCTTTCTGCTTCGGCCGCCTGCATCGCTCCATCTCGCCATCCCCTCGCAGTCGATGGGTTCTTTGCTTAGCATTCATCTTGCAGGCGCTCTTCAGCACGGCAGCCGCATCCATCGTGACGTGGGGACCTCGAGCGAAGGAGCAGAACGACGCCTCGTGGTATGTCGCTGTGCCCATCGCGCTCATCGCGTTCCAGAGCGGGGGACAGGCCATGATCAGCCGCGCCGTCAAGCACAATGCCCTTACTAGTGTCGTTCTGACGAGCATATACTGCGACCTATTCTCTGATACCGAGCTTTTCAAGCCTTCCAATCCGGATAGGAACACCAGGGTGGCCGCTCCTGTCTCTCTCATGATCGGGGTTATCGCCGGTGGTCTCATCACCAAGAGCAGCTTGGGAACTGCTGGGGTTCTGTGGATAGTGGCAGGGATCAAGCTTTTGTTGATAGTGGTTTGGCTAATATGGCCGGGCGATGAGGAGGGTGCTTAGGGGTTTCCTCACTCTGAGGTTCTCTTGCATGTGTGGTATGCAAGCTGGGGATATATACCAGCCCCATCGTCCGATCGATCTGAATAGCATTCGTATTCATTGCTGCAATTACTTGATATGAATGCATTCGTGATATTCAACTTCTTAAAGACCAATTCCGGGGATGCAAACTTCACTGAGATGCTTGATCGCGGGCCCTTATCTGCCAGTTGAAAGTCTTTTGATCGCTAGCCACTCACATGCTGCTCTAAATTTCTCCCCCCACACATTTGTGACTCTTTGAACTTTAGCGCCTTCAGCCATCGCAATCTCTGGTTTCACCTCTCAATCTTTCGTCAAACACATGAGATATCGGGCGTCTCAATGACCTGAGACCTGCTCAGGCGAGCAAGGAAAAAACTTAACAAGTTTACCATATCGTTATTGGCTGTCATGACGGACCCGAGACACCCCGAAGGGCAAGACGAGGTTGCAGAGCGGCCTTTCTCAGAGCAGGGTATCAATCTCGACCACTCCCAGCTATACACCAGCAGTCATGATGAAGGGACATGGCCTTGGCTAGTCTCTCCTGTGGAAAGCATTGGATCCACAAACGATGCCTCGGATCTAGACTTTGACTGGTTCACCGGCCTGCCAGGACAAGAACAAGAGGCAGCACCTCTCGGATTTGAGCCAACCGGGACCACCGAGGACCCCCAGTTCAATGTCACACAGCTGGCTCTCCATCAGCAAGTGCAAAACGACGACTTCTTCGCCAAGATTGGGGCCTGGCGTCCGCCCGCACCATGCAGCCACTGCCGGCGCCTCCGGTTGCAGTGCTTCATCATCCAGAGAAAGGCCGCCAACCCGAACCCCTTCCTCGCCTGCTCCAGCTGCGTGGCACTGTATCGCGAGTGCAGCCTCTCTGGGCAAGAGAAACGCCCGCCGTTGCCTTTTGAGACTGCGAGGCCCGTTGTAGGCCAGCTACACGGCGTCAACGAGGAGGTCTTCTCCATGGACGACCTTCTCGGCATCGGCAACGTGGACGTGCCATCGCTGGCCGCAGCACCTACGCCGATGCCCGTGTTACAGCCCTCGGGCAAGAGGTCGAACTCGCGGCTGGTCGGCAGGACGAAGCCGCTGAGGAACTGGTTCGCGAATCACCTCGACCACCCCTACCCGTCAGACCAGGACAAGACCACCCTGGCGGAAGAGTCCGGCCTCAGCCGCTCGCAGGTCATCAACTGGTTCACCAACGCCAGGCGGCGGCACCGGCACTCCGCTCGGGACATGTCGAAGACCGTGTTCGCTCAGGGCTCGCCGGTGCCGCAGATGCTGACCTCGCAGATGACGCCCTTCGAGCGATGGCGCCACTCCCCGCCCGAGGAAGACCCGGTCTCGGCTGCCGCCATCGAGGAAGCCCTCCAGACAGGCTCCTCGAGCACGACGGACAGCTTCGTCCAGTCGAACAGCCTTTCCTATGCCCACAGCGGATCGGACTCGTGCATATCGCCCCATCTGCTCTGGAAGCACACGCACACACCCTCGGTATCGTCGAGCCGCTCCTCCTTCTCCACCGACTCTCAGTCCGCCTTCTCCCTCTCGGCCCGGGGCTCAGAGGACGGGAGACCAGCCGTCCCGGCACCGCCCGCCCGGAGGTCCCAGGGCGCGCGGGGCTTCCCCTGCTCCGTCTGCAGCCGCACCTTCTCCAAGCGGCACGACGCGCGCCGCCACGAGCGCACGGTACACCACCTCCGCGGCGCCGGCGACGCGGCCTGGATCTGCGGCATACCCTTGCCGCGCGGAGGCCAAGGGCAGCAGCAGCCGCCCTTCGCGACGTGGCGCGTCGGGCAGAGCGGCCCCGAGTGCGTGTTCTGCGGGCACGCGGCGCCGACGGAGGAGCACTTCCGGTCGCACGAGTGGGAGGCGTGCGCGCAGCGGGCGGTGCCGGACCGCACGTTCAGCCGCAAGGACCACCTGTGGCAGCACCTGTGCAAGTTCCACGGCTGCCGGAAGTGGGAGGGGTGGACGCCCGACCTGGAGCTGCTGCGCGGAGGGGGGGAGGGGCTGGGCAGTAGAGCCCTCTGATCCGTCACAGGCGGAGATAGAGAAACTTTGACATCCAAGAAAGAAGGATTCCCAGATCGGGTGCTTTCCACTCGTGCTTGAATTGACAACTCTCCTTCCTCTCGATTAGATCAATTTGTGGCTGGCCCTGAGGGTCATCCCTGACCTTCTCGCTCCCGGGGTCTGCTGGCCTGAAGGAGCAGGGGTGGGAGCTGCTGAATGACCTGACATGACAGTGTGTGAGCTCCCCTCGAGATGCACGTTGGTGCCCTCCTTGAGTAGGTACGAGCTGCCGGTGCCGCTGCCGTCGGAGAGAACCGTTCTCCTGAGGACAGGGTACATCGTGGTCATGACGTGAGTGCTGGTGCGTATGGTTTCGCGGTAGCAGAGCAGCGGCGGCCATTCTTTCGCGGTATCACGACATTTCGATGGGAAGATGTGGAAGCATTTACGTTTCCAGGCGTAATAATAACCGACCTTATTAGAATTTCGTGCTCCTTTTGGGAAACAACTGTGAGCCTTGGCAAGGTCTACATCCCAACAGAAATGTTTAGAGACGGAGACCAACTCTGGGCGCGTTGTGGGTTGACTGACTACCGAAAGAAAACAACCAATCACCGCCGGGAAAAGGCGGACAGTGTTTCTCGATGAGGAAATAAGTTGTAATTCCAATATGGGCTTGTTTGAATAGGCATAGGCATTTCTAGTGGTTCAAAATCATTAAGGGTAGCCAAACTTTGTCAAACAAAGTCGAGTCGTTCCAAGCACCTGGAGTGCACTTTCGTCACTCATCTGTTGCAAACACTACCTAGGTACTATAGGTGCACTACATTAGAGCCAACTAGAGATTCAACAGAAGGCACTGATTCAATTAGTCTATCTGGGGGTGATCTCCCAATCATCTTCGAAGCAAGTCATCTAAATGAAAGCAACGCCTATTGGTAGCTTCTGCATACCGCCCTTGGATTGCGACATACTTCATGAGATATGCCACACAATCATACGGTCTGCTTGGGTAAGATAGGTGCACTTGTCTCCAGGCGGACATGCTTCCCCCTGTCTTATAGATCTACCAACTTTCGGCTCGGCATCTACCAAGACTACTATAGGATAAGGCCCCCAAACACTGGTCAGCTTTGTCCGGGACCAAGCTTCATGGGGGGCGTTGACCGGAAACCCAGCATCGCACAGAGTGAGACACGCGCATTGCCCACAAAACGCACGCCGACCACTCCGAACGAACCCGCCGCATATACACCTACACCTGCATTCTTCAGATCGAGCATCCTCACGTTATCAGATTCCAAATTGAATAGCCGATGAATCTAGTGATCGTGGAAATGGTCGCAAGACATCCGCTCCCTTCACTCAAAACCAGCCAGCCGTCATCTCACACATCTCGGAAGTCCAGATGTCAACCAAGTAACTAGGTAGGCCCTCCTACATGCCAAAAGGCAGGACATCATATTTCCCATTCCTTGCGGGGATCCGAAGACACCGAAACGCACGTGAGTGCGCATTCTGCTCTTGGCTGACGAATACATGCATCATCATCATCATCATCCCAGCAGAGGTGCGGAAAGGTGGCATTTTTAACGCCCGAGGAGGATAGGTTCTCTCATGACAAAGCTGCAAGGCCCCATTCTCGTGCACATCAAACGCCTCGTCTTGGTACTGCTCGAGCATGGCGGCCACCATGTAGGATCGAAGCCATCGTGGATAACGGACGGTAGACAACCCATATTGTGGAGCTGGTTGGATCTGACATTCCCGGCCCGGAGTACAGCACCGCAGGGATAACTCGGCCTGGGTTGGCACCAGTGTTCGTCTCCGCTCTCTCGGAGACGCATCACAACGTTCACCACCCACTAGAGATCCAGACCCTAAAGAAGCACTCATTACACGGTCGGAAGTCAATCCGTGGGGGAGTCGAGCAGATTACCTCAGTCAGTGGTAGCATGCACATAGTTGAAAGAGGCTGACTTATCACCCGCACCAAGCCAGCATCACACCACCAATCACAACACCATCCAAACACCAATGGCATTGCATGCCCAACATCCAACAACAAGCAAGGAGCAGAAAACAAGGCACATGCAAATGTATTTGTAAATGCATGTGTAGTTACCTACCTCACCCAGCTCTGAAAAAGTGGCGCCCGTGCACACCACCACCACCCAGGTGCGAACACCTCTTCTGGCCTCTCTGTTCTTTTTTCCTCATTGAGGGCCCGGCCGATCAAAGGTAATGGGCCGATCTTGACAGATGACAGAAACCCTAAAATTCATTGACCCATTGATTTACATGTAACTATGTTATGCATGTAATCGATGCAGTCAGCCAAGGCTGGTTTTCTCTAGGCAGTAGAACCAAAAAAAAAAAAAAAGATTGAAGAAAAAGAGGGAGTTGGAATGGCACTGTGTCCATTGCGGCGTGGAATACCAAAGACCAATTTGAAGTGCGGTTGGGGGGCCTCCGTCCGCGTTGCGTATCCTTTGCGTTTCCCCCCTCCCCACGCATTTCAGGGGGATAGGTTGTATTCCGTCCCCCCCTAAAACGCAGCTCTTTCAGCGAGCCGGTAAAAGCCAGTCCTAGCAGGTACTTGTAGAGGCAAGGCCGCCACACAGTTCAACTACCCACAACCCCGGTAGCTCGGGTCGTGCGTGCAGGGTGGCGGCGGCGGCGGCGAACTACTTGTACGTTTTAGGTGGGGGGTTAGGTACCCAGCTTCCACCCGGGAGATGTGACGTCAGACCTCCCCTACCCTCCCTCCCAATTTGCTTTGAGGGTGCAAATGCGCAAAACCAACAAAACCTGTATTGACGTAGCTATCCATCCCCACACAGACCACGGTGACCCGAGACGCGCGACGCACAAGACCACACGAAAAAAAAAAAAAACCCTTAAACATGCATTCAGAGTGTCAATGCAGCAAGCTCCGGCAATTGGTTAGTGTAGTTAGAGAGAAGAGGGGGGGGGGAGGACCCCTTTTTTTCCCATTCATGCATGATATGACAGATCCTCCGTGCGCCACCAACCAGCGGGACAGCAAGCGAACACGGCACACAATTGTCGTCATGGGCAAGGAAGAGCTCCGCCGCTCCAGGGAAAAAAAAACATGCCAGCGGTTTCTGCGGCCCTTCTCTCGGCCGTGTGAGCCGTTTTTGTGGCCTCTTCGAGACCCTTTGAAAACTTGAAAGTGGCAAAGGAGATCAAGACAGCAAGTGGTGAAAACGAGTATTGCGAGTGAAAAATACGAATTGATAGACGTGCGGAGCGGCAGCGGGCCTGTCCATCTGGTGCCTAGCACGACATCACAAGGGCCGATCAAGAAGCGGGTCACATAGCAGTACGTGTAGCTGGTGCCTTCATTTGATCATGTGAAATGCTAAGAGCTGTATTCAGGCTTCCTGCCCTCTCTGTACGGACGGCACCACAGCCGAAGAGCACAACCAAATTGGTAGAAGGATATGGATCATGATAGCTAAGATGCTGTTCTTCAAGGTAGAGCTAAAGCCTACGATAGGTGAAAGGGACTTTGAACGCCGAGATATGATCAGAATCGAACAGAGGCTTTTCCCTAGTTACACATACACAAAAATACCCTTCTGTTTTGTGCAGGTGAATCATATCACCCTAGGGTATAGAAGGGTTCAAGTGAGCATGAGATAGAATGAAGAGGGACCTTGTTCGCCCCTGCTCTCGACAATGAGAGCCAAGAATCAAAGAAAACAAAACTCCAGGAGAATGCTGATAAAATGATGCACTTGCCCTAAATCATCCTCTGCCCCCAGCAACGTGCAACCTCTGAGCCTACAAGTCGCGCCGGAACGCAATACTTTGTGCAGACTCGACATAACAACCACGAGAGCACGCCCAGGAAATACCTGATCAAGACAATCCTGGACCCCGTGCGTTGACAAAAAACACCAAGAAACGAACAACCGACGGTGGTATATCTGTGGACAGAGACAGTGCTCTTCCTCCCCTCTTTTCTTTTTTCGAACCCATGATAATGCTTGCCCCCCTTGAGCCGGACGCCAGAACAAAAAAACAGGTGTCGAATAATATCAGTAATAGAAAACTGTGCAACACGGTCTTGCAGGTCCGTAAGGAGACCGCAAACGAGTCCAATGTCTGCAGCGATGGTATCATGCGGGCGTAATCGTATGTCGAATGAAAACGGTCAATAGCAACCAGACGTTTTGTCGTGGTCATCGTGACAAGCTGCTGGCCACTCCAGCCCTCCTCCAAGATCGTCCCCTTCCTCGACCAAATCAGTAGTACAAGCCAGAGTCAGGGACTGGCTGAGTCGGCCATGATTCCATGGACCCGTATCACAGTCGGTCATCCAAGCTGTAGTATCGTGCAACGCTGGGCGATCATGCCTCGTACGAGGCCACTCGGCAATGACGTCGACAGCTGAGCATCTGTCAGCAGCACCAGACACTGCGCCACCGAGCACAACCTGGCCATGGCCACGGGATCTCGCCTGCTCGTTGAGACCCACTCATGACGATCTTGCCTCCTCCCCCAAGTCCTCCATCCTCCCCTACTGAAGCATCCTCCAGCTGCCTCGGCACCGTCCCCGTGTCCTCCTAGGAAGGCGCGAGGGACCCCTCATTTCTTACTCCTGCTGCTGGTGGGAGCGGTGATCTTGCTCGTGCTCATCAGGTCGCCAATGTACTTCTGCAGGAACTTGTTGTTGCTGTCCAATTTGTCATGCTCCTCCTTGACCGCCTCGATCCGATTGAAGATGGTGAGTAGGGATTCTTGTAGGGCTTTAGCATGCCTGGGGTGGGAGCGGTCAGTATTGTCGTAGCAAGGATATGGATAGGTGGCCTGGCTGCCGGTTTGCTCACCTCCTCAGCTCGTCGCGAGCTTCGCGCCCAATCGATTCAATGTCCTCGCTCGTGCGCCTCGGGCTCATTGCGCGAACATCGCCGGGCTCGAGCCTCGTCTCGACGGGGCCGACCGCGTCCGAGTCGCGCGGGACGATAATGGTGCCGCTACTCTTGCGGCTGGGCAGCCTTGGCCGGACGGGTATCGGAGCATGGATTTCGGGCTGGTCGAGGGGTTGGTCCATCGACGACGAGGATGACGAGTCGGATCGTTCAATGGCAGGCGGCTTCTCGGCGTGGTGGTCATCCATCGCGAGGTTGTGTGTGAGGGAGAGAGGACGGGGAGAAGCTTGGTGTGTCAGTCCTCCTAGTAAAATAGCTCCAGCCACTATTCGAGATCTTGGTCGGTCGTAACTGGGAGAGCTGGTATTGTTTCCAGCACGGCACAGCAGCGAGAGACGGGGAGGTCGTCCTTGGTCGTGTCGAGTATTAGAGTATTAAGTAGGCGAAAGAGCGTAGCGAAGCAAGTACAAAAGGGCGACAGAAAGGTAAACGAAGACTTGTCGTGCAAAGCAACGACTCTGTCTGCTTGGTGTAAGTGGACGACGACGAAGGAGGGGGACGGATGATTGTTTTGTGTATGAGTTGTGGAATGTCTGGATGGGTTGCGCGGGCTCGAAGAATAAAAGAGAAGAGAAAAGCGGCGTCGGTGTGGGAAGGTTGGTGGAGGTGGGAAGGGGTTCGAGGGTAAGTAGTTGACTGAGCGAGGCAAAGGCCAGAAAGAGAGGCACAGAGGAAGGCGCCAGGGCTGCTGGTGTTGTTGGGTCCCACGAGAAAGGCAGGGACCGGCGCCGGCACCAAGGCGGAAATGCAGTGAATGGCAAAACTGGGGCAGGAGTGCCAGAGGGACGGGTGGTGAATACTTTCTACAAGTACAATTACAAGGACCCGGCTTTGGCGGCTGGCGCTGGCAGGTAGTCGCTAGGTAGCAGCAAATGGCAGGAAATGTAGTGAACAGCTGCTGGTTGGTGGGAAAGGGATGTCTTCCCCGTCGGAGGCATACATGCATAGGTACAAAAGCAGCTCGCGTATCCAAACTGGTTCCCTGGGAATTGGGTGTCCCTGCACTGCTTGGTCTGCCAGACCAGACCCCGGTCGCCTCCGGGATGGGATCCTCAGGAGCGCGCACTGTGGTGTCTTGTGGTGCGAAAGAAGGGGGAACGGCGGCCTATCAGTGGGAACGAATACTGGGTAATTGACGACGATAGTCGCACGGCCTCGCCAATGACGGGGAACGCAGTGGGTAAGCTGGGGCCAGTGTGGAAGTCGGGTGGACCCTGCGAAATGGGGACGGGCGCGGATGGGTTGAGCGATTGACGATGTAAAACTGGGGGTGCGTTTTGGAAGCGTCCTCAGAGTCTTCAGAATCCTCAGAAGTCCTGTTTGTGCCGCTGATCGTTCAGCATGGGTCGCCAGGATCTGACGGTTGAGCACGAGTAAGAGAGCAGAGACACGCCGTGTGGCTGTCTGACGGAGAATCCTGTCTCTTCAGTCCTTGGTTTGGTCGACCCTTTGCCCGGCTGCAGTGTTTTAATGCCGATCTTTTGATGGCAGGTGAGCGTGCTGGTGCCGTTACTCCGACTTAACGGTGCTTACCTAGCATGCCAGGTCAGAGATTGGACAGGCAGCACAACAAGGAGGCAAAGCAAGCGGATTCATCGCCGTCACAACCAGCTAACAGAGCTTTGGTCCAGAGGAGAGAGCAAGGGCTTTTCGTTCGAAGTTCGAGACAGCACACAGAGGGATGAGCCACAATTGGTGAAACGCTTCAACTGAAGATCGCTGCAGCGAGCACGATAGAGTCTTGTCGAGAGCGCAGTTGATTTGTTGCTTGCCTGTTAGCCGTATGCAGTCGGCGTAGACAGGCACAGCACATGACATCTGTTGATTTACCTATCTTCTCATGCACGAACCCAGCCATACCTAGTAGTCTGTCACAGCGCTGTCACAGTCATCGTCTTCTTGCATGGATGCTGATGTTTTTGCTCGCGGCGGGCGAAGCGCCAGAAAGGAACAGGGAGCCACAAGAAGTCCACAACTGGCCGGCTTGTGCAGCACTGCAGAAGCGCCTAATTAGCGCTCCTCCACCGCTGTATCCCTCCCACTAGAACAACCCAAAAGATTGGCCTTAAGGCTGACCGCAACTGCGCTTGCAGTGACCACTTGTCCTTCTACGTTGAGAAAGACCACGAGAAACAACGAGGAGGGCTTTTCATGTGGCAGTTCAGATGTGTGCAAGGATACATTGATGTCTTTCCCGCCAGAGTACGGAGCAGTCAGACAAATCAAATCTACAAGTACCAGCCAGGCTGGTGTGGAGGCGTACCTAAACTGGGGATCGACGGGAGTGACGCCACTACTCGCGCCCAGCTATTGGGCCAGTAGCCCAAGTGATCCTGCAGCGCATTCTGGAAGGACAAGCTTCCCGCCCATTTCTATTGCTTCCCCCCGATTCTGCGTGCGAGCAACGCTCTTCAGACCTGAAAGCACGTTTCAACTATTTTGAGAGGGTGTATCTTCAAATCTCACTGGCGGCCTGTTCATGCAGGGCCACCACTTACAAGTAGATGGTTCCCGCTCCTTCCCTGAAGTGCTAATAGCATTGACTACCAAGTACTTGTAGAGAGTGGATGGGAGCGCGGAGTGGGAAAAAGAAACAACTCGGCGGGGCAGCAACACTGGAAAAGTGGACAGAATGCCATGCTTGGGGGGCATCGCAAAGTTGTACAAGTACTCTCTTGTCTCTTGTCACTTGTGCCTTCTCATTCTTCACCTGCATGCATGCATCTACCTAGGTACCTACCTAACTGAGGCACCCTCACACGCATCACCCGCAACCTGGGCGTGTGAGGAAGGGCAGTCAACAGGCCCGAGATCAACAGGAGGTAGATTGTTTTTGCAACCAAAGAAAGGCCAGGCGATGCAAGCCTCAAGTCCCTGCATTCTCATATCTACAATAGCCTTGATGAGGAGGTCTTCCGCTATCTTGTGGATGGGGACAGGTCATATCTGTGGAAAGCTTCTTCTCTTAATAAGTTCTACGGTGTCGCTTCAGTTACTCATATCACTACAGTCAGCACTGCTCGCTCTAATCTCAGGTACCAAGCTTTGGTGCTTCCCAATCAGGAAGCATCCAACTTCTCGACACGTTTTGTACCGGTTAGCCTTTCGCTTCTTCCCTTGCTGCCTGCCTTCCAGTGACCTGTCAACTGGAGTCTACCGCGACGCCATACCGCGCCACCGTTTATTTTGGCGAAAGGGGGGACCCTGAAAACGAGGACCCCGAACTCAATCTGCCAGAATCTACGGACAGATCTCCCCCGCGAACGCACGCCCTCAACACATGACAACACGACAACACAGATCTTGAACGAATCCATTCGCATCATCAAAAATCCACCTGAAACGCCACAAGGGTCCAGTGAGGTCACTCCAACCATATTCAGCCAGACCTGAGCCTGAGAGCATGACCATAGCCTCTCGGCGTTTTCCCGGTCTGCTCCTTCACACACGCTGGCAGGCTGGGGGGGTCGTGATATGGTCAAGGACGCTCAAGCGCTGTCCTGCCCCTCTCTCACTGCTGGCCGCGATCTGCCTGTCCATCACCATTTGCCTTTCATGCCTCGAGACCGGTCACCGCCAAGGGCCCCAGCGTCTCGGCAGCGATTCTGTCCCCTTCTGCGTAACTGATGGGCGTTTTTGCCCCGTACGCTGGGCTTGAATGGCTGGCTTGTGACACGCCGAGGAGCCCCTTGCCAATCATTGCCGTGCCCGCACACGCATCGCATGCCTGCGCATTATGTCATTGATCAGCACCGCCCTTCGTCCCCCACAGTGCGCTGTCGATCCTTCTTTCGGAGCCTTCTGGCTGCAACGTCTGGTCGACTGGCCGAGTTTTGCAGGCTGTATCAGTCTCAGCCCCTGCTTTCGTCACTGTCAGATCTGTACGGAGTACTTGGACGTTCCTCTGTGGCTGTTTCTTTCCTTCTTTTCTTGCCAAGACCTCCGTCCGTTTATCCCTTACCGTTCACAGGCTTCCTCCGTTTCCTTTTGCGCCCCCACCAGTCCTCCTCCGCTGCCCAGTCCGTCCCAATACGTAGGTAGGTACAACCCAGCCATCGTGACGGCTTGCACGACGATCTCCTCTTCCATCCCGCGAATGCCAGAGCCAGCATCTTGGTCTGACCCGTACGACCATCGTCAACCCGCTCCAGCTCGGGACGGCAAACGCAGGGTCGACAAGACTGGACTGCCTTGAGTCCCACACTGCCGTCCACCTCGCCTCCCCAATCATCTCCCAATATCTGCTGTCCGAAGCTTGGCACTGCTTCCATGATATTCGGCTAATTGCTTATTATGGCAACACTGAGGAGGGGTTGGCTTCATCCAGCAAGGACAGCGATCCCGTACCAGTCGATCACTCAGTTCACCGTGCGTGCCGTCGTCGCAAAAGGCGAGCAGAAGAGCTGATGGTGCGACCTGGACGGGCCCCCGGCAAATCTCACCTCTGACCTCTAGCCTGCACGATACCAGATTACATGATGACGATCTTCGTGACTGCTTACTAGCCGTCGCGTCACCGGGCTTTCGCGTGGTTTTGTGGTTCCTGCTTTGATAGATCCGCAGTACATTCGACCTGCCGTGCTCCCACTCTGTTCACCCTCACCGCCAGTTCCCGTTCCTTGTCTCTCTGCTTTTTCCTCTAGCCTCGAGTGTGCTTCTCGGCTCGGCGTTGTTGTCGACATTGACGCTTATTACATCAGGTCGAGGTCATAAGTCTCTCCCAGCCCATCTGGCCCAAGTATGGCCCATACCAGGGCCGCCTCTTCCTCTCTCTTTCTAAGTGGATAGCAACGAGCGGCCGTCAGGCTCGGGCTTGAGAAGGGAGCATCCGATGTCATCTTCTGACCATCTAGATATTATTTCTGTTGTGGTGGAGGAGGGCTCCCGTACACCACTGCTAGGCGCCATCCCGGGTTTCTAGAAGCTTGGGCGCAACCATCGATCTTTCGCCCGGATTTCACTACCCAGGTCACAGATCATCGTTGCCGCCGGCCGGAACCTCTTGATCGGGACGGGGTCAAGGAAACGGGAGCAGACCCATCCAGTCATCCCCATCGCCCATCCTGCATCACATTGTCCAAGATGAAACGAAATTGAGGAAACAACAGAGTCTGTTACCTAGCGCACACGCGTGCACGCCAATGAAGCACCAGAGTTGCAGGTTTTGGACCTCGCTTGCAGGAGCAGCGGCGGGCATTTCCCCGGACAGTCGTTCGCACTGTGCCACGATCCTGCCTGGCCGCGCCGTCCTAACCGGCCAATGCCCGCCTCGTTAGCACGCGGGCGGCCTAGCGCTCTCCTCGACCACGAAACTGATCAGCTGGATTGCCAGTTGTTGGGGGCGCGCGTTTCCCATTCGGTGACGCTTGTATCACCTGCCGCTCGCATTCCTTCGCTTGGCCCTCCCATGCCCGAAAGAAATAGAACCTGCCCCACGGAGAGAAAGGCGCCCGCGGCTACGGTTCCCAAGCTTTCCCTCTAAGGCACACACCAAGCGCAAGTGCACACCAGGAAAACATACGATATTTGAACAGCCCATAGCCCACGAAAAAAAAGGAGGACCCCTTGTATGTTGTCAGGCTGTCACTTATGACTGCCAGCTTGTCAAAATCTCGAACTAGTGGAGAAGTGCGAGCTGCGGTCATGTAGGGGGCAATGCCGGCCGCCGCCGCCGCCCCAACCCAGTCCTGCGGGAGCGGCGCTGCGCTCGTCGAAGCTGCTTGCTTTGCTCTGGAGCAAGCCTCCTTCGTGAGCACGAAGCCACCGTCTGTTCGGGCTGCGAGTGGGCCAATGGTTGGGCACTCCCGCGCTGCAGGCCGAGTCAGGGTTCCACGTGTTTCTCGAGCGCCTTAGCCGACAAAGCTCGCGCCCTGCCGGTGGTTATGCTTCTTCCCGGGGCTTCAAGGTCAAGCTCTCGAGCGGGTGGGAAGCGTGTCTATCTGCAGGTGAGCTGTTTCGATACATCCCCGTCTCTTCGGTGCTTGTAAAGGCACGTGGACTATCCTATCGCGAACCTCTGTTTCGTGCTCCCTCTCTCTTCTTCTTCTTCTCCTCCTCCCCCCAGCACTTCGCCCTCGCCGCCGTCGTGTCCTCGCCTCCCAAATTACGCACACCAGGGCCCAAATTAACTCGCACGAGAGAACTTTGTATGGACATTGGGGTACAAGTACTATGGTATCGTGTCGTGCCTGCGTGCCCACCTGGCTGCTTGCCCGGAACTCGGCAAATGCGCTAAAACGGCACTATGGATAGAGCTAAGAAGTGTGGAAAGGAGTTGTGGAAGGGTAGGAGTGCAGCACCCAAAAACACCCAAAAAGGCATCTCGGCTCCGGCTTGGCGCTTGGCTGTGTGTCGCTGAGTGGTTGCGCCTTTCTTTTTTACCTTGCTATCTCACATGTTGTTCCAGCATGGTTGCTTATTTGATGTACAGTAGTAGTTCCCAGAGTACGTGTGATTTCCCATATTCAGATCAGCACACTGTACTCCGTAGGTGTGCTTGGCACTCGCGGAGAACGCTCCGGGGGCTCGGGCTCCGGAAATTTATCGGGATGTGCTCTTCCCAGGGTTGCACTGGAACGCGATAAAGCTTGTCCGTCTGTGCAGACGGGGAGGAGGCAAGCATCCTTTGTCCTTTTTGCTTTGCAAAGCGGCTTGCTGGTAGCTACTTAGGTATTAGTTGTGACTGACCTCTCGTGAGAATGCGCCTTTGAAGTTTATCTCGGACTTTAACCCACACACCTGTAATCTGTTTTCTTGTTTATCTCCACGATTATACCCACTAGCCCTGCCCCCCTAGTCGGAGCTACCCTGGGTCCTTCTACAGTAGATCGAAGCTAAATGGAAGCTTGGAAGGTCTTTTGTAATTTATCTTATGCAGCGCGCCGCGCTTTGGTGTGTTTATTGTCAAATTTCCCATCGTGCGGAGCCCGGCACGCACCCGGCCTGGGCGATGATAATTTAGCTAGCTACTTGCACAAGTACAAGACAGTAGCTCCTCTTTCTAGAAGTTCCACAGGTGGGCTTGGTGGGCTGGCAGCAAAAAGCTTTTTATCTGCTTGCTCCATTCTACAAGTAGGGACCGCAAGGCCACAGGACGCGCCCCATCCTTCAGCGTCCGTTTCTTCGGGAGCCGGCGGCGCCGTTGCGAGTGGGCAAGGGGAAGGAAAGAAGGGTAACCAGGTGGGTTTTTCCTGCATGGAATTGTTTGATTTTATCATGGTTTCGTCATGTGTGAGAGAGAGTTGTTGATAATTTTCAAGCTTGCTCTTCCAGCCTTCTCTTGTGGACGCGCGGTCCATGGGTTCTCCCCATAGTTATAATGTCGGTTGGTGGACGCGGGAGCCACTTGTCCGTCGGCTGGGGCCGAAGCAGCACCGAATATGGCAATTGTGATATGCTCTTTGTCATGTGCATCTACATCTGCAACGCTTGCGTGGTCCTGCAACGCCAGCGTCAGAGGGAAGTTTTGTCGATCATCTATGCGGTGGCTTACAAACCCTCTCGCCCCAACTTTCCCAGGCGGATTGTGTGCGTCTTGGTGTCTTAAACAATTTTCTGTGTAGCTAGGAGTGTGGGCTGGCGGTGACGATCAGGAACCGGTGCTGCCCGTCGCATTCGAGACCGGGCTTCGAACTCCGGAATAGTCTTCGTCTGATGCTATTGGGACGCGCAACTGCCAGGTTGTGGACTTTCATGGTTGCTATACGTCAGTACTTTGATCCTCGAGCCAACCCTTGTTAGGTGAGGGCCGAGTTACGCCGTTATCTAGACACAGATGAAGAGACCTCATGAACCTAAGTACCATGTGCCAGGAGCACTAGGAGAGCTCCCAGTGATCAAGACACAGTTGTTATCAGAGACAGCTTATTGAAATGTGGTGTCCTGTGGGTAGCGGCGAAGTGTATTTTTATATTTGTTCAAGAGATTGTGGTCTTCAAAATGGTATCACGGAACCATGAGAGACAGGACCTGCCATATGGCGAGGTGATGACAATTTATTCTTTAATTAGTCAGCCTCGTGAATCAGTCCAAAGTCCAAAGTACCGAGTAAACATCGCCTACGACCAAGGTCTAAAAGGTCCCCAGTAAAGGCAAAGCCTATGTGATGGTAACTGTACGAATATGCCCCAGGGACTCTAGGTTATCCAAGAAGCAGTCAGGCCAGTCGAAATAGCAGACAGATTGATATTTAGGGTCGGGTTCATCCAGGGCCAAAGAGGTCTCGTCCTTGCCAACAAGTCGAGAGCAAATCCTTAATTTGCGCAGCGGCTCAGCGTACTCGCTGTGGCTCAACAGCCTGGCCAGCGCTTCGCCATCAAAGACAATCTCAACTGGGCCCGATATACTGTTTGGAGACATTTCAAAGCCACCTAAGAATCCCCATTCCCAGGGCGGATCCTCCCGTCGATCTTTTGAGCCATCATTCTGGTCCTGGTGGCGCGATAGAAACCGCCAGCCCCAGCCTGATCTTGGAACAGATCCTATATTCAGAGCATCCTCCGCAGGGTATGAGTCCAAATACATGCGGCTGAAATTTGGCAGCAAAGACGAAGAAACTCGAAACCAGTCTTCGTAATCAATCGTCAAGAACACCTTCTGCCGATCTGTCCACGTGCGGCAATCCGGGGCGTTTCTGCGTAGGTACCGGAGAAAATCGTCGAGGCCAGCTTGCGAGTCTCTGTGTAAGCTGTCAAATAAAGAACAGAGCTCCTTGTATACTTGAAATTTGTTTCCCATAGACACTGCACGCTGACGCCACTCGGCTGCTTGCTTGATTTTCATAGACAATGCAACGAAAATATGGTCCAGTAGCAAGCAGCGTTGCCGCCATAACTCCTCGAGGTGGCTTTGAATGTCTTTGATTGTGCCGTAAACGCGGTGAGAGAGCAACTCGTAAGAACAAGCCGTCATTGGGTCGGGAAACTTGAAATGTCGCGATGGGCTCCAATTTGTTGAAAAGCTAATGTAATGGCAGACAAAGAATTTCACTAGTTTGAAGGAATTAAGCGATGGCCGTTGCTGAAGAATTGCCACATAATTCCTGGACTTCTCCAGTCCGGGTAGGAGGAACGCCTGGTTCGGTCCGGGCTCAATTACCTGATCTAATGGCACGTCTCCGGGTACGAGAAGGTAGATCCAACATAGGCCAGTCTTGATTTTGAACATACGGCATGGTGGATAATGCCGCTTCCAAATACACGATATCGGGGGGGACGCAAAGTTGCAGAGATGTATCATCTCGATCGATAATGCTGCAGAGGCGGGATCAACAGTGATTGAACATTCCTTTGCGTTGCGAGTTGCGGACGGCGCCACCTCGCCAGGGGCTTGAAGGTGGCCTTGCAGCGATTTGCCAGGATGAAGAATCATGAAAAACCTCTCTTGAGGATTATCAAATCTCATCTTGCGCAAGGTCTGCGAAGCGTCTCCCTCGGAAGGTCCCACAGCTGCACAGGTCGTCAAATGAGATAGCCCAGCTCCCAGGGTCGACAATGTCCAATCTGGTAGCCACGATGGAAAATCAGCTGAAGCTAGGTGCCCGGAAGCATACGTGAGAAGATCGAGGCAGCCTTCACTAATGACCATATAGGCTATCGTTCCGATGAAGGTATGGATTGCTGATATAGAATAGTCTGGCGGAACGTCCGGAGCCTCTGTGAGAAATCCCAATAACCCGAACACTTTGTCACGGATGTCCGTTGCTTCAGACTCCCTTGTAGACATGAGAACCTCTCGCAGGCTTTGGCCAAAATCCAGGTTTCTGCTGCAGATGAAGTCCGTCCAGCGTGGGAAGTTGCCTGAGATTGAAGGATGACGAACTGTGGCTGCTGAAGCCATGAACTCGATACCGAGAATGGGGATGATGGCCATTGGGGCAAGCACTAATTCTTGAACGATCCACAGGCGACGAAAGTAGCGAAGGCTGAACAGTTTCTTTAGATCCATGACAGAAGCTGGTATGTGGTTATTGATGTCTTGCAGATCATATCGCGCAGGGTATTTTCGTTCGGTTCGCCCAAGCTCTTGGGAGCAGGCAATGCTTTCTCCCAAATAGACCACAACCCTGAGGCACCGTCGGTATATCTCGCCCATATGGCCCACTTGTATCTCTCTTTCTTCGATGTTCGCTTGATTAATGCAGATGGCGTCAACCCACACAAGCCTCGGCTCAGTCCTGAGTTGCAGATACTTGAGCAGCGACCAACAATTCTTTGTCTGCAGCAGCACATCCCAATAAGCAGTGAGATAGATCGGTCGACAGCGCTCCATTTCCCCATCTTCCCCTCCCCAGCAATACGACACTGTTTCATACTCGGGGCAATCGTCAAGCTGGTAAGTGTGGAGGGTGGCATGAATGCAGTCGTGTTCGACGTTTGCCATGGCGGGCAGACTCAAGAGTCGCAAATGATTCTTAGCAATCGTGTCATAGGCCGGAGAAGAAGCTAATGGTTGGTCTCGATCTTCAGTGTTGCATCCTGGGGATATTTCATCGGTCGCGAGCGTGTTGTCATTGTCTTGGCGGTCGGTAGACTGTAGAGTCTTGTACGGAACAGTCGCAGGCCAGTGCAGGTTCATGTGCCCAAACTCCTCATCTGGCGGCACCGTCCAGGGTGAGTTCACCGTGGATTGTTCTGCGATGAGCTTCGCCAGATCGGGAGCACTGCCGCATGATCGACATCGTGGGGTGCTGTCTTCGACATAGACATCTGGAGTAATGCACGAGTCCGTGTGCCAGCGAGACATGGTCACAAGCAGCAGGTGGCAGCTAGATCTTGCCGACGCGGATTTCAGGGTTCTAGTCGGAACGAGCGGTTGAGTTTCAGCGGCGCCAAGCAAATTGGCCTGTCAGTCCGTGTTGGAGAACAGATTGAAGGTCGTCCTGAATGCTATGTCGCCATGCTAGGCTGAAGAGGGGTTTGGCAGGCCTCCCGAACGGCTCTGGTCCAATCACAGGCGCATGCGGGTTGCTGCCTTATTTCGCTTCACACTAAGGACGTTGGGCTGTCACAGGTGCATAACTAGACATCTTCTCGAGCTTTGCAAAACGCTTACCAGTCGATTATTCCTTCTCCGTGTCGCATTCTAAGAAGAACGGCACACGTACTGCGAAATCCGGGCAGTGATGCTACTAGCCGCAGAGATGGCATTTGCCGTGACGTTGGTGCACATACAACATGGCGTACACGAAGCCGCCGCAGAGAGGGAAGCCGGTGTCATCCGTGAATATAGTTTTGCAGCTAGCTGTCATGAGGATGGTACTGTGGCTCATACACTGATCTCCCCTGATCATGAACTAAAGAAACCGACTTCTCCACCAGCATCACCTTCTATTAGATCAAAGGCCAAGGATACTCTACAAACCACCACCCCTAAACCTCTCTACCCTCTACAGAGCCAGATCTAGGCTCAGGACTCGGATACCCAGGAACCTTACCTACATATTAAATCGACATATCTCCTCTACACTATTATCCCCACAATACAGAAGGCCGGCCAGTACCATCGTCAACGTAGAATATAGTATTGGGTAGGCCACCTCCACGGTGGCGTGCAGTGCAGTTTGGAGAGCCGGTGAGTCCCCGGGAAAATATTGGCCAAGTGTGTGCCAAGTCGCCATTAGTATGGAGGAGAACGACTGAAGATGACTTTGAAATTCGTGTGGGTAAGCACTTGGGATATCGTTCAAGAAGGGCATGATGCTTATTCAGGCTGCAAGATTGAGTGTCAGCGATATTTACGATTTAATGCCACGATACTTTAGTTTGTCTTAGGAAAAAAAGAGAAACAGAAAAACAGAGGAGAAGAGAAAAGCAGGAAAAGAAATGGAACAAACTGCTTACGGCCTTCTCTCATTGCGTATCTCGCACTTCTATTTACTTGACAACTTTGGCCATCGCCAAAGTCTCCAAGCCAGCAAACAGGCGAGCCTGTTGGAACTGCAGGCCCCACCAGTCAACCTTTCCCCAACATGGTTCTAACGGATCAGTTGTAGGTGCAGTCCTTGAAAAGTCCATTTCGTGTCTCCGCAAGATGTGACCTAGGTCGTGAAAGAATATGTGCTGCGCAAGATCCCGCACACAAGATGTACCTGAATCTTTGAACTGGACTTGCGATTTGAAGTCGAGTAGCGTTGGATATAATCGGGGCTCTGACCCTATGTTGTTTAGCAGCTTTTCTATGAAACGCACATCGGCATCCATCGCAAGGTGCAAGGGTGTATGGTTGTTCTGGTCCGCTATGTCGGCCTGATGTTTGTCGAGGCGTAGGAGGAATGATACTGCAGATTGATTTTCTGCGGACGCTGCTTCATGCATGGGAATTCGGCCAGTCTCGTCACGCGCAAGAATATCCGCGCCGAACTGAACCAGCTTAGAAAGGATGCTGGAATCCATAACTGCCGCTGCGACATGGATTGGGGCTTGCCCATAGTTGTCCGTAGCGTGTGTATTGGCACCTGCTCGGAGAAGCGTTGAAACAACTTCCAAAACATCCTCATCCTGTGCCCATGTCAAACCTCGTTTGCAAGCCAGATGTAGCGGTATGAAATCTGTGCTATGCTGAGGCATCACCGATATACCAAGCTTTCCCAAGTGCTCGACTATACCATTGTAGGGGATGGAACTATGGGGTGGAACATCTCCCTTCTTAGCATCAATGCCAACACTTGCTTCAAAGAGAGCCACCACAGCTGTGGAACTGCCTTCGACACGTATGTGTTCGGCAGATTTGGAAAAGCATGCAAGATGTAAAGGAGTGATACCCCATTTATCCTGCACATTGACCTCTGCTCCACGGCTCAGCAATAGCCTGACAACCTCGATATGAGTAGGCCTTGCCTGTTGCCCAACAGGAAGACCTCTTATGCAGGCTAGGTGGAGCGGTGTCTGGCCGGCCTTGTCTCTGGCATTGACACATGCGCCATGTGTCACGAGCAGCCTTGCCAGCTCGTAATTGGGGTTCTGGGATAAGGCTGAATGTAGCGGCGTACGCTCTGCGGTATCTCTGGTACAAACCCTCGCTCCAAATTGGATCAGAGAAATAACGGCATCCAGATTCTCCGCAAGTACGGCCACATGTAACCCAGTCCTGCCATTGCTGTCTTTGTGCTCAATGATTGCTTCGCCCCTTGATTGGCCTTGGCCGTGACACTTTTCGACTGTCGCAGCTAGGAACAAGTTCAACATGGTTGTGCTATGCTGATAGACCAATGCATGCACAAAAGAGTTTCCGTGGATTGTTTCGAATCGCGTTTCGAAGTTGTGTTCCAAGAGAACCTCTAGTGCTATGCTGCTCCTACTGTGTATTGCTTGCATTATTGCCGAACTGACGAGTGTTTTGATGTCGCTGCCCGGTCGTGGACTTTCATAGGCCCTGATAAGGCGGACAATCCAAGAGTTTAGACCGCGACCAGCGAGGTAGTACAGGAACTGTGTATCACTTGGTTCGGTTTCATCCAGACTCAGCCAGCGTCGCCAGAATTCGGGCTCTCTGACACGAGTGATGATTGAGTCTGGATCGGCACCTGCTTTATCCGCAAGTCTAGCATGGGTGAAGAATGCAGACTGTATGTATTGTAGCAATAATAGACTATCGCCGATAGGTTCAGAAGAGTGATGAGATGTGCTGCAGTTCCAGGATCTGAAAATTAAGGACTCGATTCCTCCTCCATCCGTACGTAAATACAAGTCCAGCATGAATGATTGAGGGTGGGCTCGAGGGTTTGCATCGTCCTGTTCATTCATGAGACTTTTCGATGAATCATAGCTCGATGTGTTTTCGGAAACGTTCACGTCAACGGACCACGTGTCTGCTGCTGAGAAGCACTGAGCATGACGGAGTGGGCTTTTCAAAGCCGAAGGCACCTGAGCATGTCGGCCATATTCTTCGAGTCTCAAAGCATGAGCAGCAGCCGCTCGCTCGCTTCGTTGTACAACCTTCCTGGGCTTGTAGTTTGCGAGCTCCTGGACACCAATGTAATCGAGACAACTGTGTATAATTGAAACGTGGCCCTTCGCAATACTCTCTGACAGCTCTAGCTGGCCGCTTTCGAGAACACAGAATCCGCTCCCATGGAGAAAGAAATCTCTCACGGATTCATGTATCACTCGTACATATCTTGTCTCGCTCTGTCTATACTTCTTGAACTGAGAGCCAGCTCCGCTCAAATCTCGATGTATGTCATCTGAGTGCTTCAATGGGTCATCAGGGAGTGATGACACTTCGAGGAGACCCCTGGATAGAACTCTGATCTGCTTTTCGAGCTCTTCATTTGCCTCAGTGAGCTCTCCTGAAGTTTTCCAGTTCTGAAGCGACGATAGCGGTGAGATGGATTGAATAAGTGGGATAATGTGGCGCCACTCATTGACATCAAGGGTCCTCGTTGTCAAGATAGCCCACTGAAACAGTCGAAGAGTGACATCACGAAGGTCGGGCTCCACTGCTGATAGAATCTGGTGGAACAGAGTCTCCAAAGCGTCTGGAATGCAGTCAACCTCGTTCAGCAGTGACTGTATGCTTTGACCTTGGTCTCTCTGCTCCAGCACAGAATCGACAACCAAGACCGCCCACAAGAAGACACCGCCAGACATGTTTATGACTTTCTGTCTCAGTGCCGTATTCTCTAAGCCCTTACTAGGGAAGACCAGATCGAAGCGTGCGTCGATGTATGATTCGATATCACCTCGATTGTGGACATCGACTATGATTTCCAAACAGTCGGCAACAGTAAGTGTTGGGAAATTCCTGCTTGAAAGACACACAAGCAGCTCGACTCCTGAAGCACTAGCAGACTTGGTCACTTCTCTCCAGAAGTATGCTAAAGACCTGATGCTCTGAGATTCGCACTCGTCGAGGGCATCCACAAAGATAATGATCTTCGATTTCAGTCCAGCCTGAAATAACGCTTTGAAGCAATGTCGAAGCTCTGTTTCTTGGAGACTGTCGGAGTTGGTTTCACTGCCCCTAAGGCCATGGTAAACAACGAGAAATCTCCAGAGCAGTTGAATATTCTGAGACAGTAGCTGATGAAGTAGGGACCTGAACATTCCTAATGAGGACCGCTCCAGGTTCACTCCTTTCGCCTGGAAGAAATGACCTGCAACTTGCACATTTGAATTTGAATCGGCTCGGGCCTTCAGGAATGCTTGTCTCACGAGGGTAGACTTCCCTGAGCCTGGCTTGCCCTTGAGCCACAGAAGACCAAAATACTTCTGCTTCTCCTTGCCGTCGAACCAAGACTGGTAGTCTCTATTTTCAAATAGCCACTCGCACGTTTTCGGTGATGGAAAATCGATGATATGCCGCCAATTATCGATTTCAGGATATCGTAGCAACTTCAGAATAGCCAATCTCTCCTTCGGAAGAACAAACTCTTCCACCTCTTGGTTTTCCATACCATGTGATGTACTGATTGTTGAATTTACCGTTCCGTTCGTGGCCCTAGAGAGCACACTGGCGTACATCACTATGATTTCTCTCTTCACCATCTTGTAATTCGGATCATCTTCTGCTCTGAATCGGCACATTTCCATATGGTTTGCTTGGAGCTTTTCAGCGTGCTCCCGTGCGTCACCGATTGCAGAAGAGAAGTCCGGGACGACTTTCCTTCCCAAGATGCCAAAGTTGAATCTTGTCAAACCTAGACCTTCTTGGAATGTTTTCACCCGGAAATTATAGTCCCGCCAAAGGATAGAAAATGATTCTTGAGCACGCTCTAGATCCTCATTGCGGAGACTAAGCGACTGCAAGATTGATGCATTGGTGTCCATTCGCAGCACGCTGACCAAGCCTCTCCCCCAATCAGCTAAAGAGGAAAGCTCGGGGCTTCCCCTATGGGGTGTCCCAAGGAAGATGATACCGAAAGTTGACTGGACAATGTTGATATATCTCTCTTCTTTTGAGGCCGATGAGCGCGCCAGCATCTCCTTAACGATGATGCCTCCAAGGCTATGAGCGACAAATATGATGCTTCGGCCTGCTATTGACTCTCCGCCGAGGGCACACAAGAGATCCTCGCTATGGGAGAAGATGCTTCCTTTGTGTGATGAAGAAAGGAGATACTTCGTGACTCTTGTGTCATATCCGTACACTAGAATGCGAGCGCTTGGGCAATCGTCCGGTAGAAGGTCGCCTGGCCAAAAGAGATGGTCGGTATTTGATTTCTTCGTTCCCTGCGGACATAGGTTGACTTGGCTTAATGGTCGACTGAAGGCTTTGTGAAGTGCCCTTCGGATCGGACTTTGCCTAGTACGACGCTCCTGCTTGCATCCCCTGTCCTCGGTCTGTTGGCTCCCAGGACGACAAGCCCATGTCTTGTACGGATGACCCTGAAGCCCATGTACCAATATTATACTTCATTAAGAGTTAATAACTACCACTTAGGAATATGACGTGACAACGACGTACTCGACCACCGGAGTGGCGTTTTTCGGTTCGTATACCACGGATAAACCCGTCTCCGACACAGACTTCGTAAACTCCCGTGTCAAAAGGGGCTGGTTCATGGTACACATTGGTTGCCTTTCAAGATTCGGAGGATCTAGCTCAGTCCACGGAGAGATAGACAATGTTTGCTCAAGGGAAGATACCACTAATTCCTAACAGAGTCTACCCCGCCAAAGAATGATGAGGGGTTTGACCAAATTGTTCCATCACGTGAAGTCCCAGCACGGTTGAAAAGTCTGCCTTGTCCCGTGAATGCCTGGCAGGATGCCTTGGAATGCTGTCCAATCGAGCCAGTCAAACAAGCAACCCTGCCATAGTAAGCGCTAACCTTGATAAATGAACGGTCTTAAGGCATTTTGATTTCAACCAGCCAGACCACTCTACGAGTACATCACACTTGAAGAAGGAAGGAGAGAGAGAGATAATGGCCGCGTCTGGTAATAATGAACTAGTGGCATCTGGCCGGAGCGGGTTGTTAAGGGCTCCGGGCAGGGTGATGTGGATAGCTTCTTGTACGGCCAAGGATCACTGAGGCCACATCCGGGCACCGACCGTTACAGGGAATAAAAATAAGTTGGGTTTTAGAAGTTTCAAACAGCTTTAATGCAGCAGACAGAGAAATCACGAGTATGAGGGAAATCGAGAGAAGCCAGTCGGGTTGCCAAATAGGAAGACTCCATACTAATATTAAGACATGATAAACAGCATAGCCGATAGATTCATATCCAAGCATAGCATGGAGCGATGTTACAGGTCGTATGCGCCCCCTGGAACACTCTTGGAAGGGACTCGATACAGCGCCCCCTTCAAGGTGTTCACGGGCGTGGGGCACGGCGTGTCAGTGCCGCCGCAAGGGGTGCTTAGAGCCAGTGTCACCAGTGTGTCTTTCGAAAGGCAAGTAGAGATCACGTAGAGCCTGACAAGGGCTCGCCGACTGGATTCGTGTTTTACAACAATGAGGGTGTTATGAGTTTGTACAGCCCGGATTGATTCTTGAAGCCTTGGTCATAAGGGTTCTCATGTTCGTTGGTCGGGAGCAACAGGCAAAGGACGAAAGGCTGTAGATAATGATACTAAGCCGAGGATAAGAGCTGTGGATTGCACTACCGAAGTCTGGTTATCCGAGGATATAGATTGAGATGATTCTGCGCGTGTACCTAGAATGGGTTGCCGTTGAGCATTCCGACACATGGCATCCTGCTCCCTGTCGTTCTATTGCTGTTGTCTCGATAAGCTTGAAATGACTGATCATTGTACAGCTATGCTTTCCACGAGTGCGGCTCGTCCCAACGAGGTTCCACCGCGGAAACCATCCCATCCCGCCCTCGGTGTACACATCTGGAATAGTCACCATACTTGACCGTGGGGGATTCGTTTGTTTCTTCCCCAACTGGCAGAGGCCAAACCTAAACATTGAGCACTTGCAGCGAAACAGGAAGGAGATTGGCGTTTTCAGTGGGTGCGGCAGTCCGCCTCGGCAGATCCCCAGAATACCCCAACTCTCCAACTCTAACTCTAAACTACCTGAGCAAATCCCCCACACTCTCCACAACGGTTGGCATGCACTTGGCTTCCCGCATTCGGTCGGTCCTGCGGAATGGCTTGGATACCCGAAACCTCGAATCCGAGCTGGTCTAACCGGTGGTCTAGCCCTTCAGACGAAGGCCAGAGCCGAGGCTTGCACCGACATCTCTCCTTTCCGTGAGGCAATATTTGCTGGAAGCTTTTTACGCGCCGCCACTGACGATGCCAAGCCCGAAGCCCCTTGACGGAGCTAAGCTGGTGGTGCAAGGAACGGCGGCGACCCACTTGGCCGTCGTCCTTCTCTCCGAGACCGTGGGGAATGGGGATGACGAGATAAGCTCGTTCCGACGATGGGGGGGGTGTTGGCGGAGTAGTTCCGCCAGCAAGATGTATCACTGTGAAGGAGAGGGGAGGATGAGCTTGGATGATCGTCATACGATCCTCGGTTGCACTGCAGCGGACATTCATAATCCTGCCGAGCTGCACTGGCAATCTTGACTTCCATCCTCAACTGCAACGTCCCAGTTACCGGGTCAGCTCTTGCGTAGATTGCTAACGAGAAGATCCATCTCTCTAAGAAGTAAAATTGCTACTCCAGTACGCAATAATGGCAGACAGCGGTGCATCTCGCGAGAAGGTAGATACCCTCGAGGTTGAAGATGGAGGGCATCATGACCACCAGCACCACCATCACATCCTGCACCATGGGAGCACCAAACAAGACGAGGAAATTGGCCGCATCGATGCTATAGCCCTTGCGCCAGGGACTACCTTTCAGTCATTTGCGCATCTCGACGAGAAGAAGATCCTCAGAAAGGCACGTCTACCCAATTCATACGCTGTTAGCGTACCTATGTACTCGCTAACACGCCTACTCACAGATGGACATCCGCCTCATTCCCATGCTTGCTGTCCTCTACCTCCTCTCCTTCCTCGACCGTGAGTAGCAGCCCCTGATTCAGTCGCTTCGAGGAACTAGACTGACATCACCCCACGGATCCTAGGTGGCAATATCGGCAATGCAAAGATCGAGGGCCTTCAGGAAGACCTCGGAATGCAACCAGCTCAGTACAACTGGTGCTTGACCGTCTTCTTCTTCACGTACGCAGCGTTCGAGGTACCAAGCAACCTGCTTCTCAAGAAGCTCCGTCCCAGCCGCTGGCTCCCATTCATCATGGTCGCCTGGGGCACCGTCATGACCTTGATGGGCATCGTAAAGAACTACCACGGCCTGCTGATTGCCCGTATCTTTTTGGGCGTCACGGAAGCTGGCCTCTTTCCCGGCGTAGCGGTAGGTCTGACCTTCCATCTCCTTACAGCCCGCCCGGATCGCTAAGACGGGTTCTCCATCGGCTAGTACTACCTAACCATGTGGTACTGCCGCCACGAGATCCAATTCCGACAGGCGCTCTTCTTCTCGGCCGCCTCGATCGCCGGTGCCTTCAGCGGTCTCCTCGCCTTTGCCATCTCCAAGATGAACGGCATCGGCGGCCTCGAAGGCTGGCGCTGGATCTTCATCCTCGAGGGCATCGTCACGGTCGTCGTCGCGGTCGCGTCCTTCTTCCTGCTGCACGACTTCCCCGAGACCGCCAAGTTCCTGACGGAGGAGGAGCGCGCCTTTGTCGTCTTCCGCCTCAAGTACCAGGGCCAAGTCACCCTGCAGCAGAGCTCCGACGCAAATAATGCGTCGTCGGGAAGCCCGACCTTGGGACCGGCGCAGGCCGAAGAGTTCAAGTGGAAGTACGTCCGGGACGCGTTCACCGACTGGCAGATCTGGGCCAGCATCCTCGTGTTTTGGGGTGTAAGTGGCTTTTCCAACTGCATACTCTCAGGAAAAGGTTGTGCTAATAGCGATGGATCTAGATCGTCTGCCCGCTCTACGGCATCAGCCTCTTCCTGCCAACTATCATCAAAAACCTCGGGTACACATCCAGCAAGGCCCAGCTGATGACGGTGCCGATTTATATCACTGCCGCAATCCTTGCTGTGATCGTTGCTTACTTCTCCGATCGAGTGGGCAAACGAAGCCCGTTCATCGTCCCATTCCTATTCATGATGCTGGTCGGCTTCATCATGTATGTAAACCTCGGGCGGCGACAGTTGAAGCTCGTTACAAGACTGACCCCGAACATAGGTGCATCTCTAGCACGAATCCCCACGTCGTGTATGGCGGCGTCTTCATCGCGGCATGTGCCATCTACCCGGCCTTCCCGGGCTTGATCGCATGGCTCTCGAACAATCTCGCTGGAAGCTACAAGCGAAGCGCGGGTATGGCTCTCCAGATCGGTGTGGGCAACCTCGGCGGTGTAAGTTGTATCCTGTTTTGGACTTGAAAAGCAAGATGATATACCTAACACTGAGCCTACAGGCGATGGCATCCAACTTTTACCGCCAGGCAGATTCACCCCGCTACATCCTCGGACACGGGCTCGAGATCGGGTTCGTGGTCTTGGGCATCTTTGGCGCCCTTGTCATGATCTGGGGCTATGCTAGGCAGAACAAGAAGAGGTCGAGACTCATGGCGGAGGGCATCGAGGGCAGGTGGACAAATGAGGAACTCTCGGCTGCTGGAGACAGGGCTGTGACCTTCAGGTACATGTACTGATGCGGGGGACTTGGAGGCAATACTGTGCACGGCGCAGGGACAACACTACAGCACCTTTAGTCTTCTGTGATTGAGATTGATATGGCTAGAAATACGGCCAAGAGGTATCGGCTGGCGAAAGAACTAGCAAGCAAGACGGTCTATATGCATAACCAAGATAGAAAAGATCGCAACCCAGCCGAGAGGAAAAGAACAGAGAAGCCATGCTATTACTGGCTCAAATGTCCAAGTTTAAACGCCTGCCAAGTGGATATCACAACGCGCCTACCCAGAGAAAAACAGTAACGAAATCCTGAGCCTTCATGCAGACACCGGAGTGACCGTCATCTCAGGCCTTTTGCCTGCCGCTACAGAGGCATGCTGGACGGCCTTGCCCTTGGCCGACGCCGCCTTGGAGCCGGTCTTCTTCACGCCACCGACCCAGGCGCGGAAGCGCTGCAGCCAGGACGCCGACGCGCTGGCCTCGAGCTGGCCGATGCGCAGCCGGAGGTTGGCGACGCGGCCCTGCAGGCCGGCGTTGGCCTCCCGCGCCGCCCGCGCCTCGTCGGCGGAGCGCTGGTGCGCCTCGGCGCTGGCGGCCAGCTGCTCCGAGAGCTGCTTGTTGCGCCCCTCGGCGGTGCCGAGCCTGGCCTGCAGCTGCCCGACCTGGCTGGCCAGCGACGACTTCTGCACGGCGAGCTGCTCGACGTCCACCGCGAGCTTCTCGTTGCGCTGCCCGAGGAGGTCGGCGTCGCCACGCAGGCGGCCGGCCTCGGCCTCGAGGTTGCCGTTCCTGGCGCGCAGCACCTCGGCCTCGGCCCGGAGGCGGTCGACCTCCGCATGCAGGCCCTCCGACGCCCGCAGCCTCCCCTCGAGGTCCTCGTTGACCCGCGCCAGGGCCTTCCCCTTCTCGACCTCGTCGGCGAGGCCCAGCCGCAGCTGCGCGAGCTCCTCCTGCGTCTCGCGCATGTACTTGGTCAGGTCCTCGGCGTTGGCGTGTGCCTCCTTGACCAGGCCCTCGAAGCGGGCCACCTCGGCCGCGTGCGCCGCGCGCAGGCGCGCCTCGGCCAGCGCCGCCTGCTTGAGCCGGTCCTCGAGCTCGCCGGCCGCCTCGGCCTTGGCCTCGAGCTCCTTCGCGCGCACGTTGGCCTTGAAAACGTCGATCTGCGCCTGCTGGCTCGTCTTCTGCAGCTCGGCGTGCGCGGCCTCGGACCGGGCGAGCTTCTCCTTCGCCTGCGCGAGCTCCCGGGACAGGTCTTTGAGGGGACTGTTGTTGCTGGAGGTGGTGCCGCTCGGCGGCGGCGTCGGCGGGCTGACGGGATTGTTCGCGCCAAAGACGAACACGGACGAGGCAGAGTTGGCGGGCTGGGCAGCGCCGAACGGAACCACAGCGGCCACAGCAGGTGCGGCAGCCTGAGCGGCGGCGGCGGCGGCGGCCCTGGCCTTGGCCACCCGGGCCTCGTAGGAAGCCGACTCGGACCGGACCCTGGCCTCCCAGCTCCGCGCGATGCCGCCCCACTGGTCGTAGTGCCAGTCCTTGCACAGGCACAGCTTGGCGAGGGTCTGCAGGTCGGAGCTCGTGGTCTGGCCGGGGGGCCGGCCGGCCATGCGGGACATGACGGCGCAGATCTTGGAGGCGTCCGGGTCGCGGATGCGCCAGCCGCAGCGGGCGCCGCGGGTGTGCGCCCAGCCGACGCACTGCACCTCGTAGGCGTGCTGGTAGTTGGCGATGTCGAGGGCGTGGCCCGGGTCCCAGTACGGTTGGGTCAGCGCCATGGTGATTGGTGAGAGAGTGGGAGGGAGAGGTGAAGACGAATGTTATCGAGAGTGAAGAGGGACGGCGAGGGGGTAAATTGAGATCAGGATATCGGTTTGAACTGCAAATTTGAAGAGTGTTTCTCCTTTCCTTGAAAGAATGAGTGGTGATGCCGCTCCATCAACAGAGGCGAGGCGCGCCCAAGACCATCATATTTGAGCATTTCTCGGAATGCCATCCACACCAGCCAAGCATGCACGCAAATGCGAGAACACGCCCACTTGAGCATCGACAAACTGCCTGATGGTGTGCCCGCACAGGCTGTGCTAAGTCAAGGAGCGCAGCAACGAACTCGACGCGCGGGTGCGGGACGACCCGAGTGCTGCTGCGCCCCCAAGGTTCTGTGCCGGAAAGAAGAGCAATACTTGGTGCTCCCCTTCCGGAAGTGCAATTTAACTATTGAATGTGTGCTGTTCGTGCTGCGGCAGGCTGGAAACTCCCGGACTGCAGCACCTCGCGTCCTGGGAGCTTCCGATTCGCAGTGCTCGCATGCGGGTAACGGGAAGCGGGAAAGCCCCAAACCGACTCTGGGGGGGCTGAGGGCGAATCAAACCCTAAGCCACGGCGTCTCGACAGTGCTCTGTCGCGAATGGTGTTGGTCTCGCTATCGCGGTATTGGGGGACCAGCCATCGTAGAGCCATTGTATTGACGTGCCAAGGCGCTGGCGTTTTTCAGCTCATGCGGCTAGACCGCTTGTGGTGATCCAAGCTTTGCTGCGGTCGTTTGGCCCTGGGTGGTTTGGGCGAGGATCTGCACTTGAGCAGGGGTGCTTTGGCGCTCAGTGATCATGATCATGAACTTTGGGCAGCGCTTGCGAACGCCGATATGCCTAACCTTTCATACGTGTCTTGACTGAAGAAGACCATGGAGGTCCTCAGATGAAGGGACGAGGTTTGATGGAGTGGTGACACGCCCTTGCGAGGAGACACAAGAAACTAATAACTATTACCCAGCCACAAACCGACTGCAGATTCCGAGTACCGTATTCCCTATGTCCTGACCCGATCCAGCCTACTCTATCTCTCGGGGTCGTTTCTAGCGCAGTCTGGCCTGCATCCTGTCCATATCCCAAATCAACTCCATCACGCAGCCCTTCGAAAACGAACCCTGACACCGTCGGTAGGCTCCATCGATATGAGGACAATCTGTCGGATGTGGTCTATGTCGCCCACGGGCTCAATCTTGTCAAACTCCTGAAGCATACGCACCGTCAAGAAGCTGGCCTCGGCCAACGCGTACTCCTCTGATAATAATACACAAACGCGGGTCAGCAACTCACTCGGCAAGGCAGAAATCAAAACGGATCGCTCGAACCGAAGCTTGGGGGAATAATATGTGGTGCACTCACTTCCGAGACAAATCTTGGGTCCGCCAGAGAAAGGCAAGAATGACCAGTCGTTCTTCCTGTTCTCCCACCTCTCCGGCCGGTACTCGAGCGCGTCCTCGCCCCAGAGGTCCTGGCGCCGGTGCATCGTGTAGATGCAGAGGTTGATCGGCTGCCCCTTGCGCACGGCGATGGGGCTCCTGCCGTCCGGCCCGCCGCCCGTCGGCAGCGTCGTGTCCACCGCCGCCTGCCGCGAGTTGAGCGGGCCCGGCGGCTGCAGCCGCAGCGTCTCGTTGAGCGTCCACTGCAGGTACTGGCACTTCTTGAGCCGGTAGAAGGTGATCTGCCCCCTGGGCTCGTCCCTGGTGCCGAACTCTTTCACGATCTCGGCCCGCAGCTTGTCGAACACGCGCGGGTGCTTGGCCAGCATGAGGAAGAGCCAGCTCAGCAGCGAGGCCGTCGTGTCGCGCGACGCCGTCAGTAGGAAGAGCGTCTGGTTGCACAGCTCGGTGGGGTCCTGCGTGTCGCGCGCCAGCGACTTGAGGAACGTGTCTTTCTTGTCGTCGTCGTCCCGGATAGCGGCCTTCTGGCTCAGCTGCTTGAGCTGCACGCCCGCCAGGTGGCTGGCGAAGCCCCGCAGGTACTTGACGGCGCGGGCCGAGTCCCTGGGGTTGACGAGCCAGTAGAAGGCCTGGAGCCGCAGCCGCTTCGCCACGGCCAGCGCGGCGAGCTTGTACGCCTCGGCGAAGCTCATGCTGGCGCCGGCCTGGTCCGCCGCCACGCGCCTCGTCTCGGCCAGCTGCGGGTCCTGGTCGATTTTGACACCCGGGATGGCCGCGAGCTGGGACTTGACGTTGGCGCCGAAGAAGGTCTCGGTGCCGACGTCGAGCGTGTACCGGTGGATGAGCTCCATGAAGTCGAACGCGGGCGTCCACCGGCCCTTCTCACTCGGGTCGTCGGCGCGGTGGCCTTCGTCGACGCCGCGCGCCGTCACCGCCGCCAGCAGGTCCCTGACGCCCTCCTCGGTCGCCTCGAGGTTGTTGACCTCGCCCCGGGCGAAGTGGGGCCGGAACAGCGCCCGCGCGTGCTCCCACTCGGCGCCGTCGACGGTAAAGAGGCACTTGCCCACCACGTAGCCGAAGGCGCCCGCGCGTCGGAACCCCGTCGGGAACTCCTTGAACTGTGTCGAGAGGATGGCCTTGATGTTGTCCGGGTCGGCCGTCGCGATGGTGTTGTAGGACAGGGGCACCGAGAAGGACCACGTCCAGCCGAGCTTCAGGAAGGTCGGGTGGATGAGCGCCTCCAGGACGTCGCCCTCTGCAGCCGTGACCTTGAACAGGCGCACCATCCGGTCGAGGCCCATGGGCCACTTGCTGACCGTCGTGGGCTCGGGCAGGCAGTGGTTGCGGAGGGCGAACTTGCGAAACTGTGTGTCGAGGTAGACCTTGCGGAGCCACCAAGCGGCCAGCCCCAGCACCAGGAGAGGCCATCCCATCAGCCCACCGGGGAGAAATTCCATGATAGCGTTGGTATTCGTTTGCGGTTAGCCCAGTGCGGTGGAGCTCAGTTCGAACAGGGTTTCAAGTCAAACCCAAAGGCAGGACAGGAGAGAAGGGATGCCCCAAGCAATATGTACCCAGACAGGCGGGTCATGCTGACATCTAGGGCTGAGTTTGCTACCCCAGTTCCCTGGGTGCGGATCTTAGCCAAGGTTCGTTATGCTGACGCCACCACTCCAATCCTGGCAGGATCTCACCAATGGGTGTGGACCCGTATTCCTTCGCCGAGTTCTCCGAGTTCCTGTTCTGATAGCTGTCAGCACTAGGCTACCAAGGCAGCCAAAGGTTCAAGTCCAACGTATTTTCAAAGTCAAATCTGCTGGCTTTGACACGGGTATTTGATCATTGCCTTCGCGGCCGCTCCGGTCGTGTTCGTCTTACATCTTAGGCTTGGATGGCTAGACATTTTCCTTGAAAAGCCTATCACAAAATAGTGCCAAATGAGAACTGAGAATCACATGTTTATTGAACATGCTTACGGAATGATAAGCAATAAGTAGTCTAAAAATGAGGTCTCCCTGGCCTCAATATGTCCACTCCACCACCTGCTGCAAACCTGAAAAGAAGTGTGACCCCGTTTGAAAAGCTTGACTTGCCTAGCGATACTTGTGACAAATCTCTAGGTGTTCAGTTGCCGACTGAAAGGTTCACTGGGGAAATGCAGTGAAGTAAGTGTATCAATTTGATTCTGTGTAATGGAAGCTAGGCTCATAATTTCTATCTATCGCTGTCTATGATGTGATGTATATTACAGTAAGGAAAAGCAGCTCTCGTTGATGAGAATGCTGGCACCTAATTTGCGCAGAGAACAAACCCAATGAAGGAAAGAAAATGGTCGAGAGAGACCAGAAATAGATATGATGATGGGAGGTCCTGCCTCATGTCCTGTGTCGTCGGAAAGCCCTTGCTCGACCTTTGCTTTCACCGAAATCGCCCCTGAGTCTATTTTCCTTGCACCCCAGCCTCCCTAGCCCCATTCTCATCCGTCTTCTTTGCCTGGGCCTGCAGCTCAAACTGAGAGCTCTCCTGCTCCTCCCTCGTCACCAAGTTCTTCTCGATCATCACGAAGACTAGGCCGGCGCCGGCAAAGGCTAGCGAGACGTGCCAGACCCTCCGCAGGCTTAGCTCGTAGAGGCCGATGATGCCTTCCTGGATATCCTGGGGGAAGGAGTCGATAAAGTCCCGCGAGGCGCGCTCGAAGGCCCGGCCCCGCGCCAGCGACTCCCGCGCGCCGGGGTAGTCGCGGACCGCGCCGGCCGCGGCCAGGAGCTCGTCGAAGCGGTTGCCGAACACGGCGGCCGGCACGCTGACGGCGAAGATGGTGGCGACGCTGCGCACAAAGGCGAAGGCGCCCGTGCTGGCGGCGTTGAGGCTGTCCGGGACGTCGGCCTGGACGGCCGTCAGCAGGGACGGGTTGGGCATGCCGAGCGACCAGCCGTAGAGGAGCTGCAGGACGACCCACACAGCCGTGCCCGTGCCGCGGTCGAGCAGGGTGAAGGTGCCCAGGGAGACGAGCTGGAGCGCGAAGCTGGCGACGTGCACGGCCTTGAAGCGGCCGAGCTTGCTGACGAGGATGCCGCCGACGAGGCCGCTGACGCAAAACGTCGCGGAGAAGGGCAGGATCTGCACGCCCGAGCGCGACGGCGTCACGCGCTGGACGGCCTGGAAGTAGACTGGGAGGAAATACAGCGGGGCGTACGAGGTCATGATCTGCATAAAGGTCGCCAGGAGCGCCGCCACGGATGTTCGGTTGCCGAACAGAGCTTTCGGCATGGCGGGGTGCTTGCAGAGTGGCGACACTTGGTAGACGAAGAACAGAGCGGTGCCGAGTATTCCCATGACGAAGCTGACGATGATGCCTGGGTTCGACCAGTCATACCGTGTTCCTCCGTAGGTCAAGGCGTAAAGGAGTGAGGATATCGATCCGCAGAGAATAAAGAGCCCGACAACATCCACTTTCTTGAGATTCTCCTTGGTCGACAGGTCGGTCTTTGGTGCTTGCACGTTGAGGAACAGGAACAAGAGCAGCAGACATAGCCCGCAGAAGGGGAGGTTGATGTAAAAGACCCATCGCCAGGAGACATGGTCGACCAAGACGCCACCCAAAAACGGTCCGAGGCCGGATCCAAGGACAATGAACATGAACATCAAGCCCATGAACTGTCCGCGCTCGCGCAGGGGAAGCAGGTCGCAGACGATGATCTCGACGAGGACGTTGATGCCCGCAGCGCCGAGCCCCTGGATGGTTCGGCCGCCGATAAGCACACTTGCCGAGCTGGCGCCTCCGGCGATGCCGCTGCCCAGCGCAAAGATGGCCAGCGACGCGATCATCGGCCAGCGGCGCCCCCAGATGTCGGCCACCTGGCTGTAGAGTGGCTGGACGGCGGCACTAGAGGCCTGAGTTAGCAGATAAGCAGGGCGGCGAGGGAAGTGTATCTGACCTCGTCAAGAAGAAGATATTCACCATCCAGATGTAGTTCTCGCCTGCGTTCACGGCCCGGGCGATGGAGGGCAAGGCAGTAGACACGACGGCACCTTCCAGGGCGCTCAGGAATGCCGATATCGAGAGGGAGACGAACACGGCCCAGAAACGCCATCCACGGCTGGCTACCGGTTTTTTGTCGTCCGCGGGAAGAGCACCGAGGGTAGAGTCGCGGCCATCCTCGACAGGCTCGGGAGCCTTGGACTCGGCGGAAGACAAGAGGTCTCGTTGGCTGCTTCTGCTCATGTTGAACTGGTGCGCAGCTTCTCATGTGCTGACAGTGGGTTATTTTGCAGAAAGTATCGAAGCCAGGAAGATGAAATGCAAGTATGTATCATTGTCTACGGCATCACCTGCATACTTTCGGCCGAGGAGACGAGACAGACGAGACATGCTGGCCCGAATTTCATGACGGATATCAGAACAGAGCAGTGGAGAGTGCCAAGCGTATTGATTCGTATGCATTCCACGCCAGAAGGGACGGGTTTCGTGTGGTGAGCGGATGCGTTTCATGAAGTAATTTTGCAGCCTTTGGTAGCTGGCGGAACTCCGCCGCCTTCTATGATTTGTGACGTTAACGGGGCCGCTTTTAACATGAAGTGCGGGTTGACGCCCGTGGTTTGGCCCGAATACGCTCGAATACGCCCCGACCCCACAGTGAAAAGGGCATCCCAGGCATCGACACAAGAGCACGAAAATAGCCTTACGCGTTAAGCAAAGCCTTGCATCACAAGACCGAGGAAATATTGATGCCTGGAACAGGATCAAAGAACGATCGTAGCATTTTTACCAATGCTTGGTAAACACTCGAGTGTACGTAGACTCGTCACTTGGCGACATCAACTTCATGCACAGTGGGCCAGCCCAGTTCGGCAAGCGGTGTATCATTTACAAGAGATCAGTCGCCTATTTGAATGAGCGTAATCTACGGATCCTACTATCGTGTATGTATTGTAAAATCATTAACAGCAAGACGCGTAATAGCAGTCATCCCAGGCCTACCAAGCTGTTGTCTTGCACAACTCAGGGCCCTCGCGTGAATTCTATGAAATGCCGGATTGCCTTTTCCCATTGGAGCAGCTTGTTACGACCAAGATTCTTTCTCAGCAAGGCCCATGGTTTGAACCAAACTTTTCCCTTTTCGTAGTGTATCTCGTAAGGCGGGGTGAAGGAGGAAGACGGCGTTGACCTTCGTTAGTTGAGGCTCTCAGCTTTCAGGATCTCTTCGGCAAGTCTAAACTTCTCTCCTCTTCAAAGTTTTGTCTCTGACTTCTTTATCCTAGGCCCCAGTTGCATTGAGCGTTAGCAGATGCTGGATCAACACACTTTCAAGGTTGCCGCGCCGAGTCTACTTGCTCCATCAAGTTCAGGTAGCCTTGAATCTTAGCTCCAGCCTCTTCCACTACCGATTTACGACCTCGCTCCTTTGCCTCGACGGCACGACGAAAATGATGTATCTCGAGGAATCATTGAAGCAACACATGTGGAAAGACTTAATAGGCTTGTCAGTATCGATGACTGTTCCGACTCAGGTTGTCCAGCCTCCCCCTGGAGGCCGTTTTCATCCTCCCAACACTACCACAACAACAACAATCACAATACTAACAATGCATGGCGAGAAGGAAAGGATTGTTTTCCACTACAATCTTTGCACATTAATTCACTTGTCGACTGTCCTTCGTCATCACAACAATATCGTTGCCCTGCGGAGAAACACGTTACTCCTTCATGCGCCTTTGAGACTGAGCTTCGACAGCTTTCTGGTCCATCTTTTAAAAGTACGAATGTCAATGCAGCTTTCACCTTCCGCAATGAGTTACTTGGATCAAGTATACCGCAACTCTCAACATCCCATAGGCTCCAGGAATCTGCGGACCGGGTGGACTAGCTAACACCAGAGCAAGGTCTCCAACCTTATCATACTGTTCGTTGGACTTGCTACAACGATTCGATGGATATTTTGAGAGCCTCACCAACGGTTGATTTACTGGAAAGAAACTCTTGGGAGGACTGCACTTATACTGGGAGGACAGTTCAGGATGGCTTTGCACGTCGAGCAATGTCTCAATCAACGTGATGGGTACGGAGCCAAACCTCTGTTGGACTCGTGTTTATGATCTCCTTTTAGTATATGCGTCCCTTATGATCCCAAAGAGTCGCAATCTCTTTCGATGTCTCGGCAATTATTACGGGGTCTTGATAATCGAGCCAGGTGGCACTGTCTCGCAGCGAAGCCGGCGCTCTCGTGTGACGGTCCAGGATTGTCCATGACCGTCACCGCCGAGTACATCACGAAGGGAACCAGCCGAGCAACCAGCATTCCACTCAGTCCTTTTAGCTCTTCCTACCGATCATGTCACTCCTAACTGACAATCCTGACCTCTTTCTAAGTACAAGTCGTCTTGTTCTGTCTCTGTAGGTTTGGCAATCTTTTGTCGGGGGCCTTCGGATCGTACAGCGGGAGGAGATGTCAGATTATCTCGAAATGTTTGGGCTACACATGCTGATTGATTGATTGATTGATTGATTGGTATTACGAGATCTTCAAGTACACTCTTGGAGCATGCTGAGAGTGATGCTTTGGAAGAATCACCTCAAGCCTAAACAACAGAGCTGAGAAACGCTTGTACAAAAGGCTGGGCGTGTGGAATCGACCTGACTGCTGGGGCAAGAAGGGAAGCAAGTCGCCTCGTCCCCGAACCCAGTGGCAACATAGGGAGCCACAAGGCACCCAGTCCCTTGGGGTGGTATTTGTAAGTGATCTGTCCTCTGCAGCCAGTAGCAAGTGCTCCAAGCCCCTCTGATAGGAGAGGCAAGGGGACAAGGTCGCAGTGCAGGGCGAGGCGCAAAAATGGACAATGATTACCCCAGTCCCCCACGCCCTGCCGGAATCCTTCATCCCATAGGTCTGGAAACCCCGTACAAGTACATGCAGAATGTAGTTGGCCACGTTCCCCGATGCCCCCATCAGCAGCGAAGCAACGTCCGAGCGATGCTACCCTGGGGGGGGGGGGCTTTAGCTCCTGATCGAGGCGGGTGCCAGGAGGGCATCCCGGCTGTAGCGGCGTCTCCAGCAATGCCTCAAGGCCAGTCAGGAAAAGGGGATGCGTGCCGGCCGCCGCCATCCACGCACGATGGGGGAATGAATCCACAAAGCCGGCGCAAACCACGCCCTCGGTCTTGGTTCCCCACGCCCCCTTGTCGGAATCTCATCTCGATACCACCATTCACCTTCCCAATGCGACGTTTCTGAGCGCTCCCGTGCTGTACTTGTGTACTTGTACTCGGCTTGCCCTCGCATCGGGATCCACCAGTACAAACCCCGGCAGACAACAGAAGACGTGCATGCCAGCCTCCCAGCCAGCCACCTCTTTGCAGCAGGTGCGCAGGCAAAAGCAGAGTCAGCTCCGGGGTACAGCGCCCAACATGAACATACAGAGAGCGGTTGCCGGCCTGTCTGGAGAGGGAAGCTGAACCGTCCGTGTGTCTGTTGGGCAACCAACGGGGCGGGCTGGCACTAGGCTCGATGCGCGACCGACACGGCGCGGCGCAATAGATATGCTTTTCACCCCTCACTTGAACAGCAGCCAGCCCAGCTGCTGTTCAAAGGACGACCTACTCAATTGCCATAATGTCATTCTTGCTTTCCGAAGTCACTATTGCCGATGCAGAGAATATTGCACGATATGTCGAAGTGCCTGCTATTCAAACCGGTCCTCTATTTCGGACGATGTTTCCGTCTCACACAACAATGACGGAGATGCAGCAAGAAGAAGTAGTGCAGTGGTATACTGAGATGTTAAGCGATGCAGTCCAAGCTCAGGAGGAGAGGTTGCTGAAAGCATGCTCTACTGACGGCGTCTGTGTTGGATTTTGCGGATGGACAATAGCGAAGCGAAGCTCTAAGGACTCCGACGACCACTCCACCGATAATCAAACTACGACGACGAACAAGGGAGAAGGAGGGGTGGTGGCAAAAAAGGAATCATGGCTACCTCAAACACTCGACATCGACAGTTGGATTATGGCATCAAAAGCTTTGAGGATGGAGCGGGAGAGAGCTTTGCGAGACCACAATGACATATGCCGTCAGTTCTCCCAACCGATATGTAGAAAATGGGTGATTTACCAACATAATTTTATGTAGGCCTAACCTTTATGGCGGTGACTCCGAGCTCTCAAAGGCAAGGGATTGGCTCTATGATGATGCAGCAAATATGCAACGAGGCTGATCATCGGAGGCAATGCTCTTATGTGCTGGCGCTACCTCAAGGCGTTCGGCTATATGAGAAGTTTGGATTCAAGAATCTTGGCCATGTGGAAACACCTTGTGGTCTGATCTCAAGCATGTTTCGACCCGCTCAGTCCATTGACTTGCCTACCGACAACAAATCCTCCCCACTCTAGAACCCTTGGGAGTCGTACATTAGGAAATGGGTCAAAACCCTCAGTACAGAGAATATTATTTGAGAAATCAGGTTAGCTAGAAGGGTTAACCAGCTAAAAGTAGACAGCTACTCTACTCAGCTATTTAATCGATGTACTGTAAATGCTTTCTATATAGAAGCCTTTGTGAACCTGGCTTACACTGCTGTGATACCGCCTACATAACAATGAATATGACATGGGTTTGACATGGATTGAACCCGTTGCAATAGATATGTTTTCGGAACGGGGATGCACAAATGGAGTAAGCGCCTGCGTGCCTTATCTGAGGGGACCCCCATACTTTCTTTCAACTTGCATACATACCAACATACCTACCTCCACCTCCGTGCTAGGGCCACAAGAGCAAAGTGGTCCGGAGGAATCCATAGCATCCTAGATAGTGAGGCTCAAATCTCGGGTGGCGTCGCGCGCCGTTGGGCTTCACCCTGGACAGTCTGGCTGGCTGTAGCCGCTCAACCACTTAGACCATACTATGAGGGTATGCTGGGGTAAGCGAGGGAAAGGCCATCGAGGGAACCCGGCGATCCCCTTTCTATCGCGGCGGCCGCGGCTGTCTAGGACTTTACTTTTCTTTGCGGCTCCATCAGCTCTCGGGACGGTTCCCTACTTGGGCAGTGACAATAGTTGGGACTAATGTCGACATCCAAGGACAAATTTGCAAGACCTGAGATCGGGGGTTATATTTTTACCAAAGGTGTGGTGCCCTAGGCTGAAAAGGGCATGTGTTTGTGCTCCCTCAACGATCCTGGATCATCCTGAGATTTTTGCCAAGAGTTGTCCAGGCGGTTAGTATCGCCTGATGGGAAGGGTCTGGAGAGGAGTGAGATGCACGAGAGGGTGGATTGTCAGGGAAATCGAGAAGGATCAGGAGGGACAAACATCCAATTTCCATCCCGCGCATCTCAAAAGCTCCGACCAACGAGTTTTGTTTGCCACGAGACACTGGAGCGGTACGGAAACAGGGCGAGATTCAGCAGATCTCCAAGTCGCCACAGCACGCAAGTACAGCAGTACAAGCAGAGAGATACAGACGATACGAAAGAAGGCAAACAAAAAAAACGATTGTTGCATGGAAAACGGGGCTGAAGGACAAGCGTCTCTTGGCGTCATCTCGATGTGCTCTGTTGTGCGACTCCGGGCGATATCGAGGATGGCAAAGATGGGCCGAGGATGGCTAGGACGGATGCAAGGCCAGCTTTTGCTCCAAGTCAAGAGGCACAGGGATGGTCGCACTGCTCGTGTTGGCCGCGTTCCGTCCAATCACACCCTTGTCGTCTCTGCATGGAACAATTCTAGACACTGCTGATCCCATCCCTCCAATCCCTCCAGCTGGTGCAGCTCTCCTCGGGAATGCGAGAGAGTGTGTGTAGTGTAGTGTGTGTGGTGCGTGCGCGCAGGGAGAGCGAGCAATCTTTGGATCTCTCGAGACTTGTGCGGGATGGCCAGCACGCCAGCCATTGGAGGAATGGCGATTACTACCTCGACCGAACCACCGTACGTAGCATTGGGTACATTAACGATTCGTATCGTTGGCACGCATTCTCTCTCTGATAACGACACCAGCCTATCAGGGACCAGCGCCCGCTTGGCATAAAGAAGTCGAGACAATGCCGTCCGTAGCGATTTGCCGTCCCCCTAGCTGTAATGGATGGCAGCTTCATTTGGCCTGCATCGTGCTCGCTCGGAGCCAAAATCCCCTCCACTCCTCCTTTGTTTGTCTTCCATTCATGCCCATCACTACAACCATACTTAGACACAACCCTGGAACCCTTGCTGGGGCTGGAGACAAGCACGGTCAAGCATAGCTAGCTCGGCCACCAGAGGCTCTCACCATAGGCCACCTCGGCTTCCCTTTCCAAGTCTTGGCTTCTCTGACAGGCCGTAGCTCGTCTTGCTCGTGAGCCTTGGCAGCCTTGGCACGTAGGGATGCCGGCAATCACCTGCTGCATCTGGAAATAACCCCGCAAAATCCCCATGGGAGGCCCGTGGCCCACGACGAGGGAGCGACTCCGACGCACGCGCGCCATTGTCGGACACGATCTTTGCTGGTCTCACTAGCACAACGACAGTTCGCGATAGGTAGTGGAAACACTGGTGCGAGAGCCCGGATCAGACTTCGCCGAAGCCGTGGTTGAGGCACCTGAGGGCGGAGCGAGTGTCTTGGGGGTCCGAACGAACCCGAGTTTGCTTGAACCAAGGGCGGGTGACAAGCAAGAAAGCAAGAGTACATCTTCACACTATTCTGCGCGTGCTCCAACCTAAATGCAGCATTAGATTGCACCTTATTCAGACATGGCCCGTCTCGAACTGACCCCGAATTAAGCAAGCCCGGGGTCTGTATCGAGACCCGGGAGACTAGACTGTACTCGGCGTCTAAACAATGGGTACCCGCCCGTCGCCGCCGTACCCTCCTTCTTGATGAGGGCTAGCAGCGGTGGGCCGGTATCAGTCGATAAGCCGCCAGGATCCGCTCTCGACGTTGTCGCTTGGATTGGGAGACCGGAAATCCTTCGCCAGAGTGGGCAGGTGGGAAAAGAATGGCACACAGGCCACAGGGCCTCAGACAGGGTGATGGCGAGGGTGGCACATGATAACGGATAATTGAGACTTGCACACCCCGGCCCATGGCTGCCGCACCGGGGCACCAATCAGCGGCGCATGCTTGCCAATCGCGACCAGAGCTCGGTTGAATTGCGGCGAGGGAGGGCGAGTGGAGGGCGAGTGGAGGGCAAGCAAGCAAGCAAACGCACGCACGGGTACCTAACCTACCTACCTAACCTAAGGTAACTAACTACCTATCGCCGTCTTGTACCGCAAGGTATCATCCATCGCGGCACGATGGAGAACGACGAGCGAGGAGGAGGGGGACGAGCAGGGCCGGGAAGTGGTATTGCATTGCGACCCAGGACCGCGGGTGCCACCAGCTCTCCCGCGAAACCCTTTATCTATCCCGTCCTCCCCTCCTCGCCTCTGCATCTCGAGCCTGCTTCCTTTTCCTCCTGCACGTCCAGCTAGCTAGTCTGCGCGCACACACAATTGTGTGCCTCTCCCGCAACGATGGGTAAGTGGCCTGCCCCTGGTCTGGTCGACAGACCTTTTCTTTATGCGACCCTCGATGCAAGGCGAGTTCAGACGCAATGAGCTAACCTAATGTAGCCACGACTACCCACGACAGAGACGCCATCACGGCGAACGAGGAGTACAACGACGTGGAGAAGAAGGAGCTCGGCATGGACACCGTCCCCACCGGCGACCACCACGCCGCGCTCTACCTGATGGACGAGGACTACGAGGGCAAGCCCACCGAGGAGGAGCGCAAGTCCCTGCGCCGCGTGCCCGGCAAGATCCCCTGGGTCGCCTACCTGCTGTGCATCGTCGAGTTCTGCGAGCGCGCCTCCTACTACGGCGTCCAGCCCCTCATCAGCAACTACGTCAACCGGCCCATGCCCGACGGCGGCAACGGCTGGGGCGCCCCGCCCCGCGGCGACCAGCAGACCGCCGGCGCCCTGGGCATGGGCACCGTCAAGGCCAACGCCGTCACCCAGGCCTTCTCCATGCTGGCCTACGCCCTGCCCCTCGTCTTCGGCTGGCTCGCCGACGCCAAGACGGGCCGCTACCGCATCATCTGCTGGGGCGTCGCCGTCTTCGGCGTCGCCCACGCCCTGCTCGTCGCCTCGGGCGACCGCCACCTGCTCGCCAGCGGCAACGCCAAGGGGCCCTTCTTCCTGTCCATCTACATGCTGTCCATCGGCGCCGGCATGTTCAAGCCCAACGTCTCCCCGCTGCTGCTCGACCAGATGACCCAGAGCCGGCCCATCGTCAAGACCCTCGGCAGCGGCGAGCGCGTCATCGAGGACCCCGAGCACACCACCGAGCGCGTCGTGCTGCTGTTCTACCTCATGATCAACGTCGGCGGCTTCTTTGGCGTCGCCACCGCCTACAGCGAGAAATACATCGGCGTAAGTCTTTTGCTTCCGCTCCATGTCTCATTTTGTCTCTCGTTTTTCGTGCATGTAAAGAAAAGAGGTCGAGTGGCCCGCGGAGCTACACGTGACTCGGAGGCGGTGCCCGGCGCGGTCTCGGTGCTCCACATGGCGCTGCTGACGGCACCGGCCCGTCCCGGAGCAGTTGAGAGCTAAACAAAGTCGATTTCATTGTGGCATTTGGAACTTTCAATAATTTGATTTTGATAAAATGGATGGCTGACCTTTTTTTTATCGTCCCTCCCGAACAGTGGTGGCTCGCCTTCCTCCTGCCCCTGCTCGTCTACCTCCCGCTCCCCTTCCTCCTGTGGTTCCTGCACAAGCGCCTGATCCTGCACCCGCCCGGCGGCAGCGACCTGCCCAACGTCTTCCGCATCCTCATCATCTGCTTCCGCCGCGGCGGCTTCAAGCGCATGCTCAAGGGCAAGGGCTTCTGGGACCTCGCCAAGCCCAGCGAGCTGCGCGCCGCGGGGCTCAACTACCGCACGCACTGGAACGACCAGTTCGTCGACGACGTGCGCCGCACCTTCCAGGCCACGGGCATCTTCTGCTTCTTCCCCATCCAGTACCTCAACGACAACGGCATCGGCGGCGCCGCCGGCTTCCTGTCCACCATGCTGCGCACCGACGGCGTGCCCAACGACGTCATCAACAACTTCAACCCGCTCAGCATCATCGTCATGAGCCCCGTCCTCAACTACCTGCTCTACCCGGCCATCCGCAAGGCCAAGATCCACTACGGGCCTATCGCCCGCATCACCACCGGCCTCGCCATGTCCACCATCGGCGGCATCGGCTACACCGTCCTCAACTACTACGCCTACCGGGAGTCCCCTTGCGGCGAGTTCGGCTCCAGCGACTGCAAGGTCGGCTCAGGCGTCGCCGACATCTCCATCTGGTGGATGGCTCTGCCGTTCGCTATCGGTGAGTCACGTGATCTCGCGATAACTTCCCCAAAACCCACCCCCCCTTTTCCGGACCGTCCGGAGGGCTAACTGAGCGTCCCCAGGCGGTATCTCCGAGCTTTTTGTCAACGTCCCGGCCTATGGCCTGGCTTACAGCCGTGCTCCGGTCAATATGAGGGGATTAGTGTCAGCCAGTTAGTTCGCCTTTCCGGCCGTCGGACGGCTTCGTGACCGCATGTCAAGGTGCTGACACAAATATTTAGTCAACCTGTTCAACACGGCCGTGGCCTACATCATCGGCCTCGCCTGCTCCAGCGTCATCACGGACCCCTACCTGACCTGGGACTTTGGCGGCTGCGCCATCGCCGGCGGAATCCTGACCGTCGTCTTCTACTTCACCTTCCGCCACATCGACGCCGAGGAGTACGTCATCAGCATGAACAAGAACGAGCTCGAGATGACGGGCACCGACGCGCCCATCGTCGCCGAGAGCGACATCAACAAGTCGATCAACCGCCCTGCTCCCATCGCCGAGAACGAGCAGAACATGATTTCGCAGAAGCAGTAAAATGCGGGAGGGGGCCCTGGCTCGACAGGGGGCGATGGGGGCATGAAATGCTTTTTAGTTGAGCTGTGTTTCTCAGTGTGCCAGCTATGGTATTTCTTGCTTACACTGTCTCCCATCGCCCCGAGTTGTGAGGGACTGCCCATGGAACTAATCCGGAGGTGTTGCCGTGGTTGTTGCGGGCGAGGTGCCTGCTTTACTTGTAGTGGTGGGGGTGTCTTCGATTGGTGGCAAGGCCGTAGCTCTCTGAACCTCTCGAGACAAGACGAATGCTTGTTTATCGTCATACTGATCCAGAATAGACATAAGCACATGTTGCAACATTCGTGGGGTATGTCGTGCATGAGTGCTCTCAGGGTGACATGATGGGTGGGTTCTGGTGGTCCCATCACTGCTCTCACATAGTGAAGCGATGGGCTACTACGTAAAGATACAGTCTTAAGCAGGCCTGGGATTAGCTCATGGACTTATACATGTGATCTCACTATTTCTTAGGTAACCTTCTACTTGACGGGTCTGGGCTACATGCTTACGGGCAAGTGATAATCAGAATAGTTTACGGGCCGTTAAAAGAAGTACTTGACTTTCCATCTCACCCATCTGTCTTTAGGCAGTGGGATAACCATTCCGAAATCGAGAACAAGGATTTTAGACACTCCATCAAACCCATGGATTTTAGATAGTGGGATAATCCTTCCGGCTTCCAGAGCAAAGGTATGTATTGTAAGCATTGAGCTATCTTCTCATGAACTTCCCTCAGCATTCCTTTGGCTCCTAATTGACGGGGTAATGGGCGATTACCAGCGGCCCATGCCGCGGAAGAAGCACTGGGGCGCCGCCTCCTGTCGCAGTCCTGCGATCTTCCGAAAGTGTGTGGTGGCAGCTGCGATGACCCTTGCGGGTCGGGCACCGGGTTGATTGGCAAGCCGGATGCAAACGGCCTTGCCAAGACCCGACATCAACAGACTCTCTTGACGAGCCCATGTTTGCTCAGAACCCTTGCGTCACTGCACTCTTTTGCCCCGTTGTTTCTGTTCTGGGTTTTGTTGCTTCTGTTCTGGGTGTTTTCCCCCTTCTCTCCGTTGTCGACGAAGCCATGCTTCATCTGGCCTCTACTTGCTGACTACGAGCTTCTTCCTGTAGCCCCTTATTGCGCCATGACACTGCGCGGTGAAAGCTGTGATGACCCTTGCAGGTCGGAGACCGGGGTGGTTGGCAAGCCGGATGCCAATTGCCAGCAGCAGGAATGCCAGGTAGCAAACGGTGAGGGCTGCCAAGATCCAGACGATGGTTTTGAGGATCTTGGCGCCGACGCCACCGAAGTTCACCAGTTTGAGAGGGTGGCGCCGAGGCTGGGCAACGGGGCCGAGCACGGCTCCGGGAGCCGGCTCGGCCTCTTCATCGTCGACTGGGTCGACGATGACCACAGCTTGGCCCTGACGCTAGCGCCCGCCTCGGTTCTTCCGCTTAGGGAGGCTGGTGCTGGTGTACACCGTCCCATCCGGGCAGACGAGCTTCCCCTCGACGAAACGAAGGTTTCCGTCGAGGATGAAGCCTCCGCCGCCTGCCCGGATGTGTGCCTGGGGGGGCGATGGGCACGTTTCCGAGGAGGCAGCATTGTGCTGCGAGGATGTTGATCGCGTTTGCGGACATGGGGATGTCCGCATTGGCTTGCTCGCGGATTTGTCGGCAATGCGACATGTTGCTTGGCTTCCGGTTGTAAGCATTGAAATTGACCTCAGTAACGAGCCAGTCTCGCCACTCCTCCGGGATGCCATCCGGAATCATCAGGAGCGCGAGGTGCTTGATGAAGGCGATGGTGTTTTCATCAAGCGCCTCGCGGTCTTGGACCGACATCTCCACGATGGAGACCGGGATGCGGAACCGACCCCGGCCCACGCGGACGACCACCACGTTTAGGGCCGGGTGGTTGAGGTATCGGCGATTGAATCCCTCCAGGTCCTGGACCTGGGGGATGGCCGCATCTGCCGGCCGGAGAAGCTCGTTCTGGTCGGCCATTATGGGCCATGGGAGATGTCATAGTACCAACCCCATCGTCTATTGTTCGCCGGGCCTTGTCGCCCGCAGTTTGGATTCAAGCAGGTTCTTGTAGCAGCCTGCAGCTTCGGCGGCCCCTTCTGAAGGTTCGACCGGTTTCTTGCCACGCCCTTGGCAGCGATGTAATCCTTGCATCGCTTACAGAGGACATTGTCCTCTGTCTTCGGCCCTGATTGGTTTGGGTCCCATCCCTATTGTTTGTTTCTTGCTGGGCCAGTATCTCCACACAGGGGGTTTGAGCAGGTCCGGATGTCGACCTGGACGCGGTTGGAGAACTCGGGCCTCCACATATTCCACCATGGTTGTTTGCATGTGCTAGGCATCGAGCACAAAGGATGTTGGATTCATCCTTCTCCTCCGTCAAGCCATTCCATCGTCCCCAATGCTCTGTGTCGGCCGCGGTCGCATTGCAGTTAGGATAAGAGCACTCTCTATCCTTGGGAATTGCCTTTCCCTTGTGAGCCGTCTTGGCGGGATCTCTCATCGCGCCATTGTAGTTGTTGGCGTGCACTCGACATTGGCGGCATAGGATCGAGTTGATGTCTTTGCGACCCTCAAACCCGTCCCAGAAGCCCCAATTCTTATCAACCTTGTCGGATCCGCACAGGAGATTCGAGCAGATGTAGACCTTGGCAGCGCGGCCGGTCTTCAGCTTGTATGCGTGGTCATTGGCGTTGCGCATCTTGCCCTTTCGTCTCCAATACACAAGACATGTGGTGCATAAGACATTGTCCTCTGTCTTTTCCGTCTCGTTTGGCAGCCAGCCCCACGACTTTGACGTGTGCGTCGTCGCATCACAGTTCGGATTCGAGCAACACCTTGCGTACGGTGTGCTCGAATTTGTCAGACCAAGTCCTGGTGCTCCTTGGTATAGCGGCCAGGCCTTGTTGAGGCTGCTGGCGGAGAAATTTGGCATTGACCTTGCCCCCCTGAGAAGCTTGTTCAGTGAGTATGTGCACTCGGGGTGTCGGTCCGAGTGTTCACCCTCAAGATATAGTCCGAGGTAAGTCATCAAGATTCCTTCGAAAAGCAAGGGCATCCGCCGATGCGATGAGCGTGATGGGCCGTTACCGTCACCTCCGGTCACATCAGTCACGGGCTCCCAGGCCCCAGCGATCCGAAAATTCATGACGTTGTCGGGCTGCCGGGCGATCTGGTAGTGAAGCGACATATTCTTTATATTATGTCGCTTATTTCCCTCACGGCAATGGGTCCGAATTCGTTCTCTCCCTCCTCCACTGGAGTTTGCGGAAGGTCCAACATAGGCATGAACCTTCTTGGCTGACTTTGGATCGACGCTGGCTTTAGCTGACTTCACTAAGAGGGGTTGCATGACACCTGTCCCCATCTGAGGATCCTAAACCTTTTCGTCGAGAAAGCTGAAGAACTTGGACTCCTCTCTGACGATGTCGTTCTGGTTCATGGCGGTAAGAATATCAACGTAGGTGATCCAGAATGGGGTCTCTTCTGCGCCTGCTGGGAGATCCAGGAGGTCAACAACTGGTTTCAGGTCTGGTCTTCCCAATACCTTCCGAGATTGCAACTGAGCCTTCCGGAAATTGGTGTCGTCGCGTCTAGGAAAGGAAGAAGCTCGTTTTGATGATCCGTCGTGTCTCTTGCTATCTGCTGTCACGACTGCGTCAACTTGGTTCCATTTCCGTCATGCAAAGTGACGAGGTAAACTCGAGGTTGTAAGGGCAGCGGTGGAGATGATATGAATATGAAAGAACGAAGGGCTATGATGTGATCGTGAGAGTATCTTAGGTTCATACCGTTCTTCGCGCTTTCTCTTGACTCGCTGGCTCTGATACTACTCGGTAGATCAAGATCTGAGGTTAAGTTGAGGTCAGCCGCGAGGGTAGCGGTTCGTGATAATAAGATTATCGTTGAGAGGAGTATCTTACTTATTTACTGCAGAAGCGTTTGGCAAAACTTGAAGCTGTTCAACGCGGATCAGGGAGAGAGTGTGGCGATCATTTATGGATTGGGGGGGAAGAGTCGAGTCAATGGGTTGGGAGCTGCGATGCTTCAAAAGTCAAGGCAGGCAACCATTTGGTCGTGGAGGGTTTTCCTATTCTGGCAAGACCGCCTAGATTTAGATAATTTTCCCATGTTGTTTTGATTTGAAAATTAGTATTCAAACCCTGAACAAGGCAGACAGCATGGCCTCGACTCACACTTAACGGGTTTATTTTCTCCTTCTCCTTCTCCTTCTCCTTCTCTCCATCTTTTTTTTTTTTATTTTAATTCCTTATCCATCATTCCTTTTTCTTACTATTCTTCTAATGATCACTGCTCTCTGTCAAGCAAGATCATAAATTAGAGATTTCTGTCATATTAAATGATTATATGTGTCATTACATCAAGATGGACAGGCATAAATGCCCAGGAAGACTAAAGAGGAGTATGAAGCTTTATGCAAAAGTGTGAGATTATTCGAGTCCTTCATGGTGATTCAAGATTCGACAGATGAAGAACTCGTGGATCTAGCCATACATCCAGTCGATATTCTTGTTGACTGTTTGATTAATTGCACTGATGAACGAGATGAGGGGGAGTCACAGACACGCATAGGGTTTGTTCACATTCCTCAGTCTAGCAGACGGGCAGCCATTCCTGGGATCATTCAGCACATGCCTTCAGATGCAGCTACTTGCATCAGCTACCTGCATCAGCGACCTGCATTCGCCGACCCAGTCACAGACAAGGCTTTTCATGCACCATCCGTGACTGCCGGACCTAACGAATCGCACCTAGTGCCGGTGTCGGGTCTTCCGCCCACTAGCGCCCTCCACTCTGCTTCGGCGTTAATGGACTTTTGAGGGTCAGCATCACGGCTAGCAGCTCTTTTAGTGGCCTCGATGGACTCGATGACATCAAAGGGGGCCATGCGGGATAAAGCCAGTCTTGAGAATTTGTGCATCGCGACACTTTTGATTGGGCCTCAGCAACGTGCAGCGGACTCTTGACGCATGTTTCCCCCGTCTACATCAAATTTTGCCCTAGAAAACCTGAAGAAGCTTAGAAATCATGAATCTACACAGTCATGTCCGAGTTGCATAGCATGGGCAGGGCCAACGAGTCGAGGCCAAGTGGGTGCGCGATCGTAGTAGCTTCGATGTTGGGTCCTCCTGCCTCGGCTATTGATATCCTCCTGAGGGCAAAGTCACTCCAGGGGGCCACCAAAGGAGATAAACCTGCGTTAACTGCGATCTCGAGGTCATCAGAGAAGAGGTATAAGTAGCATCAGGGCATCGCAGTTGAAAACGTCCGGATAATTATCAAGCCAACCGCACAAGCAAGCTCCGCAGTCGTAAACACTTTTCACCCCGCACAGCACAATGGCCCAGCAAGACTACAAGTTCGAGGGCTGGCTCGGCCTCGACGAGAAGGCCGACCAAGGCAACATGGTCTGGCGGGAATTCGAGCCCAAGCCATGGGAGGAGACCGACATCGACATCGAGGTGACACACAGCGGCATCTGCGGCTCCGACCTGCACGCGCTGCGCAGCGGCTGGGTGAGCTCTCCCCTTCCCCTTTCCCTTGGATCAAGAGTCCGATGCCAGCTGCAACCACACCACAACACTACCGCCGGGACAGCGCTGACCACACTCAAAAAACCAGGGCCCGATGCCGTACCCCGTCTGCGTGGGGCACGAGATCGTCGGGCGCGCCGTGCGCGTGGGCTCCCGGGCCGAGGGCGGCATCAAGGTGGGCGACCTCGTCGGCGTCGGCGCGCAGGCCGACTCGTGCCTGGGCCGCCTCGGCTCCGCCTGCGCCGACTGCGCCTCGGGCAGCGAGCAGTACTGCCCGCGGCCGGTGCACACCTACGGCAGCCTGCGGCACTACAACGGCGGCAAGGCCATGGGCGGGCACGCCACGCACCACCGCTGCCCGTCGCACTTTGTCGTGCCCATCCCGGCCGGGCTCGACCCGGCGCTCGCGGCGCCCATGCTCTGCGGCGGCGTGACCGTCTACTCGCCGCTGCGGCACCACGGCGCCGGCCCGGGAAAGACGGTCGGGATCGTCGGCGTCGGCGGGCTGGGCCACTTCGGCGTGCTGTTCGCGCGGGCGCTGGGCGCCGACCGCGTCGTGGGGATATCGCGCCGCGCCGACAAGCGCGACGAGGTGCTGCGCATGGGCGCCGACGAGTACATCGCGACCGACGACGACGCGGGGTGGGAGGCCAGGCACGCGCGCACGCTCGACGTCGTCATCATGACCGTGTCGTCGTCGCGGGCGCCGCTGGCGTCGTACCTCGGGCTCGTGCGCCGCGACGGCGCGCTCGTGCAGGTGGGCAACCCGGACGACGGCGCGTACTCGCTGCACCCGCTGCCGCTCATCGCCGGCCGCGTGAGCTACACGGGCTCGGCGATCGGGTCGCCCGCCGAGATCCGCGAGATGCTCGCGCTGGCCGTCGACAAGGGCGTCCGGCCGTGGGTCGAGCAGCGGCCCATGAGGGACGCCAACCGGGCCATGGCCGACATGCTGGCTGGCAAGGCCAGGTATCGGTACGTGCTCGTGAACTAGACGGGGTGTGTGTGAGCATGGGAGGATGATCAGTGCTTGGGGCGGCCATTGGGTACTTGGATAGTTGCAATAGCAACAGTGAGCAATAGACTCGAATTTGTGCTTAGATGGGGGTAGATGTTGTTTCTGGTAAAGAGTTGACAAAGGTTGAAAGTCTCGGGCGGATGACCCTGTCAGATTTTACCCCCAGGAAGGTAGGGCTTACATGTACAAACTGACATAATTCTTGCCACGTCAACTTGGGAACTCCCCACAGAACGAATAGGATAGGTCGAGAGATGACCTTTGAAGAGCTTGCAACTCGGATCCGTCTCTTCACGAACAGACAGTCCCTCCGGCGGAACCAGTGAGTTCATTTCGGTTTTCCTGACTCGGGGCGGTACTGGATTTCTTCAGAAGATGGGAGGAATCTATTGTAATCCCCAAATTAAATCGCGAGTGTTGAATGTTTTGATTGATTAACCTTTTGCATCTGGTCAACTGGATATTTGCCTCATGAGAATCTGAAGCAGATGAATGAATCATGCCAGCATTACACATTGTGCTGACACACACCCCTTAAAAAAAATAACACGCTCTCATTACAGAATATCAAATCAAAAAAAAAGACTCGCGACATTTTCACAAACGCCCCCGGATAGCAGCAGCGTCGCCCTCGTGCTCGCCGAGCACCTCCTCCGCGATCGCCCGGCCCGCCGCGCGCCCGGAAAAGATGCAACCCCCCAGGAACGTCCCCTCGAGCGAGTTGTACCCGTGCACGCCGCCGCCGCCGAAGCCGGCGACCTCGCCGGCGGCGTACAGGCCCGGGAACGGGCGCTCTTCCTCCTCCCCGCCACCGGCGGCGCCCTCCCTCCTCCTCAGCATGACCCTGCTCCGGAGGTCGGTCTCGATGCCGCCGAGCGTCTTGCGCGTCAGCAGGTTCATGCGCACGGCGATGAGCGGGCCGTGTTTCGGGTCGAGCAGGCGGTGCGGCGCGGCGATGCGCGAGATGCGGTCGGGCCAGTAACTGCGGCCGTTGGCGATGAGCATGGCCTGCGCGTCCTTGGAGTACTTGTTGACCATCTGCGCGTCGCGGGCCTCGACGACGTCGCGGACGCGGCGCGGGTCGAGCTCGGGCCCGCCCATCTCGCGCGCCAGGGCGTTCATGCCCTCGACCAGGTCCTCGAGGCTGTCGCGCACGACAAAGTCGCGGCCGTGCTTCTGGAAGTTCTGCACGGGGACGGTGCCCCTGGAGCCCAGGACGCGCTGCGTCAGGACCTGCCAGACGCTCTTGCTGGTCAGGTCCGGGTTCTGCTCGGACCCGGACAGGGCGAACTCGCGGGCGATGATGGACTGGTCGAGCACGAACCAGGTGTAGTCGTAGCCCGTGGCGCAGATGTACTTGAGCGTGGCGAGGGTGTCGGACCCCGGGTAGAGGAAGGGCGGCAGGCGCTGGCCCGTGGCGTCGAGCCACAGCGAGGACGGCGCGGGCAGCACGCGGATGCCGTGGGCGGGCCAGATGGGGTTCCAGTTGGCCAGGCCCTCGGTGTAGTGCCACATGCGGTCGCGGTTGACGACGCGCGCGCCCGCGGCCTCGGCGATGCCGATCATGCGGCCGTCGACGTGGGCGGGCACGCCGATGACGAAGCGCTCCGGCACGCGGGGGCCGAGCCGGTCGACCGGCCAGGCCTTCTTGACGGCCTCGACGTTGCCGCCGATGCCGCCCGAGGTGACGAGCACGGCGGAGCCCCGGAGCTCGAACTCGCCCGCGACGTCGCGCGACGTCTTGACGCCGCGCGCCGCGTCGTCCTCGCGCAGGGTGCGGCCCTTGACGCCGACGGCGCGGCCCGTCTGCTCGTCGACGACCAGCTCGTCGACCATGTGGCGGAACCTGAACTGCACGAGGCCTTCCTTCTCGGCCCTGCGGACGGGGTCGGCAAAGATGCGGACGATCTCCGGGCCCGCGCCCCAGGTGATGTGGAAGCGCGGGACCGAGTTGCCGTGGCCGTCGGCGGTGCCGGCGCCGCGCTCGGCCCAGCCGACGTTGGCGAGGAAGCGCAGGCCGAGGCCCTTGACGTAGCGCTCCATGCCGTCGGCGGCGAAGTCGACAAAGGCCTCGGCCCAGCGGGCGGGCCAGCGGTCCTCGTCGTCGAGGCGGTCGAAGCGCGCGGAGCCGAGCCAGTCGCGCAGGGCCAGCGAGCGCGAGTCGCGCACGCCCATGCGGCGCTGCTCGGCCGAGTCGACGCAGAAGAGCCCGCCGAGGGACCAGAAGGCCTGCCCGCCGACGCTGTTGGCGTTCTCCTGGTCGACGATGACGACGGGCACCTTGCGGAGGGCCAGCTCGTGGGCGGCGACGAGGCCGGCGAGGCCGGCGCCGACGATGATGACGGGGTCGGCCGGCGGGGTGGTGGTGGCGGTGGTGGTGGTGGAATCGCCTGCCATCTTCTTATCTCGGGTGGTCCCCTGGTGGATGCGGATGTGGCAGATGTGGTGTGGGGGAGATGGGATGGGGAAGATGGGGAGAAATCGCCCTGAGTGTAGCTTGCTTGGGGGGGGGGGGGGGGGGGGGGGGGGGCGGTTCCAGTCCGCTGCGAGATGGTGCTGCTGCTGCTGCTACTATATGCGTGCTAGTAATGATCAATTGATTGTGTTGATCTTGACAGAGGCTTCGAAACAAAGGCACAGTCCATCGCTCGAGTTCTCATGTCGTCAGCAAACCCAGAAGCGAAGAGGTGGCGTCGGACTGCCCGGAGTGCGGAGGAAGACTTGGCATTTTTAGGGGCCCCGGGCACATGAGAGACACGCAGCCTCCAACAGGTCCAACGCGGAGGGAGTGAGGGGCGTGCCTCGGCTCACCTCTCGCCCTGCGCCCGGTCGTCGTCTTACAAGTTACATGGCGCGCGTAGACCCCTGTCTGAGGACACGCGGTTGTCAGCTAACAAGTGTCCTGGAGAGGCAGTAGAGCGCGCGGTGGTATGACAGCGCGCTGGATCTTACGATGCTGGCTCGCATCATGCGTCTCGTCTTGGACCAGGCCTCTCTCTTCGGGGCATTGCGGTCCGGGTTGGGGGAGGGAGTCAAACGTGCGAGCTACAGGTGTGCGCCGCCGAGGAGAGACAGTGGAGGGAGCTCGCGACAAGGCTGCGCTGACGTATGTGTTGCCACTGCCAATCCTGGATGCAAGGCTGGCTTCCGTCTCTGTTTCTGGTTCTTCCATCTTTCTCTCTCTCTCTCTGAATTGCAATCTTTGGCTGGCTGGTTCAACTGATAACACCCACCCCGCCGTAGCAGCACTGAGCGAACGATTTTGACAGGGCAAACACGGCCTGCAGCCTCCAGAGCTTCCCCACATTATCCAGGCACGGAGTTGGTAACCCACCAATCCTTAGCTCCCCCCTCCAGGCTGGCTGCACGCCAGTGAACCCTCTGTGCCCTCCAAAACTGCATGATGATGCGAGAAGCAATGGACGCCTCTCTTTCCTTCCTCTCTGCTCTGCAACGTTTCCCTCGAGACCACCTTCGCATACACCCCTCACAATGAAGTGCGCACGGTCAATTACGCTGTCAGGGCGCGCATTGGCGGCCCAGCGCAGCCGGCTCGCCGCCCGTCAGTCCACCGCCGCCGCAGCTGCTCCCCGACACCGGCACACGAGCTCCTCCGCTCTCTCGATCCGCACCGCCAGCCGTTGGCAGGCCGCCGCGTGCCTCTCGACGACCCTCCCTCCCGTCCAGTCGCGGAGCTATGCCTCGAGCAGCGCGCCGCCCGAGACCGCCGCCCTCCGCCGGACGCCGCTGTACGACCTGCACATCGCCCACGGCGGCAAGATGGTGCCCTTCGGCGGCTTCGAGATGCCCGTCCAGTACTCGTCCCTCTCCGTCAGCGCCTCCCACAACTTCACCCGCGAGAAGGCCTCCCTCTTCGACGTCAGCCACATGGTGCAGCGCCACTTTAGCGGCCCCCACGCCGCCGCCTTCCTCCAGACCATCACGCCCTCCGACGTCGAGGGCCTCGGCGTCCACCGCAGCACCCTGAGCACCTTCCTCTGGGAGCGCACCGGCGGCATCGTCGACGACACCATCATCACCAAGCTCGGCGACCAGCTCTTCTACGTCGTGACCAACGCCGGCTGCCGCGACAAGGACGACGCCTACCTCGCCGACCAGCTGCGCAAGTTCGAGGCCGAGACCGGCGCCGCGCTCCGGCACGAGAAGCTCGAGGACTGGGGGCTCGTCGCCCTGCAGGGCCCCCTGAGCAAGGACGTCCTGACCGAGGTCCTCGCCGACCACGAGGAGGCGGACCTGCCGGGCCTGCTCTTCGGCTCCTCCATCTTCGCCCGCGTGCGCCTGCAGCAGACCGGCGAGCTCTCGGAGCCCCTGCTCATCAGCCGCGGCGGCTACACGGGCGAGGACGGCTTCGAGATCTCCATCCCGCCCGAGGAGGCCGTCGCCGTCACCGAGACCCTGCTGGCCGCCGCCGGCCCGGAGCGCCTGCAGTTCGCGGGGCTCGGCGCCCGCGACAGCCTGCGCCTCGAGGCCGGCATGTGCCTCTACGGCCACGACCTCGACGACACGACCACGCCCGTCGAGGCCGCCCTGAGCTGGATCATCCCCAAGAGCAGGAGGTCCCCCGACGCCGGCTACCACGGCGCGGCCGCCATCGCGGAGCAGCTGACACCCAAGACTAAGGGCGGCAAGGGTGTCGAGAGGCGGCGCGTCGGCCTGACCGTCACGGGCGCGCCGGCCCGCGAGGGCGCCGAGATCGTCGACGGCGACGGCGAGAAGATCGGCGTCATCACGAGCGGGTGCCCCAGCCCCACGCTCGGCAAGAACATCGCCATGGGGTATATCAAGGACGGCTTCCACAAGGCCGGCACCGAGGTCGGCGTCGTCGTGCGGGGCAAGCAGCGGGCGGCGACCGTCACCAAGATGCCGTTCGTGCCGACCAAGTACTGGAAGGGCACTGCACCGGCGTGAACAGGGGAGAGCTTGAAGGAAGGGGAGGTGGGGGCCGGAGAGAAAAAGACCGGGCCGATATTTTCAACACCCACGGCAATATGCATCGGCTCGGGACATTGGATGTCAAGGCGTGCGATATCATTTTTAACATACTGGGACTGGTGGGACTAGCATTGTTTCTATTACAAGGGATAGGAAAAGAATAAAGAGATAATCTACAAAGTCATATTCAATCTCTTGCTAGTAAATGCCGTAGTAAATGCCGTGATTCATCTGTTTATGCGAGGCGGTGAACCGTACAGAACCCTTGTGTGTCTAACGAGCTCTAGATCTCTTCCTTGCGCTGCTTGGGCTCCTCCATGTGTAGGTCACAGACAGAGACTTATCCTTGATAAGGAGAGCCGGTGCGAGAGACACTACATGTTGACATACCAGTGTTAGCATTGGAGTTCACCAGAGCTTGAAACATCCAGAAAACCAAGGCTTGCGAAGGCGCCTCCAACCCGAACAAGAGCGCACTTTAGAACATAGCCTGGAAATTCAACACGGACATAGCAGCCGTGTTTACGTGAGGTTGGATTGCGAAAAGAACAATAAAAGGAGGCCAAAAGTGATACTAGTCACCGAGGTTTGGAGAGATACTCGATATTCACGGCTTTTAGCCTCCTTCCAGCTGCTCAGCTTTCGACTGTTCTTTGTCGTTGCAGTCCGGGTTCCACTTTTCTTCCTTCACCAACGATTGATTGTCTTGGGTTCAAGTATACAAAGACGCCTTTCACTCTTCATGGACAGCTCAATTGATGCCATGCCGAATTTAAGTATTTTTCGGGCTCGGTCAATTTTATGTGAGGATAAAATCCAGTCATGCAGACCGCATCTTTTCCTTTTGTTTACATGGTGAAACTCGGTGGTGGGTGCCTGGTAAAGTGTTTTGTCACTGTCTCTCGGTCTTCCCAGTTAAACAGTAAATTCAGTTCTGACCGCCCAAGCCTGGAGAGGGTGGTTGTGCATTATCTGAGGGAGGCGAGAACCACGGAAAAAGGAGGCATCACGAAATGAGGCAGCGCCCAGCTGCAGTGATAGGACAAGTTTTGTCCAAGGCAAGCTCACTACTGGCCATTGAATATTGGCATGGAGTTGGACATCTTCCACGAAAGCCACCACCCCCGTCTTTGCTTTGGTGGATAAGGACATGACCAGATCTATCACGGGTATGGTTTTGCCAAGGAACACTCTACAAACGCAAAGGTGATGATGTCCAGTAAAGCATACTGGCAAAGCCAATGTTACTTTACAGTATCACGGAAAACCCTTGAGGAGCTGTCATATCATGGACTTATGACTTCCAAGGGAGTGCTGAGCGGGCATCAGCTGTTCCATATCTACACTCCACAAGCCAGCACATTGATTTGCCGCTGCCCCAGCTCTGAAATGTAGACAATGGTCGCGAATTAACTGTGATTACATTAAATCGGGTGGTCGGGTAAAGCTCGGGGAAAGCCCTTCACAATAGCCAGGTTCGAACAATAGGGGAGTGACTGAACACGAGTGACAATAGGTTTCTATTGTGCGCCAGACCAAGCACTGCTATTGAAATTAACCTATTGTCAGCCCAGGCTCACTTTTTGCAACATCTCAAAGGATAAATAATCTCGAGAAGACCCTTCGAGCCATCTCTCCCCTCTTCTTCTTCCCCCTTTCGACACGTTTCGAAAAATCCCATCTGCTTCTCCCTTCTCTCGTCTTCAGAGACTTGCGCTTTACCACACATCGCAAGTACCTCACGTCAATACCATCAAGCAAGCTTCAAGGCTCTGTTCGAAATGGCTTACTCCAACATCCGACTTGCAAGCGCTCGCCTGGTGGACCTTGACGGCACCATGGATGCTGATCCCGTTGTGGACTACAGTAAGCTGTCTGGCCTTCTCAACTTGACACCTTGCTGATTATCACCGCAGCTACTACTGCAAGCTACCGCAATGGTGTCGACGATCCTGTTCTCGGTAGGATTTTCTCTCTCTTCCCTCCGACTTCCTTTAGCCAAGGTCTCATCTAACCAATCTGATGGGGAAATGCAGACTTCATGGACCTCCTCGCTGAGAAAAAGACGCCCGCCACCGGCATCAAGACTGGCGATCGCCAGACGGCCAAGAAGAAGGCCGCGAAGCGCCAGCGGGCCGGCAGAAAGCGACCTCTCACTTCCGACGCCGTCCTCGCCGCCAAGAGGGACAACGGCGGCGTCACCAAGCGCGGCCCCAAGATCACCATCCGCGCCAGCATCGGCGGCGTCGGCGGCCGCAAGGTCGCCACCAAGATCATGGGCCACGAGAACGTGGTCAACCTCAGCCGCCTGGAAGTCCACCACGGCCTCCAGGTCCACACGCCCGGCTTCTACCGCGAGATGTTCAACTTCCAGGAGCGCATCGCCGACACCCTCGAGGACAAGGAGTGGGCGGGCGAGCGGGGCTACTGGCGCGTGGTCGCCGACCTCGTGGACTGCCTGGCCGCCGTCCCCTTCTACAAGAACCTGAGCGTCTTCGACCGCATCTCCTCCCTGATCCGCCAGGTCATCCGCCTGATCGTCAGCGCCAACGAGGGCGACAAGACCGACAGCGCCCTGGCCTACCGCCACCAGGACACCATGGACGAGGCCTACTGGAACAAGGTCGCCGAGAAGTACAAGGCCCAGCTCAAGATCCGCTGCGACGCCCTCTCGGGCCGCCTCCTCTATCTGCTCATCTCCTGCCTCGTCGCCGACCGCCGACAGTTCAAGGCCATGGCCGAGCTGCACGAGAGCCCGGGTCTCGACCGAACCCAGGGACAGCTCTATTGCCACCCTCGTGTCCAGGCGTATTTCGAGGAGCAGTGCCAGAAGGTCAACTCCACCGGTCTCAAGTTCAAGGAGCGCAAGCTGATCCAGCTCATCGACCGATGGATCTACTTCATTGAGCGCGGCACGGGCTACGCCCTCGACGACCAGCTTATTGCCAACTTCTCTCTGAGTGGCTGAAAGAGTGTGGGAAGGGTCTGGAGCTGGATGAAGGGTATCGCTGTCAAGAGAAGCAGCGCATTGTTATTCCTCAAGAGGGGTTCATGGAACAAGGCCGGGGTGCATAGCTATCATAATTGCTCTATTACGTACTGAATCGAAATCATCACACTGCCTCATGCTAGACATAACCGCACCCCGTGTATTAGTCCTAAATGCTGCTTTCATTCTATCTGCCCGTCATTTAGCTGGCATTGTAGCCTCTCCTTGGCAAATTCGTCTGTCTCCCTCGACAATGTCAGCATCCTCGTTATGCTGCACGCCCCCATGAGCCGAGCCACAAAGTAATTACCGCAGCTTGTCTAAGCCGTCTACTGCCGCCTCCCAGATCGCAGCGATCGGATCTCCCACTGACATTCCCGGTGGTTCCAGCCCGCCGACGAGTCCCACGCCTGGTCCAGGAAGGCTTTGCATTATCCAGGCGACCTTTATCAAGTTGTAGGCTCTCATGATAGACACATCAAAGTGCGCTGCGCGCGGAGCTGGTACAAATCACACGCAGGTGAAAGTTGGCGGTTGCATCGATCTAATGGAGGCATGGGAGGAAGGCCTTGGTGAAGATGATGGGATATGATGGAGAATTCCATACCCACTGTAAAATGAAAATTGTCATCTGACTCTAGCTTTGGACCAGGGGAGATGAGGAGGAAGTAGTGAAATGTTCCAAACCATACCAAAAGGCGGTTGATATCGATTCTTTAACGGCAGTTGCCGACGGAGAGTAACTCGAGCAGGCCAGAACGGTGTAGCCCGTCCTGGACGGGCAAGTCTACGCGGCCGAATGTTTGAACTGCGGCATCGATCGCAGGGTGAAAGCTTGCATCTCTTGTAATGTCCAGAGAAGGATTATCAGAATACTCAGATACTCCGTCCTGGTATTTGGGCAGCCAGTTTTGTTCAATACTTTGGAACAAGCCTCGGAGCCAGTGCTGGTGGCAGAAATATGCGATGCCAATCAGTGCGCCAAAGCCTGGGCTCTCTGGACGAGCAGTGATCTCAGAGCATACGCATTTACAGACTGAAACGCAATCCCTCTTCTATCTACATGGCGATAATGCAAGCTGCTTTCTTTCAGCTTGGCCGTGTGTCGTGATGATTTCTGGCGTGGCTAAGGAATGTTTAGTTTGCCGTACCCATCACCACCAGCGGCCTTGGAGGCTCTTTGTTAGCACTTCGCCCGCTTTCACGACTTTGTCAAGACCAGTGACACAATTAGAATTAGAGGAGGCGAGGATGAAGACAAAGACGGTATTTTCAGAGACGAGAAAGAAATAGGTATCCAATGGGTATCATCATACAATGGAAGAACAGAGACAAGAGACCCTGACAAAGAATACAAAGAGCAGTCATACAGCCAGTTCACCAGTCCTCCAAGTCAAACAACTTCTGAATGTCCTCCCCCACCACCTCGTTCTCCTCGCTCTCCTCGCTCTCCTCGCTCTCCTTGCGGATCTCCACCGTGTTGTCGACCACGAGCCATGAGGCCCATGACAACAGCATCTGCTGCCTGGCCTCAGCTCGCAGCTCTTCCACCGTCAGGCCCTCCCCTATAAACCGAGGCACTCCTTCGAGACATTTGCGGTTGTCGAAAGGCTCCATCTCCTTGCCTTTACCCTTGGCAATGCCGGAGGGTTGCGGCTCGGCTTCCGCGTGGTCGAACACGTCCAGGCCGTCTTCGAAATCGCTGTCCCGGATCTGGTCATCCTCCTCCTCCTCCACGAACGAGTGGAGACAGACGGGAGTGCGGCTGCTGCCGGGGACGGTGGGAGGCTGGCGTGGAAGCCCGTCGGCGGCCTCCGCTTTCCAGCTCTCGATGACGGGGTCCAAGTCCCGGACGGCCTGCGCGAACGGAAGCTTCCTCAACTCCTCAAAAAAGGTCTGTTGTTTCGTGGGTGATGGCGTGCCACGTGCGGTCTGGATCGTGGCCGTCTCGCTCTGGTCTATCGAGTCCTTGTCGGTGGTGCCGCCGGTAGCCATGGAAGTGGCAGCCGTGTATGAGGTGTCTTCGGTGTCTGCGGTGTCTGCGGTGTGTGTGGTTGCGGAGGGGAAAGTGCCGGCGGACGAGTCTGACACGATGCGGTTCTGTGTAGAGGGCGTGGCGGACGAGGGAACTTTGTGCCCTGCCGCCACGACGGTAATCCCGCTCTTGGTGTTGTGTCCACTAGTCTCATAAACTATGGTAATGGGGGAGTAGGTAAGGGGAGCGGCTGATGCTATTTCTCTGTCAGATGGCTGAACGTTTCAGAGTTCCGGATCAAACAACGATGTCTATAACTTACAAGCCTCTTCCTCCTTGGCGGAGACGGCAGCAGCACGGATGAGCAGCAAGGTTGCTACAATAGTAAGAGAGGTCGAGGAAGAGAGCACCAAGATAGTGGCAAGGAGTAGTATGGCAAGGAATGCCATGTCGAAGGGCGTACAAGTGTGTAATCTCGGAAGAGGTTGAAATCGACTGGGCGAAGATCTGACTGTGTTGCAGTATCTCGAGAGTTGGGGACAGCTGCGGTGGTAAATGCGAGAATGGATAGTTCCGATCACTTGACAAGGTACAAAAGTCAAGCACTGAAGGTTGAATTGCGTTTGGGAGAGGAGAGGAAGGCGAATTCTCCAAGTTGGAGTTGCGGTCTTATATATATACGGCTCGATGAAGCAGCCCAGAGCACATCCAATTCACTAAAGCTGCTGTACTTGATGCGTTGTAGTGAATGCTACCGCTACGAACGACTCAAAGCAACCACTGGACTTTTCTCGCAGCCCCGGAGGCTTAGTTGATGACTGACACAATGAGTCAGTGCATCGGACCCAAGAAAGATAGACACATTCACCTTGGTTCTTTATTTACTGGCACAGCAAGCAACGCCAAGTCACTGCAACTCTTCGTGGCTTGCCGTTGTCAAACTGCAAACAATGGAGTTACGGAAAGGTATGGAAATAGAACTCGAGAGAAAGCAAAAGCTACATTTTGGTCTATTGTCTATCGGTATCATCAGGAAAATGGTGGTAGTACATTGTTTTACTTTTTTTTTTTTTTTTTTTTTCAAGTTTTTTTGTGTTTTTCTTTCCTTTCCTTCCCCCTCGTATCTCGTCTCTCATGTTCTGCGTCACGCGTGATACTCGTTGAAATCTTCTCAAAAGAAGAATTCCGCCGGTTTGCGATCATTGTCTGGAAAACAATCAGTTAGACAAAGCTGGAAGTGAAGGGGGAAGCGACGAGAATTTACCTTGGTCTCGTTTCGTCATAAGTTGTCATTTGAACGCAAAAAAAGACTTGCAGAAGCCGGCAGCGCCAGTGCCGGTCTACTCCATGAGGGAGTCAGAGATGGAGACGACACCGAGGTGGTGGTTCTCGGTGGGCGGCGTGCCAACGGTGGCGTACTCGATGTCGACGGCCGTCATCCCATACTGCTTTGCGAGAGGCGAGACAGGCGGGGAGGGGAGACCGGAAGAAAACGAGGCGGCGTTGGCAGCGGCAGCCGAGATCTTCAGGCCCTTCTTCTTGGCCAGGAGGCGAGCGACGCTGGGAGGCAAGGGGCGGCGGGGACGAGGACGGACGACGGTGGGGTCTTCGGCCAGCATCATCTCGTATTTGCTGATGCCCTCGGTCATGTGGCGGTGGATGCCACGGCGAATGACACGGCCAGCTGCGCGGTCACGGCCACCAGCGCGGGCGCGGGCACGAGTCTTGAGCTCGGTGGTCGCGGCAACAGGGGGAGGCAAGACGGTCAGCTCGTCCTCGTCGAGCTCAGGGAGGCCAGTGCCCTTCTCCTCGCCAATCCGGAGGCGCTCGAGAGTGATGTAGCGACGGATGACAGTTCGCAGCTCACTGGGGAGGCCCGCGGGCTCATCGCCGTCGGTCATCATGATGTCCTGATCGGCAGCGCGCTTGAGGAAGGTGACCGCGTGGAACAGAATGTTCAGAGCCAGCGGGTCAGGGAGGTCGTCAGAGACCCGAGCGAGGTTGCGGAGGAGCTTGATGTCGACCACGGGCAAGTTGCGATAATCGCCGCTGAGGAAGATGGCAGGGTCAAACTTGCCAAAGGGCTCGGTCAGGATGGCCGGGGGGTTGATGATCTCCTCCCGCTTGATATCCTGGGAGAGGGTGCGGAGCAAGGTCATCTTGTTGACGAGCATGCCCTTGGTCTGGTCGTCCAGACCACGGAAGATCTCGTTGGACTTGGTCGACATGAGCTTGACGAGCTCGACCTTGTTCAACTCCTCGATGGGCTTGACCTCAGCCTCAGCGACAGCCAGGCGGTTGACGCCAATAGTGATGGCATCGACGCTGGTCATCATCTTACCCTTGCCAGAGCCGTTGGCGTGGATGAGGTTGACGATCTGGTCAAGGGAGAGAGAGGTAGCGGCGCGGCGGCCGGCGGGAACGGGGAAGGCAGTGGTGAATTGAGCAGACATCTTGAATGGGTTGGATTGGGGATTGTGAAATCGATTGATCCAAGAATAGAGCTAGGGGCAAATTGAGTGAAGTATGGGCAAGATTGGGTTCGATCGTCAATTGGAATGATTGATGCTCTTGACGATGGATGAGTGTGGTGTCCAAGATTGAAGCTTGAAGAAGAAGAATCTCGAACAGAAAGTTGGTGATGTTTGTGGAAAGGAAGAGAAAAAGAATTTGGAGAGCTCGCTCGAGGAAGTAGGAAGAGAAAAAGGTCTGTGAGCCAAGTTAGCCGAGAGTCTCAGGGCTTCGAGATGCTCGAGATGTCCAGTCTGGAGGATGCGAGAGCCTTCAACGTGTCTATGATGACGATAAGCAGTGGCACACTGTGCGGTTGCTGCTTATCGCGGCCCAAACGCTACAACCACACAGTGGGGGTTGTAGTGCTCCTCAGGGGGACATCTCAGGGAGTCAAGTCTGCAATTAGGGCTCCCCAACCCCTCCAAAATCCCCTCTCGGCCCGAAGTTTAGCAGGAGTTTAGCAGCGATGACTCAGAGCGCAGCGGCCCACGAACTGGAAAATGGCACGCCCATGTCATAATTCCAAGGGCGGCCAGGCAGGAATGAGCTGGGCGGCCATGCAGCATGCTCGGTGCTGCTGCACCCCAGGCTGAGGACCGACGATGAGGATAGTTGCAAGCATGTATGTATATATACGTATTCCCAAGAATCAAGGGCTGTAGGAAGCCATCTACCTCAGAGCTTGTGCTCCCAGAAGCGTAGACTATTTAAATACTTCTTGTCATCGTCCAGTCACCGGAATTTGCGGCCTGTGCAGCCGAGGCCAAAGTGAATACCAAGCAGAACTTCATTTTTACCGCACAACTCGAACTTTAGGCCCACAACCCTAATCCCACAGATGAATTGACTTGTCATGTTTTTGATTGATATCTTCAGTGTTTTCGAATGATACTATGCATCAAATGCCCTTCCTTCTAGAGCCTTGCCAGCGCCCTTGGCGCCAAGGCCGTACTCACCACCAAGGTTTGAAAGTTGACGTTTGCTCAAGTAAACACACTGTGATATACTGAGTAATGAAACCCGAAGTGAATGTTCTTTTCGATAATCAACAGTGCTTTTGAGGAATGTTCCGACGCTGTCTGGGCTCGTGCAGACAAGCCTCCTTCCCTCGAGAGACAGTCAGCTGCACAGCTCTTTCATTCTCTCGACTGGGAGAATATGATTTAATATTAACTGTTGCCGTAATTTCACATTCAAAAACCGTACTGGAATACTTTCTACGAACGTATAAATGTTTGAAGTGGATGCCCATTGCCAAGCAATGCAACAGTACCGGATGGCTAGTCATTGAAAGTGAACGGAAGACACCAATCTGGCAAGGCCTTGTGCTCAATATCCTCAAATTATGTTTTTATTTCGCTTGCATTACATTGCCCGCACGGAAAGCATGCCCTAATTTACAATACACATAGGTAATTATTAGCATCTGCTAGGGATATCGAAATCGAAGTAGGAACAAGAATGTGCGAGGAGGCAACATATTAGCTGAGCTAAGTGGGATGAGTGCGAACCTCAGAAGCACGAGGTCATGATCTAATACACTATCCAGGTGCACTGCGGAAGATTGGCGGGAAGGTTGGCGCGCCTCCAGAGCTGGGAGAGCAGATCCATGCCACGATACTCACCCAAGAACAGCATTGGGGTTATCTTTCCCTCTGGAAGGCTGTGAATTCGTAGCTCGGGAGCATAATTGTTCGTAGCTGGCGTGTCGCAAGCAGGAAGATGCAACTCTTGCACTCACATTGGCTTCCCGGGTTCAAAAGCAACCCCAGCATTTATGGATACGGGCCCCGACTGGACAGAGAGGGGACTTCAAAGCTCAAACTTAATTACGAGACAATTTGTTTGCTCTGGTTTCGATGCAAATGCATTTGAAATGCGGACTTCGTAGCTGAGATTTCCTCCCCAGTGTGAACCGAATAAATGAAAGTCATTTCAGAGGATCTGATATATCCCCAAAACAGTCGGGCGCTAGTACGCTTCAACCTTAGCGCTTAGTTGGCAATGCAACTCCATCAAGACGAAGCGAGATGGCAAGACAAAAAGTCCTCTACGGTGGGTCGCGGTCTTCTGCCTGGGATCCGGTCTGCATTGCCGTAGGAGTTGCCTACGGAGAAAACTGAAAATCCCTATTCGCCGGTGAATCTGGTTCAGTGTCGTCGTCCCGGAGTGACACGTCTTCTTCCAATCCCTTCGTCGCCATCAAGCGCCATCGAGACCAGACGACGCAGGAACAATGCTACCGTCGACGGCGTGTCACATCTTGTCGACAGCGGCTGGCCTGTACTCGACGGAGTGGACATGTCCCACGCCCACCGCCAAATGCAAGCCGTGGAGGTGGGACGCAAAGGGCAACGACGTGCCGGGCTCGGCCACCGGCACCTGGGCCAACCAACCCACCCGCCTCCCGCGGCCCGCCTCAATCGAGGCTGGAGATATCAACTGTCGGTACGACGCGCGCACGTATGACGAGGTCGGGCCCGACACGTGCGCAAGGCTTGCGGAGCGCTATGGTATAGCCCTGGACAAGTTCTACGTGCTCAACCCCCAGCTGGCTCCCGACTGCAGAGGCATCGCGCCAAACACTGAGTACTGTGTGCGCGGCTGTAAGCTTACACTGATCTATCCCTGTCACAGTCTCGGTGCTGGAAAGACTGATCTTGAACCGCAGTTATCGAGCCGCTGCGAGCATACGATGGCCTCTGCGGGCCCCATCACAAGAATGCCACGTGCATTGGAGTCGACTGGGGGCAGTGCTGCAGCTCCAAGACGTGGACCTGCGGAGAAGACGTGGAGTAAGTGTTTCCCCGTCTTTGCCTTGCTGTTAGCATACTCGAGCCCCTGCGCCGCCTTTATCTTTTCCCGGAGAGATCAATGATGTACTGACGAGGCGGCTAGAGAGCACTGCGCTCCGGGCATCTGCTACGAGGGGGTGTGCTGGGGCCACAAGGTCTGGACAACGGACGGGACGTGTGGCCGACAGAATGAAGGTCGGAGATGTGCAGGCAGATGGGGAGACTGCTGCAGTACGGAGGGCAAATGCGGCAGCGGGCCGGAGTTCTGCGGCGAAGGCAGGTGCCAGTCCGGCAAATGCGATCCGCTGGTCGATCACTTCCCGGATCGTAACCAGGGTGCATACATGTTTGAGAAGTAGTGGCATAAAGGCTCTTGAATTAATAATGTAGTCCTTGGGAACTGCTTCTAGACATAGGGAGTCTCTTGCGATTCGCTATAGCTATTCCCCCTGTATTTTCTCATGCCCCGGTGCACTTCGCGCCTAATCACCACGTCTTGATCCCTTCTCCTCAGGGGTGCGGTCTTCTTCAGTGGCATAGTCCGCGGACAAAGTCCCTGCCCGGGCCGAACTGCACTAGTAGCCAGAGGGTCAAGATGACCGTGACGAAATTCAGAAAGACCAAGGCAAAAATCTCGACCCAGAATCCGCGGCCTTCGAGACATTGGACTGCGACAAATGCGGCCCGCTCGACAGGTTCGGCAGGTTCGGCCGGTTCGGCAGGTCCAGAAGGTCCAGAATGTCCGAGTCGCTGTAGCTCGAGGAGGATTGTATTGGTTGAGGCTCGCAGTGCAGTTCTCAGACTCTGATAGCGCGTTGTTAGTTCAGAGCCGTCAGGAGATCTCAAAGTGACAATACTCACCCTGCGGGACAGCTTGAAACCGCCTCTGATATCCTCCAGCTTTCGGGTCAAGAGCTCGACGTGGTCTTTGAGATCATTCAGCCTTCGAGCATTGAGATCGGCACCGAATTTGATCTCATCCAGCTTTCGAAGGATGAGATCAACGGCCTGCTTTTGCACTTGCAAGTCATTGAATCATGAAATCAATGTTCTTCAACCTACCGGATCAGACTGAGGAGGCGCAGCATCCCTCGCCGGTCCGTCATTAGGGGCGTCGCCATCGCCCGCTTGATTCGGGTTGGAGGACATGGTGGACTGGTTTTGCTGTTGCGTGAAGACTTCGACTTGAGTTGTTGAGCGCGTTGTCAGACGCGATGAAACTCTGAGAAACATTGCCAGATGGCAAAGGACGTACTCGGGTTTGTGGATTATATACTGAAACAAGTGTTGCGCTTTGAGACTGGAACGCGATGAGAAGTAGCTGTTGCGCTGTTGCCCTTTTGTAGTTGGACTTCTGCGATTGTGGTGTGAAAACCGACAAGCAGGTATTCGTGTCAGGGAATAGGCTTGTCAAGTAGAACGGTTCACCTGGTACCTTTTGCTACTGTGCCTCAGGGGACACAAACTGACAATTCAGAACCAGCTGCAACAATGCACGGGTTTGTCTAGATAATCTTCGGTAACCCGGGACCACTTCGGAGTTGAGAATCATTCACTTGTCTTTCTTCTTCTTTTGTGCTCTAGGCTGTTGGTGAGTCTCATTGCGTGCCTATAAATACTCCCTCCATCCCCTTCTCAGAACTCGATTCCTTTTCTTCCCTCTCACTTCCACACAAATTCTTCTTCTCTTTCCCTCTCTTCCACTTCTATATAATTTCTTTTTCTCCTTCCCACTCTTAATCATATTTCAAACTTTAACCTTTATATATATTAGCTCCTTTAACAACACCACCACCTAATACCATCACCACCCATCACTATCACCACCAGCTCTTTCTTATCCTTGATGGTGAGAAAGGTTAGCAAGACCTTCTACATCCACTAGGTAAGTCCGTCCGCGCTCTGCGCGCCCCAGCACGTCTTTTCTCTTTTCGCCCGTCGTTCAAGCCTTTCACCGTTTTCCTGCGACATTCAAACCTTGGGTCGAGCCACGAACAACTCCTCTCGCTGTGCAAAAGAGGAACTCCGAGAGCACAGACAGTACCCACGAGCTCAACTCCCACGGGTCCTTCGGGATGTGTGGGAGGGGTACTGGTTTCTCGGGTGGACCTGAGCCTTTGATGAGATGGCTCCTCGCTACCTTCGGCCACTCCCCGCAGGCAGCCTGTCCTGCTTTCCGTTCACGAGACCTTCGGGCATGCGTCGCTGCCAGGGACCGTCGGGCCCAAGCTTCCCCACTCGGGGTCAAGTGGCAGCAACCCTCGTCGGCCTCGTCGAGCATTTGAAACAGTTCAGCGCAGCCTGCGGGGCTGGGGCCCGAGGTGTGGAATCAACGGGATATTCCCTATCGGCAAGATCTGGATGCCGTCAATCGGCAGTTGTTCGCTCGTCGTGTCGGTGTAGATTGCCCCGTGTGCTGGGGTGCACAGGCCGACCTCAGCCCGTGCTTCCTCTAGTAACCGAACAAGCTCTGCTTTGGGAGGAAGTCTGGCACTTTGAGCTATTTTGAGCGATCCTCATAGCTTCTTGTGCGCACTATAGGGTGCATTGCTTTGCGGGATTCATCCGTTCTTGCACGGGAGTCATGACGCTTTGGGTTGACATGAGAGAATTGGCGTGAGACTTACTCAGGAGGTTCGCCTGCTGACTGGGTATTAGGGTTTCAAAAATCATCCCGACCAACTCCACCATGGCCGACTACCCGCCCGAGCAGGAGGAGCAGCTTGAGGCTTCGTCGCCGCCTCCGGTTTTTACCCAACCATATACCATCAGTCTGGATTTCGCGCGACAGATTCAGCGAGGCCTCCACGATGATGTACACCGGACGGTTGAAAGCCAGGCTGACCGAGTGATCGAGGAGCTTCAGAAGACAATGGTCGACATGAAGGAGGCTATTGTAGAGGACTTGGAGCAGAGGAACGCGGAACAAGTGCACGAACAACTGAACGAAATGTACGGAGATCACATCAAAAAGCACTTCGGTCGCGTAGAGAACAAGCAGGCGACCATGCATGACCTGCAGACGGCCAGCCACAACGAAGTCCTCCAGGCCCACAGGGTATGTTTCTCCCTGCAACAATATGACTATGTCTTCAGACTAACACCGCACCGCTAGCATTCTGCTTCCGCCGCTCGTGGAGTTGACCGACTCCTCCAGCAAAAGGAAGATTCTCCATGGGTGCCGGTCATTGCCATCGGCTTGCTCATCGCCTTTCTGATCGCCTTGCTCGTCGTCTTGGTCATCGTCGCGCTCATGGCCATGATGCTTGGGGTGCGGGTCGGCCCGATCCCGGACACAGTCCGTGGACTGCTCCCCTAGGAGTGTCCGGAGACCTGAGGAGGAGGGACTAAGACATGGCGATCAAGTTGCGATATGCGGTGGGACAAAGGGTACACATTGAAGATACGAGTATGATAGTTGTCTGCATCACGAGAAAGAGTACCAATGCCCGGAAGAAATGCCCATAGTCTGTCTGTATTTATAAATCCAAAAAGTCTTGATCCTCTGTACTTCAACTTCTACTTATTCACACTTTTAACCCACCTCTACCGCTATGTAACATCAATGTCCTGCAACCCAGACACACACACACACAGAAAAGCAACCAGACCTCCAAAGAAAGGAGCTTGGCATTCCGCTTACGTGCCAACAAAAAAAAAAAAGAAGAAAGCACGACGAGGGAACACGGATCATGCCCTCGAAGTGCAAAACAAAGTGGGAAGACATGCCGAAAGAAACAGCCCGCCCTAGAGGCTATCCAGCTCGCACCCCTTCTGCACCCTCAGCGTCCCCACGGGCGGCGGCGCCTTGATGGCCCGCGGGCTCATCTCCAGCTCCGCGCTGTCGAGCACGACGTGGCCGCCGCCCCGCCCTCCCATGCCCATCCCGCACGCGCCGCCCCCTCCGCTCCGGATATGAGGCAAGATCAGCCCTCCGCCACCACTTCCTCGAGCGGCCCTCGCCCCACGGCTCCCCGACGACCGCAGGAGCGCCGAGGGCCACCAGCGCGCCCTCCGGCGGCCCTCCCACGTCCGCGCGCCCTCCTCGCGGACGGTGCGCCAGCTCGTCGTGAAGTAGATGACGGCGTTCCACACGCCCTGCAGCGGCAGGACGACGGCGCTCGCGAGGTTGAGCCCGTAGCTCACGCGGTCCGGGTACACGAGGTTGTAGACGCGGTTGATGGACGAGGGCGTCCAGGTGACGAGGACCGAGACGGCGAAGACGAAGCTCGTGCGCAGGTAGGCCAGCTTGACGGGGTCCATGTGGCGCAGCCGGGCCGCGAGGCGGCGCCGCCACGACGCCGTCGCGGAGGTGGTGCCCCCGCCGCTGCCGCGGCGTGACTGTGCCTGGTGGTCCTTGGCGTGGGGCGAGGCCGAGGCCGAGGAGGAGGATACGATCTTTGACGTGACGTGCGAGAATCCCGGGTGGTGATGGTGTGAAGCGTGGTGGTGGTGGTGGTGAGGTGTCGTCGTTGCTCCTGCAGGGTAGCCGCGGGGGGAGGTGGACGAGACGATGGAGTCGTCGTCCTGCGGGCCGGACGCCGCCCACGGGCACTGGGCGGTGGTCGACGGCGAGGGCGTCGGCGGCGGTGTGGCAAAGGTATCGTACACTTCGGTGCTTATCTCGATGTCGTGGGTGACAGTGGGATAGGCGGATGGGGAAGCGGTGAGATTCTGCACGTAAGAAGAGAGCATGTCAGCAACTCCCGCAACGACGAATCACGCTGGGCTCCTGGCCCCAGAAACCAAGGCGGCGTCGGATCAGGGCCGGTCCGAGCAGCTGGGAAACCAAGAACGTACCTTTTCCGCCGAGTCTCTGACATCAGAGGTCGAGATGCTCTTGCCCTGGTTGCTCAGGGTCAAGTTACGCAGCTGATTGCGCTGATGGAAGACGTGGTAGCCGACGGCCATGTAGATGACGGCGGAGAGCACGATGCACATCCAGATGGGGATGTAGTAGCTGAAGATGCGCAGCGAGTTCCAGGTATTGCCGATCCAGCACCATAACTACCGAGGTGGGGTGAGGACAAGGCTCACAAGTCAGCGTCTTACAGACATGTACAATGGTGGGTTGGGGGTGCCGCAAGTGTACGTCATGAACGGGTTCAGAGGAGGACAAGGTGCGCCGATGTAATTTAACACAAAGGGAAAGAGAAGGGGCTGCCACTCACAGTCGCATCGCCGTAGATTGGACCCTTCGGGGTCTTGACATGGAGACACACAATGGCCGGGATCATCGGCAGGCCGAAGCATACCAGGCAATACGCCCAGAGGTACCGCCGAAAGACGGTTGGGTTTGCCGAGAAGAAGAAGACCAGATAGACGTTGAAAGCCATGGCAAAGGACCACCAGGGATCGGATTGCATGAACCTAGGTTGAGGTACAAAGGATCAGCTCTAGTGCGGTTTAGGGGCCGTGCAATATTCACTCACATTTCCAGGAGGAAAGCCTGCGCCTTACACAGGTTGCTATCCACGCCGGCAGCGATGCCGGCATAGCCTATCAGACTCGCCACGCTCGCGCCGACGTTGGCTATCGAGGCAAAGAGTATGAAGGTGTTGGGGACAGTCCTCAGCTTCTTGTAGATGGCGAACGTCAGGAAGATCAGCGTGACGCCGACGAGGGAGAGAGAGGCGCCGGCCCTCTCCAGGCTGACGATGACCTGGACCTCGTCTTGCGAGAGCATGTTTTCGGCGGTGACGGAGACGTCCATCGTGAAGGAGAGAAAAGGGGGAGAAGAGCCCGGAGTGGGAGAAGCTGACAGGCTGAGTATAAGAAAGTCCGGGGGGCCGGATCAGCAGCGGCGCGAAACACGCGCAAAGATGGAGGGGGATGACCTAGCCAAGTCAGCTAGGTTGCTGCCAATCTTCTGGAGCCGTTTTTGGATGTGCGCACGAATGCGGGTGCGTCGTTTGGTCGTGTATGTGTGTGTGCGGGCGCGAGTGTGTGTGTGTGTGTGTGTGGTGTGTGTGTTAGTCCTTGTCTCTTGCTGCAATATACGATTGTCTCCCTCCTCCTGGCTGGTGGGATGGGGGGGGCTGCTACCCTGTCTCACGCCCTGGACGAAAGACCGTTACCGACGCCTCAAAACACTGCAGTCGATGAAGAAAGTGGAGGTGTGCCCTGGGTGTGAGGCGTCGCGTGTGCTGGGTGTGACTGGCTGAGCCAGGACGAGATGGGTCGAACACGTAGCGAATGGCGCCCGGGATCGACTTGCCGGGAGATCAGGACGACAGCGGGCTAGGAGCGGGATCTGAGACTCGAGGCGTTCAGGTCTTGGCTTACATGTCAGACTCGACAAACTGCAGAAAAAGAAGGCCAGCAACTGGCTTGTGGAAGATCGAGTATGGCTGGGAGAAGGTAGGGTGGGAGAGATCTGCTGAACGGTGCCAGTCGGCTGACCAGTTCTGCAACTTGAAACGAATGACAGATCAGGAGGGAGAAGGGAAAAGGAAAAGATGGAGGGTGGCGGACAGCTAACGGCTGAGCAGGCTGCACTCGTTGGAGCTCGGTCAGAACCAGGCTTGGTTGCAATCAGACGTCGATCCCTGGACGGGAGGCTGCTCCTCGACGAACCTGGCTTGTGTCACAAGTGGAGTGGGATGGGCGGTAGGACACCTCTCGTTCGCGCAGAGTAAGCTCCGAAATAGAACTGCGCGCCGGGCCGAGACGGCGTATGAGATAGGAAAGCCGTGCGCTGTCGTGGGGGGGGGGGGGGGGGGGGGGGGTGT